GTAAAAATAATTAATTCTATTAAAATCTATTGCAAAAATTTTAATTCTTTAACTATTTTTTGGATTATAAAAAGAAACATAAAATAATTTACTAATTTTAGATGCTTAATAAAATTTTTTGTTGCTTTTATTTTTTCCAAAATGAATTATTGTTCTTAAATTTCTTTAAAATTAAATAAATATTCTCAAATTGTAAGTAAATTTTATTAAAAAAAAATTAATACATATTTATTATGATAATAGATGGTGTTTAATTAACAATGATAAATTATCCGCTTTAGGTACTGCTATATCTTATTGCTATAATCTCTCAACTTTGCAATTAGAATTGGGGTATTAGGAATTTTATTTTATTTTTAATGATATTTTTGACTAATTTAGAAAAATTAAAATATGATATAAAAAGTAAAAATATATATTTTTTTTAAGTAAATAAATCTATTTATTTTTATTTTCTTATAAGATTTTATTTAAATAAATTATTAATGAATTTTTAAAAATTAAACCTATTTTAAAAAGTGTTTTCTTACATTTTTAATATAAAATTACTTAGTTGCAATTAAATAGAATCAAAAGGTCTAACAGATTTATGTTCTGCTATTACAAATACAAAAAATTCCCTAAAAAATCTCAAACTATCATTTTAGTAAATTTAATACATTTCATTTCATTTCATTTATATTTAATTATTTTACTTATTTTCTACTCTCTTAATTTATTAAATCTCTAACTTGAACGTTTTTTCTGAAAAAGACAAAATCCTATCTCTGATAGTGGCATATCTACTATAGCTAATTCTTTAGTACACCTCACTGATCTCTCGAATTTGGAACTTAATTTTGGGTAAAAACAATTTTTTTTTTGTTATTTCATAAAAATTTTATAAAATTATTTAAATAATACATTGTTTCTATTTTAATTAAAAAAAGCATAAATTTCCAAAAATTTTTAATTAAACTATTCATTATTAATTTAAAACATAATTTCCTACAAAGAAACTAAATTTATTTATTAACTTATTGAATCAAAATTTTTATAAAATGAATTTAAAGGTAGTGTAATTTAGGCGATGAGGATTTATCATGTTTATTCTCATGTTTATCAAAATCTTCCAAAATCACAGATTTAAATCTAAACTTCTAGTAAATTTTAATTTTTTATCTATCTAAAATGTTTACTTTTATTTTACAAAATTAAATTTTTAATAACTTGCTCAATTAAATTTGAAATAAATTTTCTAATTTCTCATATAAATCCTACTTTTATATCAATAATTTTGGTTATTTACTAAATATTATCATATTTCTTCTGCTATTATGAACTAATTTAATTATATGTATTTAAGTGTTAATAAGATTGGACCAAATGGATTACAAAATATTGAATCTGCATTAAAAAATTTAACTAAAATCTCAACTTTCATTTTAAACTTAGGGTAAAGAATGCAATTTATTTTAACTTTTGAATAGATTTTTTATTGAAAATTTTTTATTTCACTATTAAATTATTACAACCTGATGTTAGAGCCAATAATATTGGACCACAAGGGGCCTCTTATTTAGGAATTTCTTTAGAAAACTGCACAAATATCTCAAATTTACATTTGAATCTTTTGTAATAATTTATTTATTTATTTTAATATTATAATTAATTCAAAGTGAAGATAAATATTAACTAAAAATAAAATATTATTTTTTATTGATTTAGTTAAGTTTTTTTGAATTTGAAATCTCAATTTTCAAATTTAATTTCTTTTTTATAAAATATTTGATAATTTAACTAAATTTTATTAATTTAAAGAGGAAATCTTATTTCTAATGAGGGAGTTTCAAATTTGGTTACTTGTTTTGAAAAATGCACTAATCTTTCAATGCTGACACTTTAGTTAGGGTATAACAATTAATTTTATTTAAATCAATTATTTTATTTTTAATTGTGATCAAAAATTAATTAAGTTAACAAAATAATTTACTAATAGAAAAATCAAAGAAATTTTTTTAAAGATTTAGTATATTTATTTTGTTTTACTGTTTTATTTAGATTTAAAAATAAGTGTCATGCATACATACTTACTTCAGTTATTTTATTTTTAGTTTGTTTTTATGAAAGTTATTTATATTATAACTATAATCTAAAATCCAAAAGTGACAATTAAATTGAAGCATAAGGAATAATCAATTTAGGCTAAAGCTTAGCAAAATGTACTAAACTATTATCTCTGATTCTTGAAGTTCAGTAATTCATTTTTAATTTTATTATTTAATTTTATCATTTAATAGTTTTTTTGTTTTAAATTAAAATATCATAAATTTATAAAAGATGGAATAAAATTAATGATGAAGGCTTATAAGGATTGAGCAATTCTTTAGCAAATCTTACAAAACTTTCAACTTTGGTTCTTAATCTTTAGTAAAATAAAAATTTATTAGTTAATAAATGCTTTATAAAATAGTTTATTAGCTCTTATTTCTATTTCTGATTAATAACAAACAATATTAATATTATAAAGAAATAGAAATTCAATTCTTGTTTATAAATTTGTATTTTATTTATCTTTTGTTTTTAATTGTTTAAATTTCTTTTATATATTAAAGCTAAAATAATATTGGATCTAACGGCGCAGCAAGTTTGGGTTTTGCTTTATCAGGTTGTGTTAATCTCACTACACTCAGTTTGAATCTTTCGTAATAATAACTTATTTAAATTTTTTAAATAATATTAAAAATTGGATTAAGTAAAAAATGATTTTAAAATTTTATTTGAAACATAATTTTTATTTATTTATTTAAAAATAAATTGATTTTTTAAGAAGAATGATTGATTTATTTAAAATTTGTAAGATAAATTTATATATATATTTTTATTTGCTTAAATATTTTCTAATAGTAAAAACTAAATTGAATCAAATGGAGCTTCTAATTTAAGCATAGGCTTATCAAAATGTCCTAAACTCTAAGAATTACATATGCAACTATGGTAGAAAATATTTTTATAATTAATTCTAATTAATTTTTAATTATTTAAAAATTTATTTTTATAACAAATAAATACTGATTGAATAAATTAATTTTTATAAATGGAGTTTATTCATATTTATAATAAAATAAATTAAAGAGTTTTAAAATTAAAATGAAATTTAAAAAATTTTATTCTTATTAATTGATATTAAAAAATTTTATTTTAATTAAATATAAAAATATTTTAAAAATTTTTAAGTTTAAATGAAATAAAAGACGAAGCTCTCTCAACTATATGTTCTGCTTTATCAAACTGTACTACACTGTCTAATTTATCAATAGATTTCAGGTAAGTTAATATATTTTTGTTTTAATTTATGAGTAAAATTCATATTTGCTAGATAACTTTTATTCATAAAAAGAATCAAGCTTTTATTGGTTTTAAATTATTTATTGATAATTATTTGAAAATTTTTAAAATAATGAATGATATTTTTACCTATTTTAAGCATTATAAAAATAAAAATATTTGTTTTTCATAAAAAAAGATGTAATTATATCGGTGAAAAAGATGAAGGTGTTTTAGCCTAATTAGATTTCACTAAAATTTCTAATTTAACTCTCAATCTTAGGTAAAATTTTCTTCTTTTTGTTATGTTAAAAATGCAATTTAAATAATAGTGAGACAAAAATTAATAACTTTATTAATTACTTCTAGACTTTCTATTTTTTAAATATTTATTCATTAATTTATTTAACTGGTTAATATTTATTTTAATTATTCAAATCATGAATATTTAAAAATTTTTACCTTTATACACAAACAGTAATAATAAAATGGGACCTGAGACTACATCTGCTTTAGGTTTAAGTTTTACAAAAGGTTCTTATCTCATAGCCCTTGAACTGGAAATTTGGTAAATATTTTCATATCTTTTATATTAATAATGCTATTTATGACTTATATATAGTAAAGAAAATATTAAAATTTAAAAAATCTTAGTTATATTTAAATAATTTTAAACTTATTTACAGATAGAATTACTGAAAGCATTAAAATTATGTTAAACTAAAATTTTATTTTTAATTTAATCATTTTTTAATTAATTAAAAAAAATTTTTTAAGTGAAAGTAATATAGGATCATAGGGTATATTAGGTTTAAGTCTAGGTTTGACCAGTTGTCTAAATCTTTAAAATTTGAGTCTCATTTTGCTGTAATGTTTCATTTTTTTCTTAAAATCTCTTTAATTAAATAAAAAAATAATTAAGCAAGCAATAAAATCAATTAATAAATAGATAAAAGGATAAATATTAAAACAAAAAATTTTTTTTATTCTTCCATAATGTTTCTATGGTTTTTTTTGAATATGAAGTCTTAAAATATAGGAGGAACAATATTGGAAATGAAGGAGCAATTAGTTTAGGCAATTCATTAGAATAGTGCACAAATCTTTAAAATTTATCCCTCTAATTAGCGTAATAAATTTAATTATTTATTAATTAATTATGATATTAAATTATAAGTTTAAAAATTGAAAATTTATTATTTTTAATTTCTAATTTCTAAAATATTTTATTTAAAATTTTTATTCTAAAAACAAACTTATTGAATGTTTTATTTATTGCAAACAAAGGGATAATAATATTTTAAATGATGGTATACTAAGCTTGGCTACTAGTTTAGCAAATTGTGAGAAGCTTTCTAATTTAAGTCTATACCTTGAGTAACATTTTTATTTTTATTTTCATGTGCCAGCATTTTACTTTAAATTTATTTCATGTAAAACAATGAAAAAACTATTTTTTAACTAACACTCTCTATTCTCTTTTGATAATAAATCAAGAATTGTAAATAATTTTAAATTCAAAATAAAATTGTTTAATAATAGTTTTAATGATATTAATTCTCAGACTCAGTCTTAATCGGTCACTAGGATCTTAAAAATAAAAAATTTGATTAATAAAATTATATTCTTTTGAATTAATCAAATTAACATTTAAGATAATAATGTTATAAAAAGTTATTCATAAAATTATTGAAATTTATGTGTTTAAAAAAATATTAAAAATATTAATTCTAATTATTGATAAAATTTATTCAGTTTGTTTGGAGATAGTTTTTTATCTTATTTTTGACAAAAAATTATAAAATGAATTTGTTTGTTAGCTAATTAATTTATAAAATTTTTACTAAAATATATGAATACCTTTCAAAAAAATAGTAATTTAAATTACTATTAGTTTAACTAAGTCAAATAAAAATAAATAAAAAATGGCTTAAGTAATAAAAAAATATGATTTGAATACTATTTAGATTTATATATTAAATGTTTATCTAATTGATAATTTCTATTTAAAATAAAAAAGTATTAGAATTGATTTTATATCTATCTCTACTTGATTCACTCATTCGTTGGAAATAAATAATTGTTTATATAAATTTTTGAATTTGCATGGCTGATAAAGATAGATACCAGAAACTTAAATTAAATTGAAAATAGTTTCGATATTTCAATAAATCAATTAAGGAATAAAACTCGATTTAACAGCAAATATTTTTAAAATTTGATTAATTTGATTGTGTTAATTAATAAATAACTAACTAATTTGGGTTAACAAAGTAGTATTTTAATATGAAAGGAACATTTTAAAGGCGAAACATTAAGGCAGTTGTATAACAATAGACAGCGCCTTACAATTTAATAGGTAGTAGCAATTATAATAGCTTAAATAATTCAGCTGTTTCATATGCAAAGCCTCCTAATGATAATAATTCTGCTAATAGATCTAATTCTTTAGATAGATACGCTAATACAAATGCTTAGAGTTAAATAATAAATTAAGATATTTAAAAAAAGGAAATAAATGTGGATTTTAATCAACTAAGACAAGATATTTCTAATTCTATAAAAATACTTTCAAGCCCTATTTGCGAACGATCTTTTTTAGATGATTCGTAAAAGATTTAACTTAAAAATAGTAGCAGCAATGGATAAATATCAGCTTTTACTGATGGATTAAACTAGTAGCAGCACTTAAAATACGATAGCAATCAGTATCAACTTAATCAATAGAAACAAAGTTAATTGTACAGTGAAGCTTCTAGAGTAGACTTTAAAGATTTTCATTCAAGAGATCAAAGCTATGAAGATAGAGTTAGAAATTAAAAGGATTTTTAATAAAATAAAAATAATTTTTAACCATCTAGCTCAAAACAAAACCTAAGATAGATTACAACCTAATCTTATAATCCTGGTTCCACATAAAAGTACATTTCACCAATTCCAATTTCCAACCACCCAGTTGATAATTAGCTATTTAAAGAAAACAATAGCTATTCAAATATATAAAAATAACAAGCATTGAACTAATCTTATAGCTATTATTCGAATTAATCTTCTGCTTAAAAATACTAAGATGCAGCTAGAAATGCTTCTTTTGATTTGGGAAGACCAGAAAAACTTTATGCTGACAAACCTCTTTCTTATTAACCTCTAAGATAGCTAAACACTTAGGATGTATTTATTGAAAAAAAAGCAGAAAAATCTGCTTAAAGCTCAGGTTAGTAATTTTTGGAAAACTATTATACCAATCGTCCAGCTTAATCTATATCTTATCAATTACCTGTTAATTAAAGCTCTTCAAGAAGCAACTATTAATAATATAGCAATTCAGATAATATAAGCTAATAAAAAAATAACAATGCTCTACGGACTAGCAATAGCAGCACTGCTTCTACTCTAAAAAATTTTTCATTTTAAGTTTAGTTGAATTCAATGAACAACTTCAATAACAACAAAGAAAACATTGTTGATGATAATTTTTTCAATTTTTAATCAAGCTAAAAATCAAAACAGACAACTAATTAGTCTTAGGATGAAAATTTTAGTAATTCTTCATAAAATTTTGAATTTTAAAAGCAAAATCAAAATTAAGTTTAGAAATTAAATCATAATAATTCATTTTCATCAGCTAATTATGTTAATTCTCATGCCCAAACAGCATAATCGTCTAGAAGAGAAGGTATAAATGAGTTTTTAAATGATTTGCATATTGGTTATGATCAAAAAAATAAGTAGGGAGCACAGTAATAGTAATAATAACTTTTATACACACATATCCAACTCTCTGATGATGCGGGAAATGATCAAAATAAATAATCAATTCAAACTCCATAGTTATTTGAACCTTAAGAGTAAAATTTTTAGAGCGCTGAAAATCAAGTAAGTAGGAGCTAGAGTAGGTCTAGTAGTGCATATGATAGGATGAAAGATTCAGAAATAAAAGAATTAAAATCTGTTTTGAATGATTCCAACCAATAGGTTAAAGACTTGCTTAAGGAAAATAGAAAGCTAAATGATAAATACTAAAGCGTTAACGAGGAGTTGATTAAAACTCAGCATAAACTAGAAAATTTATAAAATCATTATCAAGAACTTTAACTAAAATTTCATACGGAAAAGGCAGATAATTTAAAGTAAACTGATCTACAAAAGAAGTGCAACGAATTATAACAAAAGTATGATGATTGCTTTTAAAATAACAAGTAATTAATAGAAAAAATAAGCAAAATTAATTCATAAGCTGAAGAAAAGGTTGCAAAACTCGAAAGTAAATACGAAGCCTAAACAGAAAAATTAGAAAAAGCAATAGAAAAAATAGATTAATTAACTATCAAAAACACTGAATTGATGGTATCATCCTAAAAAGAAAAAGAGCATCTGCTTTAAAAGCTCGCAGAAGTTAAGGAAAAAAGTGAATAAGATTTAAAAGAGAAATAGTCACTTAGACTAGAACTCCAAGAGGAAAAAAAATTAGGGGCTGAGGTTAGATTTATCAGAGCTCAATGCGAAATGTACGAAGTCTAATTAAAAGAAAAGGGTGATCTAATAGAATAGCTATAAAAGTAAATCTTAGAGAAATCAAAACAAATAGACATACTGAATACCTCGATATTAGAGAATATGACATAAATGTAAGAAATTTAAACTGAAAATAAAAGAAAGGAAATAGAATTAAAAGCTCAACAAAGTAAATTAATTTAGGAGAACTAATCTCTTTAAGAAAATGTTGAAATATATAGAGTAGAAAAAGAAACTCTGAATCAAAAATTATTAAGATTAACATAAAATATGGATGAGATAGAAGCTATTAGAAACGAAAATACTGACTTAGCATAACAATTTAAGGAAATGTACTAAGAAAATGAAAAATTATTAAATGCTCTCAAAGAGAAAGAACTAGAAGGTGAAGAAAATGGTCGTCTGTAAAATTTACTGAAATAAATAACTCAAAAAAATGAAAGTTTACAACAATAAAATTAATTGATCAATTAGCAACTTTAAGATGCAACTAATGAAATAATGAGTCTTCACCAGTAAAGCAAATTCATTGAAAAGCAACTTAAAGACGCTTAAATAGCTTATGATGAGTTAAAATCGAATTCCTTAATACATAGTAGAAAAGAAGAAGAATTTAATGAATGTTAGGAATAAATGAAGAATTACAAATAAAAATATAATTCTTTGAAATAGCGTTAGCTGATTGATGCAGAGAAACATCAATAATTTGTTAATAAATTTTAAGAACTTGAAAAAAGCTATGATCATCTATTAAAAGAATACAATGAAATCTAGGAAAGCAAACAGCAAATATCTTAGCTAAAACAAAAGATAAATGAATAAAATTAAAAATTAGAAGAAATGCAAATAGTGGCCTAACAAAATTCTCAAAATGAATAAATGCTATTAAATTTACAATAGGTGATTCAATAGTAAGAGTAAGCAATAAATAATTTGAATAACGAAAGACAAAATTTATTGAATAATAACTAGTTCAAGCAACAAATTGCTTAAATATAGTAAGAGAGTCAAAATTTAGTTTTTAAATTAACAGAAAAAGTAAAAGAAAATGAATACTTAAAAATGCAAATCATGAACTTTAATTAAACAGATGGCATAGTTAACGATCTCAAATCTAAATTAACTCATGTTTTAAATGAAAACCAAAGACTTAATCAAATTCTGTATGAGAGATGCAAAAATTCATGGAATTGAATTTATTTTATGATATTGAATTCATTTATTTATTTTAAAATAAGTTTTATACCAAGTTTGTTTATTTGTTTGTAAAAATATGAGTCATAAAATATCAATAATTCAGAAATTAATTAATTAATAAATTATTTCATTTATTTTTTATTTTATATAAAAATATATTACTCAAATAAAACAATTAATAGTTTTAAAATAAAAAATATATTTATTCCTCTAATCAATAACTGATTTAATATTTTTAACAAATTAATGAGATTAATATATAATTTTTTTAATATTTTTATATTTTATAACGAAGAATGTGGTTTATATTACAAATTATTTCCCTTTTAAATACTTTTAAATAATATATTAATTAATTAATTAAGTTATTGAATAATTTTTATTAATTAATCATCTAATTTATTAAAAAAATATTTTTGAATTTAAAAAAATAATTAATTATTATCATACAGCAGTAATAAAATATGAACTTTAAAAAATTTAATATTTTTAACAAATTAACTAGATTAATATAGAATTTTTATAATTTAAATATTTAATAAAGTGATTAATATTAAAAATTTTTTTCCTTATAAATACTTTTAAATAATTTATTAATTAATTAAGTTATTTTAATAATTTTTATTTGATTTTAACTAATTATCTAATTTATTAAAAAAATATTTTTGAATTTAATAAAATAATTAATTAATTATTATCATACAGCATAATAAAATATGAACTTTAAAAAAATCTTTAAAGCTATTTTTTCTATTTTTGAAATTTATTGTTTTAAGATAGAAGAATAATCTATTAAGCTAAAAAAATTTAAAGTATTAGGTTTAATATATGTTAATAGTTATATTTTTTTATTAAAGAAAAGATTTTAGCTTTAAAATATTTCTTAAGTTATTTTTATAAAAATGATTTTTCTCCATTTATTTCATTTTAATTTATTATAGAAATATTTATTTAAAATTTAATTTTTAGAATCCATTTATTTAAGTAAAGTTGCTAAATTTAAGTAAAATGTGCTTAGAAGTTGTTAAGAATTCATTAAAATAAATATAGATATAGTATTTAGTAAATTAAACATTATTAAACAGAAAAATATAAATTTAACATTAATAAAAATTAGTATATTGGTTTATGCGATTGAACTAGAATAAGTTCAGTTTAATTTATTTTGAAGTTTTTACATGATTAAAGATTTAATATCTGACATACTTTAGGCGCTTTAACTTTCTTCCCATAACTCAACTTCTATAAGATCTTTAAGTATAAAGCCTTACCAAGTAAATGCCTTTTTATAAATTGTTTAAAATTCATCAATAATTGAAATGATTTCTAGATCAATAGATTTTATATCTTGATTAACTTTTCTAGCAGATAATCTGGCTATTTAATCAAATTAATCTGGATCTACACTCTAGCCCTAAGAAATTTGTTATTGTTAGTATTGCTGAATTAAAAGACTTTCTCTGTAATTCATTTTTTCAATAATTTTTTGGCTGATTAAAATATCGTTACGAAGATTTTCATAATGAGTGTTTAGAGTGGTATAAACTCCATCAAAGTCTTGTTAGAAGTACTCAAGTCTTCCTATAAATTCTATTCTTTCAGCATAACTAATATTTCTATAATTCCATGCATCAATCAAGTTTTAAATTAACTCTGTGATATTTTCTTTTTAATTATATGTAGCTCTTATCTTTTCAATAAATTACTGTTAAAGATAACTTTCTAGGGCTATATATTTATCATAGTATTATTCATTTTGTTAAATTTTTAGCTCTAAGTTATGTTTCTTTTATTTCATCATTCTGTCTTTTAAAGAATCTCCTTCAGGTTTTTTACAGAAAGAATCACCTATATTCAATCCTTTATTTTCAGAATTTATTTAGTTAGTTTATTATTGTTGTTGAGTATTACTGCAGCTATTAACTCTGTCTCTTGATTACTAATCTTTAGTGTTTCCATCTAATTCTTGTTCATTCATAGAATTATCTTAAATATTGCTATTTTTCATGTTTGCATTATTTTATTACTGCTTTTTTTGATATTCATTATATACTTTATTTAAATTAATAAAGATTAATATGATATTATTTATTTATAATGCAATAAATTAGAATTTATTTTTAATCAAATATAAAAAAATATATTTTAATTAATCATAAATCGATAATTTTTTTTCTTAAATTGTTTAATATCCTCTGGTTAAATTATATAAATTTTAAATAACTTCTTGAGTAAATTGACAAAATTTTAATTAATTTATAGAAAGATTAATAAAAACTTTAAACTTTTTAATTATTATTAAAAAATAATTTTGTTTAAAGTTTTTATATTCTGAAATCTTATTTGTTTTTTAAAAATTATTCATTATAAAATTTCAAAAATTATAAAGAATTTTAAATCAAGAAAGACTAAATAAAAATATTACTTTCTAAAGAAGATTTCTGTTATCCAAGCAAATGGAGCTATCCTGGTTAAGACTTAGAGCCACTATTTGAAAGGGCAGAGAATTTTTTTTTATAGGTTGAAGGAGGAGGGGAAAGTGGGTCAAAATTGTTTAGAACATCATCGTTAAGATTTCTGTTTTCAATTTGATTTTAAAAAGCAGCTGATTGATTTTATTCTTAGATAAGCTGACCAGTTTAATATTCAAGTAAATTATTTTATGTTTATGTAAGTAAGAAAGGTGATTTATTTGAATTACTTAGATATTTTTTTTAGAATTCAATATCATCTTGCAAGACACCTTACTAGTTAATACCACTGTTATTACTGTACTTTCTAGGTTAGACAAAATTATTTTCCTTATCTATTTAAGAATTTTATTAATATTGCTACTACTAATAGTATTAATTTTTAGGAGATTTTCCTTCTTAATATGATAAATTATTTATATTGCTACGCCCTAAAGCTTACTATTCTTGCTACAAGCTTTGATTTTAGTTGAATTGAGATTAAGTGTTTTTTAATATTCCTTTAACATTCATATCTTTTCTATATCTTTCTATTTAAGCAGAAACATCTTTGATTTAATTTTGAAGATTATCAATGATAACTTTGTAGTTCTTTTCTTAATCCTGCAACTAAGATTTTATTTTGTTCTTTTCATCTTCTAATTTATTAAGTTTAACATTTTTCAGTGACTTCAAACGAGCAAGCTCAGACTTTTCCTTTTCAAGTAGCTTCTTTTCTTTATCTATTTTAGCCTTTATTTCTAGTTTATAAAACTCTTCAAGCTATTTCCTTTCATTGTCTAACTTTTTTTGTAAATTAACTTTCATTTATTTTTCCTTTTTTTACATCTCCTTTTTAATTTCTTCTTCATACTCTAATCTCAATTTATCTCTTATCTTAATTTCTATATCTTCATTGAATCCTAAAAGTTAAAATAATTTTAATTTAGCAAATTAAAACTTATATTTTCAAACAACAATAAAGATAAATTAATTGGCTAATTACCTTATTTGTTAATTTCATCAATAATATTTTAAACTAAAGCTTTCTTTTCTTCTTCAAATCCTTATTTCACTTTTTATTCAACCTCTTCTTTTACGACTGTTTCAACATTTTTAAATTATTCCTCTAATTCTTTTTCCTTGTCTTCCAATTCCTTGAGCTTTTCTTCAAATTGCTTTTAAGTTTCGTTTTACACTTCCATGAATATAGAGTCGAGCTCTTTTAGAGCATTCTATTGGATTTCATCAGCTGCTCTCGATATGCGCTCTTCATATTCTTATTTCATTTATTACTCCACATCTTTACGAATATCTTACTCTAATTAGGGCAGTAGTTCCTTTACTAATTCGTATATCTGATCGTTATTTAATTCTTATATATCCATAAAAACTGAATGATTGATTATTTTTAATTAAATGAATTTTTATTTAAAATTTTTTAAAGATATACTGAAAATATTTCTTGAAATAATCTTTGTGGAAATTAAAAAATTTATATATCATAAATTAATTATATTTTACAAATACCAAAGCTGTTTGAATTATTTCAAAATTTTTCATGCCAAATATAATCTTTATTTGTTTCCATTAAATAATGTTAATTTAAATAAGGATTCAAATAAATAGTTAACTGATTGAAAACAATCTAAAAACAATAAAAATATCTTATTTTTATAATTTATTATATTCTTCATAAACTTAACACATTTATCAACAAAAATCAATTAATAAAATATATTTTTGTAAAATATTTTAAAGCTATTGAAAGTAATAAAAAATTACATTTTTTTTAAATTAAATCATAAATTCAAAATGTTATTAGAAAAATAAATATCTTATTGTATTTTTTTAGTTATTAAATAAGTCAATCCTCAATATTTTTTCAAGCAAATAATCACAAAATAATTAAAAAATTTGAATTAAAAGATCAGATTCCAATACATAATAATTAAAAATAGCAACTACTTAAGTAAAAATTATTATTTCAAATATTTTATTATGTGCTAAGATGCCATTTCTTTTTTTTTAGATTTGAAAATGAGAGCAAATTCTCACAATATAATCTAATTAATTGAAATAAAATTGAATTTTATTGCTTTAATATTATATACTGATTTAATTAATACCTAAGTAAAAAAATTACTTAAATTTAATTATGATTTCAAAATATTTTAAGAAAAAATATTTTGTTGTACATTTTTTAGGTAAGAAGGTAATGCAATCTTGTGATTTCTTTTTTGTCAGACATGAAAAAGTTAAAAAATACTCATAAATTATCTAATAAGTAGAATAAAAAAATAAGCTTTATTGCTTTGAAACTATAATCCAATACAATTTTTTTCCTAAATTAAAAATGATTTTCGCAGATTTTGAAAAATTCTTATTTTTATTGTTTTAACACTTTTTGATAATGCTTAGATTATATTAATAAACTAATAAGCTAATAGATTTCTATATTTCATATGCCAAAAATGCGTCTAGAAATATCTTTAATATATATCTTAAAGAGAGTATATGAGATTTAATACCATTATAAGCAAGAAATAACATTACTTAATTACTCAAATACTAATATCAATTATTGTTTCTTTTATAAGAAGGCTATTTGGTTAGCAAGTAAATATTTAAGCTTTAAGTATTTTGACTTCAATTTAGTGAATATGTTTATGATATTTATTTTATAATCTAAAACATGCTATATATAACTAAAATAATTTACACTTAAACTAAAAATACCTAAAAAAAATATTATTTTATTTAATTCTTCATTTTTTCTTTTTACTAAACTTTGCAAAAGCTTTTTTAGCGTCAGCTTCTTTTAGTAATCCATTTTCCATACAATATTTTAGGGCCATTTCGCTGCTAGGTTTTTATCTATTTAAGGTTTCATAAAAAACTCTTAAACCGTTATCTTCATCAGGAGTTACAAATTTTTATCCAGGTAAGAAATCTTATGTAACATCATAAGAATCTTCTTCTTTAATTTCATCGTCATCATCATCGTCATCTTAGTCAACTTTTGATTTTCCCTTTTTAGCTGCAGGTTTAGCTTTTTTTGATCCTTTAGATTTATCTGTTTTTCCTTTCTTTTTATCATCCTTTTTCACAGTCTTGGCTTTCTTAGCAGCAGGCTTTTTTTTACTTTTCTTATCATCTTCACTGTCTTCTTCAGCAAAGTCACTTTCGTCTTCAGACTCTTCTTTCTTCTTTCCCTTTTTAACCATTTTTCAAACTTTCTTGCTAAAACAGTATTGTATGCAAATAATCAATTAAATAAAAATTATTAATTAACTTGAATAGCTTCTATTTATTTATAAATCTCTTTAGACTCCAATAAAATCTTAAATGATAAAACTTATTCATGCTAATTGCATAAACATTAATTTTTTTTATTTTTTAAATTAAATTTTCTACAATAAAATTAATTTTTTTTTTTTAATTTAAAATATTTTTAGAATTTATTTTTGAAATAAAAAAAAAATCGAAGTTGCTTTTATTTGAATGTCTAATTTTAATTAATCTGAAAATCTTTTTTGAAATGGTGATATGTTGTTAAAATTAATAGTAAGATTAAATGATTACTGAATGAGGATGAAAAATACAACAATTAGTAATTGATAAAATATGAATATATTTCTAGTAAATTTACCAAATTAAACAGATCTTGTGCCATAGAAAATTAGAAGTATTGTTAAGAAAGTTAGTAAAATGTAAATATAGAGTTTTAAAGTTTTGATTTTAATATTTTGGTTTGAAATTCCCTAGTATTCATTAACTTTTTCGTCACTTTTCTCCTTGAGATGAGCACATGATACTTGTTTTAAAAATTGATTCAGAAAATGCAAAAATAAAAATAAAAGATATCATATTTTATTTCTTTTTCAAATGTATCTTCTCATTCACTATTAATTAAGAAAAAAAGATAAAAAATACTTATTATTATCAAAAAAATTAAAAATAATCTTATAAAAAAAAGATATAGATAGCAAAACCATATCAGAAAAATGCTTAGCAAAATTTTAAAGAAGGCCAACAAGGTAAAAACACTTAATCACGTTAAAGTTTATTCAACAAATCGCACTAGATAATAGCAAATTGACCAATTTTAAGCTTTTAAAGCGTTTAATATGTGAAGATAGCTTCATTTTTAAAAAGAAATATTTCCACTATTAAAAATCTATTCAAGAGTCTATTTTTGGATTATATTTAAATGCGCTCAATAATCAATCTGTCTTGCAGATAATTTATAAAAATTTAATAAAAACAATCATTAATAATAGAATAAATTTTCTTATATTCATTTATCTAAAAATTAGGTTTAATATGCTAATTTCGCTACTGCTAAATATAGATTAGCCAAGGACATTCCTGCTGGAGTTGAAACTTAGCATATGAACTTATTTTAAGCAGTTAACAACGCTTTAGATATTGCTTTACAAACAGATAAAACGTAATTTTTTTAACTTTGATGCTATAGTCTTAAATAATAATTAAATTGTTTAAACCATTTGGAAATTGATGATATTTTAGTGTATCATCCATCCATCACTCTTCAATCTACAATTAAGATAAACTGCATGCATTATCTTATTATCAAAAATTCAGTTATTTATTTATGTTAAATCTAATTGCTATCTCATTTACTTAAAAGAGCTTGCTTATTCGGTGAAGATGTCAAATTCGGTGGTGTATTCAGATGCAGTTTGGGTTTGAATGAAAAATATGGAACTGATAGAGTTTTCAACACTCCTCTTTGTGAATAAGTAAATTACAATTTATTAATTAATTAAAAAGCACTTAACATCGATAAATAGATTGATAGATAAACATACAAATAGATAGATAAATAGATAAATAGATACCCCCACCTTAAAAGAAATTCAAAATAAATTTAATATAAAATATTATCAAAGAAATAAAATTACATTATATGATAATAGGGTATTGCTGCTTTTGGTATTGGTTTAGCTACTAACGGAGTCACTGCAATTGCTGAAATTCAATTTGGTGATTATATTTTTCCTGCTTTTGATCAAGTAAATTTAATTTGAAATTCAAAAGTTTTTTAATATACAAATGAAATAAAAGATTGTCAATGAAGCTGCTAAATACAGATTTAGATCTGGTAATTAATTTGACTGTGGATCTTTAACAATTAGAACTACTTGGGGTGCTGTCGGCCATGGTGCTTTGTATCACTCTTAGTCTCCTGAAGCTTACTTCGCCCACACTCCTGGTTTGAAGGTAATTTCTTATTTATTTATAATTCTAAAATTTAGGAGATAAAAATATGAACTAATTTAAAAGGTTGTTATTCCCAGAGATCCCATATAATGCAAAGGTTTGTTATTAGCCAGTATTAGAGATAAAAACCCAGTTATTTTCTTTGAACCAAAGGCTCTTTATAGAAATGCTGAAGCTGATGTTCCTGTGATGGACTATGAATTAGATCTCCATGTTGCAGATGTCATCTAAGAAGGTACAGACATCACCCTTATTGCATGGGGAACTCAAGTCAGAGTTATCTAAGAAGTAATTAAATAAATTTTAATTTTAAAAGAAAACGTTTACAAAATTAAATCTAAAATGATTATTTTAGCTTTTATTCAAATAACAGCTATTAGAAATAATATAACTTTTAGTAGGTATTTAGAATAGTTTAAAATTGTATAAAAAATATAAATAAGTTTAATTAAATGATAAATTAAAAATTTAAACACAGACAGTTATAATTTGTTAAAGTTATTTTAATTTTTTACTAATATCATTTTGTAAAAAAAAGGCTGCTAAATTAGCTAAAGAAAAATTGGGTGTTAGCTGTGAAGTTATCGATTTATAAACTATTTATCCTTATGACATTGATACCCTTTAAAAGAGTGTAAATAAAACTGGTAGATGTATTATTAGTCACGAAGCTCCTATTACTTGTGGTGTTGGTTCTGAATTAGCTGCCAATATCTAAGAAAAGTGCTTCCTTAGATTGGAATCTCCTGTCAAGAGAGTTTGTGGTTTTGATACTCCTTTCCCTCTTGTTCACGAACCTGTAATAAAATTTTAATTTATTCATATTAATGGTTTCTTAAATTATAAGTTAATTTATTTTTGTAATTAATAATTTTTAATTTTAAATTTAGATTTACTTACCTGATAAGTGGAGAGTCTTTGATGCCATTAAGAAATCTGTTAACTACTGAACTATACAAAATAAATTAATATATTTTATTCTCTAATTTCTAATAATAAAATTAAATGTGAAAAATTGTATGTGAAAAATAGTTTTCATTCAATTTAGTCATCTTTATTGAGCTAAAATCTCACTAACAATCAACTCAATTTCAAAATTCTATCTATATTTTATTTTCAATTATTTAAAGAAAATTATATTAAATTTTAAACTAAAAACAAGCAAAAAATTACTTACGTTTCTTGTTTAAAATTTACTAAAAATATTTAACTTATTTTCTTTTAAAGTATTTGAGATTAACATAAAATATTAAAAAACTTTAATTTAGAATAATTTTCAAAATGTATAAAAAATTCGTCAGCTGCAGGATTCGAACCTGCGCGGGTAAACCCAATGGATTTCAAGTCCACCTCCTTAACCACTCGGACAAACTGACTTTATGATTATTTATAAACTAAATTTCATCTTTCTTAAATAAAAAAAATTACAAATTCATTATTTTAATTTACTTCTTAAAGAAAACCTAAAAAAATTCTTAAAAATTGCTTAATGTTATTTTTAGCCAATTTAAAAATGGTGCAAAAAAAGAAAATAATTTAATTAGTTGAATTTAATATTGTTTAACTAATAAGTTATTAATTTTCAACTAGAGTATATTCATTCATGACATACTGGACATAATTATAAAAAAGTAAGCTTCAAGATTAAATATTTATAATACATAAATTTAGATTTTTATTTATTTATTTTTTTTAATAATCAAAATTGCCAGTTCATTCCATATGCTTTTCCATAAAATTCGATTGCTCCTATTGCAAATTCATGTGTGTTGCTTCCGTTTGTTGAAAGTTAAGTTATTCTAAAAGCCCTGAAACCTACTGCATCTATACTAATTGTACGAAGAGTTTCTTTTAGCTTAGAAGTATCTATTCCCCATGTTGACGATTTGTTGGGCTTACGTAGTAGCTCACGCTCTTTTTCTAGAAGCAGGTTATATTTTGAATCTTTTGAGAAATGAATTCTTTTATCTATCTCAAACCATTATTTGTTATCATTAGATCCCTCAAGCAACCAATTAAAAAGTATACAACTAGGCATACTTCTATTTCTCAGTGTGTAACAGGTTGGAAAGAAGTATCTATCTTCACCTAAATCAAAGCCAAAAAATGAATTTTTTTCGTTTTCAGTGCTAATAGTATTATTATTCAACCGTGCTGTTAAATCTTCTATCCTGCCTAATTTGAGTGATGAGCAAAAAGGCATAACTTCATTTAAATAAAAAGGATTACTAAACTATATTTTATTTCCTTTTGATCCAAGGAAAAATAATAGTCCGTTTTCATCAAAATCATAAGCATATGTAAAAGCAAGTGAGCCAGATTAGTTAGGCTTAACATATTTTTATTAATTGTTGTAAGAAGATTCTGAAAAAAATTATTTATTTGATTACTGATAATATGATAATTATTAATTATTTTAAATACCAAATTAAGAAGAGTTTGGATAAATACTAGGTTTTTCAATTTAATTGCCTTATCTTAAATTATGATGTGTTTCGATATTTGCTGGATTCAATAAAGTAACATTATTCATATAACTTTCTCTTGGATTCCAATTAATACCAGAGTAATTAGGCATATTATTTTACTCATATTTACTCAATTTTAAAGAAATAGCTTTATAGAAAATATCCCTTTAAGATAAAAATACAGGCTATTAGGCAAAGTAATTTAAAGCTGAATGAGAAACATAGCCTAACCTAACAAAACTCAATAGCTCTTCTAATTATTAATTATTTAATTATTGATTATTGTTTTATTAATGTAAAGACTTATCATTTAAATCTAATTACTACTATATTTTAATTGTTTCATCTTAATTTTTAAGTTGATTGCTATCTTTGGCTTAGTTTTAGCTTGATTATTCAATTAGAATTTTTTGATCTTATTCTTAATTGTTATTTTAATCATTTGCTTCCTGTTATTTGGGCAATGTTTCATCTTTTTCTATTTCTTTTTGATTTTAATTATTTTCTAAATTTTAACCATTATCAATAGCATTTTGATCATTTTATATTTATTTTTACTCATTATTATTTTAAATTTAATCTATGCTGTTCTAAACTTCAGATTGTAATTTATCTTTTGGAGGTTCTTTTTCAGAGTTTTAGCTAATTTCTGCTTCTTGAGCCTTTGTAGGATTATTCATATTTTAGCTTTTTTCGTTTTAATTTTATTACTCGCTTTCATTATTTTTTTCTAAATCAATTTATTTTTCATCATTTTATACTTGCTATTCTTTTGAAATTTCATTCAAAGGTTGCACAAGTATTTTAGGAATCTGATTGATATTACCTTCTTTTGTATGATTATTACTTTGTAAAATATTATTTTGTTGATTTAATTATTTATTCTTTGATTAAAATTAAACAATATAATCATGCACAATTGAGAGAATAATATCTTCATTTTCAACTTAAATATCTGAAGATTAAATAATTTAAAGAAAAGCATCGTATGAAAGATCTAATAGTTAGCTATAGAAGTATTAGCTATTTTATAAAAGTTTTCCAAATTTTTCAGATACTAACTTTACAGAGTTATCTAGTAATGCTTTATTTTTAAATTGAATACCTATATTTAAAATTTGTAACGCGTTTTCACTGTTCAAAATATATTAGAGAATATACTTTTCCATTAAAAATATCCCACTGTTAACTTACAAAGTGCTAAAATAAGAAAAAAAATCCATGCAGTTAAGAGCATTAAGGCCTTAATTAGTTAATACAGCGAAATCATAGTCTGAATATATGAATTTCAAAACTGATTCTATGATATTTGTTTCTTTAAAATTTTAATTTTAATTTTATTAAATAAATGTTTGTTATGGCATCTTATTTATTTCTAATTAAACTAGAAGAGGCAGCACAAATTCTTACTAATTTGGCTTTTCTTTAAACAATTTCCTAAAATAAGTTGATTTACTGGCTAATATAACCCTATGAAGTTAATATTTCTTCTATTGTTTACCATTATTATCTAAAACAACTATGTCAGAAAGCTCCGAATTGTTAAAAAATTCTCCTATGCTAGGCTCTTCCTATTCAATTTAGGAAATATTAAAATTGAAGTTAAATTAAATTTAATTAACTACATGCAATAGAGAAGCAGGATCCTTTGTTAATGATTAGACCTAGCCTTATTATGTCTACTATTATTAGCTCATAATTTTTATTGTGCTTAAATAAATAAGTAAGATAATAATTAATATTCTTTAAGTTATAAGATATAAATTAGCTTATTCTTTCTTAATCAGTTCATATAGATTTTTAAAGAAAACGATCAGTAGATTTTACATCTTATTTATTATCATTTAATTATTCAATTTTAAAAAAATATTTTGAGCTATGATCGATATCTTTAAATAGAGAAAATTATGCTCAAAAATTATCTACTTTTATAAATAAAATTTATGGAAATGTTGATTAATCAGCTTTATCAAAATAATTTTAATTTCAAATGAATAAATAAACAGCATATTTTTTTTTAAACAACAAAAAATGTAATTTAAATAAATTACTAATTTGTGTTTATTTATTTTAATATTTAACTATCCCATATTAATATAAAGATCCATTTAAGACATTTTATATCCAATTAAAGCATAGAATACAAATATTCATAGGAGAAATTAAATATGAAATAAATTATTTTTTAAAGATAAAATTGTATAATTTTTTGATAATAAAATAGTAAAAAAACAAATAAGATTTTTTTATATTTAAAAAAACTAATAATTGAAGATGACACAATAAATTTAACATGGATAAGTAAAATTTTAATATAGTAATTTATATTTATATATAGATATAGAAAGACAGGCAGGCAGGCTGTACATATTTGTTCCATCACTATTTAAATTTAACAAAATTATCTTAGTTATCTGAAATTCTAGATATATCATTATCGTTAAGGAAAGGAAGTTTTCCTGGTTTTTATAATTTATTATTTTTATTATTTAATATTTCAATTGCAAACTCTTCATCTTCTTCAACACTTTTTCTAGCCTATTTTTTCTTCTTGTTTTAGAAGGGACTGAGTAATTCTTCATCAGACTAAACCAACGATCCATTTTACTCAAACTTCTAGTTTAAGTATTACCTGTTTTCAAAATCTATTTCACTGTCCTGACTTTTATTTTTACCACTACCGTAACCTAAAATTTCTCCAATCGCCTCTTCTTTCTCATTTTAATCTACAAGTTTACCTATTCCAAATAGTTTTTTATTGACAGGTGTTTTACTATTTGACGGGGAAGCCTCAATTTTTTATCTAATTTCTAGAGGTAAATATTCATCTTAGCGATCATATATCCCCCAAATTAGATAAGCCAGCATGTTTTTATACTTTGGTGGTAAGGAATTTTTGTCATTTAGTATAAATTCAATTACATTGGTCACTTTTCTAAATAAGATTTCAAGCTATTCATCATAATCATCAAAGATTCTTTGGAATATGTCATACATTAGATTATATTCAATTTTTTATTTCACTCTTTCTTAATTGACTGAAGGCATTTTTTTCTCAACCATGTCATGGAAATGTTCAATAAGTTTGTCTATTATTTCAATTTCATGCTCTCTTTTCTCTTTAAATATATTGAAAGTCTTAGTGAACAAATCTATTGAGATATATTGATTAGGATTTAAGTATGAATTTTTAGGTTGCCCTCTACTTACGTTATAATTGCTTTTAACCTTTTTAACAAAATATGAAATAGCATCTAACTCTGATTTTATAAAATTATTTTCATGTATGTAATTAGCTAATTCAAATAATTTGAATGCTTTCTCTTAATACACATCTTTTTCCTATAAAAATAAGTCATGGAACTATGAAATAATTTCCATTTCTACTCTTATGGCTACAATTCTATCAGCTGCAGCATCTTCAACGCTCTTCATGACTAAAAGCTCTTATATTTTACATATAGGAAGGCAGAACCTCATAATTACTCTTTTTTCATAAAATACTCTATCTGTTTCATTGCATAACTCATAGAATTAATCGTGAGCTATTCCTAATTTTTTATAATTTAAAAATTTAAATAATCAATTAAAAGTAATAAATTGAAAAGATAAATATATCAAAACAAAGATTTTACTATATAACTCATTCAGCTTATCGATTTCAACTTAGGCTCTTTCCTTTTACAGAACAATTTCATTTTCTATTTTTTATTTTTCCTCAGCTGAGATCTTTTTCTCTTTTGGTTAGTTTTTCAAATAATTTTCTAAATCTTCAAGCTTTTACATTTCCCTATTGTAGTCAGGATCGCTATATTCAGAAGCTATTCCTTTCATGATATTGTAACATTCTTCCTCTAAATCTCTTATTTAGTTCATTTAATTTTTAGTAGTTTCATATTATTTCTTTTTTATATTAATAAATTGCATTAGTTTTTAAAAATAAATAAATAATTAATTAATTTCATAATTTTATTTAAAATGTTTTTGTAAAATAATTATCATATCATTATTAGGAATAAATTTGTTATTTTTGAAAAGAATTTTCTTACAAAAAAGTTATTGACGTAATATTTAAGTCCAACTTTTCTTTCTGTTGCAGCTCTGACACTTAGAACATAAGGGATTTTTTCTATATCTCTTAGGTATTTATCAAAGTTGTAAAGAAAAGCTCTCATAGAAAAAGATGATTTTTATAATTTCTTTCTAGCTGGCTTCCATTATAACAAGCTAGAGTTTTTCATGAAATCACTTTTTGTTTTTAGAGGACTATTTCCAAAATCTGCATGATCAACTGCATTATTTCCATCTCTTCTTGGAGATTCCGCTCCTTTATGAATATTTTCATCATATTCTGAAGGATGAACCAATCCCACATCTTCCTTTTTGTTGCAGTAATCATAGTATTTATCTATTTCATTCCATTTTTTTTCTAAGTAGCCCAACGAAATTATGAAGTCCTTAAAAATATTCTACTCAACTAAATATTTTATTCAAATGTTAATAAAATTGATTAATACAAACAAGTATAATAATTACCTATTTATTTTTCATCATGCTTAAAATCTAATTTTTTAATAATGCAAAAGGCCTTCCACAATTCCCTTAACGAGTAATCTTTATCCAATTCAATAAATTCTTTATTTACAGTCTTTTTATCTTTTGTATCAATATCTTGTATAACTTATGCATCTTTCTAATCTTTTTGCTTTTCTTTCTACCCTTTTATGCTTCTTTCCTTCCACAATTTACTATTAGGATTTAGTAGCTCCTTTGCCAATTCTTAATTAAATCTTTTTTCTTAGAGAAGCTGAGTTAGATTCTTAAAGAAATACCTGACAAATCTCTTCATTCTCTAATAAATATTTCAAAAATTAGCATTAATTAAAACGATAAAAATCATCGTAATTGATGAATTAAGTTAGGTCTTTTACTTCATTTTATTCATAATCGTTTGTATCTCCCTTTTCCCTCTTTGATTTAATAATTGATCTTGTAAGCTCTGATAATTCTTACTTAGGTATTTATGTTTAAATTCTTGTAGAATGAGGATTATTTGATAGATTCCATTGATCAGGATGTTGATAAAATGTACGAAAACCAGATACATCTTTTTAAACAACTTTCTCTATATAAATGAATGGAGTCGTTAAATGTTCTGGCAAAAAAGCTTTTTCTTTATATTTTTATGAAAAATCAAATAGAGTCATTTCTTTTGTTCTTGGCTCAAGTTAAACATTCGGTCTGTGTTTTCTTGGATCATCAAACACATGAACAGGATTTATTACACCCATAGATTTGTGGAGAAGTCTTTCAGGCTTATTTTTTGCTTTGAAAATTTTGCACATAGATCCCCTCACTGTAACAAAATCAGGTCTGCTAATAGTTAAATCTTCTTCACTGTCTGACATTTTTTTAAAAAAGTTATTGATGCTTAAAATTTATTTAGAAAAGACCTTAAAATTAAATATAGTGTTAAAAAATTGAAATTATTTAATGTATTTAGATATTTTTATAATTAAATGTTTCAAAATACTGATTCGTTTGTTAGTTTTTTTATTTATTTAATACTTAAATCAAGAATCTGTTGCAATTTATTTAATTTTTTAGCTGATTTGAAATATATTTTTCTAGAATTTAAAAACATTTTTAAAAATTAAATTATAAAATAAAACAAATTAACACTCACTCATATAAATTATTTAAATAAACATTTTAACTACAATTCAATTATTAAATCTTAATCACTAAATGTCAGGGAAAAATTTATCCAATATATCCATGGATATTTCACTGACATCTTTTGACCTGTTACCTTATAATTCAATAATTTTTTTAATAACTCCATAGTCATTTATTTTATCAATTGCACTTTCTAGATTATTTCTCGTGTTAATAAAATCTTCTTACATGATATTATTGTTTTGTAAATTTTATAAAAAGCATAGAATATCATAAACCAATTAGAGACAAATTTAAAGAATGTCTTTTTCTTAATAGTCAAGTAAGTAATAAAGGGCCTCAAAAAATTAAGAATCTAATAAACTGTCAACAATGCCATATTTTTTATCATAGAAAATTGACTCCAGAATATAAAGTACTGAAACGATGTTCTATATTAAAATAAAAATTATTTAAATTTATTTTAAAATATGAAATTATTTTTACATCTTGTTTTTATTCTTTTAAAAGAGTATTGACGAGAACTTAAATCAAGTTTTAACTTTCGAGAAGATAGCTGAGATATCTGTCGTCTTTTTCAATTAGATTTTAAATAGCTATAATTGCATATTTTCTAGTAGAGAAGTTACTACATATTTGTAAACCTTCATTAATTACTTGCATTCCATTTGAATCTGAATTTTCAACGACCTATTTTGCTTTTTTATTTTCTTTTTTATAATGCTTAAGTAGCAGCTCTTAGATTATATTTTAATCAAATTTATTGCTATATATGCAAGAGGAAACACCTGAGATATGTTTCTTTTCTGTGAGATTTGTTAATATCTTCAATGCCCTTTCTCTTATGGAATTAATTGGAGCTTATAAATTTATTTTCAGACATTCAGCTAGTTCTTCACTGCAAAACAACTCTAGTTCATCTAATCTCGTTGCTTGTTCTGTTAAAAAAAAGTTATTTAAAAAGATAATTTATTTAGACAAATAGATTTACTTGCTAATATAGATAGAGACAATAGACTATCACTTACAAGTTGCTTGTCAGTTGGATAGAGTTTAATAATGTTTAAAAAGGTAGGCAAAAAACATTACATATCGCAAAATTTGCAAAATTCTTTCATACAGCAAATATTGCATATAGCCCATATCGCAGTTCTAATATAAAGAATATCTTTATGATTAGCTGCAAGTATTTTATCTATAATACCTGATTTCATTATCAAATCGCGATTAATCTGCTAGTCTGCTATTAAATTTCCTATAACTTCCACTAGTTGTTCTTGAATAAGCACGGAGTAATCGTATGAATTAAAAATATTATCTATAACATTTACACCGCCTATATTAATTATGCTATCAACTTGCTTTCTGGTCCCAGAGCTTATTATTGAAAGTAATTAAACAACTTCATACTATTTTTTTAAAAGTATTTCATTTAAATTCCAAAAGAGCAATACCAATATAAAGAGAATAATTAAGATTATTCTTTTGTATATCGTTTCAATATTTGTTATAGCTAAGTGAAAATAAGAAAGTAATTTACTATTATTGCTGGGTATTATTGCAACTAGGTTAACATTTAGACTAACTTTTCTGAAAGATTTAGATCAATGTCAGCACACAAAACTTTTTCCTCTAAAATCAAATAGCGATACTTTTTGAAAGAAACTAGAAGATCTTCGGGAGTGTTTGGAGTTAAAATAGATTATTCTAACTACTTTTATTAGGAAGATTCCACATTTAAATAATTTATTTAACTTAGCATTTGCTGCATTCTAACTGGCACATCTAAATCGATGTCTTGACCCTAAATATTTTTAATCAATGGAATAACTGATTGCTCCTCGTAGATTAAGTGAAAACCTTTTAGCTTATCTTCTAAACTTTATTTTAGAATATTCATTTTTTCAACTCTTTTTCTATTGAGTATTTCATCTCTCTTTCCTTTTCTGATTTAAACCTAGAATTACTCTCTCTTTTTGGATATTACTTATTTGACATCTTTTTAATCATACAATTCAAATATTTACTAACAATCTAACAACTAAATTAATAAATTTTACCTTCTTAATCCTATTCAATATTTTGCTAATAAGTTTCGAATGTAGGAAGTTGCTAATTTTAAAATATTTCTTGCATCATTTTCCAAATATTTTATGAAAACTAGATAGATAATTTTTTTGTGTTTTGATAATTTAAAGTTTAACAAATCTTTATTTACTTTTAATTAAAGTAAAAAAATTTTTTTTTGCGGTATAACAAACATCAAATTTATTGAACAAGCATCTACTGATTTGGATAAACTTTATCAGAATTAAAGTATAAATAAGTGTTAAGTGAATTATGTGTGCTCTTTTAATCTACTTCTTTATTTATTTTTCAAAAAGAAATTATCTGTCTGTCCCTTTCTGAGATTTTTAAGAGGAGCGAAAATATAAAGTACAATAAAATAGAAATAATAATCAATTAATTAATTTATAGTAAGTAAAAATTAGTCTAAAATAAATTTTCATAACTTTTTATGGAAAAAATATATTAAATTAATTATTCAAATTTCGTTTTAATTTTATAGTTCAAATCAGTTAAAAGATGAGTCATTTCTATCTTAGTAGTCTCTGTTTTAAAATTGGCTATCTTCATTAAATGGGTCTATGCTTTCTTCTTTTTCATGTGGTTTTTCTTAAATCATATGCATATTATGATTAGAAGAAGAAGGAGTGTTGTCGTCGAAACGTTGTTGTTGATTTTTATTATTTTGATTACTAGGTGTTTATGAAGGTTTTTGCTGTTATTATTAATTATTATCCTATGTATTGGAAGTATCTAAGAAAGCAATAGGTTTTTCTAATAATTAATAAGCTTTTGTATCCTAAATATATTGCATCATCTTCTTCTGCTTAAGGTAATGAACAGAGTCTAACAAAAATTATTTCACATTTTCCACTCCTTGGTTGAACGCTTGGTCAACCAATATTTGTAAAATATCTTCCATATTGTGAATTGTATCTTCTATTTAATTCTTATAAATCAAACCAATAGTGCTTCCAAATAGATTTTCAATGTCCTGAATAATTTATAAAAACATTTAAAAAATATGATTAAAAATATTTTTTTTTTTTTTTTACTGCTAATTTGACATCGGAAAAGAATTGTAGATCTAAAAGTTTCAGAAGTATCTGCTTTCCCTGCTAACAAAGATTGGAATCACATAAAGAAATAAGAATGTATTCTTTCAACACATTCGCAATTGTTTCGCAGCTTTCCATATTTATGATCTTAAAATCAGTGTGCTTAAATCCAAATGTAATAATATCCATGTGTTCCTATGAAAGCTATTCAAGTTGTTTATCTTAATCTTTAATCTACATAATTAATTAATTAAAAATATGTTAAATGACTGCAATTTTATGATAAAAATAGATTCGTTGGTTACGTATTAAACAAAGAGTTAAAGAATCTAAGAAGCATAAGTCTTAATAACAGCTGAGTTTATCTATGATTTGTATTTTAATGACCTACTTGAGTATATCAAGTATTAAAATAAGTCTGATTCCTTCAAATGATTGGAAGGATTAAGCATGTTTAACTATTCAATTTATTCTTTATCTTCTTCATCTTGAAGCAAATTATCATGATGATGATGAGCTCCCTATGTACCACTTCCTCTCATATTATGCTACTGATTAGCTTGATTTTCATTATTTTTGTCAACTGACATATTCAACTAAGAGTGAAAACCACTTGTCTACAGAGTATTTTAATCTCCTTACTTATAATTTTCTTCATCAGAATGTAATACCCAATTACGAGTGGGTTCAGAGCAGTTTAATATCAAATTTAAGAATAATTCCAACAAAATTTTAGATTCACCTAAATGTTCCACTATGTAAATGAATGAAGTTGATAAGATAATTGCACTTGAAGGAGGAAAAGCAGCATTATAAATGCCTCTAGCAAATTTATCCATTTATTCTTTCATTTCTGAAATCATCCTTTCATTCTCAATTGAAAAGAATTTTTAATTTGCAGATGGATTCTTTACAAGCGATTAATATCTATCGGAGTTAATTATTCCTTTTATAACCTTTATTTTTATAATTGATCAGAATTAAAAACAAATATGATTTTTTACTATAGAAAATGATTTATAAACAACATTTTCATAAAATTATTTTTTTCATTTTATCTAGATTTTTCATAATTTAAAAATAAAATTCTCAATTTTTAAATAAAATCTTTCAAATGTATGTTAAAATTTAAAATTAAATATTGAAATTAAAAAACAAACAAGGTATTTATTTTGAAGGAATAAAAATTACTAAATGCTTTCAATTTATAATTTGTTATATATTTACTTTAGAGAAGACAATGATTGCAAGACATTTGCATTCCCACCATTGGTTTTTTGAAATTGCATCAATTTTATTTATTAACGAGTTTAGCACAACATCAGGTTTAAGATCGGCAGCATGAGAATAAATTGCAAGAGACATAGTCCTAAGATTGGTGGCTGCAGCAAACAAGTTTTAAGTTGCAAATAATAAAAAGTCTTCAATTAGCTTTTTGTTGTACTCTGTATAAGAGTCCTCAAATTAGAATAATATGACCAAAACTTGCATGAATATATTCATATCTTTTAGGCAAATCTTTAATAAATTAATAAAAATAGGTAAAAGATTTTGTATATTGGATTAGTTTTATGCTAACTAAAATTTATTTACTTTAACTGATGATATCATTTAGCTCTTTGAGGCAGGATCATTTGGACAAAAATGATAAATTGTTTATATCATAATTTCTTTTTTCTAAAAGAAAGTGCATTGCTTTATTTTTTCAGCTAAAGTTGGTAAGAAAAATTCAACGAAAATATTCTTTGTTTTATTTGGGTCTCTCTAAAGACTCTTTTCTCCAAATCCCTTAATAAATTCTCCTATTACATGAAGACTTTACTTATTGTGGCTCAAATTGTAAAGAATTGTAAAACAAAAATTGAAGAAGGTCCATAAATTATTTGTTTCTTTGAAGAGAAAACTGATAAATGCATCTTTTTGTTACAAGATTTCATTTAAAAAGCTGCTTACGAATTCATCACTGAACTCATCTACTTGGTCAGCAAAAGCAGAAGCCAAATTAATGTTTTTGCCTCTAATTTTTTTAAGCTCTTCATTATGAGTTCCTTGTTAGAATCTTATCATAAGCATATTGTTCAAAATATCCAAAATAGTTTATTCGACCAGCTTTTCTTTCTTTTTGCTATCTTGAGAGCTCATGTATTATTGATTCTAAATATAATAAAAATAACTAATATTTAAAAGCTTCTTCCTTATATTTAAATTATTACAGTGTCAAGTTAGTTTTAACTCTTTTGAGTATTTTCTCCATTTATTTAGTTATTGTGAACTTTACTCACAACAAGAGATTGCAGTTAGGCTCCTGTAAGTTCTTAATTTCCAGGCTCATTTACAAGCATTTTATTTTCCCTTAACTTTAAAATACTTCCTTAAACTTATCTAACTGTAATATTTTTGACATCAATTTAATGAGATAAACTTTCAATATTTTGAGAAATGGGTTTTGAAGGCACTCTCAAAAAATTTGTGCGTTTTGAAGAGTGGTTTGTTAATTATCCTTTATTTTCACTTGAAACTGATCCATCTAACTTCTTTTCTTTATCATCTGCTTGTGCCAATGATTTTTCTTCTTTCTTTTCATCAAGTCTCTCTAATCCTTTGTCTTTTAATAGATAAGAAGTTGTTCCTCCAATAGCTAATTCATTATTAGATTAAGTAGAAGTCAAAAATTCCTTGGAGTTTATATAATTAGCAAGTGGAGGTTTCTGCAATCTATTTATTATAAATGAAATTTATAAAAAAAGATTCATTTTTCTGATTACTTTTCTGAATCAACTTAAACATATTTAACAAACAAACAATCAAAACATTCAAGAAAAGTTTATCAAATATTTCAATTACTTTTTTTGAGTCAAAATAGTAAAAATCTTTGACATAAAATTGATTAGTGTGTCCATTTCACTATCTAAAAGAATAGGTTCCCAATCAGATCTCTCAATAGCAATTTCATTTTTTGAAAAAAATAGCTATAACAATTCCCAATTATTTTTTTTTCTTGTAAGATTATGACTATTGTCAAATGAATGCATCTAAACTTTAGTAGGATAATAACGCTAAAATATTTCTGCAATCAAGAATCCATTTGATAAATCTCTTTTTATTTTTTATAATTAGAAAGTTTAATATTTTTTCTGAATCTATAAAGAAAGCTTTTCAATGAATAAATCAATTTTATTGTATTGTTAAAATTTATATATATTTTGTCTTCATTTTAAATAATGATTTTAATATTATGTCTTAGTTTTCATTTTAAATTCCCTTTTTAGTAGAATAAAATTTGAATAATCTAATATCAATTCATATTTTTATTGCTCTATAATTTACCTTTTGGTATCTTTTACTGAGTAACTTAGATCTAATACTTGAATCCATTTTAATATCTCACGAGGCAATGTTCTAGGAACAAGCTTAGGACCTTAAGCTTATGCTTAAACTCTGGCATTTTCCTCAGCCTACTACTTCTTTAAAGTAGCATTTGATTTTAAAGTTCCACTCGCTGCTTAACTCATCTAATTATACTAATTTTCTTGAACTTTATTTATAACAACCTTATTTATTACTGAATTTGCAAATCTAAAACCTTGATTACTCTAAGTTGCACTTTTTGAAATCTAACAAAAAAATTATATATCGCTAATGATAATAATAATTTTTTATTCACTAATTAAATAGTTAACAAAATGAGTCATATCATTCGTGAATATTACTATAAAATAAACACATTTTTTAATATATTTAATTTTATGATAGATTAGTCAATATATATATTACACTAAAAAAACTAAAATTAATAAATGAGAGTTAAAAAATAGAGTGATGAATTATTTTTAGTTTATTTTTCATAATTTATTTATTTAAAGCTACATTTTTAAATTTAAAATGAAATAAAAAATGTTAAATATTATTTATTATTTTTATTTAAATATTTCATCTTTTAGTTATTTATTTTAAAATATCATTTTACAATAAATAAAAGCAATTTTAAAAATGTGCTTATTTAAATTTGAAATTTAATTTATTCAGCATTTTAGGAATATTAATTTAATATTTTTAAGTTTAAAAATCAAATGGTTATTGTAAAACTAATAGTAGAAATTTGTAAATATTTAAAAAACGAGTTTACTCAATAAATTTTCATTTAACTTACCTTAATTATTATTTGATAATTCCCACTAAAAAATTAAGTCTTTTTCTAACGAAATCCCTTATCCTTTAAAACCTCAAATATTTTGAAAAAATTTTTTTTAAGTTCTAATATATGAGAAAACATGGTATATAAAATTAAGTATGAAGCAAATAAATTAAATAGAAGCAATTTAATTTAAAAATTTGTATAGAATGAAGAATATTCTATGAATTTAATTACAAAAAATATATTTTAGTAATTTATTGATTGAGTTAATAGTAATTCAACTATAAAATCATTTAATTATTGATATTAATTTTAGGAACAAAAAATAAATATATTAAATAAAAAAATCATTTTAAATTAACATTTAAAGTACAGACAAGTGTGTAACTTTTTACTTAAATTAGTTTTTTATGAAAAATTGAATTTGTTAATTTATAATAGTAGAAACGTACTTGCTTGTTTCAGTTATGCTTATTAATTTTTGAATTCTATGTGATTTATTTAATTCAAATTTTTAAGATAGAAAAAATTCAGAATTGGGGTTTATCTTCATATTTAAAAATTAGTAATTGTCATAGATTAATTAATAAATGCGGTTACAAACATTATAGTTTTAAAAGAGAAATGAGATTTGATAAAATTAAATTTATTATTTTTTAGAAATTTAGCTGATTAGAAAATTATTATAATTATCTTTTGCTTGAAAATATTAAATATCATTAACACATTTTAAAGCTATAATTTTGTTAACTTATCATGCTTATAATTTGTAAGAAACTCTATATAAATTAAAAATATATTTTTACTTTTAAAAGATTTAAACCAAATATTATTAAATTTTTGTATTTTATTAATTTTGAGTAAAAATAATTAACTTTTATATAGTTTGCTCAATTAAGTTTACATAAAGGCAGTAAATTAATAATTTCAACTTAGTGAAAGACATAAAAACGAAGATGATTTATCTAAAACGTTTGTAGCGCATTTTTTTTCTTTTACTTTGTTAAATCTTTGAGCAGTTTAAAATATCTAACTACTTTAATATTAAAAATCAAAATTTTTCAAAAATAAATAGACGCTTTTTCTATAAATTTTCATAGTTATTTGGTTTTTAATAGATCAAATAACTCTTTTATGTGTAATCAATTAGGATAGGTATTTTTAATGAAAATAAGTAGGATTAATTATAATGTGCATTTTTCTAAATTAAAAGTTGATTTTATGTTCAGTTTAATAGAAAAGAAATAGAATAAATAAAAGGATTTGTTCTCATTTTAAATTAATGATTTATTTTCATTATAAAATAATTGTTTTAATAAAATACTTTTTATTTAAGTTTACTGTAATAAAAATTGAACAGGTGTGAGTTTCTTTAATCAAAAGGAATCTCTTGTTTTAACTAAAAAAAATTGAATGAAAAAATAAGCATATAGTATAGCAGAAATTTTTTATCTTAAATAAAAATGCGCATATATTTGTTTGTATGTGTATGTAGATGCATTAATAGTTAGGTTAAGATTCAAATTTTGTGATAATGAGTGATGAGATACTTTTTTCATTATAAAAATATGTATTTGGTGTGAATGATAATGATTTGTATTAATGAATATAATAGAGAGCTTCAAAAAAATTTATTAAAAAAATATATATTTATAATATTTTGATTTTATAAATACAATGTATTTTTGCAAACAAACAAAAAAAAATTTGTGTAATTAAAAGAAGATATAAAATTAAAAAAATAATTAATATTCAATATTGATAATATATCATAATTAATAATATATAATTAAATTAATAAAGGATATAATTTGTGTTTGAAAGCACATTGAAGCAAATAAAAAGGCATGAATAATTTATAAGGGAATATTTCAAATAATAACCCTGATCCGAATTACGGCCCAACTAGTTCTACTGGACAGCATTAGTCTAGCGAAGGATATAGTAACAAGGCGGTAGGAGGTTCAACAATGAGGAACAGTCTATAAAGTTAGCAAACATAATCTTCAGTAGGTAGTATGATGATGCACAGCAACTAAAGCAACAACAGCAATAACTCCTAGGGGGATTATTTGAAAAATAGCATGAGCAACAATAATTCTAACAATTCGCTTAATTAAAACTATCAAGGAAGCAGCGTAGGTTAATAATCTTCTGTGCGAAGAGGCAGTTCGAATCAAAATATGATGGGATACGCTAGTAATAGCGGAAATTAATAGAATTAATAAAAGCAATCATAATAGCATCTTTCCACTTAGTCACAATAAATGTATAAAGATGATGATGGTGGATCTAATTTGAACAGTCATAGCACTGGAAAGGTTTCTCAAAATAATCACCATCAGCATTCATTAAGTATGCAACAAAATTCATAATAGCTTTCATAAAGCATGGATGTAGAAAAATCGGAGTCTCATTAATCCTAGCAGTTCCAATCGCAATAATAATAGAATTCTAATTTAGGTTCAGCAAATCCAGCTAGTGGACCTTCATAATCAGGCTAGGGAGCATCTAGCTCAGCATAGGGAGGCTCAGGTTCACAATCAGCACAAGCTAATTCAGCTACAGGCAACAAAACTCCTGCCATTAACCGTCTAGAAGCATAAGATGTTATTATTAATTTTAAAAAGCACTTATTAGATAAATGGAAAAAGAATAAAGCTAAATAACACGTGAACAAGATAATCCATTATCACGTTTAACACACATTCTTTCTTCGTTATGCAGCTCCATTATTTTTGAAGGATTATTAAGAACTACTGAATACTAATCTCTAGTAAGCAGGCTAGAATAACAATAATAGGGAATAAGGATTGATTTCGACACTTAAATAAATTAATTAAGACATTTTAAACGGGAGTAAAAAAACAAAAAGTGTTGATGTTTTATAGTCTTATCTCACCAAATTGGATGAGAAAGACCAACTCAACTAATTTTTAGAAGTTTTAGTATTTATTCTATTTGGTGAAATACCCTATTAAATTCCTTTAGAACTCAACGAACGCAAAAAAAATCTCTTTCATTATGTATCTCCTATCATTGCTTTTTTAATTATTTTTTATATTCATGCTGAAAAGAAACCATAAACTCTCGATGAACTTGTTACGCGCTCAGGCTTGAAGTAACTCTATAAAAATATAAAAGTGCCATGCAAAGATGTGGATCCTGATGATCCAAATGCTGCAAATGCAAATGATTCCGATGAGGATGAAGATGATGAAATGATAGATGAAGAGGGAGACTCTGCTCAGTAGAATTCAGGATAAAACAATATATAAAATACTGCATCAAAGCAGTAGCCTTCCAACACTTCTTAGTAGCAATCTTCTTCTCAATAAAAGAATGCACCAGGTAGCTAAGTTGGCTCTACAGGATCAGTTCCCTCTTTAAAAAAGAAGAACTCCTAGCATCCTGCAAGTGAAAGTATGAAAGAGGAGGATGATGACTAATAAAATTAAGATGATAAACAGTCTTAGCAATCTGGGATGCGCAGCACTCCTCAATTTTTAGATTTAGAAAAGACTCTTCAATAGCAAAAACAATAATTATCTCAATAAGTCCTAAATTAATAATAGAATATATATAATCCATAAGGAAATACAAATATGATATAAAAGCGCAACCCTATGAGTGGTAGTGGAAGTGGAAGTTTGATGTCTGGATCCCTCTCATAATCTGGTTAACAACCAAATGGAATGATTCACACATCTTCATCACAAAGTATGCATCATCACCATCACCACCACCATCATCACTAAATGCACTCAATGAACCAAAATAATCCTTCCAATTAAAGTAATAATCCCGGCGGAATGAATAAAGGAATGAGCTCTTCTTCTTATTAGCCACAGCAATCACAATCTAAGCAGCATTACTATTCTAACAATAACAAGAATATTAACACTGGTAAAATTATATTTTTCATGCTTTTAAAAACAAACATTTATTTAGTTGAATTGTGTTAGAATAATTGTTCTCACAAAAGTGTATTTTTATTCAGCAAATCCGTGTATTCAATCTATTAAAAGAGTAGTTAGTTAGTTATTTAATCAATCTTATATACATAAAACAAACTAAAAAACATTCAAAATTTTATAAAATCCCAAAAATTTTAAATGTTTGCTGAGTAAGAAAACAAACATAAATTTTTTAATTTAAAACAAAAAATAATCAAAAAAGAAATTATTTAAGTAAAAAAATTTTTTTTAAGCTTTTAACAAACAAACAAGCAATTAATTTTTAAGCTAGAATAAATTATTAATTTATTATCTTTATATTATTTATTATTTCTCAAACTACTCTAATAATAATAATAATATAATCAATCCTTTCTAATTAATTTCAATCTATCAATTTAAAAACAGCCAGCACCTACTAAATTCACCAATGATTAAATCAATGTAATTAAAATAAATTTGAAGATAATGATGAATATGATGAAGATACTACTCAGCATGACCTTTCATCTCTTACTAATTAGAGCACTTATCCTAGCTAAAATACACCTCCCAACAATTATCGTTCGAACAATTAGAATTCTAATAGCTCTACTTTTCCTCATGAGTACCCACCTCCACAGCATAAGCATTTCAATTTTAACTCTTAAGCCAATTTAAATAGCTCATCTCAGCAGCAGTTACAGCAGTATCAAAGGTAGATTTCTTCTTAAAGCTTCTCAGAGCAAACAAATAATTTCAATTCTGTAAGCATAAATTAAAGAAATCCTTAATTCTAACAAAATCAATAAATACCTCCTCCTAAAGGCAATTAACCCTATACACATTAGCAAAGAAACGAATAAAATTATTAAGAAAGCAGGTATCCGGTTTAAAGATTTAGTTCTAATTCTGCTTCTAATTTATAATCAGATAATTAAATCAGTATACCTTATAGCAATTAACAGTAATAGTAATAAAATACACTTTCTTAAAAACCTAATTTCAGCTAAAGCATGATACAATAGAACTAGTCTAAAGAGTATATAGCATCAAATAGACCAGCATCTGGTAGTTTTTAAGGGGCATAGTAGTAATATATAAATAGTATAAAGTAATAGGAAAATAGTGGAATAGAAAACTACAACAATAGTTCTATAAATAGCTAGTACTATCAGCAATAGACATAGCAACTAATTTAAAGGAATTAAAATGCAATTAGAAATGATTCTTAAAGCAATCCTAGCATGGTTGGAAGAGATAGTTAAAGTAGTAATATAAATAGAAACTCCTACTAGACAAATTAATAGATTCAATTCAGAAAAGTTTGATAAATAAATAAAGATAAATTCTATCGATAAAGTAATTCATGTTCAATAAGAATAGTTAGCAAGTCTGATAGAATTCAAATCTGTATTTAAAGGTGTTAGAAAATAGTAAAACAAATCAATCAATAATGATAATGTAACTTTAAAGAAAGAATGATGCATAAAGTGGAGGCAAGTGGCAATCATAATTTATTTAGAAAGAGTTGTTGTATATTAGCAAAGGGAAAACAATATTATTATTCAATAAAAGCTGAACGGCTGAACCAAAAACATACAAACATAAATAAATAAATACCCATTAGTTAAAAATTATTGCTTAAATATTAGTTGTACGTAGGAAAACCTGTCTTTAAATAATTTCAATAATTTATCAATAAAAGAAACAGTAATATATAAAAATTTTAAAGTACAAAGGCACTCAATCTTTCTAATGAAAAAACTTCTGTTGCCAGAAGAATAAATAAATAAATATATAGGAAGGAAGGAATATTTTCATATAAAACTATTATCACTTATTTAATTGCTAATTCAAAAAGAAATTTATTAAATATAGAACTCTATTTTACAATATCCATAGATAATATAATTTTCTACATACAGCCAGTCTTTCAAGCAAGCAATCATAAGCAAATAGTAAAAGAAAAGAAAAGTAAATAATTTCAAGTGAAAGAGCAAGTGAGCAAACTACAAAAGAAAGAAGACTCAAATGATAAAATTATTGCAAACATAAAATATAAAAATAATATATAAAACATTTCAAAATTAAAAATCCTTTTAAATAAATATATTATAAAGCCTGTATTGATATTCATCGTCATATAATCATTATCTATCAAGAACTATATAAACCAAACAAACACTAATTGATGATTATCAAATCACCTAAAAAATAGTCATCAATCAATCAATCAATCAACACTTTTAATACCAATAAATAATAATATTAATAAATTATGTATAAAATGTATTAATATTATATAGTGTATATAATAATATTAAAGCATAAATTAATTAAAAATAAATAGATATCTTTCTCAGATTATCATTTTATTAAATAAAATTGATTCTTGTAATTCTTATTCTTGATCAATCTATCTATCTATCTAACTAACTAAGTTGGTAAAAAATAAGTATGCATCTTTCATTAATAATTACATCAAAATTATTTTATTATAGAACTGTACTGGATGAAATAGCTCTCAAGAAAGTATTTAGTTAAATTGAAGAAATTATTTACTAAATATCAATTAATGAGTGAGCCTCTCTTACATTCTTTAAATAATTTATATAATAAATATAAATATATTATAATTAATTTTTTATCTAATTTATCATTATTTAATTTAACAAACTATATTCTATACATATTCGATTCAAATTTCTATTTATTATAATATTATTTACCGCCAAGAATATTTTAAAATTACTTTAAAAGTTTTAAATGAAATTAAAGAACTTCTCAAACTAAAATTCAAAATTGATAAAATTTAAATTATAAATTATCAAATAGATAAATTATTTCTAAAATTTTTTTTAAATTAGTAAATGCTGTAAACATATGAAAAAAAATCTACGTATTTACTTAATAAACTAAAGAGAATTATTAAAAAATAAAATAAATAAAATTTTTATACACTTTATAAAAGTTAAAAAGAAAATGGATTGTTTGAATTTTTGATTTTCAATTAAAAAAAATTCAATATATTTTTGATAAAATAATTTTTTAATATTTGCTCCAAATTAAAATAAATATATTTTTTAAATAAATGAATACATTGATTGTTAAATAAATAAATTAATGAGTATTTTTTAATTGAAAATAAAATTAAATGTTCTGTAACTTTTAAGACCAAACCACTTAAGTCAAGTTAAAAATTTTAGAAATTAGACAGAATTGTAACGAATAATTTTTTTAACAGTTATTTTTAATAGATTAATCTATGAGTATATTAAAAATGTAATGTTTTAGAAAGAAAATTTTCAAAATAAAAAATAGATTATATACTTTTTAAAATTTGAGAAAAAAAGTTATAAATTTATTAAATTTGAATAACCAAGCTCATCGATCTAAGTGTAAAATGCAAATATATATTTTCAAATAAAACAATTCAGCAAAAATAAATTGTGTATTTATTTACTTTTCAAGTTTTTATTTATTAATTATTTTTATAAATAATGAGCTAACTAACTAACTAACTAGCTTAACTTTTTCTGTTAATTTTGAGGTGTTTGAGTGTTTATGAAAGTAGCAATTTAAATTGACTTATTTTCATTTTTTTTAGCAATTTCTTTATTTGAAATTTAAAAAATACTTAAATAAAATAAATAATTAAAACTTTTGTTTAACCTTTTTCCAACAATAAGTTATAAAATTATTAAAAAATTAGAGTTATTAACAATTTTTATTCAATTGTGAAATATAATTCTATTTAATGAATTTAAATTTTTTGTAAGCCAATTAATTAAATGCAAAAACTGAATATTTATATTTGAAAAACTAAAATACTTTATAGAGTATCTATGAATTTTAAATAGAACTTATTATAAAAGTGTTATTACACTTCAATTTATTTATTTTATAAGAATAAAAATAGGAATAGACTGCAGTAATTATAATTGATTTTTGTTTATTATTTTGCTAACTCCTATTTGATATAGAGATTATCTATGCAAAAACCTTTAAATTATATTTAATAAATTATTAAAAGCAAACAAGAACTATTTATTTAATTCAAGTACTCCAAGCATCAATTATATAAAAAACAATTATTATCATAAAATATCAAAAAAATACCTTTCTAAAAACCGAAAGCAAGTTTTTTTTTTCAAACACAATTTAACAAACTCTAATAGAAGTTATTATTGCAACCAGAAACAGTAACATTGAATAATTATATATAATTCTTTTTTGCATTTTATTAGCATTTTAAGATAAAATAATAGGTATTTGCTCTATATTTAAAATTTAAATATCAAAACTAGAGTCAATCAATCATCATCATCATCATTGCAAATAAAAATTAGAAAGATGAATAAAAATAAAGTAGCAGATCTCGCATCGATTTCCAAAATAAAAATTGATCAACCTTCAGCAGAAACTAAGAAAAAAGAAGAAATCAAAAAGAAGTAGAAATAAGGCTTGATAAGTCAAGAAATGGCAATCGAGTAGTTGAGAAGCAAGAATTCTTCATCAGAGAACGATGGATTAGCACCAGGTTCACCAGCAAGGAAGTTACAGAATTAGTAGTCACAAGATACATTAAATATGACAAATCCACCTTCATAACCTCCTAAGCAAAAGAAGAAGATGAAAGGAATATTAGTGTAAGAAGACACGACAAAGAGAAATGTGAAGACTTAATCTCCTCTAAACACAGACCAACATGGAGAAGAAAGAAAAGATCACTTTGGAGTAGTGATTTCAAAGGGAACAAACAAAAATCATAGAATTTACTTTAACCCCCAGATATAAGAGGTTTATGAAGTGGAGAATTGGAAAGAATATAATATAGAAGAAAAGTATGGTTTATGTTCATGTAAATGTAATACCTTTTAAATGACTTTACTCACCATCCTTGCAATGTGAGTAATGTGGCTTCTTTTCCCTTGCAAGCTTTTGACCATTAATTAATTACTTTTTTCATCTCTTCTTTTTAATTCCATTTATTTTCTTTATACTTTCTTTCTACAATTCTTTTAAATTCATTTTATTTTTTAGTTCTTTTTTTTTCTTCTGTCTTTCATTTTTTCTTTTTTTAATTATTTTCTTTTTTCATCTTTTTTATTTATGCCATTTCATTTCATTTAATTTTTCTTTCTTTTTATTTACATTCTTAATACTTATTTTCAGCTAATTTTAAGTAAAGGCCTGCAAATAAAGTCAACTATCAATCAATCTATCTATCTTTCTTTCTTTCTAATCTCTAGTAGATTTCAAAAGCAATAAAATTCAAATATCTTTTGCTAAGTTATAGTAAATAAATTAAAACTGGAGCTTTTAATTATTTTGAAGGTATTCTTGCAAGCAAACAAATTGTTTTTTATTTAAGCCAGTAATTTCCTTTTATATTTTAAGATTAATAAATAAAAAAATTTATTTATAAAAAATGATTAAATTAACTAACTGTATAAATTTAATAGCTGTGTAAAATATTTCATATTTGTAACTTTATTTATTTAAAATATCAAAATTACAAACTATCTCTTAAATTTATTTATGAAATAATTAATTTTTTCAATTTATTTTTCAGTAAACACAAAATTCTATTAATTTTTTGATTGCTTTAAAAAATAAACTTTTTTTAATTTGCATGTAAAAATTTAGTTATTATAAAAATATTAGATTAAATTTTTTAAAAGGATGTTTATAAATATAATACGAACAAATTTTACTGATTTATTTTTTTTAAATTTGATAGATTGATGATTGGCTAATTTAAATAATAAACTTTTTTCTAATGAATGAAAGAACGAAAATATGTTATTTTAGATTATTTGTTTTTAAATAAAATTTCAGGAAGAAAAACAGCTTTTTAATAATACTTCATCATTCAACATTTAAAAAAAATAAAAATTGGACAAATTATAATACATATTTAACATAAACTTTTTACTGCTTTAAAAAAAAATTTATGTTTGTTGATATTAATTAATTTTTTAAATAACATAAAAAATTAATAAAAAGAATTACTTATGAAAATCCTACATTTGATATTTTTAATTATTTTAGTTTAAACTACATTAACTCAAAGCTAATAAGCTGTCTCAAAGCATAGCGACCTTAGTGAGTGTTTCTTAGCTGACTCTTTCATGAATTTTATTGATTTTGTACTCACAAATAGTACTCAAGAGGAAATGTCAATCAATTTGCAATTCACTATTTATAGGTTCTACTCTTCTTGTTATGACTTAGAAGTTTACTTTGAAAAAGGATAAGATAAGTTTAAGATGAAACAACTCTATAACCTTTAATAAGATGGAACATAATACTTACCAGTCAACGTATTTTTAGAATTTCCTGTTTATGAAATCTAATCAATATGTAATCCAGACGAATATTCCTAATACATCAACTATTGCTCTCTTATTTTTAAAATACTAAGAAAGGGTACTTAGGATGAAGTAGCGTAATCTAAAATAATTTTAGAAACTGTCTATAACTAGTACTCTTACATACGCTACATTTCTTGGGTAAGAGTAGCTGATACAGAATAAAGATTGACATAGTTTCGAAACTCATAAAAATATTAATCGATTTAATAACCTTAGAATAATTTAGTTATCACTGCCTCATAATATTAACCCCTCAAGCAAGATCCTTACTACCCAATAAAAGTGGCATTTTTTATAGATAATTTACCAAACATCCAAACTACAGTAAAGTATGACCCAGATTCTCTGATTTACAAGAGCTTTATCTAGCAAAAATATATTAAAATTAAATTTGAGAATTATCCTACTCTTTACATTTTAAAAGCTTAAGTAGGACTTACCTATAATATAAATTCTACAGAATTTACTCAAAGAAATTCTACTCTTATTACTTTAAAAGATAATGCTCTTTCAATCAACTTCTAAAATTCTTTTGAGATAGTGCAAGAAATCTTGCTATAAGGTATAATTGTTATTAGTTATAAATTCATTTATTAATTTTTTGTTTATAGATAAAGTAGTGACCATTAAGATGTTCTTGAGAATAAAGCTTGTCTTAGATAGTTATTTCTTAATTGAGAGGCTTCCTTTTTATGACGAGATTTTGCCCTAAGAAAAGCCAGAAGATTCTTAAGCATTAATAATTTTGAAAGAATATTATGGATTCTTAGTGGTTTTTGCCATTGTGTTAGCTTTCTTTTTGGTTTCAATCTTTATCATTAAAAAAATTTAAAAAAATTAAAGTATTCTAAAAAATACTGGTTTTATTAGATAAAATTCTGATGAAGAAAACAGTCCTTACAATATAAATGTTAACTTATAAATGAGTTAATCTGATGAAATAAAAATATGATTTTGAAAAATAATCTAACCAATAAATCAACAACTATAATCAATCTATAAACTTAAAAAATTTCTGAACCGCTAATCAAATTTTATTAAATTATTAAAAAATATCACTTTACTTCTTTATATATTACATTTTCAGTTAATTTACTTTTAATATTTGTTACTAATTTATTATCCAAAATTGATAATTAATTATCAGCCAGTTCAATAATAGCTTGAAATTAATTTCTTATTGAAATTTTTATCAAATCTAATTGAAATTTTTATTAAATCTAATTAATATTTTTAAAAATTTTATTACAAGAAAAATAGACAAATAAATATTTTTAATAATAATTTTTAAATTTAAATAAGTAAAGATAACAAAAAAAATAAATATTTAAAATAATTTTAAAATAATCTAAAAAATGTACCAAAAAAAAAAAATATATTTAAATTAGAATCTTTTGATTTTTTGTTATAAATTTTTAAATTAAAAAGAAAAGATGAAGTTTTGGAATTAAAAAAATTCTAATTACTTACTAATTTATCAAATTAAGCAAAAAATAAAATAAAAAAACTTATTTTATATTATTAAAAATTTTAGCATTTGCTTAACTGTGATCTTCAAAGTTTTTAACAGAATGATTGAAATAGAAAATAAACTTTTTATAAGAATCAAAATAAATTTTCAAAAATAATAGTTACTATAATAAAAATGCTACTACTGAATATTTGTGGTTGTTTATATATTTTCCTCATTCGTTTAAAATTTTTAGGAAAATTCAAAATGCTTAGAATTATTTTTAGGATCAGTGATTTAGAGGGGAATAATTATCAGTGAAGAATTACCTTCAAAAGACATTAATTTTTATTATTTAAAATGCAAAATAAAAATAAAAATTTTTATTGTTTGAGAAAGATTCAGTGAAATCGTTGAGTGTTATATCTTTTAAATGAATTCTTAAATTGAAAAGACAGTAAACAATCTAAAAAGAATACAATTTTTTAGCTGATTAAGAAAAAAGCATATAGCATAGCAAAAAAAATAGGTGGGAAACAAAAAAGCAAAGTTAGAAATTAATCTGTAGAAATATTCAATTAAATATTGCATTTGATTATAATAAATATGTAGATAGATAGATAGTTACGCTTAGTAATTTAATATATAAATTTGTAAGATTCTTTTTGTAAATTTAATTAAATTAATAAATAAGAAATAATTAAAAGAAATGAGTTTATAGCCAACTTAGTCTTCGAGATTATCAAACCTAAGTTAAAGTCGTAAAATCATAAAAACTTAGAGATCGGTTACTTACAAAACTATCAATCCAACAGATAAAATGTCTTAGTCTTTAGAGCCTGAGACTTATGTATCTCCCAAATCTGTAAAAAAATTATTTAAACATAAAAATAATACTGAACGAACTAGCCAAGTCTCCAATAAAATTTTCTAATTTTTAAATAAAATAGCAACCATCAGTGCCATAGTTAAAAATAAATTCTCAAATGAGTCTCACTCCAGGATCTTCCAAGATGGGTGATAGTCAAATAAAAGATTAACAACAGTAAATGAACTCAAATACTAGTTTTTAAAATCGCTATCCAGAATCTTAATAGAATCTTAGAAATTAAGATGCCCAAAGTTTCGTTTCCAATTAAGGCATTAATAATAATACCAAAAAAAGAAGTGAAATGCATATTCTCACTCCTAAGGATTTCTCATAAAACTAATCCTTTGTTTCCTCAGCAGTATTTTAAATAAATTCTACAATACCAATCTCTCAACAAGGTAATTTATTATATTTAAAATCTATGCATTTATTTTAAACTATAAAACTGTTTAATTTCAAAAAGTATATTTTGAATTAATTTATCAATATAAAAAGGGTATATTTAAAATGCAAGATAAAATACTTAGCCTATTCAATCCTAGCAAGTATAGTCAGTAATAACATATCAAAGAGCACCAATTTCAAATTAGCAATAACCTCAATAGGTATAATACTTTAACAAATAATTATTTTTTATAATTAAAATAAGATAAATTTATATTAAATAAATAAATACAAAACGTTTTAACTTAAGTAGAAAATTGAAAAAATAAATAATAAATTTATGATATGAAATATATTTAAATTAGATAAGCAATATTAAACATAATTTATTTTATTCTTTACAAAATTATAGCAAGAAGTAGTAGTTTAATAGCAGAAAGGAGTGTAAGTAGATGCATCTTTAGCAAATAGATAAGTTACTGATAGTTCAATATAAAATAATTCAAGTATAGTTTAATCTCCTCATGAAAGCAGATAAAATATTAGGAGTTCATAAAGTCTTTAGCCTTCATAGCCTATATATATAGCATAGTAATTTTAAGCTACTCAAAACAGACCATATAAATTTAATATCCCTTTAGAGAAGGCCTAAAATATGTAGTATTAAAACTAAGCTATCAATACTCCATTGCAAAGCGATAGATCTATCCCAGCATCAAAACCTGGAATCAGTGAAAATAGATTGAAAAGCTAACAAAGTTTGTAAGCTACAGTCCTGCCTGACACAAAGCAAGAATAAATAGGTGCTGCTACTAACTAAACTAAAGCATAAGAAAGTATTTATAGCTAGCAAACAAATATTCAAGAGAAAGCTAATTTAAGAGGCGAATCAGCTCCTCCATACCCAATTAATTATTCAGCTATGACTTCATTAGCTTCTTCATTTTAGCCTTCACACTAGATTTCTTAAAATAACTATTTATTATAAAGTAATAATGATATGTATTTAGTGAATAATAACTTGAATACCTCAGTTTTCAATGTAGTTGTAAATGATTAAGATGGGCTAGTAGATTAAATTGTAAATTTTAATATTTTTGAAATCTCTTTTAAATTTTTAGCTTTTATATTAAATAAATTCTTTATAAAATAGAAAAGAGGTAGAATTGAAAGTTAGCAATAAAATTCAGTCAGCAAAAATTAGTCTCCTGACACTAAAAAAGGTATTTAAAACTCTGCCTTCATAGATTATAGCTACAAAAAATCAATTACTGACAAAGTTTTAGCAATTTAAGTTTAACAAACTAAATTATAATTCGATGAAATTCCATTATCAGAAATTATAGGAAGACCTCCTTTATATGAACAGTAACCAATTCACAAAATTGTAGACAAGCCAATTTAAAATGAATAAAAAGATATTCTTCCTGTTTCTTCTCCCTAATTCGGATCCTTATCGATCCCTCCTTAAAATCAAAATATTTAAGTTTCCTAGGTTCCTTAAGTAATTGATGAGATAAAAATGGGAGTGTCTTCTTTTTCTAATGCATAATAGGTTGATAAAAATTATGAGTCCCTGCAAAAAGAAAATAAAGAAACTTCATAAATAGCTGATGTTGGTAAATCAGATAAAATAGCTGCTTTGTAAGAAGTTAAATTAGAAAGTATTATTTAGGCTCAAAATATTACAAGTAAATAAATAAATTTGTTTCTTTATTCATTAAAATATTTAACTTATTTTTATTTTTGTAAAGTTTCAGAACTTAGCTAAACAAACAAAAGAAGTAGTAACAGGTCAAGTACAGTTGATCCCTTAGCTTAAAAAAAGGAGGGATCATTTACACCTTCTCAGGCCAAATTGCTAGAAGAGTTAAAATAAGAACAAAAAGTGAGAGAAAGTGTATACAGGGATAAAAGTTAAATTGATATTAGCTCTAAGATATTAGTAGTTGATTAAAGTAATACAAAAGAAACATCTGCATCAGGACGTAGTATAAGCAGCGATCCGTATAAAGGATTAAATAGCTTCTCATAAAAGTATGATGGCATTGTTGGTCAATAACTTGAACAAACTTTTATTAAAGATCAAAAATTTATTGGAAATGATTTAGTTAAAAATTATTTAAATTTTGGAGTTCCTTCATAAATGGTTAGTAGTGTTTACTAAAATTAAAATACTTAAGATGCCACAAAATAAATCAATAGTGATGTTTCATAAGAAGAAACTGTAAAAAAGACATCTAAAAACAAAGAAGAGAAAGTAGAATAAATAATCCCTGTTTAAATTCCTATTGATAATTAATCTACTACAGCTAATTCTTTTGCTTAAAATCCTTCTAATTATTTATTAAATAATAATATTTAAGTATATGCAACTTAAATATCTTCTTTAAATAATCCCATTTTAAGCACAACTAATAATTCTAACGGCAATACTATTCCTATCAATAATACTAATCCAAGCAACAATAATCCAATTCCTGTTGAAAACTCATTTGCTAATAATAATGGCACATCTAACAATATTAGCATAGCTAACAATCCATCTAATAACTCTACCTCAAATTTCGTTTCAAATTACATTTCTAATCTAACAGGGCAGTAAAATGGAATAAGTGAAGGTGCAAACTCTGCAATTAATGCTATAAATAGCACTTTTAATTAATAGTATAGCAGTTTAAGTAGTAACTATTAAGTATAAAATAATACATAAGCTAGTAAACCAGTAATTGATTTATCTTCTATGTCAACAGAAGATTATATAAAATACAAACAAACATAATTTTTGGAAGAGTAAAGATCTAAAAGTGAGTAGCCAAATAAATAATTATTAACTGAGTTTAGAAATCCAGAATAAATTACTACAACTGTTACAACCTTTACTACATATAAAGTTTAGTCACCAGCTTTATTAAATTAAGTAAACACTAGATCATCCTCAAATATTATTTCTTCTATACCATAATATGACAGCTATAAACCTATAAATCAAAATAATAATAATACAAAAGGTTCGCAATATATTGCTTCTTCGTCTATAACCAATTAATTTGATAGTTTCAAACCTACAACTTAATAATTAACTTAATTTGAAAGTAAAACCAATTAAAATAGTGATGTAACTTAATAAAATTATACTCCAAATCCCCTAGTAACTTCATATTAATAAACATCATTTATTCAAAATAATGTTTCAGCCAAATTACCTGACAATGATCAAAAAACTGACTAAATTTAGACATTTGAAAGATAAAACTTACACAAAGAAAAGTTACACAGTAGATAAAACAGTGATGAAGACGTAAAGAAGGCTTCTAAAAATTAAGAAATATAATAATCATAGAGTTTAAGTAACTATCCATAATTAAATAACAATAACAGTTTTGGAATATAAAAAATATAAAATGATGAAAACTAAAAACAAGTTAAGGAATTAGTTGAAGAAAAAAGAAAGCTTAGAGAAGTAAAATCTGTGGATCATTTGATGGTTTAAAGAAGATTTGTAGATCCTTAGATCGAAGAAGAAGTTAAGGGTTGGGTGAATCCTATTTTTGAAGAGTTCATAAGAAAAAACTTTAGTGGAGGTAATTACAATGAAAAAGATATCCAAGAGTTTATTAAAAGATCTAAATCAGAGATTGGATTGGGTGCTAACAATAGCATTTCTTCTATTTATATAGAAGAACAGCTTAAATAGTTAATTGAATAATAAAAAAAACTGATAGATCAATAAAATGTTTAAATTACATTACAAAATGAAGTATAAAAAAGTTAATTATTTGCTAATTCTCACATGTCATCCCCTCATATTTATGCTAATAAGTATAATGAAAATATTCTCTTATAAAACTAGCTAAATAATTCCAACACGAAATCTAATTCTTAGTTGCTTGGCACTCTATCTAGTGATAATTAACTTCATCATTAGTCTAACTTGAACTTACAAAACATAGCATAGCTGAATTAATACTAAACATCATACCAAAATCATAAGAATTCAAATGTTTCACCTCTTTCTCAAAATTCTTCTGCATTTCATCCTTTCAATTCGTAGCCTTATAAAAGTGCAAATCCTTCCAATTTTAATGGGTAAGACTTAAGATTTTATATGAACTCCTCTGTGGCTGGGTCTACAACCACAGATAATCACCATAGAATAGTTTCATGCTTTGACTAGGTAGTAGAATAATAAAATATCCCGATAGATTATAACCTTACTTAATCAGGGCTTCATGATGATATTAATAAAAGCGACTTGAAGAATCAACAAAATATATTTACAACTCATTAATCTATCAGTCCTGTAAATGCTGTACACAAAGAAGCAAGTCTATCATAGAGAAATTTCTTACAAAATTCGTCACCATTTACCCCTAATCAACAATAATAAAATCCCCTTGGTTCAATTAATTCAATATTAAAAGAGAATAGTAATAAACTCTGTGCTACAGCTTAAAGTGAGCAAGATAATAGATAGAATCTTTAGCTAGATAATATCAATCCTAATGATGAAGAATTGCTTATTGAAGATCTTACTCCATTCAATAATAAAAGGTAAACAATAGAAAGGTAAGAAGAAGCTAAATAATAACTACATGGAGGTGAGATTAATTAGGAAAACATAGAAGGAGATTAAAAATATTCTTAAACATTTTAGTCTTTTAATAAAAATTAAAATGCTGATTGTAATTCCTCTTAAGAAGCAGGAACTATGCGTGGTAATACAGACCGTTAAAGCTCAAGGATTTAGCACAGCTAAAGTATGAAGACAGATTAAGGATGCGAAGATGCAGAAGATGAATATGAAAATATACCAAAATACTTCAGTGAAAATAATAGTGTGAGAGATAACAGAGAGTCTAATTACTCAGTTAATTAAAATAAATAGTCGAAATTCTAGTAAAACAGAGCTGACGATTCGTATAGCTCCTCATCTCCAAATCTCAGTGATAGAGAAGAAATGGTGCAAGTAGACGAAATCCAAACTTAAGAAAAGAAAGTAAAAAAATCAGCTAATAAAGGGGGGAAAAAAATAATGAACATGAGTAATGATGGAAAGATAACAGAAGAGAGCTATAGTAATAAAAATGATGGATCATAGCTTACGTCATTGAATATTAATCTTTACAAATTATAAAACCAATAAGATAATTTTATAGTCGGAGAATATACACCACAAAACAATTAAGAAAATGAATCCCACTAATCCTTACCTGAGTAGAATGCTTCACCATCTCCTAAATCAAGATAATAAAATTAAGAAAACATTTATTAAACTCCTAATGAAAAATAGAAAGATAACGAAAAAGAAGATGATGATGATATTTTAGAGGAAGCTGAAGAAAATCAAACGTAAGAAAATAATTTAAAGATTGCAGATATTTTAGATGAATAAAGTGGTCATAATGAGGAAGATAGATCTTAAGAAAATTAAAAATTAAGAATAAGTATTTAAGATGCTATCCCTCTTGAGAAAGTAGAAGAAGTAGATCAAGAATATCATAAAGAAGCACCTAATAATATCTCAGATAAGAAAATACCTAAAAAAAACAAATCTGAAGTTTAATTACAGCAATCTTAACTTTCAAAAAAGCCAAATATTCCAAGATCTTCTTCCTCTTTAGCTATTCAAAAATCAGGAAGCAGTTTGTCATTATCAAAAATATTAAGAAAATCAGAATTATCTTAATCAAGCGAATCCAACTTAACTGCAAGCGAATTCATAAAAAGAAGTAAGTAAAATTTAGAATAGAAAAGGAAAGAAAGCAAGGAGAGCTAAGATTCTGGAACATTTATAGTGTTTTAAGATATTCAGTAGCATGTTTAAGATAAAATATAAAAATATAACCAAAAAAAGGTGCAATAAAATAACTTTAAGCAAGACACCATCATTGAAGATCTATAATCATCCAGAAGCAATAATAATTCTGCATAAAAAGATTAATAGGAAATTCAAAAATAAAAAGCAAAGTAACTTATTCTAAATGAAGATCTTTAAAAAACGCCTCAGAATATTTTTAATATTCTGAATAACAAAGCATCATCACTTAAAAAAAGAAGTACAGAAAAGCAATGTAATTTTTTTAATAATTAAATTAATTTGGTTTAAAAATATTAATTAAATAAATAATAGCTCCGAATTCAATTAGAACACCTTAAAAATTTGAATAAAATTCTGGTATTAAGATTGATTTCTAAAAGATTAAATCAGGTTCAAAAGAGGAGATAACATCATCGAATAATAAAGAAGAGTTGAAAAATTCTTCTTTTAAATAAAAGGGTGAAGTATTGAAAGTCCAGCTAAAATCCCATAAAGAATTAGGAATTGGTTCTAAATCTCCTAAAGATACTGTTAAATAGTAAGATAAAAAAAAGCAAGTTAAAGCTGATAAAACTTCAGTTTTTAATATATCCTAAAGCACTGTTAAATCTCCAAATTAATCTTAGATTCAAAGTCCATAGTCTGAGTCGCTAAAGGCTACCATCAAAAAACTGTAAGAAGGAGGAGAAGAATTCAATCTTAATAAAAATGCTAAATAAACTAAAAAGAAAGAAAAATAATAAGAATAGAAAGTATTTATCCTTCACAAGAATTAAACTTTTGAAGCTAGTTAGTCAAATACTTAAAAACCTATTTCTCGCCATAACACAGATTAGCCAATAGAATCTAAATCTTCTTAATTTAAGAAACTTACAGATTCTGATAGAAAAAATTCTCCTTCCTACAAAATTACTCTTTCTACCTAAGGAACTTCTGATAGAAGTAAATAAATAAATAATTTTATTTTATTAATTTATTTTTAAAATTTCAGATTCTTTTAAATTAAAAAATTCTATTAAAAAGATAAAATTTCGATAACTCCAGTTACTTAGAATACCCAAACTAAAGTAAAAAGTGTTTAGAAAGAATAAAGCTAACCATTGTAAGTTAAAATAAGTGGTAAAAACATTACTAAAGAATAATAAAATCTCTAGACTTCATAAAATTAAAAGTTTGCTTCTTCATCTACTTTAAATGATAATGACTAGAATACACTCAATCTTTACTAAAGATATCAAGAAAAGAAAATTTAAGATAAGGAGCTTTCCACTAGTCAAGTATTCTAAAGAAAAAAATCAATTAATAGCAACTAAAATAGCAATCAAAATATAAATGTATCTTAGACTAATTAAGAATAAGAATACTAAACATCACAATCATTAAAGTCTCCAGAGAATATTTACCAATAAAACTAGAATTTAAGATTCCAATAATAATAATACTTAAATAATTAGACTAAACAGATAGATCATGAATAAAACGCTAATCAAAATTAGCAAAGCTAAATTCAATCATAAAAACAGCAACCTATTTACTCTAGCTCAAAACAATCTGAAAGCCCTCTCTAGTTAAAAAATCAAAGCCAACTCTAAGCATACAAATAAAAGTAAAAAGAATAACTGGAAAAAATTGAAAGTAAACTATAACAAGAAGAATAAGAGTATTAGGTATTAATTAATTCATAGACCTAACCTACTATCGATGCAACGTAAAAAAACTAATCTTATTCATCAATTTATTATTTCAGCTTCCTCAACTTTAAAATTTATTCAGTTTAATTTATAAAATTCTTTTTTTTGATTTTTTTTTTAACTTAAACTAAATCAAACTTAATTTTTATTAATTTTTCTGATAATTTTTTGTTAAAAATATTTTTTTACATTACTATTAGAATTATGAAATCTGGAAAACATTTATCTCCTTCGCAGTCTGAATAATCAGCTTCATAGACAGTAAATAGACTTTTTACAAGCAATCCCACACTCAATACAAACAAAAATTTGGCTACTAATATTTCACAACAATAAATGTAAAGCTAAAGCTCCTACTCAAATAACTTAAATTCTCATGAAGTAAACTATACTCAGGATTATGAAGATTATCTTTACTAGGAGTATATTAAGGACCAAAGGGAGTTAATGATTTAAAAAAATATTCAAGAAGGAATAAACTCTGGTTAGCTCACAGAAGAATAACAAAAATATTTGCAAGAACTAGAATAAGAAAACAGGTAATTTTTTATGTTATTTTTCATTTAGATTTTTTATTTCTTTAGTTAAAAAAAATATGTTTTCTTAAAATATTAAAAAATTCCTCAAAATTTATTTTAAAACTTTAAAAGTGTCGTTTAAATTTTAAATTATTGTAAATTAAATAATTAAGAATGAAATTTTAAGAATTCATGAAGAGAAATGTTGAATGGGTTTAGGAAAAGGAAAGAAAAATAAGAGAATGGTAATAATAAAAAGCTAACTTAGAAATGCAAGAATGCACTTTTAAACCTTTGATAAACTCTCAAAGCTCTTTGGATAACAACAAGCCTGTCTACGTACCATCTACAAAAAGCAGCAGATTGCTAGAAGAGTAGAATAAATTAAAAATAAACTCCTAACAGAATAGTGTAAATACATTTTTAGTATCATATTAGATTTAACTTCAAAATTTGATAAATTAAATAGATTAACTAAATATCTTCTCAGAAATCTATAAAGAAGAGTCTCTAAGCAAGCAGAGTAGGTTCTAACACTTAAATATAAGATCCTAATGTATCAAGAAAATTTTCGAATCACTCCTCTAATAAGATGGTAGTTGGTATCTACTAACAAAACTCTCCTCCTAGTGCAAACAGTTTTGCAAACTAATACGATAGAAGCACCTTATAAAAATAAGGGTAATTAAAACTAAAGTATTATTATTATTTATTTATTTTAATTTATTTAAATAGAACTGCTGATTTAAAGTAAGATATAGAAGATGTTCTAGGCATTTTAAAGAATCTATCAAAACCTTAGTGAATTGTACAATATTTGCTTTGACAAATGTATCAAAATAAAAAATAATTATATCTATTTTTAGAAATAAAAAATATAATAAATACAAACTATATATTACTTATATACATACTTGAATAATATCAAGTCTGTGCACTATTCATTAATTATTTATATTGTCTTCAAATAAATACTTTATTAATAAATAGATTTTTTTACAAAGCTTTTATGTTTATTTAAAGTTTGGTTATAAACTTTTCTTCTAAACTAAAGTGGTCACTAAAAAAGACTTGTATTAAATTATTTCAATCATATACAATAGTAACTCAAAGCATTTATCTATAGTTTTTACAAACAATTAGGTGCAATCTTGTAATTTTATTGAATAAATCATTTAAAAAAATAATATTTTTATCTATAATATCTCAATATATGGAACCTTCTAAAGAATTTAGAAATATTTATGAAAAGTAAGAAAGATTACATAATAACCTATGAGTCTTAATTTTTAAATTTGTAATTAAATAAACCAAACAAAATATCTGATAGCATATGTACAAAACTTTTTTTATCTCTGTTACTTAACATTATTGACTTTACCGACATTAATTTATACTTCCATTTATAATAAATTTGCTTTAAATAGCATCATAAAGAAAGAATGTATGGTTATCTTTTTTTAACAAAATTTATTGCAGCAAATAATAGCCAAGCAAAATATTAATGATATCTTTTAAGAATTAGTTGACCAACAAATAAATTTATAAATTTTCAATGGAAAGAATTTTTATTTTTGTATGCTTTCTTTAAATGATTGGAAATAAATCAGTATTTCATAAAATAAATTGTCAGAGTTACAAAGATACTCATATTGAATTTTTAATTATTGGAGCAGTAAAAAATTATGATTTAAGAAAATTAGAAAGATTTTGTGCCAGATGGAAAGATTATTTATGGATAAAAAGAAAGGAATAATTTTTAATTAAGATTTATTGTTGGGGAAAACAAAAAAAATAGATGAATTTTTTCATTCATTTGCTCATTAATAATAATTATCCCCAGCGAATAGAAAAGATTGCAGTGCATTTTTCAATTGATTGATGCTTGCTTGTTAATTTAGTTTGAATAATTTAATAATGATAAATTTTAGTGAATTCTAATCAATATCATTTATACAAATGATATTATCTATTTGTCAAAATTCATTAATTTTGAAGATCTTTAGTTATTTTAAAGCAGGCCAGTCAAAATCAAGATCAATTTAGATAAATAAAATTTTATTTGCATCAATAATTATCAAGCAATAATAAAAAATAAATAAACCTACAAAAATTACTTTTTAGATTTTGAAGAAGAAAAATAAATGTTATAATATCGCACTTTGAACAGGTTATCTAACTTAATTTAGGCCGTTGCAGAAGGTGAATAGAAGACTGAAGTTATTCGTTAAGTCCTCGCTGAGCAAAGACACTTTGAGCCTTAATCCGCTTTCCGTAGACTCGACCAAACTAAGACTGGCTAACTCTCTGCCACTGATTTAATTGACTTCTTAGAACAAAACAAAATTTTGGTCAGCCACAAAGAAGCTATTTAACTCCTTCGCATCCTTGATCTTAATGGTGATGGTCGTGTCACTTATGCAGAGTAATTAAATATTTTCAATTTCATAAATGAACTCTCCTTTCAAAATCTCTATTGCTTTATTTATCAAGAAAATTAATTAATTTTTTTCTTAAAAATAGTTTTGCAGAAAGCATTTTGCCTTAAGAAGATGCCAGACTCAAGTAAATTGCCAATTTAAGAGAAGGCTATTACTTAGAAGATGGTGAAAGTTTACCGTAAATTAAATAGTTTCCTTTGTTTTTACTAAATTAAATACTCAGTATTTGCATTAAATTTTATTTTGCAATTCAAATAGTTATGAAGCTGAATGGTCTCTCGCCAGAGTCCTTGAATAGGAAGTCAAGAATTATAGAAATATAGAATCATTGAAGGACATCTTGTGCAGTTCTTACGATTTCAACAAGCTTGATTTATTCAATGCTATTGATGATGTCCGCACTGGCTCCCTTACAATCTCTGCGTAATTTTTTTATAACTTATTTAATTAGAAATTCAGAATAAAAACTTTTTAAAAAGACTAAGATGAAATGTTTTATTTAGCATTACTTAACTAATTAGCCATTAAATATGAAAAAATTAACATTTTTTTAAAGCAGATAAAATAAATTTTTAGTTATTTTATGATTGAATGCAAAAAAAATGATAATTTAACTGAATTTTATATAAATAGCGTTGATGAATTTATGAGATCTCAAGGTAAAGTATTGAGCCAAGATTAATTACTTGCTTTCTTCAGAAGAGTTAGCAACACTAACGTTATTAGCTATCCTCAATTCGTAGAAATCATTACTCCTGTTGAACCCTCTCCTTCTTACATTGCTAACAGCTCACGTCTTGGTTCTTCTTCTCGTGGTTTCAGACAATCTAACTTAAACAGTAAATTTTTTATAGAAAAATTTAATTGAAACTATAAAAATTACTCCTTTTTCAATTTTTATAGGAAGCATTTATAACACTCCATCAAGATTGACTTCTAGCAAAGCTTTCTAAGATGCTGAAAAGGACATCGGATATCAAGACTATCTTGCAAGATCTGCTAGCTTAGAAAAGCTTAGAAACAGTCACTACTCACCTGCTAGAAGATCTAACTATGGCTCTCCTGTTAGATATACCACCTAATAAAGATCTCCTTACCATACTCCCAGCAAAGACCTTGCTCTTACCCAAAGCATGTACGGAAGTGCTTCAAAGGGATTCCACTAAACAGCCACTTCTAACCTTAACATTTCTAAATCACCTATGAGAGGAAATGAAGAAGAACACCTTGTCAGAGCCTTGAAAGAATAAATTGTACTTGATAGAGATGTAGAAGAATTGAAGAATCAATTATCTTTTAGACACGACTTCAATGCTGAAGATGCCTTCAGAATTTTCGACAAGAAAGCAAGAGGATACATTTCTAAATTTGAATTTGAACTTTCTCTTAACGACATCGGTAATAAAAATTATTTTAATAAATTAGAATAATCTAGCTAGAATTAAGCTAACAAATAGATTACAAAATAAAATTCAAACAAGTAAACCTGTAGAAAATAAAAATTAAATTATAAATAGGTATCTACCCAACCAAGGACGAGTTACACTTATTCTACAAGAGATATGATAGAGATAATGATGGATTATTAAAATTCAGCGATTTCTCTGAATTAGTTACACCTGCTAGCATTGAATATGCTGCCTTGAGCAAGAGCAGAGTTCCAAACTATCTCAATCCCGATGATGGTTTGATTAATTTCTCTCTTGAAACCAGAAGACTTTACAAAAAACTTTTGAATAAGATTTTCCAAGCTGAAATCGAAGCTGAATATATCCGTTAAAAGCTTTCCAGAAGACCTTTGTTTTCTTTATACGATGCATTTTTGGCTATTGATAACCTTGAAAATGGCTTCATCACTCTTAATGATTTTAAGGCTATCCTCTAAGATTATGGTATTTTTGTCTCTACAAATGACTTATAAACTCTAATCAAGAGATACGATAAGAACCAAGACAATAGAGTCACTTTCCCTGAATTTATGAATGAACTTACTCCTAAATCTCCTGTTAAGCAATTTTGAAATTATGAGCTAACAACTAATAACCTATACTTAATGAATACTTTGATAATAATATTTGTGAAATAATTTAATAATTGTTCCATTCAATAATATCCATTTATATGTTTTTGTCGTCAATATTATCAGATTGATTTATATTAATTTTATTAGAAACTTCAATTATTAAAAATAAATGATTTAACTAACAAATCAGCTTTAATAAAATATAGATCCAGCTAATAATAAACATTAAAATTTTAAAAATAAAAGAAGTTTATTTTCTAAATTTTATTGAATGCTATAAATTCATAAATAATACAAAATAAATCTTATTTTCTAAAAACCAATTTAAAATTTACAAATAAGCTTAATAACTTGATTTTAAATTTATAAAAATGTATATTGAAGCTAACAAACAAGCAAAAAAGCTATAATGTCAATTAAAAATAATTCTAAGATTTACATTTATAGATTTTTAATATTTTAAGCTTTATCTAATTTTAAAATAAATATAGATAAAATATATCGGCTACTCTCTAAGTTAAGGTCGAATTAAATTAAATCAAAACAAATTTTAAGGTTACAAAAAATTAAGTTCAGAATCTTTGTATAAAATTATTTTTTATTTCCTTAACTTAGAGGATTATAGGTATTTAAAAATTGTTTCAATATAAACTTAAATTAATAGATACTAACATAAAAATAAATAAGAAGTTTTATAAAAATGAATTTTCAAGATAAACAAAAAATATTCTATTATTTATCAATAATAATTATTTAAAATTTAAAAATATTTATTTCAAGTTAAATTATTTTATTTTAAGATTTTTACACAACCAAATTTAATATTACAAGCAAGTGTTAGATAAAATTTATATTTATTTACAAAGCTTTTAACAAATGACAAAATAATTGCTAAAATTTATGAATAACTATTTAAAACTTGCACATTTTATATTTAGTAATTTATTTAATTTAACATTTTTACATACTTTTGATGTAGCAGATAAATTAAGATTTAGTATATTTTTATCAACATTTTATTAATGTTTTGTAGAGCTGATTGGGAATTATTTATTTTATTTCAAGTTTAAAAGTAAAATATTTGTATTGCTAATTAAAATATATTTTGATTCATTAATTTATTATCAAGGTTAAGAGATAAAGCGTAAATTATTTTTAATAACATGTTCAATTTCTTCATATTTATCTTCATCTAATAATATATATTCTAATGGATCTAAATTTTCAAGCAGTCCTGTAAAATAGCTGCATTCTTGAAGAGTAATAACACAAATAGCATCAAAAACTTCTACTTTATCTCTGTACATAAGTCTTGAATGAGCTTAACAAAGTCTAACTAGTGATTCCAAAGCTCTAATAGTGGTTTTAGAGTGAAGAAGTTCAATTGATCTAAGGTGCTAGTAATACTTTTAAATCAATTAGGATGCATCTGAGGTAATTGTTGGCTCAAATTTATTTTATACTAAATTAATATATTCTCTAAGTTTTTCGATTTCCCATAAACTTTCACTTCTTTGATAGTTCATTGTTCTATCTTCTTTCTTCATAAATCTCTCTAATATAAATTCGCAAGCTTCAGAATCAGCATCATAATTAACAATATCTTTTACAATAAATATCAGATCAAATCTACTCAACAACGGACTTTGTAATCCAGTGTTTTCAGTTATATCCACACTTGTTTAATATCTTTATCCAGGCAAAATTGGATTGCAAGCTGCCAATATTGTTGTCCTAGAATTTAATTTTGATGTAATACCTGCTTTTGAGGCACTTATAGTTTGCTATTCCATAGCTTCTAAAACTGAGTCATGATCACCCTTAATAAAATGTTTGAAATAAATATATTTTTCTTTTTTTTTGAATTAATTTTATTACTTTTTTAATTAGATTAAATTCATCAATGCAGCAAACGCCCATATCTGCCAAGACTAATGCTCCTGCTTCCATAATCCACTCTCCACCTTATTCTTTAGTAAATGACACTGTTAGACCTGCAGATGTTGATCCGATTCCTGTTGTAAAAACAGATCTATTAGACAGTTTGGTTGCATACTTTAATATTTATGATTTTCCTGTTCCAGGCTCACCAACTAGCATCATATGACATTAGCCTCTTATACGAGTATTATTCTCTATTCTTGAAACACCTCCTATAAGGCATAGCAAAACTGCTAATTTTATATCATTTTTCTCAAAGATGTCAGGACATGAACTCTATATTAATTAATTTCTTGCAGCTATTTCAGTTGTTAAGTCTCTAATCATTAAAAATTTATTTATTAAAATTTATCTATTCTCTCAATTAATTATAAACCTTTGCTTCTTATAGAAATTATCAAGTTCTTCTTCGAGAGTGCTTTTTAGTTGATTTTTATCTTTGTCATTCAGATCTAATAAAAATTTATTTTTTATTTATTATTTTTCAATTTTTCAATTTTTTAAAATACTTTTTTGATAGTTTTTAATTTAAATTGAATTAGCTATAATGCACAAACTAACTTCTGGACGAGAATCCTTTGTTGCCTTTTTCCATCTCTTAATAAGAATTCCTGTAATGATCGCATCATCTCCTGCTTTCATTTAATCTACAAGATTTGACTTTTTGTTTAAAATTGTTTATTCATTAGATGTTATTTATTGGGTTTAAGAGAAAATATTCTTTAACTACTAATTTTTTGCTTATTGATGAAATGGAAATTAAAGAAAAAATAATTTTTACTTCTAGAATTACCCACATTGTTTTGGGTATATTTCCTGGTTTTAAAGTTTTAAAAGGTTCTTATATACGTATTTCTTGGTAGTCTATACAAATTTCAGTTCCATCAACAGCTTCAAATTTTTATGAGCCACATTTCCTCTACTCAGTTTTATTTTAGGCTGGATTGTTTCTACTATTAGAATTATTATTCCCTTCTTCATTAATTTCATCTCCTTCATAATTATTTTATTATCTGTTTCTGTAGTTATTGTTGTTATTTGGATTTATATTTCTCTTTATGTCCAGCATTAAGTTGTAAAAAGGATTATTCTTCTTTTCAACAGTAATCAATTTATTACACTTTATTGAATTGGTTTGAAATACTCCATAGTTTTCATGTTCCGCTTTAAAAACATATTCCTACTCACAGTTAGAACACTTAAATTGCTTTGATTTTTATAATACCTTTCTTGTACTTGTCCTTATTACAGTTCCTGAGACTATAACAAGCTTATTTATATCGTTTGAGCCTATGTCAGTCAAATTTGTTTTGTAAACATCTTTTGTATAGGGAATATTTACAAATTGAACAAAAACAAACTCTTTTACACTTAATTCTTATCCTAAATCATCAGATATCTCCTAAACTGCATCAAATAATTCATCATCTTCATCATACTTATCCGTTGTTGCATAATCAATTGCATATTATTTTTATGAAGCAACAATACTTTCTTCCAATAAGCTTTTCATTTCTAAAGGTTTTTAAAAAAATTTATTTGCACTCTCAGGAAATCTATCAAAGAATTCTATCATACTATTAAAAAGCGAAATTACAATCATAAATACCATAAAATTTATAATGAATTACTTAACACTAAAATTATAATAAATGCTTGGATCTATTCTTCTCATTAGTAAACGTATATCCCTTCTATAATTCTCTAAAAAATATTCAATAATTTGCTAATCATCCCTTTGATTATCTCTCTCTATTTCCATTTTTCTAATTTAAAAATCTGCTCTTTTCTACTTTTATAAATTATAATTGATAACAAATAATTTAGTTAGCCAAATTATAAATGAATCTTTAATTTAGTAGAATCTATTTATATTTAATTTCTATGCGCGGTTTTATTGTCATAATTTATCATCACAAATATTAAAAATACTTTAAAAAAATTTTTTTAATTATGCAAATTATCATTTATATTCAAGTTAAAAATGATATTTCATCTAAAGGAATAATTAATTGTATTTTTTAATTTTTCTGATAAATTAAATTAATTTACAACACACTACTTTAAATATCATTTCTATTTTTTTTAAATTAAAACTATTTTTTAATTTCTGTGTCACATGAAAGAATTGCATAATAAATAATTTTTTAGAATTGATTTCATACTGAATGTTTGATATAATATTAAAGTTTATTATTTTATCAAAAATAAATATAATCATCATTTTATACTATATATCATTCATTATCATTAATGTTTTTAGAGATAAAACAATATAAATTTTTATTATTTTTATAATATATATTGAATAATACAAAATTAATCTATAACCTAGTTTTTAAAAAAAAAAAAAATTAGCTAAATCGATTTTTTTAGAAAAAATCAGAAGTTAAGATTAACAAATTAATTGAGAAAAAAATAATAAATAATTTTTTTTCATTTATCTTGGTATGTGGTGCAGAAAATTCTTTTTTTCGAAAATATGTAAAAAAAATAGTTTTTTACACTAAAAATTAATTAGAAAATGAGCATTAAAAATTAGAAATATTTCTTAAAATTTGATAGAACAATTAGTTAAAATTGAATGATGCTATTAAATGAATAAATTGAATCTAATTCATAAAATTTATATTTTAAAACCAGTATTGGATATATAAAATAAAATTACTTTACATAGACAATTTTTTAATTATTAATTCAGGATTAATACTCCCTCAGTCTTTTTGATCTTAATAATCTTAAATAATTTCTTAAATTTTTTTATTATAATCACTTTCAGAAGCAAAATATTTATTAATTTGAAGTTATTAAGTATTTGTCTTTAACTCTTCTTCATTCAAAGCATTTTAATCTTTATTTTGGAAGTTGAGATTTTCATTTTGTTAAGAGTATTAGTCATTTGATTTCTAATCGATAGTAGTACCATTATTTTCAGTTTTATCATAATGATTAGTTGTTGCAGTTCCTATCTAAAACTCATCTGTCCTGTTTGTTAGTAAATTTTAAGCAGAGTTACTTTAAATCTGACTGAATTTTAAATCTAGAATATTATGATTTGGAGATATTTACTAATTAATTGAGGTATTTAAATTTGTATTAGTAACTTAATAACTGCTTTCAGTTAGTAATATATCATTTTTATTTTTTGTATTACTACCTTTTTTATCTTTAGGTTATGGACTATCTATATTTTTATTACTGCTAGTACTTATAAATTTCGCTCTAGAGGAATGTGATGTATATGATTTTAGATCTCTTATATCAGTCATACCTTCGGAGTTTTAATTTCTTTCTTTTAATTTTTTGTTTAAATACTTTGGATAGCTAATTTAAAATTTATGTTAGCTCCTATGACTTAAATATGGACTGATAAAAGGTTTTATTTAAGATGAACTTTAAATTTAATTGATCTCCTTAATTGTATGTAGTCGATTAGCAGAATTTTAAGTAGTATTGGGTCTATATGTTTGTAGAGAATTTAAAGAAAGCTCTGTAGAATCTGTTTGACTGCTCTAAAAATTCATAAAATTGTTCTACTAAAAGTTTCCTTTAAGAGATGGGTTTCTGTACTTAAAATAACTCTACTAATTAGAATTTTTTTAAGAAATAAAAAGTTTTTAAGATGATTTTTCAATATCAGTCATGTTAGCAGAGTTTGAAGATCTCTCAGTTTTACTTTCTTATATTGAATTCTTTGAGTTATTTATTGAATATCTAGTTTAAATAGATTGCTTTTTGTCAAGTATATTTTGCTTTGATTACTCTTATGAGATATTATCTTTTTGATATTCATCATCTTTGTTTAATTTAACATATTCAAATTTGTTATTTTTATCATATTCACTAACATACATTTCTAAAACTTACTCCTTCTATTTTGTAAAGCTATCATCGTTTGTAGTGGAAGTGTGTTTTGAATATTAATTATTAGAATTCTTATTACTATCTCTATAAATCATGAATGGTGTCTCTATTTTTTACTTGATAACGGAAGGAGATGAAATTTAATTTAAATTATTTCCATCGACTATTCTTGACTTAATTCCTTTTTATGCAAGATTTATTAAGATTTCAAATCTTTTTTGGCTTTTTAATGCACTGTCCATTGTAGAAAACATTTTCGTTGTTAGAGGTCTTGCAGTACTCGCTTTAGATGAATTTATAAAACTATCAATATCTTTTTTGTTTTTGTTTGTCAAAGGAAGTATCTGAATGTTCTCTCTTTATAAATTAATTTATTTTTCCTGACCAGAAACTTTTTCTTATCTAGCTGTTTAAATAAGATTTTATTTTTGTTGAATTTTATTTAAATTTTCTTCAGAATGTCTTCTTAAATTATTTTTGAAAGCTAAATAATCACTATTTTATTTTTAAATCGTATTTTCAGTATTTGCTAAATCATTTTTCAAAGGTGATTATTGTTTTTGTTGCATTACAAATTAATTATTTCTTTAGAGTATTTCAAGTCTTTGCTGATAAATTGTTGGATTTAAGTGCTTGGCATAATCATACTCGAGAGCTAACTCTAGATTTTTTTCCAAGGCTATTTTATGCATCTTTGGAGTAAAAAGCTAACTGCCTTTTTAAGCTAAGTTGCGTTTTATTTCTAATACATTTTCGTTAGGTAGCAAAGGAGCTCCAGAAATAACTTAATTCTATGTGTAATAATAATAGCAATTATGGCACATTTTGATATACAAATTATCAAAGTATCCCTTCTCTTTAAATTGAACATAATTTTCTTTTGACATTTTCGGATATATTTTAGCTAACAGTGGATGAGGAGGTGCTTAATTTGCACCAACATATAATTTAGTTTCATCAAAGTTAAACTCATTATCAGAATTCATGAATTCCATCACTTATTAATTAGTAAGCTACACCTCAACTTAATTTTTTTTATTATTTCTTTTTTAAGATATTTTCTATTAATTTTCTACATCAATCATCATTCCGTCCTCTAAATAATGAGGCTTTATAATATTTTAATCTTTACTAAAATTCTCAAATTTAAGTAAAAAACTAAAAGGAATTTCCATCATATCTTAAAATTAATATTTCATATCACAACTCAAGCAAGCCAAATTATTTTCCATTCTCATTGGTCTCGAGTTTGAAATCGAGTATGTATTTTTAATGTTTGCAGGTTTCTAAAAATTGCTTTCAATAACCAAAGGAGTGTTATTAAACATGTACTTTTCAGGATCAGTTTCTCTTCTCTTCACTACATTTTTGATTTCATCTTTCAAACGAAGACTTGTACAGTATTGAAAAAATAATTTATTATCTTTATCAGCTTTGAAATAGAGAACCATTCTATTTATCATAGTCCTTTCATAAGTGACGTGAGCTATACGTTTTACAATGAATTCACACAATTTTCTTATTTCTCCAGAAATTTGTTTTCCTTTTAAGCAGACTGCCTTTGATAATATTTCAGGACCATCAAATGTGACAGCTCTCTCATAAGAATCATATTAAGTATCATTTAATTTTTTGTTATTAATTCTTTTATTAAAGACGCAAGTACTTGGCGACCAAAGAGCCTAAACATTATTGTTGTGTTCTCCATATGGGTTGATAAATTTTTATAAAATTAAAGATTCATCTAAATTTAATTCATTTAAATCTTCAAACAAAAATTTATGTAACTAATCAACAGTTAAATATCTAATCATAACTTTTTCGTCTTCATGAGCCATCAAAAGGTGAGATTGCTGAGCCTTTTACTAAATTTTTGTAAGTTTTTCTCCCTTTTATTCTCCTTATATAATCTATGCCACTATCCCAGATTTAACATCTCTTTTTGTAAAAGAGTCAAATATCGCCTCAGGCAATAAATGATTTACTTTTTTTTTCAAAACCTAGTCATTGCTGCCAGTAAAAAACCAATTTGAAATCTATCTGCCATTAATAATAATCGTATCAGGGATTCTAACTGGAAATTTAGATTCCTTTATTAAAAATAAACATAAAATGAATATAAAAAATATTTAAATCAGATTTTAGTAAACCCATCAAACAAATTAAGTAAATAAGAACTATGTTAAAAAAGAATTTCTTAAGAATTACCTGTAAACCAGAGTCTTTGATCCAAAGAAGATAATAAATATTATAGACTACAGAATTAGTATTGCTTATCATCATATTTTGATAGTTATTAATTAGAAATAATTATCTGTTTTATTATTTAACTCTACTAATAATAAATAATATTTTGTTTCTTCAAATTACAATCAAATAATAAATATTCGTTTAGCATCTATATATCTTCTTTGAACCAGTTTAAATTACTAGTTTAGCTAATTACATGCTTGATTTTCTGTTTACAAATTAATTAATTTAACATTATATAAATTTTATCAATAAAATTACCAAATAAAAGATCTATCTTTTATTTTTATTTATTCATTTAAAATAATTTTAAAATTATCTTTTATTTAAAAAAAAATTTTTTTCTAATATTTAAAATGATTTTTTAATTTAATCTGATTTATTAAATTTTATGTGAAAATCTTTAATTTTGTTTGGATGGTTTGATTGATTAAGTATTTATTTAAATGATATTTGGTGAACACTAATATCTATCTATCTATTTATTTATCTAAAAACAAGTTGTTATTTTAATAAGATTTTTGAATTAATCTTGTTAATAAAATCAAATTCAAAATATTTAATCAATAATTTTTGAGTAAAAACTTTAAGCAAGATTTATCTGAAATAGCTGAAGGTACGCTAAGTAAATTTAGGAAGTATAAATGGATAAAAACAAATATGAATTTCTTAATTCTCTTCTTGATAAGGAGATTGAGATAGCAAAAAATAGATCGCTATCATTTACTGATTCAAGGAACTCATTTTTAACTAATGTGCACAAATCTAATTTAAGTACAAGTTAAAACAATCAAGATTAATCTTAATAAAAGTTAGACAATCTCTAAAATTTTAACATTCAAAATGAAACTCTTGAAAATAGCACAGCTAACAATTCTTATATGCTGAATAATGTTAGTAATAATAAAAGCTTGACAGAAGTTAGCTATGAAGATAATAAAAAATATGAAAAGTAGAAGAAATCTGATTTTCTTAATTAACTTCCTATGCAGCAAAATTATCCTCAACAAAAGTTTGATTAGAAAGCCCATATTTTTTAAAACAACCTTTTCGAGAATAATATAAATTAAGATAATTAAGCTAAGGCCCAGATGACAAATTAAGAATTAAGCTCTTCAAATAACAGAAACAGTTTCAGATAAAATAATGGAAACTCAGGAAACGATAGTTCATTTATAAGCAACAGTAAATATTATGTTAGACAAACCCCTGATAGCTATAAATAGAAGTAATATGCAGGTGAAAGTTCATAAAAAAATTAATTAGAAAATAGTATAACAAATTACTCTAGAAATGATAGAGGAGCACTATAGAATAGTATAAATTAAAGTAGTGGATTCAGCCCATTTCAAAACAATAAATACAATAACAGAAACGCTGAGCATTCTCCAGATGCTGTTTTACTAAATCAATAGTAAATTAATGAAATTCCAAAAGTAAGTAATCCTATCGCAGCATAAGCATATTATTAACTAGATAACATGAAGAAATAAATTAGTGGCAGCTCCTTTTCTCCGAATAAAGGAAAATCTTTATCTTCAAATAACAACTCATCTTTATCTAACATAAATCATTCTTAAAGATAACAAAAATTATCATATCAGAACTATTAGGATTAAAGCTAGTACAAGTAAAATTAGTCATTTGATACTAATTTTGGATAATCTCATTAATTATCATATTCAATAAATCAATAATATGACTCAACTACTTTGTCATCTGAAGAAAAAAGAAAATAATTCTAAAAGGAATTTGAAAGTATCTAAAATAAAATACAAGCTCTAGAAGATAAATTAAAAATTACAGAAAAAAAAAATCAATAACTTGGAGGTTTTTCTTAAGAAAATAATTCAATAGTTTCTTTATAAAATGGAGTAAGTCCATTTTAGGAAAGTAATGAATATCCAGTTGCTTAAAATAAAGGCAAAGCTGACATTTCAATATTCACTAATCCTACAATTAAACAAACTTAAATGAATAACTCAATTTACCATAATTAAATATCTCCAAGGTTTAATATTCAGGATTCAATATTTTTTTAGCAATAAGATAAGCAGTCAAAAGATATTTCTCCAAAACATAACAACCAAATTCAAAGTAAACAAAGTCAATAACAAAAATCAAGTTCTGGTAAAAAGAAAAAGTCAAAAACTTCTACTAAAAGAAGTGAAACTAATAGTGATAATGATGACTCAGGTCTTAAACCAAAAAATTTAAATGAAACTACAGAGAGTAGTAAAAAGTATATAAAATAGCTTAAAGTTCAAATTTTGAATGATTCTAAAGATTTTAAAGAAGAAACAACTCAAAAATCTAAACAAATTAGGTTCAAAACTCCAAACAGAAAAAATAATTCATCTTTACCTCCTTTTTCATACAATATATAACCTTCATCTACTTAAAATACAAATAAATAATAAACTTCGCCTTTCTAAAACAATGAAGAAAAAAATATGTATTCAGAAGAGATAAAAGCCTTGTAAAAAGAATATTAAATGTGGGAATAAAGAAGAGACAAATAAAGACAATAGCTATAACACATGTAGGAAAACAACAATAGAAATAATAGTAAGCTTTAAAAACTAAAAAAGCAAGCTAATAAATTAATAAAACTTAAAAAAGAATAAGACTTGCATATGAGTGAATATGATTAGTGCTATCATAACTTTGAAAAATGTGAGCTCATACGTTAAAAACAAAAAATTTTGATTTCATGTCTTAAAGATGAGCTTAAACTTCTTCAAAAAAAAAATAATACTTAGAATTTTAATTGATAAATTAATAAATAAATAAATAAATAAATAAATAAATAAAATAAAATTTTCCTTTCATTTATTTGTATAAAACTAAATGATTTTTCAAAATATATATTATTTTGAATTAAATTAAAAAATATATAAATATATATTTATAAATAACTTAATTAATAAATATAATATGTCTGTCTATATATAATCTACTTTATCCATATTGTTATAAAAATATATATTAACTAATAAACCAATCAAATTGAAAACATTTTAATCTGGTATACAATTTTTTAAGATATATTTTAATACTAATCACAAATTAATTCAGAATAGAAATAAATTAGTTTATTAGCTTAAATTTTACTCTTAACAATAATATTTATTACCATAGTCCTTCTAATAGGCTAGCGATTTAAGTTACCTAGGTTTTATTAATTTAAGTAAAATTAATGCCAACCAAAATATTAAAAAAGTTAGGAGTTGGGTTGGTCTTAATTATTGAACATTTCCAGTATATATATTTTCTTCCTTATTTGATAAAAAATATTTTGAATAAAATAAAAAATGATTAAGCATTAAATATTCTAAAATAATTTTAAATACATTTATAATTAAAAATTATTATAGAAAACCAGATATTTTAGAATTTTTAATTTACAATGTCTTTTTACTCTTTAAATTTATATATTTTCAGTATAAAAAATAAATTTTCTTATCAAATCTTATTAAAAAATTTGTAATTATTATTAATATTTTACAATTTATTATAAAATTTTGTTACAAAATTATTTACTAATTTTTCCTTGTTTTGACCAATTAGTCTTTTTCAATTAATTTGATTCTTTGTGGTAAAATTCAATGCTGTTTTAGGTGGATTTATTATTGTCTATTTTTTAATTATTGAGGTAAACAGTATAAGTAATGTATTAATTATTTGCATTTAATTAAGATTATATTTTATCAGATTTAAATTTTATCAGTTTATAAAATCAAAAAAAAAATCTTTCTGGAAAAATAAATTGAATAAGTAAATTTTATTAAATTGTAACACTCTTATTTTTGTAATGAATATGCTATTTTTCAATTCTAACTTGACTCAGTATAAATCCTAATTATAAAAATGTTGATTTGATAATTATTTAAAAGAATAAATAAATAAAAAAGAAATTATAAAAAAAGCAATTTAAATAAAAATGGAGTATAGATTATTAGGTAACACTGGATTGAAAGTTTCAGTGATAAGTTTTGGTAATGGATTTTCAAGTGCAAATCCCGATTAGTAAAAGTTAACCACTGAAAGTGTCAAAAAAGCTTGGGATTTGGGTATTAATTTCTTTGATACTGCAGAGTTTTATGGACTTGGCGAAGCTGAAAAGTAGCTCGGAGTTGCTATTAAAGCTCTCGATGTTCCTAGAGAAGATTTAGTTGTTTCTACTAAGATTTTTTTGGGTGCTGAATTTGGACATAAGGTTAAAGTGAATCAAATAGGTTTAAGTAGAAAGCACATCAAAGAAGGTGTAAAGAATTCACTAAAGAGACTCTAATTAGACTATGCAGATGTAGTTTTTTGCCATAGATTTGATCATGAAACACCTCTTGAAGAAGTTGCTCGTACTTTTACAGAGTTAATTTAAGAAGGTTACATTCACTATTGGGGTACTTCTGAATGGAGTGCTGCTTAAATCTATGAAGTCAGAGAAGTTTGTGCTGAAAAAAATCTTATCAAACCCTCAGTTGAATAACCTTAGTACAATATGCTTGTCAGAGATAGATTTGAAGCAGATTTTGTTCGTCTCTTCGATAAACATAAAATGGGTGCTGCTATTTGGAGTCCTTTAGCTTATGGCTTCCTCACAGGAAAGTACAATGATGGCAATATCCCTTAAGGATCTAGAAAGGCTTCTTCTAATTTTTAAGATTTTGTTGATATTGCATGGGATCAGTTCTTCGGAGAAGGAAAAAGAGAAAAAACATTACAGGCTTTAAGAAACCTTGAAGCTTTGGCTAAGGAATTAGGAATGTCTTAAACACAGCTAGCCATGAGTTGGGTTATCGCTAATAAAGATGTTTCTACTGCCATAACAGGATGCTCAAGAGTAGAGTAATTAGATGAGTCAGTAAAAAGTGTTCAACTTTACAAAAAGATTACTCCAGAAGTTGAAAAAAGAATCAATGAAATACTTGGTAATACACCTGACCAAGGCATCAACTTCAAAACTTTTACACCTTTTCCTCCAAGAAGATGAAAAAAAATGAGTATTTTGAAAATTAGCAAGTATGAAAGAATTTATATAATATAGAATATTTTAAGATTAATAATTGATTATCTTATTTAGTTACTTTTGTTTGATATTCTGTAAATATGTTAGATGATTCTTTTTTACTTAAAGGAAAATGAATTTTAATTTTTAAAACATTTTTATTCTTTAAAGTCTGCTTAATTTCTAACACTTTATTAAGTATAAATTTTAAATAAAAAATATAGTATTTGAGAATATATACTTTCTCAACAATTTTTTATTGCAAAAAACATTAAATTGAATAAAAATCATAAATTTTAAACAATAAATTATATAAAAATTTTCTCTGTATGTGATAAAGTTAGTTAATTGTCTATAATTTATCTAAATTTTATTAATAATTATTCAACAAGAATACTTTATTCGCTTTTTCAATCCACTAATAACTTAAATTATTTTGGAAAAATACTAAATAAGATTTTAAATATTTTATCAGCAGACTTTATAGCTTATAATATTACTAAGAGTAATATTCTTTTTTTTCTTTATCTAATATTTAAGTTTTCTAATATTTATTAATTTATTTATTTTAAATTAATGCCGAGAAAAAATAAATAAATCAAATACTTTTTTAAATAAAATTAATTTAGGGATGACTGATTTTAATAAATATTTCCTCGCCATCTATTATAAAAAATCAAAGATTACAATAAATATTTATTAAAAAAGTATGTAAATTTATTTGAACATACAAATTAACTTAAGCAAATAAATTGAAGTCAATTAAAAGTTAAGGACTATCTTATTAAAAAGATATAAAGGAAAATATTAATTTTTAATATCACTTAGTTAGTTTTCTCGTTAAAATATTATTAAATTTTTTAATATTAACACAATAATTACATATATTGCATAATATAAATAAATATGCTGATTATGATTTAAACAATTTCATCATTTGATTTGTTCTAAAGTATGTGTTTCTTTTTGTTGAATATATATTGGAGCTTTTATTAAATATTAAATAAAATAATTACAAAAAATCTAATTATATTTAATTACTTGTTGGTAAAAACCAGCACCACAAATTATCACCAAATGCCTATTTGAAGTTCTATTTAAACCCACTGTTATATTACTAATAAATATATTAAATTAGGTTTTAGTTTATTTAAAAATTAAATTATACTCCATTGTCTTTTTTTTTTTCGCAGTACTCTATTGTAGTAATATTTTGACTAGTAATTCTATAATTAATTAATTATTTTATTGAATTTAATTTTTATTAACTTTTAAAATTAAAGATTTACTGGAAATGATAGAAACCAAAGCAAATAAGCAATGCTTCCATAACTAAGGCAAAGTAAAAGAAAAACGAAATTAAAAAATCCATAAACAAAGTAGCATTTTAATCCTAAATCTATTAGACGTATCTGCCAGTATATGTAAAACACATGATTGCAAGAATTAATACTATAATAAATAACTAATTATAACTTTTTTTGAAAAAATTAACTTACTTGAGTAAAGAATTATGAGTAAGAAATATTTGTAATTTTTTAATCCAATGCATGTATTTAACCATTAGCAATGATGATCCATTTTTGATATACACTATCTGCATTAGCTGCAGTGATGAGTTCTTGGAGGTTTAAAATTTCTATTTATGTTTTGTAATTTAAAATTAAAATTCATGATTTATATAAAATTACTCGCATTTTTTGCAAAATCTTATTCCTTTTTGCTCAAGATCTTCAATAATCATATTAAACATTCTAATTTCTTCTAATTATGCCCTTTCATCTCTATCGTACATTGAATCAGCTTTTGCAACATCAAGCTAATTATTTATTTGATTTTTATGTAGGTTTTGTTCAAAAGCATAATCAACACTAACACAACTCTATGAGTGCTTACTTTAATTACTTTTACAATCTTTTTAATCCTTTCCAAATGTTAGATTTAATTTTTCATTTAATTGTTAAAGCAAATATTTGTTTTCTTCTATGTCTTCTTAGTCTATCGAGTAGTTAATCTTTTAATTTTCTATTTGAGCTGGGCATGATGTATTATTGCCCAATAGTAAACCATCTGCTTAATAAAATATAATAGGCTCTGTGTTATTAGAGCTGTAATCGAATTAGAAGTTTTTTTTGAACTCTTCATCATCTTCATCCTCAGAGTTATCTGTAAAAACGTAAATATCTTAGATTTATTCATTTTGCTTCATTGGGCTAAATACTAATTTTTAAAAGCATAAAAATATTATTATAAATTATCTATGGTATTAAATAGAATATCTATTAATTTACTTTCTTGCTTTTAACAAACAGCTTATTGGTGCTAATTTAGTCTAATATTTTCTCTGAAAATTTTTTCTTGGTAAACTTTCTCATCAATGTATTTTTGAATCTTTTGAATCCATTCCTAAAAAAATAAAACATTATTTGGTTGGTTACAATTAAATTTTAATTTTAAGTTTAAAAGATTTTGTTACTTTTGTGACTCTTCCAGGATGGGTTGCAGTTACTTTGTAGAAAGAAATAATAATTAAAGCAGCAATAACATTAACAATTAGAGCTAATATGATGGCGTATTACTAATTATTAGTGAGATAGCCTGATAATTGTAATTTAGAAATGATTGAGTCATTGTAAGAAGCTATTTATACCAAAGAGGTGTGAAAGCTATTGAGTGCTAAATTTTTTATTTGGGACTAAGACTTGATTTCTCCCGCAATTAATGGATACAAATATGTCTACAATAAAAAAGAAAGTATGAAAATGTTTTAAGATATAATGAAAATTAGTTTACTATAAAGTATGTGAAATAAAAAAAAATGAGCATAAGTATCATCAGACACTTAGGTAAAAGAGAAGCTAAATAGTAAATGAATTCCTTTTCTACATTAACTTCATTTTACCTACATTTCCCCTTTTATCTTTGCATTAACTTTTGTATTGACCTTTATTAAGTCAAATTAATAATTTACTCGTTTTTTGTTTAACTATATCCATAGTTTCCTTATTAATAAGTCATTATACAAAAATGATAGATATACTTAAAGTATTGACTGACTGATTGTCCATGAATTTAATTAAAACGTATATTTCATAGTATTTATTTTTTAAAATATGTTCTTTCTTCATGCTATGAAATTAATTTTATCTGTATTCTTTCTTTGGACTCCAAACTTTCATCACTTAATTAATATTTACAATGTCTAAGCTAAGTGATAATTTAATTGAAATACTTAATTGACATATGCTGATTCTTTAACATATTATGATAAATAGCAGATTTTATTAATTTAATTTAAGCATAGATAAATTAATAAAAATACGTTTTTTGATTTTTATCTAAAATTATCCTCCTTATTACAAAGTAATAAATAAGTAGATGTCTTAAATACCATCTTTAAAAATTTTATATTTTATAATAGAAAATAAAAAATTTTAAATCTTTTTGTTGCACTATCCTTAGTTTGCCTTTTTACCGTTTTTTATGAAAAAAAGAAGACAGCGTAGTCATTTTTATTGAAAATGAAGATTGCTCTATAATTAATTACTCAAAATTGATCATTTCATAATTTATAGAGATAGAAATAAAAGCAAAAGGATGTCAAATTTTATTAAATTAAAATCAATTACAAATTTTTTCTATTTTAAATCCTTTCATTCTTAAATTAAATTAGCTTTTAAAAAAATTTATTTGCCTTCTTTAAATAAATTTTAATGAAACCTAAAATATCTTCAAATTAAATATTGATTTAAATTTAATTTTTAATTGTTTAATTTTAAAAATAATATGATAAAATAAAATTAATTGTATAAAATATAGTATAAAATTTATTACAAATCATTATACTTAATTTATAAAAAAAATTAAAAAAATTTTTAAATTAGAAAAGATTTATTTTTCAAAAATAATTTAAAAAATGATTCTCATTCAACAGTACAAGCTGTATATTTATAGTATTAATTTATCTTATTTAAATAAATAAATAATTAAAATAACAATTGGAATTTTAATGTATAAGAAAACACCATATTTTGGTTTAATTAATTATAATAGAAATAATTGTAACTTTTTGAATAATTTTATCTAAATTTTTATCATAATTATTAAAATATTTTCTTTTTATATATCAGATTTGTTAAAAAATAATATAGAAAGATTTTTATAAAATATTTTACATATTAAAAGAACAAATAACTAATTAGTTTTTCATCTAAAAAGTTAACTAAGAAACTTTATGAAAATATTTAGATTGAAATTGGTCAAATAAGAATTTATAATATATTTAATAATTTAAAAAATATAACTCAATAATAACAGATAAGTAATAATTTAAGATTACTTATTACTAAAAAAATCAATAGACCTTGATCTATCTAAATATTCAACTGTAAATAATATTTAATTTATGGTTCTAAAAATCTATGACTTAAGAGTTATAACTAAAAGAGTAGTTAATATTGTTAAATTTGAAAATAATTTATTTACTAAATAAATAAATAGTATTTACTAAATTTCTATGATATTGTTTGATGAATTATTTCTAATAATAACTAATTTCTTAATTTGGGTGAATGAGCTAAAGAGAGGCGTAATTAATGTTTATCATAGATAGATAGATAAAATCAAATCAAATCAAATTTTTTATTAATTTAATAAGCAATTAACAGCTATTTTTCAACTTCTATTTCGTTTGCATTAATTTATTTATTTATCTATCTATTAATCAATCAAAAAACAAATAAACAAACAAACAAAATAAATCAAAACTAACAAAACAAAGGAATAAATTTTCATAAAGGAAATAACATATTATCAAATTATTGTAAACTCAATTAAATTATGAGTTTTATGATCGAGGAATTCAAAAAAACGTTTTAAGAGAATCATTAACCGCTTTTTAAAAATATAAAAGTATAATTATATTTTAAAATTGCTTATTGATTTTAAAATTATATATGAAAACATTATTTATTATTATTAAAGAAATAAATTAGGAATAGCTCAAGAGATTCAAGTAATGAAAATAAATAAAATCTACATAATGATAATACCCCTACATTGAACACTAATTTACTTAATAAAAACATTGCTTCTAAATAAAATCAGTAGAAATTTTTTGTATATGTCAACTCTCCAAACAGTCCTAATTCTTGTAATATTTATTTACTTATCATGTTTTCATTTTGCTAAGTTGCAGTAATTTAAGATAAAAGAGCTAATAATCAATAAAAAAATCAATTTTTCTGAATCTAACGTTTTAAAAAAATATAGGCCCATTAAAAGAAGAATCTTAGCAATGCCAGAAAGAAAATAATTTGAAATAAAGCTAAAGATTTTAATAGCGAGGATTTTAAAAACAATCAAATACTTTGTACACAGATGAAAATACACAACAATCTTAACTGGAAGAAACTTTGAGTTTGAGCATGAGTGATTTAAATACAATACAGCCTAACAATATTACATTAAATTCATTTAGAAATAGCATAAATTCATAAATACAATTCCAAATACTTTAGAAAAATTTACCTTAGAAAAAGGTAATCAGCTAGCATAGCTAGAATGTAATGCCTCTCCAAAACAATTAACTTTACTTGAACTAATAAGAGCATTAAGATTAAGATAAAAAAAGAACTAATTCTTACTTAAACACATACAACATTAAGAAAAGCTAGAATAATAATACATAGATGAATAAACAGTCTAGTAAAAATTAAAACAATACTAGCGATGTTCAAAACTATGATGATAAAATTACACAAAAATAGATGATTTAGAAGAAATATTTAATTAATTATGATACTGAAGAAAGTTTAGATCTAAGAAATACTTAAAAATCAATATAGAATGGAAATAATAAAAATTTTAACTGCCAGTAAACAGATTATTAAGAGAGAGTTAGTAGCAATAGCAGTGTGAATAATTTAGATAAAATAAAAGGTTTACAAACCAATAATAAAGGATATTCTCTAGCACTTAATTCTGTATAGTCGATGTTGTAAAGTAATTAGCATTATTCTACTTAAAGTATCGCAGATGGGAATTTTAGTTTAGCTTCTTATGGTTTAAACTAGTATTACTTATTGAACATGCATCACATAGTTAGAATTTAAAGATTTTTTAAAAACAAATGCATCTAAATCTAGTAAAGACTCAACTAGGCTTAAAATTATTAAAGACAAATAAGAGTAGAGCATAATTTATAATAAGGAAAAGTGCATTAAAATAATCTTAAGCAACAATCTTAAATATGTGAAAGAAGAAACAGTGTACAAAATAATAATGGAAGCACTTTTATAAATTCATATTAATAGTAGTAGGATAATATGTCAAATATGAATAACGTAAGTAATTCTTTTAACTTTGAGGTCGTTTCTTTTGGATAAAAAGACAATTTGTATTAACCTAGCGATAAAAATAGTAGCTAGCAAATTGATTTAGGGTATCAGCGTTAATCATATTAAAATTAAACTTTCGAAGAAGTAGAAGAAGTTGAAGAAGAAGTAGATGAAGTTGGCGATGATGATGACAATATATAAACTCCCTTTCATCACTATCCTGGTATAACCTATATTCAATCTAGTGGTGGTTTTGAATAGCAGATTAATTCACTATAAAGGCTGTAAAGCGTTGATATTGATAATATTTAAGGCAGATTTGATTAAGAAGAAGATGTAAATTAGCAATGTACCAATTAATAGTATAATTCAAGCGAAATGCAAAAGTAAAACAATTAAAATAATTAATAAACAAAACTAAAGAAATAAGAATCATTTTCAAATTATTAAAATTAAAAAATAACCCAAAACTCTCCTAAGTTTCCTGTTAATGTAGATAACTAATTTTTGAATTCTATTTCTTAGTAATAAAATGAAAATTAGTTTAAAACTAAGTTAGATATTAATGATAAAGAAAATCTCTTATAGATTTAGTGTTAGTAAAGCTATAAACCTGAAAGTTAATAATCAACGACTTCAGCTTCTTCTTCTCATCATCATTCTATTGAAACCTTGAAACAGGAAAACACTAAGCTCAAGAAAATGATGTATCAAATGAAGTTAGACATGTAAAATTTTAAAAAATAAATATATAATAAATTTATTCAAACAATTAATTTAGGAAGAGCCAATTAGAAGAAGGACTCGTGTAATAAAAAAATTAAATGAAAACAATAAATGATGAGTACTTATAATTTATTGAAAAAATAATGACTGATAAAAAAGAGCTTACTAAAAAATGCGATAACCTCCTATAAGAGAATTAGCAATTACTTTAATAAATTGAAAAGGTAAATTTTTAAATAGACTTTTGTTTGTGTAGATTTTTAATCTAGAAAAATATATTAAAGAAGGAGCATAATCAATCTGAAAAAAAGGTAGTTTAGAATGTCAACGAGTAGTTCCTTACAGCAGAGTTGGACAGTAAGTAGGATGAGTCTAATTATAATGATTAACTGTTAGAAAAGCTAAAAAATACACAAATCGAAAATGAAAAGATATATGATTCATTTGTTAAATAGCAAGAATTTATTCTGAAACTATAAAAAGAGAATGAAGAGTTGGTTTAAAAGCTACAAAAAATTAATGTTTCATAAAATAATTAACAAAAGAGCAATAATGATGATGATTAATGCAAAGATGATTTGATTGAGTATCTGCAAAATTAAATTGAACAGTTAAATTCTTAATTGTAAGAGGAAAGACAGTAAAACGAAGAACTTCAATCCTAAATAAATCAATCAAATACTAAAACCAACCATGAATTAAATAAATAGTTTTTACCAAAAGACTATGATTAAGAGTTTGAAAATTTTAAACAACAATTTGTTAGTGAAATTTCGGAAAAGGTATTTATTTCGTTTTTTAAAAATCCAACAGATTAAAATTAAAAAAACATTTTAAAAATAAAAAAGGTTGAAGAATTGCAAAACTAGCTTGAATAGGAAAGAGAAAATGTGAATAAGCTTTTGCACTCATCAAAATTTGATGGAAATGAGATTGTTAATCAGCTAAGAACTGAAAATAAAATGCTAAAGCAGCAGTTAATAGATAATTAGTCAAAGAGCTGCCAAAAAGAAGGTAGTAGAAATTAAAATGAATTTGATAGTGTAAAAATAAATGAATTGGAAACTCTTATTTCTTAGATGGAAGAAGAGAGAAAATAAGGTAAGAAATTATTTAAGTTATTTTTTCAGATATATTAATTATTTTTACTTTTTAAAAATAGCTTGTGAAATGGTAAAGTTAATGAAAGAAGCTCATGATAAATTAAAAAGTAAATATGAAGATGAAATTAAGCAGCTAAAAGAAAAGCACTAATTAGAATTTTGTAAGTATGAAGAGAACATTCGCTATACAATAGAAAAAAAAGTAAAAAATGAGCAAATTTTCAAATTTAATTTAAAATTTTTTTAAAAATAAGGATTAAAGCATATAAAAACTCTACTTGGTGATTGAGAATCTCAAAGCTAGTTTACAAGCAATAAATAATGATGAAAAAAAATGATTTTCAATTTTAATTTTAAAAAAGATTAAAAAATAAAATTAATTAAAATACGCGATTAATAAATCCTAATTAAAATTAAAATTATAATAAACATAAACACTAAAAAAAATGCAAAAAATATATATCAAAATCAATATAAATAAGTATTAAATAAACTTACATTTTTATCTTATATAATTAATTGATAAATATTGTATCGATTATCTCTATTGTAAATACAATTAAAATTATTAATCATTCATAAAAAATTTAAATAAAACAAAAATAAATTTTAAAAATTAAAATTTATAATATTTTGAACTACTTTAAGAAGAATCTAAACAAAAAGATACGGTAGAAAGAAAATATTATAAAATTTGAAAATTAGTAAAAATTGATTATTTTGAACCAATCGTGGAAAAGGTGTTTAATTTTATTTTTATTTGAAGATGCAGTAAAACATATTTTTCTAGTTTAAACAAAAATTTTTTTATATTATATTTAATAACATAAATTAAACTTTGAATTATTTTGGTTTAAATAAAATAGTTTTGAATAAGAAGTAAAATTTGTAAAAGAGTGAAAAACATATGAATAAATTACATAGTTAGTTAGTTAGTTAGTTTATTTGTTTTATTTATTAAATATTTGTTAAAATAGCTTATTATAATATATATTATATCAATCAAACAATAAATATAGAAAAATTCATTTTTCTAAGTGTTTGTTTGATTGTTTGGTTTAGTTTATTATCAAAGATTTAATTTATTTGTTTATTTATTAAATTTAGCCTTTTTTTATTAGCATAAAAAATGTACTGTTACCTTAGATATTTAGTTTTATACTTGTTTTATTTATTTTAAATCAAAGAGAGTTTTATAGGATTATCAAATTGAGAAGAAATTAATTAATTAATAAATATATCTTAAATAATGGTTAAAGTGTAGTTAATTTTTTTATGTTAAGAGGAGAATAATTAATGAGTAAATTCTTATAAGCAATCTAATTTTTTTAATATCATCAAAGGAATTTTTAATTAATCAAATGTTAGGAGAATAAATAAATAAATCAATAATATAGAAAATTTATTTCAGTTTATGGCTCAACTGAGTACAGACTATTTACCTTCTTTAAAGGTTGAATTCAATTTCTTGAATTATTGCTATAAATTTTTAAGCTAGTTTTATGCCTATTTACTAAATCCATTATTTTGCAATGATTTAGCTATCTCTGGATTATGCTAAGAAACTATTCCTGTGTAAAGAGGCTTTATATCTTCTTCATTTATATTTTACTGTTCATTTATCCACTTATTTATTTAGGCTATAATTTAGCTTTGTAAAAGAGAGAAATGGGTTTGAATCAATTTAGAAAATTCCTTAAAATTTCCATCAGTCTACTTAATCGACTCTTCCATTGCATGAACTATATTTGCGTATCTAACTACATTTTAATATCCTTAGTTGTACATGTCACTTACATTTAAACTTGAATCGTTATTATTTTTATTAGGGTTGTAGTTAGTGGTTGGCTCTTAATAGTATAAGTCACTATTGAGAATATCATTTTAAATTGTTTGTATCACCTGTGTTAAGTTAGAGGTGTATTCACTCCATTACTCCGACTCTATTAATTATTATCCATTATGTATATTAAGTAGACTCAAGCACACTCTACCGTCTGTGGGTAGTAGAGGAGAAAATCTTATAGTACCTTTTGAGGTTGATTAGAAATTAAGTTTTGGAGGATTAATAGGGTAATCATCAGGGATGAACATATCAAAAACATAAATTCCATATGCAAAGGGAGTGTTAGCTGCTCCTGTGATCAAAATTTTTATATATTAGAGATTTGATTCATCATAAGCAAAAAAAACACCTCCTTTTTCTTCATCACATTCAATAGACTTGACAATACTAGCCAATTCTCTTTCTATTCTTTTTTACAAATTTTAATGTTGAGCGTCAGATAGCCTTTTTTACTAGCTTTACTTTGATTTACTAACACTATTTTTTAAATTTAAGTAGTGGTTATTTATATTTTTTAAGTTTACCCTTTAAAATTCTTCCATTTTAATAGTATACGGGCTCTTAGGTTTAGCTACATTATAATTTTAGGTAGCAGTTGGGTCAGAAATATTACTTTGACTAAGCTAATTGTGCTAAAAAGTTTAATTATTATAAGAGTTGGGGTGATTATTAGCATTATTACTTAAATCTAAAACTCTTTCAGGGTTTAATGTTTTAAAATTCTAATTCCCTTAAATATCTCTCCTATAATTTCTTGGAGTAGTTTATCCTAAAGCAGCAGTAGCAGGAGAATTATTTGGATCTTCAATCAGCTAATCCTTATAATTTTCTTAGCTATCAATTTGCATATCTGGTATGTTTCCTTCAGAGGAATAATGAGCTGTATAATTATATGGGCTATTCTTTTTTTAACTCTTTATATTTTAAGTTTTGCTAGCAGTGGGTGCTTCTTTCGTTTCTATTTCACTTATCCTCTCATACACTGGTATATTACAATCATAAGATTATGAAAGACTCTACTTGGCATGTTTGTTTTTCATTAAATCACTAGCATCATTTTTCTCTTTACTTTAAGGATTTAAATTCTTCTTTTTCTGTTTATTAAGGTTTTCATCGTCATTATTTTTTATGCAGCAAGCACTCTAACCCATTTAAAATGTCTTGAAAAATAGATATCAAAAGAATTCTTTTATTATAATTTTTACTTTCTTTCTTTGTTTCTTTTTTTTTTTGTGATAGTTTAATTAATAAGAGAAGATTATATTTTTTAAATTTTTTTATTATAATTTCTTAGAATGAATAAATGAATAATTTACATTTAATATCTAATGATATTACATTTATTATCAAAATATTGTTGTTTTTTCAATTTAGTAAGATTAATCGCCATACAATAAAATTATACATATTAACAAGCTCATGTATACCTATGTTTTATCTCAAATAAGTATGTTTACTTGGTCATAGACAATTTGAACTATTTTTTTTTAACATACTTATCATTTAGAGCATATAGCACTATATCTTTTAGTCTCTCTTTGTTACTTCTTCGATCTTACATAAATTTAGTTATATTTTACTAGCTTAAAACATTTTACATCATTAACAATCATACCAAGACAGAATAGGTGTAAGGAAAGTAAAGATGACTTTTTTAATTAAATATTACGTATTCTTTCTAAAATCAAATTACAAAATTGATTCCAAAATTAAATAAATAAAGATACTTACTTTTTTACCAGTTTATAAACAAGCAACTATCTTTTTAATTATTTTCTAAAATAATTGATATATCAAATAAATCATATCTCATATTCAAAAAATTTCGTCACATTAGATTATAAAAACTTAAAAATAGTTTTTTTTTCTTATGAAAACTAATTTTTTTAACTTTTTTATTATTGATAAAGTAAATTTATTCCTTTAACTAGTAAAAGTTACTCTAATAAAACATTATGGTATTTTAAATAAATAAAAAGTATTAATTTTAATATTCATTGGTAAAGGGTTAGTTTGTGTATTTTAGTATATGGTTTGATGTAAAATTTAAAACTTACTTGTCGAAGGAATTTTACTTTGATATTTTTTAAATTTAAAGTTTAAAGCTTTATTTAGAAAAAAATATCAAAAAATAAATTTAAAAAGTAAGATTATGCCTAATTTATCGATTTATTTTGCATTTAAAGCCTGAATTAAATTTCTTAAATATAAAAAGGTTGATTTAAATAAAAGTGGTATTTACTTATTATCTATTTTTTCTCTAAATAGTATGATTTCTAGAAATAAACTTAAAATTTATTAATTTTATTTCTAATAAAAGAAATTTGTTTGATAAATTAAAAATATTGAATTTTTATTAAATTTAATATTCTGTAAATTAAATTAATTAGAAATCAATATTTAAAAACTAAAAAAAATTTTTGTTTTTTTATTTATTTTATAAATTTAAAATTAACAGCAATAAAAACTACATTCTACTTTAATATTTCTAGTTGAATTTGATTTTTCAAACTTAAAATTTTATTTTATATTAAAGATTTAAAAATTGATTTTTAATTGAATCGATTTTTTATTAAAATATTTTTTAATTATTTTAAAAGGAAAACTTTTATAATTAAAAAAAATCATTATTTTAATTTTAGCTCAAAATACGAATTATTTTTTTTTGGAAATGTTTTTTAAATAAATTATGAATATAATTAAATATTAATCTAATTTAGCTCAAATGTCATTTTAGAATTTTATAAAATTTAATAATTAAGTTTACATAAAGAATTTATAAATAAATAAATATTTTAATTTTTGATTTTATTCAAAAGAAGCAAGATATTTTTTGTTATATTTACTTTTTATCATTTTTAAAATTATTTCAAAATAAAATTTATTTTTGATTTTAGAGGAAATAAATTATTAGAATCTTACTTATCCTGAGAGAAAAGCAAGTATACAAGATACGATTGCAAAAAAATTATTTAATTTTTATCAAAACTTTTTAGGAGAGCTCATATTTTTCCATATCAGAACTTCTTGATATTTAAAATAAATAAATAGTTTTAGGTTAAAAATGTATAGAGTAGAGTTTGTATTAAGAGGAGAAGTAGCATTCGAAGCGGATGTTGATCTACCTGCTTTAGAAGAGGAAGTAGTTACTTTTAATTTATAGTATTTCTACCAGCTTATTTATGCATTTAAAATAAATATTTTATTTAGGAGTAATTGCAGGAATAAAATAATTAGCAAAATAAAACAAGAGGAAGAAAGCCTGGAAAAAGGGGAGCTGTTGCTCCCTAAGTGCCTGTAGTGAGTTAATCTGCAGTATCTAAAAATAACAAAAACAAGAAAACATAACCTCCACCACCTCCTCCTCCTTAATCTTAAAAGGTAAATAAATAATATTTCTATTTAAATTTTAAAAGAAAGTGGTTAAATGATTATAAAAATAATAATAATAGAAAGGTCAAATAGCAAGCAGATATAGTTCAAGAAGAAGAAAAGGATAGCATGATGATGATTTGTTAGAAGAAGAAAGCGAAAAAGTAACTTCCTCATTTAATTCATTTTTTTTTGCGTGCTACTTTATGAATATTAATTTTTGACAATAATTAATATTTATTTTGTTGGCGCTAAAATGTAAATAGCCATACAAAGAAGAATAACCCTAAAAGAAACTCAAGAAAGGAAAAAAATAAGTTGTTGATTCAGATATTGAAGCTGATGAAGAAGATGAAGAGGAGATGCAAGGAAGTGAAGACGAAGCAAAACTTTTAGAATTAGAAGGTGAACTTGAAGAAGAATTAGCGCATTTAGGAGTAATAAATATTTTTAGATATTAAAGTCTTGTTAAAAAAATAATCAGAAATTTTGCTAATTAATTAAATTTTAAATATTAAAATATTGGTTTTAATAAAACTTTTTTTATTTTAGGAGGATGGTGAAGATGTTGATAATTTTGAAGAAGACGATGAAAATGAAGAATTAGAAAAGTTAGAACGTTATGCTACTAATGAGAGACCCATAGCTAAGTTGAGTTAAAGATTTAAAGATTTAGAAAATCTGAGTGATTCAAATCTCTCTGAAGACCCAAACTATCAAAAGCTTACTAAAAGATAAAAAAATATTGTGAAAAATAATATGTCAGGTTAAGTGGAAACTGAGTATCTTCAACTACCTAATTAAGTATTTTTTAGTTAATTAAAATAAATTTTTATGGACATTAATTTAATGGTAAAAGTCAAGCAGAAAAAAAAATAAGTTTGTAACTGAAGAGGATTAAATGAAAAAGATTGAAAAAGAGGAGAAAAGAAGAGCTTAAATGCAAAAACAGATAGAAGATTTAAAACGTTAAACTGTTGATAAAATTCTTAATGAAGCAGGAACAAAATAAAAGAAGAGAAAGGAAAAAGAAGAAATAGAAAAAGACAATAAAATTAATCATCAGTATCGTAAATTACCATAAGGCATGCCCCGCATAAGAATATTAAATAACTCTTAAGGCTCTATAGTAAGTATAACAAAGACAGCGTTTCATCCTTTGTTGAATCCTTTCCCTGTTGTTTTTGAAAATAACTTAATGGGAGACCTAGAAAGTTAAACAATTTAAAATGAAGATTAAAATCTAAGTTAATAATAAAATGTTGTAAGTGGTTAAAATGATCAAAAAGATAATGAAAGTAACAATAATGACATAAATAATAAAAAAGAAATTGAAGAAGATAGTTCAAAATTAATGGAAGAATCAAGCTGATTAAACATGTTTATTTATTTGTATTTGGTAAATTAAATAATTAAAAATATTATCCTAATAGATTTTAAATAAATATTGATGTATAAATGTATATAAAATTAATAGATTGATTGATAAATAGAATATTAGATTCTCAAAATTTTTCAAAAAGCCATTTTTTCGTTTTAAAATTAATGATAAAGAAGTTTGTTTTAAGTTTTGTGTTAAAGACAACACTTTACTTTTTGTTCTATTTAATAAGTTTTTTAATATTTATTTATGTATTTAAGTTACTTTTTAATTATTTGTTTATTTTATTATTTATTTATTAATTTATTTATTTATGTTTAAGTTTGATTAAAAGATAAAAACTTATTTGAATAATTAATTAATTAATTAATTAACTACTTATCTATTTTAATTAAAATAAAGATAAGTAATTAGGTTATTTTTTATATTGTCTCTCTAATTTACTTCTACCTACTACTCATTTTCAACTCTTTCTCTTTATGATCTTCATTAACAAATAATTTAAGCTCTTATAAGCATCTTTTTTTTCAATATCTTTTACTCCTTTCAAGTTTTGAAGATTTTCTAAAGCTCTTTAACTATGAATAAGTGCTAAGTTAGTTGTTTTTTCTAAGCCATATGTTTTCTTAACTAATTAGTCAACTATTTGGTTGCATAAAAAATGAGTTTAATTTTGTTCAATTTAAAATTTTTAATTTTTAATTTTACAGTAATTGAAAGAAAAATTTATGTTTTTTGTTTATTTTATAACATTAAAAAATTTATAAAATATAAATATAAATGTATGTTTAAATGCTAAAGTATATATCTACCTATTTTAACTTAGTTATCATCTAGTCCTTTAGGATGCTTTTAAAGCATAGCTGTTATTTATCTGTGTTCTTCAGTACCATCTATTTCTTCAAGGGCAAATAACACTGGTCCTGTTACATTACCTTCTTTTAAATCAGCTAGAGCTGCTTTACCTAGTTAAGCAGAGTCACTAGTATAATCAAGCATATCGTCTGCTAATTAAAAGCTGATACCTAGATGCTGAGCAAACTTAAATAAGCATTCTTAGTTATGGAAATCCTAATTCAAAATTATGCCAACTCCTTAAGCACTAAATGCCATTAAAGAAGCAGTCTTGTAATAGGTCTTTAATATGTATTAGTTAATTATTTCATCCAAATCATATTTATAGGTTCTTTTTGAATTAGCTTAGTTAATTTCACCCTAAAAAATGTTTTTTATTTATGATTAGAATAACCCACCAATAAAAATACTTAAAAGAATTTACATGAGTGAGGTTTTCCATAATATGGGAATATATTTAATACATCCTAATATCATTAAAACGTGAAATTTATTGTCCTGATCTTCCTATAATATAATCCCCTGAAAAAACAGCTTCTCTATGTCCAAATTTTACATGAGCAGTTTCTAAACCTCTTCTTGTAAATGCATTATCTACATAAAGAATATTATTTTATTCTAAATTATTTGTAATACTTATATGTATCTACCTATAATATCATCATGCACTAGAGATGAAACGTGAATATTCTATTTTATTTAAATATTAATCATTTAATTAATGCAATTTGCTTTAAAAATACCTCAATAACGGCAGCCCAAAGTCTTTATTTTTCTACTAAATCTTTCTTTATTTTAAATAATAATTGTAAATTTAAAGAAACTGATTTTGAAAGTGTTGATTGATATTGAAATTAAATATTATTTGTTATTTATTACTTTCTCAAAGAATTCTTATGTTGTGCCATCAAACAAGATTTAAGATAATAAGAAATTGAGTGAAGGTCTCACTAACTTTCCTTCTTTTGAATAGTAGTGTCCAGATATTTTATTCACATAATCATGATCTGATTTAAGCTAAATTTTTATGTTGAAAAATAAATTTGAATAAAGCTCGCTTAATATAATTCTATAAATTTATACTATTTCTTCCTTAATTTGTTGATAAAAGATCTTTAAGTGATCTTAAATAAGATTAAATGCCTCGTTTGCTGAATTAGATTTAAATTGCTTAAATAACTCTTCATTTGCATTACTGTAATCTGTTTTTGTTTTTAGCCCCTGCTGTTTTTATATTTTGATACCTTGCATTTTATGTTAGAAGTAACTTTAAAAAATAGTAAAATAAGGGCTAATTTAGCTCAAGATAAGATACCTAAATGCATTTCATCAAGTTCATCAACAAGTCTCATCATATTATCCTAAATTATTTAATTAAATTTGGTGAATCATACTTTTTCTATTTACATTCATCATAAAAGTATACATTTTAAGATTTTTCAAAATCGCTCAGTTTTTCTTTTGGTTGGCTTTCTCTTACACTACCAAAATTGCTATTTAATTTAGAGGACTTTTATAGGACTGCTAGACTCTTTAAAAATTGTCTCATTTCTTAAAACTTTATAAATTTACAAATGGGCTTATTTTGTGTTTAGAGTGCTTGCTTATTTAAAGTAAATTAATTAAAATTTAATGAATATTATTTTTATCAAACAAGTTAAAATTTTTTTCTGGAATAAAATAAACCATCAAGCATATCCAAGAATTAATTGTACATAAATTCGAATATTCTTTAAGTAAACTTTTTTTGATAACAATTTTGAAATTTGTATTTCTTTAAAAAAGAATATCAAAGAATAGATATAAATTTTTTTATTATAAAGTAGACTCTTCTCAATTATAATTAATTATAATCAATTATCATTTATTTCTTTTATCAACACGTAAAAATTTTGCAGTTAATTTCACAATCAATTTATAATTAAAAGATACGCGTAAATAAGTCATCAAACAAAATATAGATTTAAAAGCTTTACAAGATTATATAAAATCTAAATAATAATAATTATTATCAAAAAAATCTGTATTAATATTTAAAAAATTTTAAAAAAATGAAATTTAATTATAAATTGCAAATTCTCTTGATAATTTGTTTGCTCCCATTAGCCTAGCTTTTACAAGTTGTCGAAAGTAAATTAAAGTTTTAAAATCGTAGAAAATATGACTAAGCCATGCATTTTATATTAAATAGAAGTAGAACCTGAAGTAAAAGAAGAAAGTAGCAAATAAGAGATAGATAATAAACAATTATTTTAATTAGAATATAATAGTCTAAAGCTTATCATATAGTAATCAAAATTAGTAGTTGTCTATCTCCATGAAGGGTATTTTAGTTAAAGCTTTGAATATTCATTTAATTAAATGAATTTTATTTTTAAAATGTAGTGAAATTAATCAAGAAATCGAACAAATTTTAGGAGAAGCAGCTAAAGAAATCTCAGAGTATAGATTAGCTAAATAGCTTCCAGTTGCCTTATTTGGAACTGTTGATAGCTCATAAGACAAAGAAATTCTATCTTTCCTTAAAATATCTTATAGCAACGAACAAAAGCATTAACTTATACTATTTATTTAAGGAAATCAAATAAATTATGAAGGAGAATATAACAAAGAATAAATCCTTTCATTCATCAAAGGCAAGATAGAAAACTCTATAAAGGAAATAAAAACTGAAGTAAATCTTTTTTTAAGAAGAAAAATCATATTTTTAATGATTTTATTTTATTGAGTTTTAAAAAATGATTTTATTAACCTAATTTAGGAAGAACTGAAAGAATATATGAAGGTAAATGAAAAAAAGAAAGTTTTGATAGGAAGCAACAATAGTACATTCATTGACTTACTACAAGAAAAAGAATAAAATTATGAATTATTTACAAACATGGATATTCAAGAAGTTAGATTAATTACTGATTAATCACTCTTAAATCAAATTCCTGAATTAAAAGATTCAAAATTACCTTTTGTATGCTTTGTCAAAAATAATTAATTCCCTGAAGAGAAACACTATCATTTCTACGAAGGAAGTTTTGATCATGTTGAATGGATTAAGGACTATGTTTTAGTTGAATCTATCAATTTAGTCGAAGAATTAAATGCTGAAAGCTATGTTAGAGTTTTTGCTAGCTCAGTAGAAAGTCAAATTCATTTATTTTTGGATCCCAACGTTGATAACTCACAAGTAATTTAAGAGTTCCGTAAGGCTGCTCTTTACAACAAAGAAGAAGGTAATTTTGATTTTTTCACAAAAAGTTGAATTTTTTTTTAAATAAATTTTCAAAATAATAATTAATTAGAACTTAGATATGAAAGAATGGTTTTCGTTATCCAATACTACTCAGACGAAACAAAAGAGTTCATTCAACTTTATGATGTTAGAGGTGTGTAAGATCTTCCATTTATAGGAATTTCTACTTTAGATTACAACAGTTTTGGAATCACTAAATACATTTATGATAAATAAAATTAAATGGTATCTGAAAATATTAATAAATTTATTGATGATGCTAGAAAAAAAGTGATAGAAGTCCACTTAAGAAGTGAAGAGCTTCCAACTGAAGAATAGCTTAAATAATAAGAACAGAATAAAATTTATAAGTTAGTTGGTTAAAACTTCAAAGAAAAAGTAATTAAAGATAAGTTTAGCTATTTTATACTATTTTGGGATAGCAAGGATAAGAATTCAGCAAAATAATACTTTGATTTCTTAAAAAAATTTGTGAATGAGATACCAGCTATTCAGTATGAACATCTTTTAAAAATCGCCACTTTTGATCTTAACAAAAATGAGGTAACAATTTAATTATAAAAAAAGCTGTTAAATTTATCAATTAAAAATGTATATAGGTATAGTATCTCAATATTGATTAAGCACCTAAATTTGTAGTCTATCCTTAATATTATAAATAAAATCCTTAAGGTTATAAAGGACCTCTTAAGATTGAAAGTATCTCTAAATTTTTAAATGTAAATATAATTACTTAATTTATTTTAGTTAATAATTTTCATTTATTTTAAAAAGCAATGGGTCAGAGATCTTCAAATCAGCGTACCTTTACCATTAGGTGGCTCTTAAAAACAAGATTTATGAGAAGATAATATATTTCAAAATGTTTTCAATAAATAAAAATGCATTAATCCAATTTAAATTATAATTTTTGTAAGTATTAATTTATAGTTCTATTTAGTATAAATTTTATTTTTAAATCTATAAAATAAGCTCATTTATTTATAATTAAAAAATGTTATCAAAGTTTTTTTAATTTTTTTTTAAATAAATTTTATTTTTTGAATTTGTTTAACCCTACTTTATTTTTTTATTCACTTTCGTTTTATTTTTGAAATAAACTTTTATTTAAAGGTTTGAGTAAAAAAAAAGTAGATTTGCTCTTAATTAAATTTTTTTTTCTTATTTTTTGAGAACATTAAAAAATAAATGATGAGAATTTCGAGTTTATTTTTTAAGAAATTCTAGTTTTCATGATTGAATTATTTATTTATTTATTTATTTATTTAATAATATAAATTCATAGAAGTAAAAGTACAAACAAACTTAATCAGATTTTTACATTAAGTTGAGAAAAATTTTTATATAAAGAGAAAAAGATTAATGAGAAGATATACATAGTTAGTTAGTTGGTTAATATTGATGTAAATAGAAATTTTTTGTAGATGTCTAAAGATTTTTATAACCTTTTAAATTCTTTATGTTGTTTGATTTATTAGTTAGTTATTAGTAGTAATTTATTAATTTTTACCTCACAGTATGTATGTATGTATCTATGTATGCAGGGTCAATCTGATTAATCATTCAGAAAGAAATTTATTTGCTTAAAATTTTGTTAAATGCCACATTTACATTTTTTATTTAACTTTATTTATAATAGAAGTTGAGATAAGCAGAAAGACACTGTATTAAAGACCTTTTTTTTTGTTGAAATGTAATTTAATTCATTTTATAATTTATTAATGGTAGGTAAGTAGGTAGGTAAGTTCAACATAATTATTTATTTATGGTTATTGTATATATGAATTTATTATTTCTTCAAAATTTTATATTTTAATTATTTTTTAAAGTAACTAACTGATTTTTTGTTTGGCTCAATTCTAGAAGGCTAGTTTGGATAAAATATGAGATATTAATTTGTTTCAGTTAGTCTATTTTTAAATCATCAATCATATTACTTGAATTTAAAAAAGAATGGCTCCTGCATCAGGATATTATTGTGCCGTGAAAGCTAACTGTATAAACTATTTTATGTTTCATCATCGCAAATACTTAAGTCATCAGTCGAGTAATTAGAATTGTTAATTTAATGTTGAGAAGCATTCAAATGTTATGAAGATTATAATTAAGATTTTTTATTATAATTACTAAAATTATCAATGATAGAACCATTGTTACCATTATTATTATTTTGCTATACTTGATTTCTAACTTCAGAGTCTTGACCAAATGTCATATTACTTTAAATTGTTTGTTTGGCTTAAATATCAGTAATATCTATTTCAACTGGACCATAGTAGTAATTGGATACTCCTGCTCCTAATGATTCTTGTGCTTCATTAGTAACCTAATTCTGATTATTCTAAGCCTATTCCTAAGTATTATGATTCTAAGGTAGAGCACTAATGGTAGTATCAGATTACTTCAATTCTCTAGTTTGAAATGCAGTGGTCTCTTCTGGATTAGCATTATTTGTTGTCAATGTAACGTCTTTGCTTTTTTCCTCATTTTCATTATAATTCTATGAAAATTTAGAATTTGCATCTTTTTAATTGTTTGAAAGAGCGTTTGGGGTGTCTAAATCCTAAAGAAAAGAGTTTCCATATTAGGAAACCATTTCATTTTTTATTTTAAATGCCTTTTAAATAAATAAAGAGTAAATAAATAAATGTTTATTTTAACAATGATCTCACAGAATATATTCTAAATAAAATATTCTATTAAAAAAATGAATGTAAAATTAAGTAAACCAAAAATATTAGAATATATTTTGAAGTTTCCATTCAAATTAAAAATATTCTGCGATCTCTAATTTCAAGGTAAATCATACCCATTCGAATTAGTAATCATTTAGTTATCCACCAGATTTTAAGAATAGCTGCTTAAATATTTTTCTCCAAACATCGTACTCAGGGTGATCCATGATATTCATAGACTTAATATAATTTAAATAGTTTACAAATTCAGCAGGCAAATCTCCCAAAGTCTCAGGAATAAGAGATAACTTTTACTCTTCATAATATTTTAGCTTCTCTTCTCTTGTTTTAAAGTGTTTACTACCAAACAAGTTCCCTATTGATAATAGACAAATTTATTAAATAATTGTTTATCATATGTAAAAATTTTGAAGAGATAAATATACTTTTTTTAAATTTCATTTTGAAAAAATTCATTGAAAATTAATGAATAAAAGTAATGATTAAATCTGTAAGGTATATTCAGTATTTGATTAACACTTAGTTTATATCAAAAAAATATAAAAAGATTTAATAAATACCTTTTCGTGTTAAATAAATTAATATGTAACCCAGAGATTCCAAGTCATCCTTTCTAGATGGAGCTATTTTAATTTATTTGTTAAAATATTATTAATAATTTAAACTATCTTTTAGAGTTTTAAAATTATATTATAATTGCAAAATTTATTACTTATGCCAAGGTGAGTACCAATGCTAGAGAATTTGTTGCAGAAAATTTTATTCATAATACGATTATTTTCATTATAGCGAACCAATTAGCCATTTTTGTGCTTGTATTTTCGTGCATATTTAAAGTCAATAAGATATAATTATGTGCTTTTTAAATCATTATGAATGACAATTTTTTTTGGCTTTAAATTACGGTGAACTATATTGACAGAATGTATTTCTTCAAGAACATTTAGCTATTACATAAATTAGATGATAATTAATAAATATTTTTTTATAAAATTTGATTAAATTATACCATTGCAATTCCAAACATGCAAATTGTACTTATAGATAAATTATTTTTCATGAGTGAGAATAGAATTTTGAGACTTGGGCCATAAGATTCTGTGATTCTATTAATTGAAAAAACAGTAAATATTGTTTATTTAACTTCTTAAAACAAGGCAGTATTTTTGTTTGCTTATTTTTTTTAAAAATTAAGAAAGCAAATTTTAAATACTAATGTTTAGCACACACTATCTAAAATAAGTATGTTGAGAAAATTAATTTTAAAAGCTTACTTTACAAAATAGTTAGTTCCATTTATTTTTTCTTCCCCTACATGAAAAATTTTAGGCGTGCATGATACTATTTATTAAAATAAATTCTATAGCAATATGTATTTATATACATAATTCTATTTCAGTAAATCGAAGTAAGTAAGGAGCTAAAAAAATTGTATGTTATGATTGAAGAAAGTGTAAATTATCATTACCTTCTTTCAGTAGCTTAACCATTTTATTTTCATTGCTAATATGGTCATAATACTGGTTACTCTATTATTAATTTATATTATACATTATTATATATATCTTTTTCCTTAAATAATTTTAACAAAAGTTTACCATCTTTATAATCACTGGCTACTTATTAATTTTATTAAATCCTAAGATTGTTATAAAAAAAATTAAATTAGAAAATGTCTAAAATAAAGTAAAAATAGCGCAAAAATAATGCAAAATAGATTCAAAATATTGATAATTAGATGCCATTGTCAATTATTTTTTATCAAATTTAAATTAATTACCTTTATATGTATTGTGAAATTATCCTTTATATATGCATTCACGAATCAGATACATATTCTTAATATAAATGGCATTCTTTTTCTTTTTTGTCGAAAGCAATCCGGTGGTTCCGGACTATCCTGAGCTATGAGATATATCTTTAACATTCATATATTTTGCTTATTAAGTATTAGTTCCCTGTTAACCTATCTTATTTTTCACTCAGATAGATTTAATATTCTTAACTAAATTTTTGATGACTATTTATCTATTTTTTTAATAACACTACTAATACTTTTCGTTGCCTGAAAATTTTATTGATTCAATTGTATGATTGTTATTATTCTTTGTTATAATTAAATTTTCTTCTTTAGAAAGCGATAATGTCTTTTTATTTGTTTTTTTTTATAATTATTAAATGAAAATAATCTATAGATATAGCAAGCAATTAGTATTCTTTACGTTTATTATAATTTTTATTTGATCAAACATGCAATTAAATATATTTACATATGATTTTTTTCATTATTCATGTAAAGTTAACTTTGTACTTGAATTTCGTAATTTGTCTCTCTAAATCAGCCACTCTAAATTAATTTAAAATATCTAGGCATGTAATTAAAGCTGATTTTACCCTATTTGTATATTAGTGATAAATTGAATAACTCAAGTTATTTGTTGCTTATATTTTTTTCTTTTCTTGAAAATTAAAAATTTTTAATTTTATAAAGTATTTCTAAACCATAAATTCATTAAAATAATTTACTTTTAATAATTTTTAATTATTTTAAAAATTAATAATTTCATTTATATTTTTAATTTATTTTAACAACAAGAAAAAAATAAATTTAATTATTCATTATTGTTTTTTAGATTTATTATTGATTTTATTTTTTTACCAATCAAATAAAGAAAATCAGATAAAAATTAATAGAAATCTAAAAAATACATTTTTGAACAATAAAGTGATTGATTTTTGCTGTCTAAAAATAAATTAAATATTTCATTCTTAAATAAAAGCCATTATTTTTTTGCTTTTAATATTTTTTAAATTCCTTTAAAATTTTAATAAAACCTATTAACCAAAAGTATTTATTTTATTTATTTATAAACATCTAAAAAATTTTTTAAATTTAAATTTTCTCAAAATATTAAAATACAATTAGATAAAGGATAAATAAATCATTTAATTTTTTGAAGAAACTTCATTTTTTCTTCTCTTAACTTCCTACTTTATTCTATAATTGGGTTAAGGCGTGGTTTTTCATTTTAAAATGAATATTAATTATCATCAACTAACTCATCTCTTTATATGTCTATTAATTTTTATTTTAGATAAGATTCAATTTAATATACATTGTTTTTAATTAAAATTTTATTAAGTTAAAATTTTTTCAAAATCAAATTTAATATTGGAAAAAGGTAATTGATTAAAATTATTTAATCAATAAGAAATTTTATAGTAGATTTTTTTTAAAGTAATTAAACTATTTCATTGTTAAGTTTTTATATTTTCATCAATATTATAATTTTATTTAGAAAATCTTTACCTTAGAAATGAGGTTATTCTGGGTATGCTGCTTACACCAGAGGAATGTTTCGATTGAGATTTTCACAAGGTTTTTTACTAAAAGGATTAGCTTAAGGAATAGGTTAAGGGACTTATGTTTAGTTATTATATTAATTTTGTGTATTTAATGGGTGAGAATAGTAATTTATATATTTTTCTTCAAGATTTTTGAGTTCACTTAACTTCAAGCTACTTTCCATAGCTTTTTTAATTAATTAAATAATTTATATATTTTGATTTTAATTTAATTTAGTTAAAATACTTGCTATGGTATCTTCTATTCCACCTAGAACATCAATGTAGTTCTTTAAGTGTTGAGGAGTTGTTTATTAAATCTAATTCTCACAGCAAGTTAAGACATTTCTACCAAAAAGTGTAGTATCATGATCAAATAGTGGATTTTACTAATTTGCCTACACATTATTTGGGGTTTTAGGAACTCTAAATCTAAATAAAAAATACTTTAGAAAATCATTTCTTTTAATAAAAATAAACCTTTAGTATTATAGAGGCAAATCTTCTTCCTTAAATTCTATATTAGCGTTTGGTCTAACATATTATTTTTGATAGGGTGACAAGCTTTACTAATATTAATTGAGTGCTTCCATTTATTTTGGGTTGTTTGTGTTGACTATTCTTTAGTATTGAACGAAAGAGCTTTAATTTAAAATTAATAACAATAAATAAATATCATTTTGTAATTAGAAGTTTTGAATTTTGATAACTTAATTTATTTATTTTTAAATGTTTCTTTACTTTGTATCAGAGAGAAATGTTTGCTGTAGAAAATTATCTGAAAGGGTATTTTAGGCAGGTAGATAATTATTGTTAATTCTATTTTGAGGCGAATATTAGGTTTAGTTTAAATAAAATTCATTTTGAACAAATCTAATTTTTTATTGATAAAAATTGTAGAACATTATTTGTAATCTTTAAATATATTTTTGATTGAATAAGTCAATAAGCATCATACTAATTCTCATAATCTTTCATAGTTCTTTAAAATCCTTCTTTATCTTAATTATGTTATAAGTTATAGGCCTGTTACATGAATGTGTTATGACTTCTTCTAAATTCTTTTTATAATAATATTTTCATTTAAAAAAGAAAATAATTGGGATAATAAAGCAGCAATATATTAATATTATTTTAAGATAAAACTACATTCTTCCTAAGATGACATTTATACCTAGTGCTGATTATTTTTTTAATTTGATATTTAGTTTTTGATTTTAGTCTTAAGATAGTAATCGTTTTATGTATTACTATTTATAACTTATTTACTATTTGAAAAAAATTATAAATATGCTTTTAATAAATGGTAATAAAATTATAAATAAATCTTTGATTTTAATTAAAAATCAAAATAATTTGAAAACTTCATCATAAATAAATAAATCCAGCTAAAAAAAAAAATCATCAATATGACAGTTTAAAATCTATTATTTCTAACTCATTATAATAAAAAAATAATAAATTATTCAATATTTATTGATTAATTGATTGTTTTCTATTAATTAATAGATAATAAAAAGATATGCTGAGTGTTTATCAAATATTTCAATTGATGTTATTTAAATAAATTAAGAAATAAATATTATGATCGTTAATATAATTTTATTGATGTCAAGCATAAGAAAGAATATGATTTTACTTTGATGCTATTCGATTCTAGAAACATTTAAAGATTATCAAATATCAATATAAAATTGATTTATCTGTTTCATTACATTACATACATTCATACATACTGATAATAAAATAATTATGTTTGATGATTAGTAGAGACATATATTTTTTTTTTTGAAATATAATTCTTTCATTTATATATAAATCATACCTTTAAATATTTACCTATTATGTAATTCTTATTTAAATTGTAAATCAAAAATATGAGTGATTGATTATACTTCTATTGATCTAATAAAAATCCAAATAAAATAGTTACTACTTATTATAAAAACTAACTACTTGTTACATATTGATAAATTATTAAAAATTATTGATAAATAATTCAAAGAATACCTAATCAATCATTAAATTTTATAATTTAATATAGAATTATATATTGATAAAAATTCATTTATTATATTTTGAACTTAAAAATATCATTAAAAATATTTATTTATTTTTTAGATTAAACATAAAACTATAATTTTCAAATTTGATATTAAATTTTTATTTTTATCTATAAACTAAGATATCTACATTTAAAAACGAATTTTTCAGTAAATTAATTAAACATAACCATAAGAATTTATAGAAGCTTAGAAATAGTAAAATAGAATATTTATAAAAGTAGCTATTGTTTTAAGTTAGTAAGGAGAGAACTTTAAAAATCTTTAGAGAAGTTGCAATAAGTTAAATTAAAAATATATCATTAAAGATATTAATACACACACAAATAGGGTTGTATAAAATATTGAAAATATAATTTAGGTTAACAATCATAAATGAATAGCTTATTATTACCTAATGAAGTAATTAATACAATAAAAAAGTTGTTAAAATCTGATGTTCTTTATGTAACGCTCTGCCATTGGCTTGTCCTTCAATCATCTAATAAGTAAAAAGATGATTAACTGCCAAAGGTTTATAAAAGCTATATCATTCTTTGCGAAGAATCATTACATTTAGTAGATGAACGTTTTGATAAAGTATTTGCTTCAATTAAATACCTCAACATCAGTAAAGTATTAATAGATATGAACCACGAACAATGTTTTTAGATTCTATTCAATTATGCTTAAGATACACATGCAAAATCTACTTTAGAATAGCAGGTTTTTAAGAATTCTGTTCTTGATGCTTCAATTTTTTAATCACCTCCTATTATTTTCACATAGGCTCGTTTAAATTTTTTAAATCACCTTTCTATGAGTTGGAAAACAGATTATATGATTAAAAATTTTCAAGTAAAAAGCTTAGAGATATTTAGATATGATATTATGAAACTAAAATATGTAAAAGCAGGAAAGAGTAAAGCTTACTAGCTCTAAAATGAAGGGATATAATCTTTATATTAAAAAAGCAGTGGAATGTAACTTGTAAGTTAAAATGCAATTCTTAATAAATTAAATGAGTTTTTACCACCTTCAAGTGATGTTGCAGCAGTAGGAGGAAACGACTTATGGACTTTAAAATTTCATAATTCATATTTGATTGAAAATATGATATTTTAAATAGATAAATCATTTAGAAGAACAGGTATGAATGACTTTCACCATAAAATATCTAAAAATCTACGTATTCATATTGAAGTTAACAAACCAATACCTCTAATATATTTGAAGGAGATAAGATAGAGATAAAATCTTTAAGCATATGCTGAATTAATATTTTAAAAAACAATTATAAAAGATTTAGAAGAACATGGTGAAATTAACGAATATACAATATTATAGAGTCGATCATATTGTAAAAGACATAATATATCTGTCAAATAAAATTTTAGTAAGAGCGATGGGTGGATTATTCAAGTTCGAACTGTTTATAGGGATATTTTTTTAATAATTATAAGAGAAAGTTACCTACCACCTGCATGTGCATTTTTTCAAGAGTATTTTATGATTATCTATGGTGATCACGAAGGAGAATATGACGATATTTAATTATCTTAAGGTATAATTAAGCCTTATTAACTGCTCTAATTAATTACAACTGTAATCGATAATTCGAGATTTACTCATCATATGGAACAGAGTTATTAAGAGGCTATAATTTAATAATCTTTAGATTCACTTTTATTTTAGTCTTTCGATGATTATCATCACCTTAGTACTCATTGCAAGTTTATATCTCAATTCACAGTGTTTGGTATACCATTTATCATATCAATTCTTTAGAATATGAAATATAGATCATCGAAAGATGAACAAATATTTGAAGAAATGCAAAGACAATACTATCAACCAACTCTCAAGGTATGATAAATTAAATTAATTAATTAGTAAATATTAAAGAAAATGTTATATCAAATTTCTTTGAAAAAAATCAATTTTTGATTGTAAGCAGTGGGAGTAATAATAAATTAGAACTAAACAATTCTTTATGGGATTTAGATTAGGGATAGTAGAATAATTTATCAAACAAATATTACTCTTCAACCAAAAATAAGCATTTTAGTACTACTATATTACAACCCTTTAAACACCGTCCAAAAATATATTACAAAACTATTTATTTCGCCTTTTTTTTTTTTTTCTAAAAAAAATAATCATGCATTAATTACTTTTTAAGGAGCATGTTTCATTGTAAATAAATTTTTATTACGGACTTACAAAAGCAAAATAATTCAATACGGTAAATAAAAATAATTCGAGTTATGTTACATCCAAAAATTTTTAATGGTTAGTTTAAGTTAGAGAAACACTAAATATTATCATACAAGTTGAAATATAATTTTTATTTATGATAAAATACTTCAAATTAATTCTAAAAATAAATTTAGTTACAAATATTTTTCTTAAACAGCAAACCATCTAGCTAGCTGTCTTTTAATTCAAACCATAAATTTTTCAAATACTTACATATAAAAGAGTAAATATTTGATTTTAACTTTAAGCAATTTTCAATTAAAGAAACAAGGAATCCTTAATAATTTCTATTAGTTGTAACCTTTTTAAGTGTTTTATCAATTAATTAATCTGTTTAATTAGCATTCTGGTTATATGCTTATTAAATTTTTGATAGGAAGCTTGAAAATTATGTGAAATTATTCTTAGCTGCATGAATTTAATTATATTTTTTGCTTAAATAGCTTACAAAAAATATTTATTTGAAGTAATAAGATATCCTTAAATGTTTCTATATGATAATATAAAAAGAGGAGATTTAATTTGCAATTGAAATATTACAAAGAATATTACTTACATTCAAAATATTAAATTATATTTGAACTTTTTCTTTCATTAATAGGAATTACTTTCTAAATATAAAGAACTTATAGAGCAGCTAGATGGTAAGTTGACTCCTTTTGAAATGGTCGAGAAGTTCTTGCAAAGGTCCATGTTTGTAAATAATTTAGAAACAAGGCTAAACTGGTTAAAAAAACTCTAATTTTTCATGGCATACTGTATTGACTAAGCTATTACTCCCAGGATGAAATTTCTTAATTTATTAGAAAGCCTTTATGATGACGAAGACTATTTTTCAAGACTTATTTCTTTTATGTTATGCCTGAGAGAAAAGTAAATAGAATAACAAGGAGAAATGGATGAAAGAAATGGTAACTTAATTTCAGGGAATTCTTAACCTTCTATGAACTATGCAGGGTAGAAAAAGAATGAATTATTTTTGATAAAACACTAAACTAATTTTTAATTCGATTTATAAAATTTCTCAGAGTAACCCCAAAGTTATGAATTCAATATTGAGATTATGCATATTATCATTTCTAGTTAATCTCTTCTAGATATCTTTTTTTTGTCTAATTAGCCTCAAGTTATTACCAAAATTTACAAATATTTCTTGAGAACTGATTGTGAGTACTACAATTTGCAAATAGCCTCTGTTTAAAGTATTTATCAATATTGTATTGATAAGAGGCCTACAGAGATGAGATTGCAATTATTTAAAGGATTTATCTATGACTTGCTAAAGATCTGTGAAAAAGCTGACTAGAGATTGGTAAAATTGTGTTTTGTTACTATTTACTAAATAATATTATGTGATGAAAATTTGGCTTTACTTCCCCAATTTGAATTACTTAAGTAAGACGGTCCTCATATTCTGGTAAATTCATTATCGATAATAGATCAAGAATAAATATAGATAATTCTAAAGCTTGTAAAGCTACTCATCAACAGTTTAGATATATTTATTAAACTTGGTATCACTAAGAAATTAGTGCAGTTGATTTATATTTTAGAAGAAATTGAAGGTATAAGTGTGTAAGAGAATACTTTAATTTAGATAGAGAGCTTGCTACTCTAAATTGTAAGAAAAAATGAAATTTCTCAATTAAAGAATAGCCAAAAGAAAACAATATTCAATTTGATGAAAAGCACAAATTCCAATTCTCCTGAGCATATGCTTAAGGTAATGGAGCTTGTTTAAGAAATTACAAAGAAAGATGTTACATCCAAAAAATAACTTGGCGTGTTCATAGTAAATAAAATACTAAACTTGTTATACATAATTGACAAAAAGTAAAGCTATTCAAAAGTCTACTAAATATGTTTGGAAATCCTTATAAACTACATTTAAGAAAATTTAATTATCAAAAACAAGCTGTAAAAAGAGAATGCATTAAAGGGTATCCTTACTCTCAAATTAAAATAAATTTCCTAGTAAGAACTAGAGATAAACGAAAACAACATTGATACCTTAAATGGGCAAATTGTAGCTTTGTGTGAAGAATTATATGATATAAATATAAACAACCAAGAAGGAGGTGAAAATATAAGTCCTATTATGCCAAGTAAAAACGATTTTTTTTATTTTTTTTTTTCAAGGCTTACAGTTTTTTATTTATAATAAATAATTCAAAGCAATTTCCATATTGCTTACTTAAGACAAATAATCTGAAAGATTTTTGCTTGTTTTTTGAAATTTAATTTGTCAATTTTTATGGTATAAATTTCGTGAAAAGTGTAAAAAATAGAGTATTTACACAGTTATAAAATATTAAATTAGAAAATTTGGATCTAACTTATTTTACAATGTCCTCTTTGTCAAAAATCAAGCAAAAATAAATAAATAAATATTTATTTATTTATTTATAAGTAAAGAATTTTTCCCTTTACTTGCTATGACAAAAAGGAATTAATCTTATTAGCAATTGAATAAAGAAAAAAAATAAATAAATATATAAAAAATCAATCAATCTATCATCAATCTTACCCCTTTAATTTAAATATAGAAATATTCTTTTTCTCTTGAAAAATTTTTATAGAAAAATGTAATTTAAATTTTGTTTCAGTTTGCTTTTTGATACATCAAATTATGTATCTATTTCACTACTTAGTTCAAGTTGCGTCACTAAAAACTGATTGGAGTACTAACTCATTTATCAACAACTATTATAATCATCTAATATTTTTTGATAAAATATTATCGTACTTTACACTTTTTATTTGTAATATGTGCTAAATTTGTGCTAGCAAATATTAATCACACACATTTATGCTCTAAATACTTAATTTATCACAAAAAAATTAGCATCAAAAAAATAAGGAAAAAAATATATATAAAATTTATAGCACTGTCAACTTATTTTTAATAAAATTAAGTATCAAACAATTATTTTTTTAGTTTGTTAAAAGGGAATATAAAGAAGCATGAAAGTGCAAAATCTTAGGCTGTTATTTCTTGTTTTATAAATCAGTTATATTTCAAGGATTTTGTTTCTTTTGTAAAACTGTAAGGTAGTTCTGATAAATTATAGTACTAAGCACGAAAATTTGTATTTTTTATCTCATTTAAAATAACAAAAATCAATTAAAGAAATTAACAGAATAAACAAATAGTTTTTAAAAGCCTTTTATTTTTGGTTTAAAAGAGTAGATCCGTAGTTTATGCAAATAATTAAGACAAATTTAATGATTATTTTTGCATTTCTTGATTAGAACAAATTTTTAGCTACAATTAATTTTCACACACAGCATACTTTTTGTCAGAAATTATTAGAATATAACTAAAATTTATTAGCACTTATTACTTAAAATGTACTAGAGTTCATTTTATGCATTCCTAGACTTTCATTTTTAGTTAAGATATATTTTGAACTTTGTAATACAATTTTTGTATAAATAATAGTATTTGATTGATTGATTGCTAGCTAGTTATTTAGTTAGTTATCAAGAAAATGTTATTGAAAAATTAATATTTGGTATTTATAATTTGAAAAAATATAAGCTAATTTGGTTGATTTGCAAAAGATATTTATTTTTACTCACATTCCCCAGCTATTATCAATTAAAAATAAAGTACATTTATATTTTATTCCTACTTTCTTTAATAATTCTTAAGGTATTTACATTAATTCGTTTGATAATCAAAAATAAATTCTTTAAATTAGATTTCTAAGCTGAGTTAATAGATTTTGTATACACTTTTACCCTTTCCATAATTAGAGTAATTAGAGAACAGATATTTTCTATTGCTCATATTATAAATAATAGTTGTTATTTTTACAATTTTATTATAAAGTAAAGCTTGAATTTTTCTAAATTTTTCCACTCTCCAATCTTAAGCTAATTAATTACTTTTTTCAAATATCTATTAGAAAAGACCATAACAGAATTGATGGAAGAAATGAATAACCCTAAGAGAAAAGCTCAAATATGTAATTCTTTCTTAACATATAATTAATTGATTATTTCTAGAGTTTATTTTTCAAATAAGACATTTATTTTTAATTTAATGAATGTATTACTTCAATGAAAATTTAAAAAAAGAAATATAAAAATAAATCAGGCATATTTGAATTAAGTTACTTTCTTATTTCAATTAAATTTTAATAATGTTAAAAGCAATTCCAGAGTTAAAGGGTGACCAAAACTAGCAATCAAATGATGATGACGATGATCTTGAAAGTGTATATACTCCGCATCGCTAGAAAGATAATGAATTATCAGAAAAAGTATTTAGTCCCTTGCACACAGAAGAAGAAGGAGATTTAAAGTAAATGGATTTCGATAAAAAACAAAAGCTTGTTTAATAAGCTTTAAGCAAATTTAAACTGTGAGTGAATTTAAATTTGGTTTTTAAAGTAAATATAAACGAAGAAAAATTCGAGCTATCAATCATTTATTCTTTTTCCGTTTGTCGATTAAATTTTTTTGTTTGTGGAAATTGAGTAATATTAATTTTTTAAATATTTTGTAGCATTTTATTAAATATGTAATTAAACATATGCAATATCCTTTTAATGATTACATGAAATAAACATTAGTCCAACAAAATTTATATTATTTTATCAATATAAAAACAATTATTTATGTTTAATTTTTTCATGAATCTATTTATTTATTGAAACTAGGATATTTTATTTTATTAGAGTTTTACTTTCAATTTTATTGATTTAAAAAATCTCTCTCATTAATTCATTTTACATGTTCTTCATTTATTTAAATTTATTTATTTTAACAAAAATTGAGAGAAAAGAAATAAATATTAATGTTTTAATTAATAAAAGAATGTAAAAATTAAAGTAAATTTTTTTATTTTTTTACTTGGTAAATATGATATTGATAAAACAGGTATGTATGTATTAATTATTCTTTCACAATTAAAAAGATTTATCAATTTTTCTTATTGGAAGTGGATACTTTTCAAATACATTTCATACCAAAAAGTCTAAATTTTATCAGTTGAAACATCAAAATACATGGTTTTAAATTTACTTTTAATAATATTAATAACCTTTTCTTACTAAATGAATGATTGAGCATTATTAGATGATGGCATTATTTGCGTTGATAATTAGTTACATTAATTCAAATATAAATTTTTTAAATATGTAAAGTAAATTTTTATTTGGCTAAATCTCTTTTTTAATTTTATGTTATAAAAATAGATTGTTTAAAAAAATATCATGTATGATGTTTGAATATGCATGGATGATGTTTTTTCGTCGACTTACTCGATTATTAATATTAATAATTTTATAAATTAATCAATACAAATTAATGACCTTTAGATACTCACTCTGATTTATAATTCAAATCTCATAGGAAGTAAAAAAAATCATCTTTAAATATATTTTTTAAAATCAATAAAGTAATTACAATACAATAACACTTGAACAGTAAACTAACGATATAATATGATTTTGGTTGTTCTTATGAATTGTAATAATTACTGATTCAAAAAAAAAAAAAAAAAAACTGAGAAAGAAATCAAATTACTATTTGATAATTTTAATTCTTATGATCTGCTGCAGGAAATCAAAATACTCTACATCAAAATAATGTAAGCTCGTCGACAATAAATTAGGATTGATAAAAAGTAATCTAATAATTTTATAGGTGTAAATAAATATTCTTACGAATCATATCTTTAGGATAATCGTCATTTATTCTATTCACTTCTAATTTTAGCTATTAAGTATGTATTCATTTTTAGAAAATTTAAATCCATTCAGTTTCTTTAAATTTTCAATTTTTGTTATGCATAATATGTTAAATAAAAATAATGAATCTTAACTTACCCCATTGTTGAAAAGAAAATTTTAACTGTTGTTTCAAAACAAATGAGAGTTATTTAGAGAGGGATAAAGGCTTAATTAGTTATTAAATTTGAATAAACTAAATTAAAGGTTTAAGTAAAAAACTAAAAAGAGAAATTGATCCAGTAGATAAATTTTATTTACAATCATTGAATTAACCACTCTTGAAAAATCAAAGATAGGTAGGTAGGTTTATTAACGTAACTTTATTTTTTTCAAATTTATATTTTCAATTAACGCCTTCAAGAGTTAAATTATCTTATTTCTGTAAATTATTTTTTTAATTTTGCTATAAACTCAAATATATTTATTTATTTGCTAACTTTAAGATTTTGGAAGTGTAGAAAACAATTTAGCAAATACCATAACCAAAATTGCTTCTATTAGAGTAGAAATTTAAATTTAAAATGAAAAAAATTTAGCTCGCTACTTTGGACATGGGTCAAAATATCATAGAAAATAGTTATCTCTCATGTTTTAATTTAATACGTGACCAAATTATTTGTAAGTAAAAAAATTGGCTCCATTAAACTTCTATTTTAGAAAGAATCAAAATAGATAAAAAAATGAAAATAAAATTAATCTAAATGTATCTCCCAATCATTTAGTTCAAATTTATTTTAAATTTTCTTATTCTATTCAATTTGTGGACAATTCTTCCTCTCTTTTTCCTAAAAAGCGCATTTTAGAAAATTTTTTTGGTAAATATTTGCTTAAATACTTTCGCTCTTGCAAAAATTATTCTAAGTCTTTTGTTTGTTAGTTTTCTCTTTGTCTTCTTTATTTTCTTGATTTAATGCATTCCAATAAAAAACAGATTTTGAAAATATTTAGGGACAATAACTTTTTTTATCTTAAAATTGAATATAACTTTGTGCATTTTTGAATTTTAAAAATTAGAAATCTAATATGTCCTTCAGCTGCAAATAGCTGCTTCTAAGGTTTATTTCGTTAATCTATCTTCATTTTCAGTTAATTCAGGAAACACGATTATCGGCTTATTAAAAGAAAATATTTACCGAATAATCCGGTTGTCCTTTATTTTTAGAATAACATTAATCAAAGGTAAAAAAAATTTTTCATACAGCCTTAGATAGAGCGTGAGAAAAAATTTTTAAAGCAAGATTAATAAAATGTGAAATTTAATATTAATTCGTAGATCTAATGGTTTGATTGATGGCACAGTCAAGTAAATTAGTTATATCAAATCAATATGTTTTATGCTTGTAGGTATCATTTTTTTCAAAATTATATTTCTGTGTGATTGTCAAATTTATAAAATCACTTCAATCATATCATAACGCATGAATTTTCGCCCAGTAAATAATGATTACTTGGAAGTGAGTTTTCACCAGATCAGCAGTACATTCACTGAATTATGTAATGAAAGCTTGTAAGGTGAATTATATATAAAATTCTATTTCAGATCAATTTATATTGAGAGTAAATTTTGTTTATTTTTGAAACTATAACTGCTTATTATCTAAATCTGAAATTAGGAAGAGTGTTACAAATCAAAAATATTAACAAACAACATTTAATGTCGATGCGTGTTAGCAACCAAATATTTTCGTCTAATTAGATTTATTTTAAGTGATTTTAATTAAATAAAATGAGTAAGCATTAAAGCTTAAGAACTTATATGAATAAAATACAAGTATAAAATAAATGAAAATCAAATTGAGTAAAGTGATAGGAAAGATTAGGCTGATTGATTAGCTAGTTAATTATTAATCTATTTAGATATCTAACAATCTATATTATATATAAAAGAGAAGACTTTATTCACTCAATAATTTAAAGAATGTTAAATGTTCTAATAATTAAATACTTTAATATAAAAAAAGTAATGTAAAATGATAAACAATGGTTTTCTCACCCAGCGTAATTAAAAAAATTACCTTTATATTAAGAAAATAGTAAATTATATATTTTTTACTTTCATATTAGATTTCAAAAATAAGTAGTAATTTAATAAATGCTTTCATTAATTCATAAATTCAAAATATTTGTTTTAATTATACATTTTTTAGCCAGCGTATTCTTTCATTCATTCATTCATGTAAAGATTATCTTGTACACGTACATACATACATACACACAAACATTCTTATTTTCTAAATTTTATTTTTTATTGATCAACTGTAAAAAACCAGTGGCTATACTATAAAAATTAAAGTCTAAATAATACTACTTATTTACTTGTACGGTATATGGATTGTAGGTAATAATTAGTTACTTTTCAGCATTAGAGCAAAGCTTTTTTAGCTTTTACCATCTAGGTTTCAAATATTCACTGAATTTAATATTTAATCCTTGTAATTTAAGCTTTTGCTAGAATTCTCCAATCTAATTTCAAAAATAACATAGACAAGATTAATAAGTCTTTATTGTTTATTGCAATTTTAAGGTGTAATTTAAAATAAAAACAATTGGAAGAATACAGATAAGATAGATAGATATAAGATAAATAAATAAAGAAAGAATACAAATAAAAGGAGACGAAGAGTTTAAGGATTAAATTATTATTATATAATTTATAAACTAATATGAAAAATAAAGATAGATAGTTTGTTAGTATGTTTTTTTTAAGCATTAGAGGAAGGGAAGGTATTTTATTTTATTATTTGAAGTAAGTTGCTGCTATATATTGTAGTTGTGTTTTATTTTTTTTAAATGAACCGATATTAAATTTTTTTGAAAAAGGGAAGCTAGTTGATAGAAGATAAATAGTATGAATTAATAAATTAATTAATTTACTTGTTTATCCTAATTTTAATTTCCCTTTTTTACATTTAGAACTAAATTTCAAATCTTGTAATTAGGATATTTTTTATGATTACAATAATTTATTATTATAATTACCAAAATTCATATTTTATCAAAGTGTGAAAGAAATAGAATGGAGTAATGAACTGCTGCTAAGAAAAGAAGCAATTAATAAATAAATATTAGGTATATAGTTAGATAAACCAAGCAAACCCTCTTATGAGTTTACAAATTTTTTTTCTTCTATAAATAAATAAATTAATTAATTGGCTTTTGTTACACTAATTATCGTTTCTATCCATTTAGTATTTTATTTTTTTGATGATGTTACTGATTTACTATTTTACTTTTATTAATTTGTTATCATTATTTAGTATTTATTTATATTTCATTTTTGTTAATTTATATTTAAGTTTTATACTGGGTTAATATTATTATAATTATTATTTTTATATACAGTGTTAAGTTTTGTTAGAGGTTTTTCATTATTTAATTTCTATAAATCTATTAATTGACTGACTGACTGTCTGCCTCATTATCACTGATAAAACTAATTTATGTTTTATTATTGCTGTTACTTTTAGAGTTGTAAATGCATGTGCGCAAAGTTTTCTTGGGGAGAACTTTATTATCCAATTATGCCAGATTGAATAGATTCGAACAGTGACTGAGGTGTTTGATTAATTGAAATAGTATTTATTTAAGGATTTGTGGGCATCATTTCTTATTTTGGTTGGTATCTCACATACTACATTGTTTATGGATTGAGGACTATAATTTCATTGCTAATTACATCGTGAATTACCTAAGGAGTTTGCTATTATTAGGGCCACTACTATTATTGTTGAGTTTGCTACTATAGTTATTGTTAAAATTAAAAAATTTATTGATTTGGTACTAAATTTGGCATTTGGTGCAAGAGTGGAGTTTGTATAATCTAATAATTTTGTTATTATTGCTGTTGCTATTATTATGAAATAACACTTAAATTGACTGGGTAATTGATATTTAATAGTTATTAAGGAATACTTACTTATGATTGTTATTTTAATTAATTCATTAATTAAGGATTTTATTGCAGTTATTACATTTAAATATTTTGCAAAAGTACTTGATTCATATCAACCTAGCATGCAGATCCGATTTGTTAGTTTAAGAATTAAGAATTTAATTGTTGAGGACTCATCATAATAGTATTTTGAAGGAAAGGATTTGTTTATTACAATTATGATTATTATTAAAGTAATTAATTAGTGCTAATCTAAAGGGAAGCTTAAGGAATGAATACCTGAGATTAATTTATTTCACCTGTTTTAATCTGCTTTCTTAATTCTGGGGCATAAATATTATTTGAATTTCCCTGATTTAGCAAATCATACTATGTGTTAGCAGCATTTAAGCTTGGTATTTATAAATCGAAATTTATGTTATTTTTTTATTTTTCTTGTTAGATAAGATTTCCTTCTGCAGTTTTTGGGGATTTGTAAATACTGCTGGCTTGAGTGAGGCTGTTGGAGCAGTCATCTTCGTGCTTTATTCCAATGTTTTTAGGAACGTAGTTGGTGTTTACGTTGCTAATTGTAGCTCTGCTCTAAGCTTTGCTTCTCTCTTCGAATGGCTGATGATCTAGCTAATTCTGAGTTATGTTTGAAAGAGAACTACTTACTATTTTAGGTGAAATGTCATTTTCTTACTTTTTTATATTTTTCTAGATCATGGTCAGAGATTATTATGAATTTGGAAGAGAATCTTTAATTGACTCGAAAAACTTTTTTTCTAATGAATTTTTAGGTACTGAGTTAACAACCAACCCCATAGATTAGGAAGACTATATTGTCAGAGCAGGCAGTAAAGGAATCTCTTTGAATGCAGCGCAAGTTTGGCTAGAGGCTACTTCAGAATTGACTAAGTTCTTTTGATAAACTTTAGAAAGATATTTTGATTAGGAGTTGTTCAGATTTTACAAATGAGAAATTTGGGCTCTGCGAGGTTTTCCTTCAGAGGTCTTAGATTTCTTTCTTTTGAGTGGGCAAAAAGAAAAGACATGAGACCAAAGAGAATAAAAGTCTGTAAATTTAGTTTTACGATCAGGATGTAAGCAGTGCTCTAACAAAAGCAAGGCGGTCATTTTCTTACGATACTAAGTCTGATAATCAATAGTGTCTTTTTCAGCTTAGATATTTTCATGAATAATGTTCAGTAAAAGCTCAACGTAGCCAGAAATTTTTCTTTTCTCCTAAAGAGACTCTAAGAAATAGTTCAAGAGGGTAATGTAGCGCTTCTTAAGCTAGCTACCTTCCTCACGTTCCATCTTGCTTGTTAGCTATTTGAAAACATCACGCTTGAATTCAACTTAGAAATCTCCAACTAGGAGCTCTGAAACATAGCACTCAAGGAAATAATTCATTACAGAATTTTGGAATTATTTATTTAAAGTGTTGATGTTTTTTCCTTGCCATTCAGTAGTGAGTCTAATTATTTCGTTTCCGATATTTTAAATAAGTTCGCTTGTGATTCCGTTAAAATCAAGGATGGACTTGTACTTTTATTGAAGTTGATTTAAACAGCTGGGATATTGTTAATCTGATTTAATTGTAATTGTAGGCTAATCACAGTTAGGATTTATAATAGAGCAGCTTTCTTTTTAAGTGAGTAATTCGTTCGATTTAATTTGATTTTCAATTCTTATTTCAGATAATTTGTCCACAAAATTTTATTCGTTTTACGAAATGCAATCATTGTTTTTAGATGTGCTTTCGCTCATTTCTTGGTCGTCATGGTTTCCTTCGCTAAAAATTGCCTAAGATTCTAGTTTTTTATTGGTTTTTTAATCAATTTGAGTTTTCTTTTTATTTGATGCAGACTTGTTTTAGTCTTAAATAGCGCTGATAAGAGAAGCAGGGATTTAGGATTATAAAAGAGGAGTAATTTAGCTAAGCTCTTCCTTGTCAAATGAATTCATTTTAGTAAATAAAAGTGAAGAGTATATATTGTTTGCGTAATAAGCTTGTAGAAATAACAACTAGACTTTTGATAGAAACGTACGTGCTAGAGGTGGTAATAGCAAATGCTTTTTTTGTAGTGAATTTTTTTTAGGGAGTTTGAGTAAGCTTGGAATTACTATGTTATCAATTATAAAATTTTAGAATTTTAAATTTTATAATTTTTTGGAGTAATCGACAGACGGTATGGTATGGTAAGGTATATACGCTTGAATAAATCAGAAACAAAAATACTTAACTAGTTTAATCTTGAATTGTTTATGCTTCAATTTTTATTTGAATAAGATTATTCAAAGAACCAAAGATAGATTTGATTGATGTGATTGATAAGCGATAAAAAATAGAATAGAAGACCAAAAGGTTTTGGAACAAAAGGATAAGATAAGTTTAAGTGAGTGTATTTTCTAAATTCTTCTCTCTAAGAAACGAAGGTGTTTTTTCAGTAGTGAAGTAGAATTAGTAGATTTATGAGTATCTTAATATTGCTATTAGTTGGCCTAAATTGATAGATAGGTTAATGGATAGATTTTAAAGTAAATTAAATATTATGGGAGATATCTTAAATTTTTTTATTTTTCTTAAGATTGTGTATTTTTTCAAATTATTAATATTTATATTTTATGATATTAGCTTTCCCCACACTTTATTAATAACGATATGATTGATTGATTCTAATTCGTTTTGATGAGAAAAAGACTTGCAAATAAATAAATAAATATTTATTAATCAAATTAAAGTGAAATTATAGAGTGATGTTTTCTATTTATTAAGTAAAAATCCATTTAAATGATAGATTAATTAAGAAGCCAAAAAAATGCAGGTATTATATTTACTCGAGTAATTTAATTTATATTAGGAGTACTAATCATTTTTCATGATAGTTTACCATAATTAAGAATTGACTGGTAATATTACTCAATTATATCTCTAGAAAACAAACTACTTTTAAAAAAATTTAGAGCTTAATAAATCATTAATATATGAAAATAATATCAAAATTGAAAATGGAATCTAAATTTTCACCTCTTTCAACCATTTTTACCTCCTCAAAGTCCAAACACTTATTAAGGCATTTATTATTGTAAAATGCAGTATCTAAATAACAATCTCTGTAATTAATAAAAGTTTCCATCCAAGGTATAAACACAAGCTCTATTGGTCATGAGCTTTATGGTACAGCATTTTCTATGAAAATTAACATTTAGTAGTTATTAATGATTTATTTGTAAAAAAATTACCTAGCCCTTATATTCCATTTTATTTTTCCACCCACCCTATTAATTATTCCATAATCTGTCTATGAAAGAGCTTTATTTTATTCGATGTCTTTTTTACAGCATCTTTTAATAAATTTAAATTAATTAGTACTATATATTCAAAGTTTCTTTGTGCAAATTCTATTAAATTCTTTTGCAAGACAACTTTTTATACTTAATTAAAAATTTTTAAAACATCTCCCACCCGTACGTAAGTATGTATGTATGTATATTGCAAATTAATTAAATGAAGTAATTTATTTTTTCTAACTTTAATATAATTTTCATGATTACTACCTCTCTCAAAACATCATCAAAATCAAAGTACCTTAATTTATTTTTATCATTTATTTAATTCTAAAAATTTCAAGATTTTGATAAGCCTCATTTTTAATTACAATTTAGGTCATTGTAATCTTTGCATTTTGCTCTACAAAAATTCTAAATTCATGTCAGTTTATCGCAACTCGAGTTTGTAATTTTATTCTATCCAAATCCTATATTGATTACAATCGTATAAATAATTGAATTTTTTTTTTTGAAGTATTGTTGAAATTTCAATTTATTTCACCCACTCAAACATATTCAAAAAAAAGCACCAAAACCCCAAACATTATGCTATTCCTACGCTAAATAAAATTATTTTAAATTTAAGGATTATTTGAAATGAATTTCCTCAATACTCAAGCTAGCTTTTATTATTTATGAGAGAAGGTATTTATACCTTATAGAAACAGATGGATAGGAAGGAAGGAAGTGTGCTAAGATTTAGTATAAATATAGTGAAAATAATTTGTAAGTTATTTAAAGGTAAGAAATTGTAAAATTCAATAATAAAAATTTTAAAAAGTAAGGACTCTATTATAAACTAAATTTAAAATTCCTTATTTGATTAAAAATTTAATGGTTTTTATGAAAGATTTTTAGAAATTTATAATAAAAAGTGGATTCAAATAAATATGTTTGATTTTCCTAATTTGATATTTGATTTAAACATTTTTTATTATTTTTAATAAAGAAATTGATAGAAAATGATAAATTCTTTTTAACAAACAAAATGAAATATTATCTTTTAAACATAGTTTTATTAAGTAGAATTCTAAATAAATCATAGAATGTATTATTCTATTAAAAAATAATACTCTTATTTATTTTAAGAAAAATTTCTTTTACTCAATTAGTTAAATTTATTTTCTCTAATTTGATTTCAAGTGATTTAGGATTTTTCAGTCAATTTTCTTTTAGATTTATGAACAATATTTGATTTTTTTCTCTCTCTTTAGCTTCTTTTTTTATTTTTGTAAACAAATATAAATTTGATAGTAAACAAAATTCGCTAACATCTCCTAAAGTGATTATTTCTGCTAAATTAGTACCTATAAACTTGGTTGGTATTTATTTAAGTTAGAGTTATTTAATTATTATTTATCAAGCTTACTTCATAAAACGGGCCTGATTATTCAAATTTTTTCATATTAAATACTTATTTATTCTATTCATCAAAATAATAGAACCAGCCAACTTTCATTTTTCTAAAAGTCAACTTTATTTCTTCAATAAAATTCTCAAATTTTTGATTTTAATGAATGCAAATTTTCTTACCAATCACTTTTTTATGTTTTTTTTATAATAATCAATAGAATCTTATAATAATCTTCTGATTTAGTCTCTATAATATACTTGAAAGCATAATAAAATAAATAATCTTATAGAAAAATTTGTTTATATCGAACTGAGTTTTTAAAAAATAGATTATAAAGAGAAAAAATTTAAGGAACTAACTTTAGATCTAAATAATTTTCAAGAAAGGGAATTAGGATATACTTCAAATTTATCTATTTCCATAGAATTTGTTCAAATTTTTTTAAGCAAAATTTTGGATAAATGAGTTAATACAATTCATAAATTCTAGATAAGCTCTTAGCAAAATCATTCTAATAAATTTTTAGGATTTGTAACTAAAAGAAAATAGAAAACATAATTTTTTTCTCAAAAGATAATTTAAATGTTTTAACAACATTTTTAAATTTATTAGATATTTTATTTACAATCCCTCCTGGAATTAAGATCCATTTGAAATGTAAATACTTCTAATGCTTTCTTTTAGGAAAAAACTTCAACCTGATGAATGATATAATAAGCCAAATCTTAACATAAATATAAATAAAGTAATAGATTTTTATTCAAAAATTTTAATTTGAACTTTACAATTAAAAATTTGAAAGTTGCTTGTACAAATTTACAAAGAATTATTTTAAAATTCGAATTTTTATTCCTTTTTCACATAATAAATAAATAACTAATAAATATCTAACTATTATTTTATTAAAAATACACTTTCAAAAACTATCAACTTTCATAGATAAGATCTATAAATACCTTGACGAGTATTTTCAGTTTTGTGAAAATGATAAATACAATTACTCAAAGATAAGGTATTAGTTATTTTTTTTTAATATTACTTATTTTCTTCAAACTAAATAACCCCATCCCATCCCATCCCCTGGAATTAATTTATTATTTAATTTTTAAGCTTACAACGAACTAGGAAATATATCTAATCGTATTTAATTAGAATAACATTACTTAATTTTTTATATAAATAGGGAATTCGACTTATCCTACTTATAGACATATTATAGGTTAAAATTTAAGCAAATCAAAAATTTCAACACTTGCACGATATTTAACTTTTATTAGAATATATTCAAAAAGAAGAGCATGAATGAGTTCATGTTTATGATAATATTTTATTGTTATATTTATCTTGGTCTATTTATGTTTACTTCTTCAATCTTTAAATAAATTCTTACTTTAAAACACACAAACCTAAAAAAAAGTGACTTGTAAGAAATCTTACTTTTACAAGTTAGATTTACACATTTTAAAAGCAGCGAATATAAAATACTATAAAATTGCTTGATTAATGAAGTATTTTCATATAATATTTTATATTGATTAAATCTAGCCTAAAAAGAATGCATACATACCTCTGTGTTTATTAGAGTAACTTTTTTTTTCTTAGCAATTTTTTCACCTTATAATTAAATTAAATTTAATTTAGGATTTCTTGTAAATTTAATGCTAAAAAATAAAGAACTATGTTTACAAAATTTGGGTACAAAAAATTTTTATAACATATGGTCGAATTTTTTAATAATTCAATATAAAATAATTGCTACAATGATTAAAACACATTTTTGTTTATTTTTTTGGATTTTCCTAAGCATTTATTTAATTATTTAGCGTTCATAATTTTTAATCTATGAATTTTAAATTATTTGCTTGAATAGTACAATAAAATATAATCACTTTTAATTATCCTAATAAATAATTCCTAAATTTATTCATAAATGAATGAATGAATCAAATTTTGGGATCATATATAGGATAGAATTTTTTTATTTGAGACTGAAATTTAAAATTAAAAAAATGTATGTTTAGCTTAATGGATTGAATTAAAACTTTTTTGTTTAAGATTTTAAATTTACTGTATAAATAATTGCAACGTTATTCTATTTTGAATAATATTTTGATGAATATATTTTTTTATTTCTTGTACTTGCTAATTATTTCTGTTATGTTGTGTAAAAAAAGTAATAATATATAAAACAGCAGCTTAATATTAGTTATCTAGATAGCTTGAAATTAAGGAAAAAAATCAAAGATTTTTATCATTCAAATTTATTTATTACACTAAAAATTTGACATCAATTACTATCATTTAATTAAAAAGATTGGTTAATAGATAAATTGTTTGAAAAAAATTTGTCAATTGATTATTACTACTTCTATAAATTCATGATAAAATCTTTTCTAATTTTATTTGTAAGAATATTTCAAAAACAAACATTTAGATTAGAAATCTCAAAAATTTTTTTATATCTTTGAATGCAAAGAAGTCATTTTGTAAATTTTTTAAAAATATTAGCAAAATTTTAATAAATAAGTTGAAATTTCTAAAATAAAAATTTTTCTTTTTCTTTAAAAATCAAAGGCTATGCTTACTTAGGGAAAATAAAATAGGAAAATAACAATTGGTTTACTCTTGAAATGTAAATTAACATTTTCAGTCTACTAATGTAGATTCATAAATCGGCGTACTTAGCAATAATATTAAGAGTAAGTGTATTTATAAGAGGTATCTTAAGCGTATTCTAATTTTTTTAAAAAAGAAACCATTTATCATCCCATAAATTTGACACAAATTCTCTTATTTTTAGATTTGCTGATGTTATGTTTAGTGTTATAAGCAGTAATAAAAACAATTTCAAAGTCAGTCTTTTTTGCTCAGAGATATAGAAAAAAATGGTTTGATAACTTTGTAAATACTTAACAATATTTGTTGAATAATATGAATAACTTTTGAGAGCTCAATTCGATTTTCAGGCGCTACTGAATCAATCTAAGTTTATGCAATAACAGGATTTCTACTACATGCTATTCGTATTTTTAAAATATAAATTTTTGTAAATAACATTTTTGTTACTTCCTCATTTTTTCTAAGTAAATAAATTAAATAAAGGGTTTATTCATTTTTAAAGCTCATTTTAAAAAATGTTTTCATAAATTTAGAAAGAAAAAAAAAATAAAATGAAAATGCTTTAAAAATTTTTCTAAAATTGCTATTAGTAAGCATAATTTTTATTGAATCAAATTTTGTTAAATTTCCTAATAGTTGCTTTTGATAAAAATTTATGAATACTTTATTCCTATTTATAATCATAAATTTCACTTTTATTAATTCAATAATTTTTGGGTATTTAGCAAGACATTTAAATAAAGATTTTTAGACTGTAACAATTACTTGTTTATTAACCTAAAAATAATTTTTTTAAAAAAAAGTATGAAAAATAGTCATTTCTCATTGCAATGTGATGGCTAAATTCAAAACTGTAATCTTGTCCTTAAGAATAAAAATTTTAAAGTATATTTAGAGATAAATTCCTTGATTTAAATTGAATAAGCAAGCAAAATACAAAAATTAAATTCATTAAAGAAGATAAATAGGTATTATAGTTGTAACTTTTGTCAGAATAGATTAAATAACGAGTTGTCAGAAATGTTACTTGTTTTTACATTTGTTTGTATATAATAGCAATTAAAGTAAATATTTCAAACAACAAATACATAAAATCTGATTCAAAAAATTATAAAAATGTAAATTTTTTTAGTATCAGATGTGACCCTTAAAAGATGGAAGAGGTAGAAAACTACAATTTTTTCACTAGTTATTGGTCAAAACAAAGAATGCAAAAACTTATTTTATAAAATGCATATTAAAAAAAAACAAAATAATTTATATTGGTATTTTTGTTAATTAAAAAAGCAATAGCTTAAAATATCTTGACAGTATTCAAATTATTAGTTTTTAAAGAATAGATAATGCGTAAATTTTTTAATTTTTCTTTATCCTTACAATAATAATTAAGAGATACAAATAAAACTGTGGAATAAAAATGCGATTTTATATATTTGATTTGATAAACCTTGTTTTGTTTAAAGTTATTCTTTGTTTTTCTATTTAAAGGAACTAACTATTCCCTTAAAATTATATTACAATTTTACTAGCAAGTCATTTTACTTCTATTGATACAAATATAAAAAGTTAATTAATTTACATTAAATTTAGGACTTTCCTCCCCATCTGTATTATAATACAAGTAACATCAAATTTAGAAAGTATATGTAAACAAAAGAAAAATACAATGAATTTTAAATCAATTTAATGCGAATATATAATCCCTTTTCCAATATAGTTTTTGTTGCACAATAGCTATTATGCTTTTATTTTACATTGGTATTTTAACATCGCTTGTTAGAAATTTATTATTTGTTGTGATTTTTGTAAATGTAAGCAACTTTTAAAATAGTATTTATTATTCATCAACGAGATAAAGTTAAATTTTAAATTTTTCGATTAAATAATTGACACTTACATATTTAGGTCAAAGTCTATTACCATCATGAAATAATAAATTTATCTGATAAAAAATAAAGAGTTTGATTCTAACGTATCAATGTTCAACTGAAGATTATTAATTAATTAAATGACTTACTGCAAAATTAAATTTTAATCTTTTTTATATTTATTTTTAGTAAATGATAAATTAATGGAGCAAAAAATATAATTTATTTATTTATCTTTTTCTATTACTTGAAAATATTCTCAAAAATTTGCAATAATACTGTACCTAAATTTTTTGAAATTTTTACTGACAACACTGGACTCAATCTATTTGTTTACTGAAATATGTGTAATTAAATAATAATATTCTTTTAATTTTATTTTTAAGTTAGCTATAGCTTTGTGATCTCCATATTAAGTATTACATATTTGCTTTTACATACAAATAATATAAAGAAACTGTACATACAACATTATCCGCTCACCTTATTTCAATTTACTAAAAAAAAATTTTAGTAATATTAAAAGAAGATTATATTATTTAAATTTGATAATCTTATTTTTGAATTTATTAAATAGTAGTATAATACCAAAATATAATTATGTTTTGGTTTAAAATAATTTTATGTTTCATTTTTAACTTATTGCTAAATTATTTTCTTTTATTTTTTAACTTTCGTGCAACTTTAATCTACCACCCATACAATTAGTTACTTAGACATTTTTAATACTTTCGATGTGTATAGACTTATCATTTGTTCTTTTTAATTTAAAATTTATTCTTTGCTTAATATAAACATACCTTACATAATTTTATTTTTTTTTATGGATGTGGTATTTAAAATATATTCCTAAAAAAGTTAAGCGTATTTCTATTTTTATTTCACAAAAAAGTATATTTATTATTTAAATAAAGTTGAAATTTTTATATTATTTTAGACATATTTTTAAATTGAATGCTCATATTTAATTGTAATTTACAAGCAGTAAAAATAAAATTTAGAAATGGAATTAAATAGAAATAGCTCAAAAAATCAAGTTTATATTTTTTTTACCTTTTATGGTTTTATGGGAAAATAGTGATTTTAATAAATGCTAAAAATATGGAAACCCTCGAAATCTATCGTCTTACTTAAATTTTTGTGATAACTTCAATTATTAGCTTCAGTTTTTAGATTTACTTTTAGTTATCAATTTTTTTACTCATCATACCAAATTTTGCTTGTTACAGTTTAAACAGCTTTGGATGAGATATTATCAAAATAACTCAAGTTGTTTTAAGAAAAAAGTATAGTATGATACTCCATAACTACAGCTAATATATATAATATAGGATTTATTTAATAAATTTGCTTAAGATTTTTTCAAATCTTAATTTCTTTGTGAGACACAAAAAATGATGACGAGAAACTAAAACTTTATAATGTTTAGTGATTTAAATGATTCTTCAATAATAAATTCCTACAAATATTAAATTTTTTTCTAATTATTTTAACCATAATAAAAAAGATCATGATTTAAATATTTTGTTGTTTACATATTTTTTTTCACAATCATTCAAGGGAACAAATAAATTATTTGTTTATTTGAGATTAATAACTACTTTTTTAAATGTAATATTCACCAAAAGTAAAATAAAAAGCACTAAATAAAAATACAACGAACTAATCATTACTAATTAGCAGCCAGCGGGCATAATTATAATTGACGATTTTAATTTTAAATCCTAGCCGCTAGCTACTAAAGTTTTGAAATTCATTTTCAAGTGGTATCTGATATCGATGCTTACATAGAAAATAGAAAATTTTTTGAAGAGCAACACAATATATTTCTATAATTTGCAACTTATAAAATTCATCTGTCTTATTTAAAGTTACGGTGGTTCTAATAGCTTTCACTAGATTCTTTTTTTATTTATTTTATAGACCTAACAAACAGGCTAAAATAAATATTTTTACATAAAAGTAATGAAAATTTTAATAAATAATTTATTTGCCTTTATTCAATTAAGTAAATAATGCAAAATTTATCAAATAATTTCTCAATTCATGTATTATTTCTAAAAAAATATCTAATTTAATTAACAAAAATTTTCTTTACTCAAATATTTTAGAATCGATAATTTATTTATTTATATATTATCGATTCACTCCTTTTTTCTAAAATTGAATTCCTTATCTATTTTATGCATTCTATTTTTAAAAATATTTGAAAAAGTTAGCTTTTGATTCTTTATAAAACCTTTTTAAAAATAAAAAAAATTTCTATTTTGTTTGAGAAATTCCTTGAAATCAATCTAATTTATTCTTCTATCAAAAAGATTGTAAGATAATTTAATCAATATAAATTAAAAGCAACACTAATAATGTAGTTGTAACCATGAAATAAACTAAACTTCTATTGTCGAAGATATTTCCAAATTAATAGAGTCACTTTTATGATTTTTCCTAATTGAAAATTTACTTTCAAGCATTATAAATGGAGTATTTTTTAGTATTTAAAAGCATATTTACCAAAAATATACTTTGCAAAAACATAAAAAACAGCATAATAACAAAATAAATAAATGCCATTGCATAGTATCAAAAAAATTATTCAATAATTTTACTTTCTTGAATTATGCAAAACAAAATATCATAGAACTATTTTTAAAATTAGCTAAGGATTTATGAGAAAAAATTTTTAATTTGTTTCTAAAACTCGTGAAATGCAATTGAGTGTATAGTATTTCTTCTGTTATTAGATAAATACATACACAATTTAGTTACTTACTTAATTTTTTCTAATTTTGATGAATTCCAAATTTGAACGTAAGATTAGAAATAAGCATACGAAATTTAAGCATTCCATGAAAAATAAATAGATAAAAACAAACAAAAAAATAAATAAAAAATTTTCAAATATTTGTAATGAAAGATTTTAACATGACTTTTAAACTCTTTATTTTGAAATACTAAAGGGATATCAAAGATTCCCCATTCTAATTAGACCATAAAATAGATATTCACAAAATTAATTAACTGACATAACGGAATTATAAAAAAATGTTTATTTTCCAATTTCTTACATACAAAAGATTAAGTATTAATAAGATACTTAGATTTTTTAAATAAAATTAGCTGATAATTAATTATTCAGTCAGTTTATGTTTATGGGGTAACTTTGTTTGTATTAATATAATAAATATTAAAATTTGTATTTTTTTGGTAGAGTAATTTTTTTATGGATGGTTGGTTGGTTGCTTGATATTCTAAATTAAAAATGTTACACTCCTCATAAAAATAGAACTATAAGTATGACAAGATTCTATTCAAATTAATTTTAGAACTGAAAAAAATAAACACTGTAAATACCCTTTCGAATTTACTTCTAAATTTACTTTTATGTTATTTTCATACATCCATTTTCTATTTGCCTCACTTATTTTTAGTTTACTAAAAAATCTAAGTCTATTTTATCTTCCAATTTAAAATAATAATATGCAAGGAAAATTTTATTTAGCTAACATGTAGCTTACTATTACAAAAAAGCAGCAAAAGTCATTAATTTTTAGATAATTAATGATTTTGTTTAGTATCTACAAAACCACTAAATACTTAGATTACAACCTCTATTTTAATTATATATTTTTTAAGCTGATCCCAAAACAATTTAAATTTTTTGTAACCAAATCGTATGCTTAAATTTTGCTGATCTTTTAAAAATAAATATTTAAAATGTATTGATTATGGAAGTATTTGATCCCCCTAATTAAATATTTCTTAAGTAGAATAATATACTAAAATTATAGATATAATTTTTTTCTTTTTTTCGTATTTAAATACGTTTTATCGATGATTATTATCATATAAATTGAGATATTAATTTACATTCTTTTTCAAGAAATTAGTATTTTTAAGAGAATAGAGTGAATTTTTCCATTTTTGATAAAATTTATAATATTTAAGTTACTATCTAACTGAATTATATAAAAAAGTTAATAATTTAGTTTATTGCAACTTTAAATTTACAATTTTTATTTAATTAAAAATAGCTCTTTCTACTTTGAGTCTTTCGCCTCAAGTAACTTCTCAATTTAAAAGTATATTTTTAGTTTTATTTACACTAAATTAACAATAATCAAAGTCTAGACAATCTATTTAATGGAACGATTTTTTACTTCTAAATTTTTATTGACTGTGCACAATTTTAATTTAAGTCTATATATCTATTTATTCATTTTTCTTTTAATTGTATGTATTTCTAAAAATGTTTTTATAGACATAAATAATTTTTAAGAAAATACTTCTTCAAATTTAAATTGCTTATTTATTTATTTCAGACAAACAAACAAATAATTAAGATTTAAGTTTTTATTAATATTTTCTTATTTTATTCATTAGAACATTTTTTATAATTAATCAATAAAATATAACAAACTAAATTATTAAAACAATATTTGGTAGACTTCTGTTATATATTAAAATTTCCATTTAACTATTTTTAAAAAAACAAACAAAAAAATTTCAAAAATAATTTGATTTGATGAAATAAAATTAAAAATATAAATCTGAAATCAAAATCAGTATTTAATGGATGCTATTTATTATTATTTGTTCCTATTTAATTTTTATTTGAATTTATTTAATTTGTTTATTATTTTTTAATTATTTGATTTTATTGTTTATTTGAATTTTTTATTTATTTGTATATTTATTTATTTAATTTATTTTTATTTGATTTTATTTATTTAAATTTTATTTTTTTATTTTATTTAAGTGATCTAGCTCAGTTAACATTAGGTTCAATTGTTCTATCTATATTTTAAAAAATACTTTTTATATATCACAAGGGAGAGAATTTAAGCATTGTATGCTTCATTGCCTTAAAAATTCTAAAGGAGTAGACTTAAGGGACGACTTATGATTTAGGTGAGAAATTTTATTTATTTATTTGTTTATTTTTGGGTAGGTAATTTAAATTCTTATGCACTGCTAGCCCGTTATTTATCATTTCTCATTATATCATGGGATTAAAAAACTTTCCTTAGGATTAAAAAACTTATTTTTTGTTATATAGCCAAAAAATTGTAAAATGCTAAAAAAACGATGCGCTCCAATTACTACTCCTTTTTCTTTTAAGGTTTTGGTTTTTTTTCTTTTCTCTTGTTTTTCAAGAGATACCTAATTAATTTATATTTTATTATTTAATTATATAAGATCAGATAGCTGCATTCTTAGATTTTAATTATAAATTGATCATAAAATTTAAATAAAATAATTTATAAAATATAAAGTTCTTTCTTACATTTTTATTTCAAATTAATAATAAAAATGTAAAATATTTTTTTTTTTAATTTTTATTATTTAATTCATTCATTTTAATTTTTTTTTTAATTTGATAAGGAAAAAAAAAATATCTAACTGATTTGTATTGATTTAGATAATAAATTTAATTTTTAAATTTCAAAATTAGTAAGATATTTAAAGCTACAAGCAAATAAAGTAATTTTTTATCGCTGAGTGGAAGATCCCCAATTTTCTTCTCAGTAAGTTTTTTTAGCCAATAAAAAATGGTCCATTCCTGCCTATCCTGGTTAGAATTTTACTTGTACTTTATCTTGATGAAAATTTTGAAAGAGTTAAATATATGCATCGAGAGATTAATAGATCAACTTTTAAAAAATCTTGACATTCACAAAAGGAGATCAATTTAAATGATTAACGAAATAAAGTAGATATACTTGGATGAAGAATAACTTATTGAACCATAGAAGTATGATTCCATATTATTCAGTTTTTGGCCTGATGTTCTCTAGGTAATTTTGAGAGATTATTACCTTATTAAGGGATCAAAGGGATGCGCTTTGAGGGAATTTGAGGTTGTATCGCGGATTTACCAGTGGTTTCTACTTGCGGTTCAGTTTGCTTTATTCAAGTCAATGTCGAAATAAATTAGTTAAGTTATTTATAATGTTTTCAATTTGTAAAAAGATTTTTGGATGTGATTGAACTTCTCTTCTATGTGAAACAAGAAGCGCTTACAATTCTTCTTATGAATTTTTAGCTTCTTGGCAAATTATAAAAATTGATCTCAAAATAATGAAAGAGTGCGAAATCGTTAAAAAGGGAAAGTAAGCTCTTTCGTTTCAAATTGATCAAGAAATCAGCTACTTTTTTGTGATGTTAGGAGGATTTTCAGTTTTGAGAGTTTTAAGAAGATTTTTCTTTTATGGTATGCTTGTTATGCTTTCTTTTTGAGTTATTTTTTATTTTTGCTTTAGGTCTTTCATTTTTTACTATTTTTTTAGGTTACCAATTCGCTTTTTTAAGGATTTTTACAATTTCCATTTTCATTTTTCATTTTTTCTTATTTTCTTTCGTTTGTTATCAACATTTTTACTTTTAAACTGTTTTAACCCTTTTGATGTTTTGCTCCAACTTAAAGATGTTTTTTAAAACAAAAAATCTGCTTAAAAGTAAATAAATATACTATGCTTTCAGCGAAGTATACTGAATAGCATGTTAAACATATCATAAAAATGAGGAAAAAATATAAAAGAAAAGTAAAAATGGTATTAATCAAATGAAAGTAAAAGATGAAAAATAAAGAATAGAAAAATTATCTGAAAATAGAAACCAAAAAAATCCCAAAAAAACACACATGCATCTGTGAGTGCACACAGAAGTTGTAGATGTGAAGAATTGGAGTGCAGAGCAGGGTTTATGAGCACTTAAAATAAAATGGAAACCATGAAGATTTCTAGCCAGAAATAACTTCATTCTGAATGGATCAATCGTGTGAAAGTTGTTTTGCTTTACTTGCATCACTTTACGAGTGATGTTTAAGGAGTCCGCCAAAGTATTACTTCGTATGGGTATACTTATTTGCACCACATCCTGACTTTCACAAGTAGTTCAGACAGTTTTTTAAATAAGGAATATTATGGATACAGTACTATCCTCTTAAGTTAAAACCTTTTAGTCTAGCTTTCTTTTTAACCCTCGAAAAAAGAAAGTTAGATCTAAGTTTTTTAAATTAACTTAAACTGTTGATAGATACTTCATTCATAATAAATTAAAACCCAGGCAAGAAGTGGCGTTTGATTGTGTTACCATTTGTATTAGAATTACCTATACAAAAGGTATGCTCGGAGGCAGTCACTTAGTTTTTAAACCAATCCAAAAGAGAGCTCACATGGGAAGCTATTGAATAAATAGCTGTGACTCTCGCTGTTTTTTAAGCCAATTTTCTTATTGAAAACGGAGGCGGGCGAATATGTCACTATGGGTAAAATCCCACATGCTTAAATTAAGCACACATACAATTTTTATTTTGAAATATGACGAATTTTAATTTTTGAAATATGACGAATGAGGTTTACAAGTTTTTTAAAAAAATGAGGAAAAAAATTTTATTTTGTTGTCAAAATTTTTAAAAAAATAATAAAATGATATTTAACTAACTAAGATAATGCTAATGATAATTGCTGCTAATAAATTGCTAAATGATAAACTAAGATAATGCTATTGATAGATAGATGCTTCTAAGATGCTTGATGCTAATTAAATTTTATATTAACCCTCTTATCTTCCAATAAACATATGAAAAACATAAAAAAATAAAATAAATTAAAACATAAAAAATCAGATTTAAATTAATAAAAAATGGCCATAGCCAAAAATAAAATTAAAAAATACAAATAAACTTTACAAGAATATTAAAACAATTAAAATAAAATATAAAAGAAGCAAATAAAGTAAAAATAAATTACATCTAAAAAGACTATTAAGATAAATCAAATATAAATATACATTTTACATTTATTTTACATAATCCATTTATCTATCTATTCATTCATTTGCTGCATAATTTTTGTTGAAACATTTATCTTAATTAAAATCAATATCAAAAAATAATTTTGATGGTTTTAAATTTAAAGTTATTAGTTGATAAAATAATTTTAATTAAATAGTTTCACAATTTTTAAAAAATAATTAATGCTTATTAAATATACAACTTATCCAGGAGATCAATAATTAAAATATGAAACTTTAAATTAGAATTTTACTATTTCATTCATTTATTAATTTACTTATTCATTTGTATTTAAATTTCTATAAAATTAAATTCTCAAATCAAAAAATAACTTTAATGGTTTTAAATATGAATTTTTATTTTATGAACAAATAATTTAAATCAAATTTTTCTTTAAATAATTAAGATTAATTAGAGAAATGATGATTTTTACTGCAGCAACTTATACTAATAAAATGTATAAATTACATCAAACAAATAATACATGCAAAAACTCTTAAAATAAAAATTTACAAATTAAAAAATTATCATTGCTCCAATCTAGGTTTTTAAAAATTTTACTCTATTTCTTATAGTAAATTTATTGGGATAGATATGTTAATTACGTTTTAGTTTTATTTTTTGTATCCAAAAAATTCTTTCATTTCATTATATTCTATCTGTGATTTTTCTTTTTAAGTATTTTAGGTACTTGCTTATTAAATTTTCAAAGCAGCGAGTTTTTCTTCTAATTTTTCTATTTATTCTAAAAAAAAATTAAATGTAGATTTTATTTCGCTTAAATTTAAAAAATAAATACCTTTTTATTTCATCAAATTAGATATAGCGGCACTCTTATTAAATTTAGTGGCTTATAGCTCTTTTAATATATCCTCTTTTTGAAATCTGTTTCCATATACTTTTTAAATTTCCAACACAAGCTACTCAACATCTTCATTTTAATCTAATATTATATGAATTAATGTATTTTTTTATGCGCTTATAAACAAAAAATTAGCAAAAATAATTTATTGAGATTTACTTGGGACGCTATTTTATACTTATTGCTAATCTTTTTCTTTTTGTTCTTTTGTTTTTGGTGGAAGAGGTTTTTTTGCAGCACCTAATTTCATATTTACTTAATATTTATTTGTTACTAAAATTTAATGAAAAATATTATTTTTGATCAAATCTAATTAGAAAAATTAATAAAATTAAGTAAAAAATGTTTATCTATTTTCTTATTTTTTATTATAATAAATTCTTGGCTATTTATTTATATTTTATTTTGAAATTTGTTAAATTTTTTAATAACTCTAAATTCTACAACATTTTAAATAGATATTTTGCATCAAAATTTTTAAAGAATATTTAGAATCTCAAAGATATTTATAATTTAAAATTTTTTTTTCTGTTTATAAATGCTTAAATGTACAACAATTTTTAGTTAATAATTAATTAATATTTTTTATTAGTTTTTAAACAATTTTAGATATTTTCAAACATAAGAAAGCATTTTAAAAATAAAGCATAGATTTTAGCATAATTAATTCATTTAAGTAGATAGAAATGGAAGGGAAAAAACTTGCGATGGGAATATAATTATTAGAGCATTTGACTGCTATTTATCACAACATTTACAATGAAGAAGACAATGAGCATGTTACAGATTATGAAAATTTAAGTAGCAGATTTTCTAAGAAGTATGGATCATAACCTGAATTCTTTATCAGAGTACCAGGATTACTTTATTTATTTGGAGAAGATCCAGTATATGCTTAATATGATTAATGCAATATAGCTATAGAATAGGATATTGTTATCGCTTATAGCAAGAATAAATCCAACAAAGATATTATCGTCAATTCTCTTTCATCTACTTCTTTTCCTGAGAAAATTTTCAATTTTGAATCAAACTTCATAGATTAAGGTAGCATAATTTATTAATAGCAACTGATAATAAATTTTTTAAACAACTTATTTTTTAATTTAAAATTAGATGAATTGGGTAATGTTGCATTACTAGGTATTAAGAGTGCTATCGAGGATTAAAAACAAGAATCTCTTTGTGGTGTTAAATGTATGTTTAGCAATAAGATACCAGTTAAGTAGACTCTTCATAGTAAAAATGCCTTGGCTATTGGAATGTGTATTATGATGCTTCATGCAAATAAAATAAATATTGATTGCAAAACTGTTCTTAATAACTTTTAGAAATACAAAAAGGTAGTGAATGTGCCACCTAGCTTAAATGAATAATATTAAAAGATGATTCTTTTTGCCTAAAAAAATGAAGGCTATGTAGGAGATACTTCATAATCATTATAGATACCTAAAGGCTTTACATTTATTTTAGCAAATTCATTAACTCCAGAACCAAAAATGTTAGTGGCAGCTAAAAGAAAAAATAAAAGAATATGTGAGCAAAGATTAGCTGTTCATATTATGTTAAGTAATATGGAAATACAAAACAGAGAAGGATACTCCACTCTTTTAGATATACAGAAGCTACTTGATTTTAAAGTAGAAGATATGCCTTCTTATATTCACAAATACATAGAAAATAAAGCATTTAAGAAAGAAGAAATAGAAGCAATAATTGGTACTGATATGATAAATATTATGCAAGATATTCCCTACTCTAATTAAGTTATAGAAGGCAATACAGAATTCTTCCCCTACAAGTAAAATTAATTTATTAATATTTAATTCTAAAATTGAATATATTTTAAATAAATTTAAATAAAAAAAAATAAATAGGAGAGCTATTCATATTGTAAACGAAGCCATAAAAGCTCAAAAAATGAAATAAATTTGTAGTGATTAGAGTTTAAATGATTAACAAAAATGGGAACAGATTTTCTAACTGTTCAATGAGAGCTAATAAAGTATTATTGAGAATTTAGAAGCACAATCTGAAGAATGTTCAAAATTGATTAAATTAATGAAGGAATTAGGGTGTAAATCAACAAAAGTAATAGGTGATGGCTGGGGAGGTTCTGTGATTGGCATAGTAGAAGAATCAAAGGCAGATAAAATAATAGAGTTTATCATGGATGGATACTATTCAAATAAAGACAATAAGCTAATGGTATCAGATGATTTAAACAATTACGTATTCAAATCATTGCCTAGCAGAGGTGCTTGTATTTTAAACCCAGAATATGAAATATGGTTTTGAAAAAAATAATAAATATTTATGAAATATTTGTTTGTTATTTATCTATTTTATATTTTTTTTTACTTACTTTCAATGTAATTCATAAGTTTTAATCATATTTTACATAATCAGTAAGAGTTTTTACCTCTAAACAATTTTGATGATTTCCGAGTTTTTTCTAACTTTTCTTGATTTTTCTGAAAAGAAATTTAATAAAATGAAATCAGAAATTCAGAAAAAATAGAGCAAGAAATAAATAGCTAACAAAAATATTTACAAGCGTATTTATATATATATATCTTTAATGAATTAATTAGTTTGATTCTATCTTTAGCAAATAAATTTATTTATGCAATAATACCTTTAAATCAAAAGGTGATAGATAAGTATCAAATATCTCTAATTAAACATCAAGAATTAATTGATTAATTAATTAATTGCTTTAATTAAAATTCTCAATACTTTTAATTAATTTCTAATTAAACTAACAAGAAAAAAAAATAGTTAGCAAAATGTTTTTAGCCAGAAAATTTACTAGCTTTGCTTCAAAAAGCTTGTTCAATAAACAAAATCTACTTTAGAGTAGCTTGAAATATAGCTTTTCTAGCTTCAAAGGGAATAAGCACAATGAGAGGATAAATGAACTTGTAATTTTTTTAACGTTTAATTTTTGGAAAGAAAGTTGCTCAGGCACAATATAAATTTATTAGCAAAGAATGATCGGTTGATAAAAAGAAAAAAAAGAGGGGGAAACTAAAAAGAAAAAAGAGAAAGAATTATCAACCAATATAATAGCGATATTTAGCAATGATACAAATACATTTAAAATAGAATAAGCAGCAATTGCACCTAAAATCCAGCTCAAAAAAATTGTCACAAAGAGAGAGAATGAGAATACAGGAGGAGAAGTAGAATAAGACAAATACATAAGTTATCTAAAGAGAGCTTAAGAATGACAGTATTTAGATTCCTTTAAAAGCAATTGCATATTATTTTTCCCCAACAAACTTGTAAATAAATTTTTTAGATTTTAAAGATTATTCTAAAATTATCAACTCGTACTTTATACATTAAAAAACACTATTTTATTAATACTAGATAGCCTACATTTTATGCTGAATTGATTAGATCGTGCATTGATTCACTAAATCACGTTGCCTTATTTTGCATGAATTAGTAAATAATTAATTTATTACCTTAAACATACACAGTTGAATTCAAAATTTTACTTAAAACAGCATTAAAATGGGTCCAAATGAAAAATATCCTTATGGAATTGAGAAATTGAAAAACGTAGCTGTCCTAATTCCTTCCATGTTGTTCGTTTATTTTGGTACTGAAATGCTTGTAGAATGCGCAGCAGCTTTTGTAGATTCAAGCGAGGTGTCTTCATCCCACTTTTCTTTAATACCTACACTAGTAAAATTTTTGCATTTTATAATTTTGCAAAATTCCTTTCAAGGAGATTTAAGGAGATTTGAAGTTAAAGGCCAATAAAAACCAAAATTTTATTAATTTTTAATTAATTATATAAGCTTTACACTGTGAGTATGGGAGTGGAAATGAATGTAATATATAACAACATTAAAGATGCTTTAAAACTAGAAGGAGAAGAAGCCAATCAACAAAAAGCTACAATCTTAGAAATATTTAAAAAATTAGTGAATAAAAAGGATCCTCTGCTTTAAGCTATATTATATGAAAATGCCATTACTTTTCTTTCAACTTCTGTTCCTATGATATGTTCAAGTATATATTTATTAACATTATTGTTAAAGTATTTGATATTTTATAATATAAAATAGTTGCCAATATGGTATATCCCTCAAAAGTAATCGAAGTACTTGGAAGCACTATTATTAGTTCAATATCAATGTATTTTCTATCTATCTACTTAAATTATTGTTTTGGTATTTTAGCATATATTAAATAAAAAAGATATTTGGGAATCCACTTATTTAAGACAAACATATAATAATTAATTGGTGAGCAAAAAATTGATGAAGAGAGTTTAAAAACAATTATCTAAATTGTAAGATCAAATAGCTTGGTTAAAGATATATCAGAAATTAAGGCAGTCAAATACGTAAATTTATTTGATATTATTCAATAATTATTTTTAGTGATATTTATCATTTTTATTTATTAATTCTAGGGATCTGAGAAATTTAGACTTTCAGCTAAGATAGAGTTTGATATGACAGTATATTTTTTTACTCTTTTTAATAATTTTCATATAATAATAATTATTTTTAAAAAATATTATAGAAATTATCAGATAAAGTAGCTAACAGTATCTTGTAGAATTTATAGAAAACTATATATAGCAACAACTATTCTTTTGAACAGAGACAGGAGAGCTTGACAAAAAATGCTGCAAGTAAAGTGGTGCAGGAAATTTAAGATTAGATCAATAACATTTAAGAAGCAATTTAAAATGTGTACCCTAATTGTGAGCATATAGATCTTGAAATATCTCATCAAGAACAAGAAGCATATATTCCTACTACTGTTGAAGAAAAGTTGAATTAATATAATATTAACAAAGATAATAAAAATGATCCAGAACTTTAAGAATTCGAAAAATTTGTATTTTAAACTGCAGACAGATACTTAAAAAAGTTTCAAAATTCTAAGCTTTAGCAAACCGCTGCAGATGCTTCTTAAGAATATTTTTAAAACTCACAGTTTTTAACTAATCAATTTGAAGAAGACTTGTTACTTGAATATAAATTATTTGTAGATGATTAAAGAGTAGAAGTTCTTTCAGATTCTGTTATAAATACAGATGAAAAAAGATCTATATGAAAAGTGCTTATTTACTTACTTATTATAATTTTAAGATTTTAGTATTGCTTTTATATTAAATTATAATTTATTTTTTAATAATAATTAAATAATATAAAAAATTTAGTGCAACATTTTTAAAAATTAAATTAAAATATCAATTTTATTTTATTTTATCACTTTTATTTTTTAGTAATACTTTAAGTAGTAATTTCAAAATTGAGAGGCAAAAATAATTGATTCATTAATTCATACAAACAATAAGTGAAAGAATAATTACTAAAAGAGTGAATGAATAACAATTAAATTATTTGTAAAAATAATAATTAAATAAATAAATAAATGCATTTTTATCTGATTCCCAATTAAAAAACATAAATAATAATAATCTTTAATGTGTGAGCATATAATAAATAAAAACTATTTATTCAAATAAAAGAATTTTTAGGAGAGTAATAAAAAAATTTTATGGATTAAAAATAAGATAAAAAATTAACAAAAAAAAGAGAATCTATAAATTCACTAAAATATTAAAAAGTAAAGTAATTTACTTCAAAATTCAAAAATATAGAATTATCACATTTGAATATTTGGTTCGAACTTCTATTGAACAGTATATTTATAATGTTATTTGCTTATTTACTATTTCTCTGTTCTTAATTTAATTATTTGTTATTATTTTTGTAAATTAAAACATAAGAAGAAGATCTGATCAGAAAAGAAATCAAAATATAATTCAATGAAACAGAATAGTTTTAAAAGGGTAGGAGATTATATTATAGATACAACTAATCCATTAGGTAGTGGTAATTACGGAAGTGTTTACAGAGGCAGTTTATATTCTGATGATAGAAATATCATCAAACGATAAATGAACACTATATACGCTATTAAGGAAACCCCTCTCTTAAGCAATAATGCTGCTGATTTAAGTCCAAAAAAAAAGATAGCAATAAAAGAAATAAACAATTTAAAATAGCTGAATCACCCACACATTATTAAATTTATAGATGCTAAATAAACTGATAAAAATATTTATTTGGTTATGGAATATTGCAATGGTGGAACTCTTGAAAAGCTGATTAAAGATAAGAAACCAAATGAAAAGGAATGCCTTTATTATTTTTCTCAAATAATAAGTGCATTTAAGTATCTTATTTAAGAAGTCAATATGATTCACAGAGATGTGAAACCAGAAAATATCTTGATTCACAATGACATGATTAAGTTAGCTGGTTTTGGTTTCTCAAAGAAAGTTATGAATGATGAATTATAATTTAACACTATTGCAGTTTCTCCTATGTTTTCAGCACCTTAAATTTTAAGAGGTAATACAAATTTATTGTAGTTATTAATCGTAAAAGATAGAAAATATCCAAGATTAATTGGAGAAAACACGAAATTACTCAAAATTCTAATTTGTTTTAAAGCTTTGCATATTTTAACATCTTGTTTGTATATTTAAATTTTATTTATTTAAGTTTAATTTAATGAAAAAGCTCAAAAATATACATCGAAAGCAGAAATTTGGAGTTTAGGTGTAACTTTGTACTTCATGCTTTGCTATGAAAGTGAGAAGGATAAACATTGCTACCCTTGGTAAGCTAATAGTTAAGTGTAGCTCAATTAAGAAATAAAAGAAACAAAAGAAATTTAATTTCCAGAAAGCAAAAACCTTAGTTAAAAAGTTAAGGACCTCATACGTAAAATGCTTTAGGTAGAAGAAGAAGATAGATTAAATTGGGAAGAGCTTTTCGATCATGAATTATTTAAATATGAAATCTACAATGGGCCTAATCTCTAAGATAGTAAAAAATATTAACCTATTCTTGAAATTGGAGCAAATGAAGAAGACTGCCCAGATATGACTCATATCTTGAATAAAAATTAATCCAATAAAGTAGATATTGACCGTATAGAAAAATTCATCTTAATGTAAATAGATCTTGCTTTCTTCTTATATAAAACAGCAAGTCTCTTTAGAGAAATAAAACAATCGGTTTTACCACTCTTCTTGGATGACTAAGAAATAATAAATAAGCTGTTGTATGTTCTTTGTAGTAAAAGTAGCTCTATATTCAATCGTTTAAAGTTGATGTTAGAGCAAGGTATAAAAAATTAGTACAACAGTATTTTATAGTAAGAGTGGGAAATATTCAAATAGAATACTGAAAAATACGAATTCTATAAAAATAATGTAGATAAAAACTTCTAAATCTCTTTAACTAACTTAGAAAACACTTATAAAAGTTGCAAAGCTACGTCACCCAAAGATGACCGTATAGTCAATTCTATGGATATAAATTATTAGCTCGAAGTAGAGGCTGTTGAAAAGGCAATTCGTTGTCTTTATCTTGGATTAGAGCCAATTAACTAAAAAATAAACAACCCATAATCCTCTGCATTGTCTGAAGATGAGTATAAGCTACTCTTTGTTTTAGATGATTTATTTATGATATATGCATTCGATTACTCCTTCAATTAAAAAGATAACTCAAAATCTAGAAATATCGAAAAGCTCTATTACATCCGTAAATTGGTCCCACCAAAAACTTTATTTGTAAGAATTGTTAATGCCTTCAAGTACAACTTCTAGAATTTAAATGCTTGCCATTGAGAATAAAAATTTATTTTAAATAACCAAAATAAAAATAGCTAACTAAGTAGATATTTTTTATTAATATTTTATTATTTTTTACTTCTAAATATAAAAATATTATTTTTAAGTAAAGTCAATAAAATAAAAGTTTGTTTTAAGTATTATTATCATTTTTTAATTTCGTAATTAATTTAATATTTTAATAATATAAATATTTTGTAAATTATTCTATATATTAACTCTATTATTAATTCATTTAAACTAATATTTCAATACAAAACAACATGAGATAAAAAAATATTTTCATAATTTGCTATTTAATTATTTGTTTATTTACTATCGCTCTGTTCTTAATTTAATTATTTGTTATTATTTTTGTAAATTAAAAAATAAGAAGAGGATCATATCAGAAAAGAAATCAAAATATAATTAAATGAAACAAAATTGTTTTAAAAGGGTAGGAGATTACATTATAGATACAATTAATCCATTAGGTAGTGGTAATTATGGAAGTGTTTATAGAGGTAGTTTATATTCGGATGATAGAAATATCATCAATGGATAAATGAACACTATATATGCTATTAAGGAAACCCCTCTCTTAAGCAATAATGCTGCTGATTTAAGTTCAAAAAAAAAGATAGCAATTAAAGAAATAAACAATTTAAAATAGCTGAATCACCCACACATTATTAAATTTATAGATGCTAAATAAACTGATAAAAATATTTACTTGATTATGGAATTTTGTAATGGTGGAACTCTTGAAAAGCTGATTAAAGAAAAGAAACCAAATGAAAAGGAATGCCTTTATTATTTTTCTCAAATAGTAAGCGCATTTAAGTATCTTATTTAAGAAGCCAATATGCTTCACAGAGATGTAAAACCAGAAAATATCTTGATTCACAATGACATGATTAAGTTAGCTGATTTTGGTTTCTCAAAGGAAGTTATGAATGACGAATACTAATTTAACACTATTGCAGGTTCTCCTATGTTTTCAGCACCTTAAATTTTAAGATGTAATACAAATTCATTGCAGTTATTAATTGTAAAAAGTTGAAAAGCTCAAACATTAGTTGGAGAAAGCATAGAATTACTCAAAATACTAATTCGCTTTGAAGCTTTGCATATTTTTACACCTAGTTTGTGTATTTAAATTTTATTTATTTAAGTTTTTTTAATGAAAAAGCTCAAAAATATACATCAAAAGCAGAAATTTGGAGTTTAGGTGTAACTTTGTACTTCATGCTTTGCTACGAAAATGAGAAGGATAAATAATGCTACCCTTGGTAAGCTAATAGTTAAGTGAAGCTCCTATAAGAAATAGAAAAAAAGAAAGAAATTTAATTTCCAGAAAGCAAAAACCTTAGTTAAAAAGTTAAGGACCTCATACGTAAAATGCTTTAGGTAGACGAAGAAGATAGATTAAATTGGGAAGAGCTTTTTGGTCATGAATTGTTTAAATATGAAATTTATAATGAGCCTAATATCAAAGAGAGTAAAAAGTATGAACCTATTCTTGAAATTGGAGCAAATGAAGAAGACTGCCCAGATATGACTCATATCTTGAATAAAAATTAATCCAATAAAGTAGCTATTGAGCGTATAGAAAAATTCATAATATGGTAAACAAATCTCGCTTTCTTCTTATTTAAAACAGCAAAGCTCTTTAGAGAAATAAAACAATCAGTTTTGCCCCTATTCTTTGATGACTAAGAAATAATAAATAAGCTGATGTATGTCCTGTGTCGTAAAAGTAGCTCTATATTTAATCGTTTAAAGTTGATGTTTGAGTAAGGTATAAAAAATTAGTACAATCGTATTTCATAGCAAGAGTGGGAAATATTCAAATAGAATACTGAAAAATATGAAATCTAAAAAAAGAAAGTAGATAACAACTTCCAAACCTATAAAACTAACTTAGAAAACTCTTACTAAAGTTGCAAAGCTACATCACCCAAAGATGACCGCATAGTCAATTCTTTGGATATACATTATTAGCTCGAAATAGAGGTTATCGAAAAGGCTATTCGTCATCTTTACCTTGGATTAGAGCCAATTAACTAAAAAATAAGCAGCCCATAATCCTCTGTATTGTCTGAAGATGAGTAGAAGCTACTCTTTGTTTTAGATGATTTATTTATGATATATGCATTTGAATACTCCTTCAATTAAAAAGATAACTCAAAATCTAGAAATATCGAAAAGCTCTATTACATCCGTAAATTGGTCCCAGCAAAAACTTTATTTGTAAGAATTGTTAATGCCTTCAAGTACAACTTCTAGAATTTAAATACTCGCCATTGAAAAAAAAAATTAATTTTATATATTACCAAAATAAAAATAGTTAAGTAGATATTTTTTATAAATATGTTAATAATGTTTTACTTCATAATATAAAAATGTAATGTTTGTTTAAGTAAAGTCAATCAAATAAAAGTTGTAAGTATTATTATCATTTTTAATTTCCCTAATTAATTTAATATTTTAATTTTATAAATATTTGGTAAATCTTTCTATATATCAACTCTAATATTAATTTATTTAAACTAATATTTCAATACAAAACAACAATAGATAAATATATATATTTATATATAGAATCTTTGCAATAAAACTAATAAATATTTAACTCTAATATTAATTCATTTAAACTATATTTCAATACAAAACAATAAGAGATAAAAATAAATATTTTTAATTTGTTAATTAATTAATATTTTATTAAAAATATTAATTTATTTTAATGCTCATAAACTTCATTTATCATAAATTAAACATTTATTTAAATATAGAATATCTTTATCATAAAACTAATTCATATTTTTTAAAATAATTTATTAATTGATTTAAAAAATTAAATGCTATAAAAAATAATAAAAATATTTCTGCTAGATCAGAATAATATATAAATCTTTTTTGCTTTTTAATTATTTTAAAGTATTATTGAGTATTATTGTAAATCAAATAAAATTAAATGTATTTATTTGAAAAAAATTTCATTATTTTTATTGAAAATTTTGGTAATCTAAAAAATTTTTTTGATTAAATATTTTTATCTGTTTAAAAATCAAATTAATCCAATATTGAGTAAAAACATTATTTATTAATTTACACCTTTTTGTAAAAGTCTTATTTTTGTTTTAATATTTCGTTAACAAAATAGATTTTACTGGGTAATAAAAATAAATTCATTAAGTTTAATGTTTAATAGTTATCTGTAAATTTTCTATTTGCTTCATACAAATTAATAGGAATTTTATTTATATTAATAAATTTGCAAATTAAATAGTGGCAAGTTTAGGAATATTCTAATCGAAAAAAGACATTTTATTATGACAAATGAACAAAGCTCTTTTGTTTATGTAAGAATTTATCTGATAAAGATACCTGTTTTAAAGAAAATAATTTGGTTAAAATATTCTCAATTTTTTTTTGGGACTTTTGAATAAATAGATAATTAAAAAGATATTTCGCATTTATTTTATGATCAGATTTAGAGGTGGTGGTGTTTATGTATGTATGTTTGATGAATTGATTTTTTATTAAAAGATATTTTGTTTCTCCTTTAATATTATGGATATTTCTTAGGACATAAAAACTATCAAAAATGAATAAAAATAATAATAATAAATTAATACTTTAATAAATAAAAGTAAAAAATTAAAATAGCCGTATTAAAAAAAAGTAATATTTTAGGTAATCTCAATCATATCTATAGTATCCTACACCATGAGCACTCACTAATCTCACCACAAAAAATTTTCTGAAACCGAAATAGCACATCTTGTTTCTGAAATTGTTAAAAACAATTAAGAACATTTGCTAAAGAATATTGATGAACTAAATGAACAAGAACTCCACCTTTACTACCAAGATTTGAAATAGCTTGATTTTAAGCTTTTACATAGTCTTTACTAGACCTACATTGTCTAAAATTAGGCCCCCACTACTTTCAATGATGACTAAGTTACTTTAGTTGAAGAGATTCTCAGCTTAGAACAATAAACTGGCTAGTTGCTTAATGAATTATAACTTCTTGGTCTTGAAGCTATTGCTAAGGGCGAAGTAGCTGTTATTCTTTTAGCTGGTGGATAAGGTAAATATTGAATTAAAATATTTACTTTATAAGAATAATTTAAAATATTTTTTTTTAAATATTCACTAAAATATGCTAAACAAAAATATAATTTACATAGTTTGGTTGTCATTTTGTTAAATTTTTTAATTAACTTAAAATTATATTTAAAAGGTACTAGATTGGGTTATGACAAGCCAAAGGGTATGCTTACTCTTGAAGTTCCTTCTAAGAGAACTATTTTTTCTTACTACGCAGATAAAATTAAAACTCTTTCAAATTATGCTCTTTCTAAATTCCCTCAATATAAGAAAGAAAACGATGCCCACGGTCGTCAAAGAATTCCCATACAATTCTACTTAATGACTTCAGTTGTTACTGATTAAGACACTAAAGATTATTTCAAGGCTAATGATTACTTTGGTATTAGTGAAGACAGTATTCATTATTTTGTTTAAGGTTATCTTCCTTCATTAGACAAAAAAGGCAAAATTTTATTTGAATCCAAAAATAAAATCTTCCTTTCCCCTAATGGTAATGGTGGTATCTATGACTCTCTCCAATCTACTGGTGTTTTAAAGAAACTTAATGATCAAAAAATAAAATACATTCAGGTGATTATTTATTTACTTATTTATTCATATTACTTTATTCTAAGTTTAATAAAATATTTTTATCAGTAATCAGTTTAAAAAATTATCAAGATTTGCAAGGAAAATATATTTATTAAATTTTAAAAAAATATTTTAGATGATGGGTGTTGATAATATTCTTGGTAAGTTTGCAGATCCTGAATAGATTGGTTTGATGGTTAAGAAGGGATATGAAATCGTTTCTAAGTATGCAAAAAAGAGAAATGCAGCAGAATCTGTAGGAATTCATGTATTGAGAGACAAGAAGTTTAGCATTATGGAATATTCAGATATGACTGAAGCTTAAAAAAATAAAGTTGATGCTAATGGAAAGCTTGTTTACGACAAATCCTTCCTCTGCAACTTTTTCTGTTCAATTGATTTCCTTAATCGTATTATCAATGATGAAAATGCAAAGAAGGAACTTTTCTAATATCACTTGGCTAACAAATAAGTTGCTTATTATGATGTAGATTTAAAGTAAGTTGTTAAACCTGCTGAAAAGAATGCTTACAAATTTGAATTGTTTATTTTTGATTCTTTCCCTCTTGCAAAGACTTTCTGTTTAATGGAAATCAACAGAGAAGAGTAATTTGCTCCCATCAAGAATAGCGTAACAGGATCACCTTAAGATAATCCCAGAACTGCTGTTGAATAGCTTGCAAAGTTACACTAAAAATGGCTTATAAATGCAGGTTATACTTTTGATTATTAAGCTTCTTGGGAAAACGTAGTCGAAGTTGACCCTAAGATTACTTACTATGGTGAAAATATCCCTGCTCCCAGCGAAGCCAACAAACACATCACAGCTAAGCCCTTCTACTTAAAATGAAATTATTTATTTTATAGTTAATTACATGTATTCCATACAGTTGTATTTTATTTGAGAAATTTTAGTAAAATTTTAGAAAAGTTTTACAAAATGATTTTTTTTTATAAAATTAATTTAAAAATGAAGATTTTTTTAATATAAATGAAATTAATAAAAGTGGTTTTGACTATTAAATGAATTAAATATCTTTTTTGAATTCTACTTTTTATTTTCATTTGATTTAATAAATTATCAATAAGAGCAGTTATAATAAATAAATAATTCAATTTATAGATAACTTTTTCAGACTTATTATTCACACACATACACTTACTTTATAATAATAGCATAATTTTATGAGTAAAAAAGAAAAGAAGCCAGCTCCTAAAGATGCTAAAAAGGTTGATGAAAAACCTAAAATAAATTTTGAAGAGTTGATTATGAAAAATTTATCTGAGCCTAAATTATCAATAGATCGTACAGGAATACATTTCACAGTTTTAGACCTTAATGTAATTAGTTAGATTTCATTAAAATGCTATTAAATTAATTTCTCAAAATTTAAATAAAAGAGTAAGTCATTAGATAGTTTATAAGCAATATTCGCGAACTATAAAGCGCTTACAAAGATTGATTTACATGCAAATAATATCTAAGATATAACAGTCCGTAATATCATTTTTTTGAATCAAATCAGGATATTTTATTTAGGCTTTTTATTTAATTCATTTAGTCGGTAATCTCCCTAATTTGATATGGCTTGATGTAAGTCAAAACAATATAAAAGATTTAAAATCATTATAAAATGAGGAAGGGTTCAGAAATTTAAAAGTATTAAAAAAATATTAAAAAGAGTTACTTAAATGATAACATTTATTTGTTTTTTTTAACAAATAAAGTATTTGAATATATCAAAGAACAGAATAAGCGAGCTTTTAACACCAAAAGCACCTAATTTAATTCATTTAAACTTAAATGAAAACTTGGTTGATAAAATGGAAACTTTTGAAGGTCATGAGTCATTGAAAATTCTTGAATTAAGAGGGAATAGAATTTAAACTACATAGTAGTTAGTAAATATGCCTAAGTTATAAGAGCTCTATTTAACTGCAAATAAAATTAAAACTGTAGTAGGTATAGACTCTCTTGTTAGTCTTACAAAGCTACACTTAAGATTAAATAATGTAAATAAAACTACTTTAAGTATAATCTAAGGTATTTTTAAAAATTATAGATTGAGTAATTCGAAGAGAATTTCCCAAATTTAGAGAATTTGCAATATTTGAACTTAAGAGAAAACAAGATCGATAAATTTGAAGAGATCTTAAAGCTAGCTGCTCTTCCTAATCTTAAAACTTTAGTACACTCCTTTAATCCCTTGATAAATAAAAATCCTAATTATCTTTACGAAACAATAAATGGTTTATTAAAGTTATAAAGAATTAATAAAGTTGAGGTAAAAATAAATAAACATATAATATATAAATTTATTTTAATATTTAATTACAAAGATAATTATGAAATATATTTTAATAGGTGACGAGAAGTTTAAAATTAAACGCATTTAAATATGCAGAAGATAAATGGAGAGTTTAAGAAGAAGTAATTATATTATTTTTAAACTTTGATCTAATAAATAAAAAATAAATAGGAAAAAAAGAGATTGGAGGAAGAAGAAAGATTAAAACAAGAATAAGAATAGCAAGAAGAAAATTGATTTTATTACTTTTTAATAATTAATTCAATGTAAAAATATAGTATTTACTGTAAAATTTAGTCAGTACATCATAAAAATAAATATAATTTTTATTCAATTTTTATTTCTCTTAATTAGAAAAAAGAGTTAATTTCATTTTTTTAAAATAAAAAAATCGTGAATGAAAATAAATCTAAAGTTTTTGTAATTTAATTTAAAAATAATTTTAGTATTTATGAAATATTTATTAATGAATGAAGAAAGAAGAAAAAAAAAAACTAAATTATAGCCCTTATTAAAATTAATTAAAAAATAATGTTTGTAATGACTTTTGAAGATAAATTAGAAAATAAATAAAATTGAAAAATAATTAAAGAATAATTGCTGCATCTTAAATTTTAATTGTGGAATGAATGTATAGTGCATTAAGTTTAGAGAAGAAAAATCTTAATACAAAAATTATAGCTAAAAGCAATTAATTTAGAATCTAAACAATCTTATTATTTAACTTAGAGAATATTTAAGAAATATTTAGAAAGTAATATCAATTAATATAAAATGGCAGCATCTTAGAAAGTAGTTAATGGAATAGCCAAAGGCTTGCAAGAATACGTTAATCCAAGTAATTACCTACTATTATTTTAGTGAATTATCTAATAAGCTTTTGCTTTTCATTTTAGATGAGAATATTTAGCTGGTAGAAAATTAAATAGTAAATAAAATGTGGTGATAATTTTATAAAACATAAAACTAACTGAATCAATCAAAAACAAACTCATTAAAACTCTAAAATGATATTTTTTATTAATGTTTTAATGTATAATTTATAAAGCAAAATTGGCTCCTTTTAAAAAGGCTGTTAGAGACTAAATGATGGAAATTGAAGGTTTATAAGCATTTGAATAAGGTCTCTATCACAATAAAGATTATGAAAATATGATTAAGCAACTTGTAGAATCAAGAAAAGCATTTAGGTAGCTTCTTTACAAATTTAGATAAAGAAAAAATAAATTAAAAATTTATTATGCATTTATAGAAATTCAAGAAGTAAAACTGAAAGATAAAGCATTGCAAAATAATAATATGATGAATGGTCTAAATATGTAGAGATTCGTAAAAGCTAGTTGACTGAAGATTTCTAAATTCCTAAAAATTTCTAAAGTCAAATGGATCAAGTTTGGGGATTTGTAAAGAATCGTAAAGAATCTACTATTCACTCTTCAAAAATGCTTGACTTCCATTACGAATTAATGAACTAATTCAAATTCTCTATTCCTATTGAACCCAGACTTCTTGTTTAGATGATTCATCCTCACTTTGGTTATCTTAGCAATTACCCTGTAATTTTATAGTTAGTTAGTTAGTTTGCTAGATTCAAAAAATATAATAAAAATATCTTTCTACATATCCCTTTAATAATTCTAATAAATTATATTAAATTAATAATTTTTAAACATTTAATCTTTTAGGGAAACTTTACTCAAGAAGATATTTTAGAAGTCTATAAATGCAAATTAGTTGCCTCTATGGAAAGAGTTTTAGGTTAAGATTTACTTGCCAACGAAATCGCTGCATATACTTATTGGAAAATTTATGATAAGTAAGCACAAGGATCATTTGATCTTAAAACTTTCGGTGAATTCATGAAGGTAGTTAATTTTTTAAAAAGATTTAAATATCATTTTATAGCTGTTATAATTATTACACTTTGCTTTTCATCTTAAGACTTATTTATTTTATTGATATTATTAGACTTTCAGATTTAATTTAGATGGTACTGCTGAAAATTTCAAGTAAGAATTTAAGTTTGCTCTCCAATTACATCCTGGTAAATTAAGATTTATTTATTGAGTTATTGAGTTATTTTAAAAATATATGATAAAATATTTAGGTGAGTTAAGCAATGACTTATAAGAGTCTGATTAATTAGTAAGATTTGACTTCTATCGTTACCTTTTCTTAGAAAGAAATCTTTGATCTCCTCTTTCATTCATTCATACAATCTTTATTTTATATTTATTTAGTATTTTTCTATTAAATCAAAATGAAAAATCAATCATATAAAATATCTACAAAAAAAATCGATAGATATAAAGCATTATTAAGGGGATTCAATAAATTTAATCTATTTAAACCGTAATCTATTATATTATTTGTAAATACATGCATATCTTATCGCTTTTTGCCATGTCTTCTAATTGATTTTTCATTCTGTTAAATTAGTATTTGTACTAAATATACGATTTAAGTAAACTTAACAAATAAACAAAATCGAAAATAAAATCTTTCATTTATTTTCTTAAAAAAATATTTTAAATATACTTACTTATATTACTTACAGCAAATTAATAAATTAAAATAATTTTAAAAGCAAAAAATCTAACTATTTAACATATTTTTTCAAAAAACTAAATGAAAAATTATATTTTAGTATTTGAAAAGATTTTTTAGATTATTTTAATTTTTAGTAAAAATACAATAATTTTAATGAGTCTTTATATTAGAGACTAATAAGGTCTTTATAATAATCTAGTATTACAAATAATTAATTGAACATATTTAAAGAATTTATAATTAATTACTTCAACAAAAACTTTTAAATTTTATATTTTTATAATCATTATTTGTCAACCTTTTTTTTTTTAAGCTCTTAGAAAGAATCTTCTAATTTTAATAAAAATTGATCAATTTCTTTTTTTTCCATACCAATTGCACAAGCTATAGTCATGTATGGTAAATATGTGAAGGAGTCTGAGTGAGAGCCATAGTTTTTAAACTTAATTCCACAAACACTTTTAGTCTAGTTACTCAAAATTCTGCTTCCCATTACTCTTTTACTATATAGTATACCTCCTAGAGAAGTAATATCTTTTTCATTTTCTTGTTCTTTTTCTAAGATTATTTGTTCCTTCATAGTTGTTAGGGTTAAAGCTAAACTAATTGTATTTTCTTTAATATCTAAAAGTCTTTCAGAGTGACGTTCTGCAAATTTTTATAAACAATCCTTCAAATATTATAAATTTTCTTTTCTTTAAGAAAGCAAATCTTTAAGTCCTTTTTTCCCCATAGAAAGCAGAGTAATAAAAACATCTAAAATAGGTCCAGCACTTGCTCTTCCTGGATATAATTGATTTATTTCTTGTATTACCTTCTCACTGTGTGAATATATAAAAGCACCACCAACTGGTACCATTAGGTTTTTGTCAGTGGAAGAAATTAAGCAATCCACTCTACCATTTTTAATTCCCATATTAACACTATTAGCAATTTTAGTGCATTGCAATCCATATGCATTGTTAACAACATGTCCAATATTATATTTGGCACAGAGTTAAGCTATTTTTTCTATATCGTCAGGTATTCTTGGAGCAAAACAAGAAGTAGTAGATAGTACACATAAAATTTCATCTTACTTCTCTTTAATTACTTTTTCTATTTCTTCTATGTTTGTAGTAAGTTTATCTTCTTTTTAAATATTTTCAATAACCAAAGGTTCTAAACCACTAGTGTAAATGCATTTTAAACACGTTTTTTGATCAATCCTTGGCCATATGACATACCTTTTCTTAAAATTATTACCTCTTAAGGAGCTTAAGACTAAACTAAGGGCCATTCCAGTAGCTAAAGGGACTATCAAAACACTTTTTATGCTTTAATATCCACATATTTTTAAGGTATCTTTTACTAAATACTCTGTTAACTTGAGTAGAAGCGAAGAACCTGCAGCTTTAGGTTATTCTGCGCTAATATCTCCACTTCTACCAATACCATGTGCCATGTAATAGTGTCTTTTATTAACGAGTTCGCTAAATACTCTACCTTCTCTTTCTCCAACTCCCATTTTATTTGGAAAGTTATTTGTATCCATCATAGCAAGCTCTTATAAAAAGTGTTCAATGCTTAAATCGTCCCATCCATCATCAGGTAAGCATCTAATAATGATACATAAACAATAAAATATTTGATAAAAAGATATTAAAAGATTAAATTGTTGTGAATAAATATGGATACCTTTGAGATAACAGAACTTTTATTAAGTTTTATCTTGTATTTAATGCTTAAGAAGATAAATCAATATAACTTTTGCTAATTATCTAGCTAGCCAATTACAAATTTTAAGAATTCATTTGTTTTATATTTAAGATATTTTGTCAAAATTAATTAGTAATAAATAATTTTCTAAAAATTGCAAAGACCTTATTCAATTTGATATTGAAAACCTTTAATCAAAATGTTTTGAAAAAAGATGTGTAAAAACTTAAATTATTTTTTTTTATTTATCCTAAATTTTAAATTAATTATTGATAGGAAATATTTTATTGAAATAGATTTGTAAAAAAATATATTATCAACAACAATTTTATTTAATTTATCATTAAATATTGATAATTTTTAAAAAATATTTATGGTAATTATGCACAATACACATCAACAATAAATTAAAAAAAAGTATTTAAAAAGAATCTAGTTTATCCAATTTTCTTTAAAAATTAATTGTTTTTCTACTAGTTTTTGAGACATTAGAGTAAATTTAAATATGTTTATTTTAATATCTTAAAAATTAAATATGTTTATTTCACTTAAATATTAGAATTTAATGCTGTAAAAACACAAAAAAATTTACATTTATTAAACTAAAACACAGAAAGAAAATTGATATTTTAAATTATAAAAATAATTCATCAAAATAATTATTAACAAAAATTTTTATTGTTAGTTATTCTAATTAAAAATTTAATAATTTTTGATTTTAGTTTGTGTCTACAGGCTCTAATAATAATTATTATTTTAAAAGGTTATTCTAAATTAATATGAAAATATTTTGATTTAAACTTGTATCATTACTTATTTTCTCAAAAAAATCATGAATTATAAAAATATATTTAAAATGGTGTTTATGTTTAATCAAATCTTTTGCTAAATATGTATAGTTTTAGGAAAAATTGTATGAAGTAAGGAATAAAAATCTACTGAAATAATAAAAACTAATAAATTTAATAATTCTTAAATATTAAAATCAATTAAAAAGCTAAATACTAAAATATTAGCAATTAGAATAATATTATCTTTAAATTAACAAATGTAATACTTTAAAAGAGACATTTTTCATTCGTTAATATATAAAACAATAAAATAGAAAAATAAATAAAATTAATTATTAATATATATATTTTACATATAGAGAGTAAAAAAATTAATAAAAGAAATAATCAATCAAAAATTTTTGTTCTACTTAAAGCAAGAAAATTAATTAATTATTTAAGCTACAAAACAAAAAATTAATTAATTAAGCTACAAAACAAAAAAATTAAAGTGATTTGAACTAACAAATATAATATAATAAATAATAATATTAAAAATTCAATAAGCAACACAATGGCTAGCTTAACTAAAGAATAGATTTTTAAAAAAATAATTTAGAATCGCGCCTACAGAGAGTAAATACTCGCTGAAGAACGTCCAAATTTTGAATAAATTATTTAATAAATTTAAAAAGAACATCTATAAAAGCTATAAAAGTAAAAAAAAAAAAAGGATAAATCTCAAGAAGATAAGAAAAGCTAATAAACTCAAGGCGACTAGCTCAATGAGAATTTGCAACTTGAAGTTGAATTGAAGTAACTCTTTAATGCTATTGATGAAAAAGTTAAAAGTATTAATACTGGAGCAATGCAAAATATTTCTTCTTTAGTCTTATCTAGGTCACTTTAACTTACCTAATACGTCTCTCCTTAAATCTAAATATCAAATGAATCTCTTAGTTTCCTTCAAAAATCTGATAATGTTGTAGCTCCTAATTTCAACTCTCCTGTATAAATGTAATCTCAAGACTCCTAGGGATAGGCTAATTCATAAATTGCTTAAATGTAATAGCAAGGTGATTAAGAAGATACTTCCGTTAACTAGAACTTATATATAGAAGGAAGCAGCAGCGAATCTACCTTTAAACTAGCCTAATTGAATGAGCTTAATTAGTTCAACACAAATGTGGAATCAATTCAAAATGCTAGTGATACTAGCAGCTCCTCCTTGCATTCAATTATTTAAACTTTAGTCACACAATTAAATGCAAACGATAATGCATAAATTGAAGAAGGAAAATAAGAGGAAGAAAATTAATCTGAAAATGATTAAACTAAATGAATATTAATGCTAATAAAAAACAATAAAAAAATTACTATACTAAAACATTTTTTTAATTTGAAAAACAATAAAATTAAAGTTTATAATATATTTTTTGTATTTCAGCATTTAATTAATTAAATGAATGATATTATTTTAGTTCAAAATTCAAAATAATATTTTAAATCAAGAGAATAATTTGAAAAATATATTAAGTTTTTTAGTTATTGTTTCATATTTAAAGTTTAATAAAAAGAAAAAAGTAAATAAAATTTAATATGTTTGTATTCATTTAAATGTTTTATAAGCTTTTAGAATATCTCTCTATCTATCTATGTGTATATGTGCGATTGAGATAAAAGAATGTCTAATAATTTTTTATTTTAGAAAATTTTTTTTTGATATGAATATAAAGTTTTAATACTACGTTGAAGCTCAAACAGTTTGTGTAAAACTTAATTTTACATTAGTTTATAATTCGTTTTTTGTTTCTTTTAATGAATTAAAATAATATTTTAAGTATTCCTTTGTTTATTATTTTTACTCTTAATCATTTCTATCCTCTAAAGTTCCTAAATCGCTAAAGATAACCTCATAAAAGTAATCTTATTCTAATTATTATTACTTTTTTTATTATATTTACTTATTTACTAATTGATTTGGCTCTTAAGTATTTCTCTTTCATTCTGCTAGTTAGATATTTTATATTATTCTATGCCTTAAGAATTGTTTTTTAAATTTAATGGCTATTTCTTAGTTTTTTGTTGAGCTTAAAATTTCAATTTGTTTTGCCTAGTCTAAATGTTTGCTTATTATTTAATTTAATATACTTTTGAAAAATAATTAAAAACCAAAATGTAATTAATTAATTTATTTGATTAAAATATAAATTAATGGTAATTATTTTTTCTTAAAAATAAAGGCAAATAAATATCTTGCATTTATAATAGTAAAATAATAATTTTAATTCAAATTTATTTAAAAATAAAGTTGTAATTTTATTTAGAGAATCAACAATAATAATAATGAATTTTAGTTAATGGATATACGATTTAAGACATTTTAAAATTATAAAAGAATATAATGAATGAATTATTTATGCAACAGAATTAAATTTATTTATTTATTTAGTTGTAAGCTAAATTTTTAATTCTAAATATAATAATATTTATTTTTTTGAAACGAATCAAAATTTAGTGAATAAAAGTATAATTAATTTGTTTAGTTTGTTGATTTATTTTGAAATAGTTTTTGGGAGAAGAAATTATTTAGATGGAAGGGAAATTCTAATTAATATTCATGTATATTTGTTAATTAACTGAGTTAATTGTTCATCTTCTTAAATTATTTTTATAATAGTATATAAATATAAAAATAAAAACATTTTAAAATGATTCATACTCGCCTTCAATTGACTAAAATTTTAGGAGATAGATATTATTTTTTATTAACAGGGCTTAATTTTAGGTATTATGAAATTTTAAATTTAATTTTAAGGGATATAATATTTAGAAATTAATTAAATTATATTTTTAGCGATATCAAAATAATTAGTTTACATTAAAAATTTTCAAAATTAAAATATTTTTTTCAAAATGTTTAATAGTTATTTCATAAATTTATTTAAATCAAGCTTATAAGAAAACTTATATAAAATTAAAGCTTATTGCTATTTTTGTTATCAAAGGTTTATTAATAGATTAATAATAAAATAAAATTTTTGGCTTTAAGAATTTTTTTAGAAAATCATTTTGATTTTAAATTTATTTTTGCGATTTGCGATTTTTTGCATTTGCGATATTTTCGCGATTTTTACTTATCACTATAAGGAATACACGTTATTAGAATAATTTTGGTTATAAATAATTTAAATTTATTAACTTGTATTGAAAAGTATAATAATTCTATTTCATAAATAGTGTGCTGTGAAGAATAAGTTTTTGAATATAAATATAATATTTAATTAGCATTATTTGATAATAAAATTGAAAATATATATTGCTATTTAAGTAGATTTCAATAGAAGATATACTGATGAAGATAAAAACAATAAGCAAGTATTAATTCAATGAAAATGAAATTTTAGGCTAAGGTAGTCTTGGTAAAGTATACAAAGCAAATTTAGTGGAAGAAGTAAATGGCGAAAAAAAAGTAGTTAAATAAAATCAGTTATTTGCAATAAAAATGCTATAATTGAATGTGTTTAAATAATATAATATTTCAGATCCATTAGAAAGAATAATGCAAGAAATTGAATTGCAAAAAGATTTAGATCACCCACATATTACAAAATATGTAGATGCAGTTAAAACTGAGTAAAATGTTTATATTGTAACTGAATTCTGCAATGGTGGTAATCTAGAACAATATATTTACAATAACAGGCCTAAAGAATAAAGAGTGCTTTTTCTTTTTTCATAAATAATTAGCGGATTTAAATATTTAATGACTGAAAAAAATATAATTCACAGAGACATAAAACCTTCAAATATTCTAATTCATGATGATATACCTAAAATTTGTGATTTTAGTATCTCTAGAAAGTCAAATATTCTTAATGACACATATAAAACTATAACTGGAACTCCACTTTTTTCATCACCTCAAATTCTCAAAGGTATTTAATTTATATAGATCTTATTATTATTTAAGTGTGTTATTATGAATATTTAAAATAAATGATAAAACAATAAAAAGTTTATAATATTAATTTTATTTAAAGGAAAAGAATATACTTCTAAATCAGAAGTTTGGAGCTTGGGAGTAACACTGTATTTTATGTTATTTTTTAAGCTAAAAGATGAATCAATTTAAGAATATGATAGTCATAATATCTGCAATACTTCTTATCCTTGGTTTGCTAATACTAATAAATTATTGAAGATAGCAATCAAGGAATAGTAAAAAGTAAGATTTCCAGAAGATGTTGAAGTTAGCGAATAAGTCAAATAGCTAATTGCAAGAATGCTAGTTTATGATGAAAAAAATAGAATAAGTACAGATGAATTATTTAATCATGAATTATTCGTTAAATATGATTAAAATTTAAAGCAGGCTAAAATTAACAACATGCTTACTGATTCTTTTCATTAATTTAACGAATCCTAATTACCTGAGTGCGAATTAGTAAATAAAGTTTAAGAAAATATAGATTCTTAAGTTGGTATCATTGAGTTTATGATATAAATATTAGATTATTAAAAGGCCTTAAAAGATTATTGTGAAGAGTTTTATGGACATAAAAAGCTATTACCTTCTCTCTTATAATCAGTATTATGTGTAAAGATATAAAAAAGACTAGAGAATTTTAAAAGCTATCTAGCAGGGAAGGAGGAAGTATCAAAGAGAGGAGTTTTTTTATACAAATAAAAAAATTCTTTAGAATTTAATTCAATAAATAAAAAAGTAGATTATATGATTGACGTGTATGAAAAAAACGTTTAAAATATTTAAAAATGCTTAAAAACGCTTGAAAAATCACATTCTAAGTTTAGTGAATCTTCTCCCAACTAAAGCTTAAATGATATGATACAAAATACAATGTATCAGTCTTAATTTATTTAAGACAATATCAAACAGCTATTTTTAGGGATGAAAGAAATTCATTTTCATCTACTTTAATAAGCAACTCTAAACAAACAATAGTTATTTTATTTAGAATATTTAGACGATCTAATTTCATTTCATACAATTGACTAAACTGCAGACTCCTCTTCTTACAGAATAAAATCTTCTAATATATAAAAATTACTCTAAAACTCTTTATCTAAATAAATTGCTTCACCTTAATCTTTTTATTCTAGAATAGTTGTAGGATTTAGTAATTTATTTTCATAAAATTGATTTATTTTAAATTAATAGTTTAAAATATTATAATTTTTATTGATTCTATTCAAAAAATAATTAATTATATTTATAATTTTTAAAATATTAATGAGTTAGTTCTACATTTAATTTATTTTTGCATTCTCTAAAAAAGACTGTAAAAGTTTAAAATACTTCCTTCTGTTTTTAATAATTAATATTTACATATTTTTATATTCTTTTTACATTCTTTAATATAAATTAACTTAAAATAACTTCTTAATATTATTAATTGATAAACCCTTTTATAAAATTTAAGTATTTCGTATTTTATTTTAAATATTTTCATTAAATTGTTTTTAATATTTGTATGATTCCTTTCTTAAAAATTACTAATCCTTAATAAATTTTATCTTACGATATTTATTTTTTAATAATAATTTGGTGAAATCTTAATATTTCTTTTATTAGTTTTAATTTTTGATTGAAATCCTTTATTTTGCATGATAAGCCTAATTTAAAAATTAAAAACTTTTAAGGTTTTAATTTTTTTTTCTTTTAGAAAAATAAACTTTCTTAAAGTTACATAAATGAAATATTGCTTTGAGACATTTAAATTGAAATAAATAGACTTAAAATAATTTACATATTTTTATTTAATATCTTATTAAAAATATATCGTTATGATATTACAATTTCAATAAATTCTAAAGGTTTTTCAATTTGTAAATTTTCTATTCATATCTTTTAAATTTAAAAATATTTTTCTTCCTTTTATTAAATTTTAGAAAGAAGTTTAGATAATCAAATATTTAAAAATTCCTATTTGCTTTTAAATTGCTACAATATTTAATAAAAGTGAGTTTTTTATTGATTTTAGATAAATAATTAATAGTTTATTGTAAAAATTAATTCATACATAAAGGTATTCTGAATTAATTACTTTTTATTCTTAGACAATTGATAATGTTAGAATCAAATTTTTTTTATATCTATGCAATTTACTTTGATTTTTGTAAGAAAATATAAATTTCGCTTCTAACCTGAAATCATTAAGATTTAGGAAGATTAAAGCAAACCAATTAACATTGTTACAATATTAAAAATTTCGATATTATTTTAATAAACTGTAATCTAACCTTGGGTAATCAGTATTAACAAGAATGAATTTTTAATTTCCTTTATTTTGAAAGTCAAAATATATTTGAATTCATTCAATCTATATCTCTAAATTTTATGATTTGCTAGATCATGTAGATGTTTACTTTTCATAAGTAACCAAAATAATGTTTTATATTAAATTAGTAATAAAAATAAATAAAATAATAATAGTAAGTTAATTTCTTAGCACCATTTCTTATGATAAAATAATATTTGAAAGGAAATTAAGTATGTTAAGAAAATATCAAAGATTTAAAAAAATAATTTGTTTTTAAGTAAGTAATCAAATTTATGCTAACTTACAAAAATTTAAATAAAATAATGTCATTGAAAACTAAAAGATGTGATGTTAATGATATTAATAATGGAATTTATCATTTGATAAAATTGAAATTAATTTTAAATTTGATTAATTTTGATTGCTGTTTACAAAAGTAAAAAAATAGCAATCACCCTGCAAATGAAAACCATTGATAAAATAATCTTTCAAATTAAATAGAGAATCTTGTATGATTTATGATTTATAGGTTCAATGATAAAATCTCTCCTATCACTTTTTCGTATTAATTACATCAGAAATTTTAATTAAAAAGTAAGATCATTGATTTTAATAAAAATAATTAATTTTTAATAAATAAGTGTAAATAAAAATAAAAAAAACTAAATTAAGTGACTATTTTTTTAAATTTAAATATTATTAGCAGAGAGATAGAGCTCATCTTTAGCTTAATAGAAAGAAAATATTATTTATCAATTAGCTATAAAATTAAATGAAACAGAAATAGATTGATTATTCTTAGCATAGTTTTTTAATGCTCATCCCTAAAATAACCATTAAATTCTATGTTAATGAATTATACGGAGTGGTTAACAGCTTTAAAGTTGGAGAAATTTTAGGAGCTTTTTTAATTGTTTTCAGGAACTTTGAGTTAACTTTTTTCGGATTGTTAGGTGAGAGGCTCGATAAACTTTCTAATGTAGATTAAAATCTTTCATTTTTATCTCAAAAATAAAACTTTTTTACATTTTTTACTGACTCCACAAGCGTCCAAGGAATAGTTATTTTTCTCTTAATTGTTAATTTAGGAATATTATTAGTACTAATAAGCATCTATATATACTATATATTTAAGATGCTCAAAAAAGAGCATAAATCAATTAAATTAGATTAGACGAAGGATAAAAAAGGATCTTAGTATGATAATATTGATGATACATCTTTAGATCTATAAATTTCAACGCTCTACACTTCATAATAAAAAATAAATTTTACAAAATATAACTCTTTAAAAGTAATATTTTCTATAATATTACTAGTAAACTACCATATACTATTAGTACCCACTATCTATTTGTCATTCAACGACTTGAGTAATCCTCTCCTAATTATTTGCTTTATCATATCAGCTATTTTAGGTAATATTTTTATTCATAGCTTGTTTTCATAAAAGTTATTTAAAAATAGCAATCAAAGTATTATAGGAAATTATTAATATTTTACGCTTTTTATAAGTAAATTTTAATTAAAAAAGAATAGAATTTGATATTTAAATTTGTTTATTTGAATATTTTTTATTTATTTTTATAAGGATTATTAGTGTGTGACTGTGATTTTGATTATTCTGTTTCAAGCAATAATTTTTTAGGAAAAAGTTTCAGTCTTTGGTAATATCTAATGCTAATTATTGAAGTTATATGCGTTGTTGTTTTTAGTCTGAATAATCAAGGAAATTTTACTATCTTGGTTTGTCTCTTTTTAATAAAATTTATCTATTACTATTTGATCAATCCGTATTACTCATAATAAGCAAAATAATTGAGTTTGTTTTGCTCTATTTACTTTTTTATGCTAAATTTTCTCATCTTGTTTTGCTTAGAATACAACATATTTGAAGGATTAGAATGCTTTTTGATGTTTTTTTTCATTCCTTTCTCATGGAAATTATCTAAAATGATTTGCCATTACTTAAATGAACAAATAAAAAATAAATTTTAAGCACTTTCTTCTAAAGATTGTGTGGTGAAAGGGTTTGAGATTAATTAAATTATTAGATAAAAAAATCTTTTTACTGATTTAATTAATAGTGAGCTAAATTCCTAAAGAAAGATAGATTTTTTTAATTTGATAAGTAATTTTACTTCAATAAGCTTTGAGTAATTGCTAAGTATAAATAACGAAGGTTTGTAATTAACGCAATAATCACCATATTCATAAGCTAAAAAGAAAAGTTAGATGGAATAATTTAATGTAAGCTCGGAGTAATTTAAAGAGGAAACTTAAATGTTTGACTCGGTAAAACAAATAATTCAAAAGTATTTGGAGAAAATCATTTATGGATAGAAAAAATTTTCAAATGACTTCATTTATTGCTATTTAATATTTCTTCTAGAAGTGAAATAGAGTAGAAAGCTTTATTGGTTGAGTTTTCTTATGTGGAGATCAAAATCTAAAATTAATTAGTCTGTTAAGCAGATATAAATAATTTAAACTATCCAATCAATTTTTGAGGAAGAAAAATTAATAATCTAAAAAACATAAGGACATATCAACCCATTCTATGAAGGGTTTATTAGCGTTATCATGTTCGAGTAGAAAATAGAAATTGCTCATAAGTTACTTGACAAATGCATAGGATTAAAATTGCTTATTTTAAATATGATGAGGTAAAAGCTGATTGTTTTACAGGAACTTATTAAGCTGATTGAAAATTAATAAATCTTATTGTTTTAACTGAGAAAAATTCTTTCTTAATTAGCAATAGTAAACGAAGATAGCATCGACCTAATCTAAATACAAATTTATTATCTCCAGTGTCTTTCTTTTAATGAGTCAGATATCAAAATAAGTTAATTAAACTAATACAAGAAATCATACTTGAGCGAAATTCGCAACATATTTCAAAAAGATTCATGTGTAGCGTTTATTTATTACGATTTAAGTGCCAATCAGTGCTATTTCTCTAAGGTGTCTCAATACTTCGAAAGAATATTTTCTGTTAAAAACGAGGATATAATTGGTAAAAAAATAGACTCTTTCATCCCAAGTAAAATTTAAGTGCAGCATTAATCATACATCAAAGATTTCTTAGAAGAATAGCAATCTTAATTACTTTAAGATGAGGGTCAATTTCAATAGAATGAATCGGATTAAAAAATAAATTTAACCTAAGAATAAAAGAAAAATAATTCTTTTAGAACTTAAAATGCGAATTAAACATTTTAACCTATATGCAAAATGGGTAAGCAAATGATACTTTGCTTAAATGGTAAAAGAAATCTAGTTCCTGTTACCATAGATTTAAGAATTAATTCATTATCTTATGATTAATTTGGATTCACAGCTAACATCAAGAAGGTTAAAAATGCCTTTGATTATATTATGTACGACTCTAATAATTTTGAAATTATTGGACTTAGTAAAAATATAAACGAGTATCTTTTTCCTGATGTTCATCTCAAAAAAATTAATTTGGCTACACTTTTCCCTTTCCTTTAAGACTCACATACTAAGAAAGATGATAACAGTCAAAATATGGGTACTGATTATTTTAACTCAGATAGGAGTACTTTCAGAGTGGTTAAGTAAAGTGAGGCTGAAAGTGAGATTTAAAATAATAACTCTAATTCTAGAAGAAGTGGAACTGTTAATCATTCTTCATATGTTCACAAAAAGAATTTGCATTTGAAAAAATTTGATTTTGTTACTATTCTTTAGTAACCCAGAAATAAGAAATATTCTACTTATAATTCGAGCTATACAAATAGTACCAGAGATTAAAGCATAGCCAAAATAAATGTAGACAAAGATTTGATTTTTGTTTATATGGAAGTAAAAATTTTTGAAACTAAATATAAGGATGTATAAAACTTGAATTATTTGCAAATTTCTAAAGTAAAAATGATAAATCCTTTCGAATCACCTCAATACATTATCAATTTTATAAAAGAAAACATTGATTTGTACTTATTGTCCTTTACTTAATAGAAAATAGATAGAATTATTTCAGATTTAATAAAAAAAAGCAAGTAATAAATTCAGGAATTGGAATAGTAATAACTTACATAGTTAGTTCCACAATAAAAGCAGAATAATAATAATAATGATACTAAGGATTAGTTACAGCACTACTATACAAAGAACTCATCGATTAATTTCGTACATTCTAACCCTAATTTGGAGAGTTCATAGATCCAGAAAGATCTTAACTAGAGCTAAACCCATAAAAAGGCTAATGAAAGAGAGTCAGCAGGAACGTTTAATCAGATTATAGAAGAGGAATTAAGTGTTTCCAATAAAAGTGATTAAAATGATGAAATGAATAATGAAAATTAAAATTCATTTTAAAATAAACGTAACTAAAAATAATAAAGTTTAGCTGAAATTAGTCAGAATTTAGAATTTTTTAGCAATTACTAGCTTCCTCTGATAAGCCCAGACTCAACTTATTTTAACATGAAGTAATAGCATAATGAAAGTTCTTCACAATTAGCATTTTTTAATTAGACCAATTTAGAAAGATAGTATCAAGATAACTCTTAAAGTATGGCTTAAATACCTGATTAAAGTCTTAATGAATAAACAAAAGGTAATTTTTAGAAAAAAAATTCCTCTATTTCTAATAGTAATGTAAGAGATTTAAAGTAAAATTAGTAAAAAGACTAAATTCAGTACTAGTCAACTTTAGAATCAAAATTTTTTTCTCCCAGAATATTGAGCACAAACGCTCCCCTTGAGTCAGCAAAGAACTTACAATCTTATTCAAAACTGATAAGCTCATAATCTTAGTAGAAGTTCTTCTCATCTGATGAGCTAAAAAACACAAATTTAAAACGATAGCAAACATTTTAAAATAACAAAGATGCAAACCAGGACCGATCTAAAAATAGAAGGAAAAGGAAGAATGAAGAGTACAGAGATGACTAATTAGAATTTTTATAAAATGATTGGCTTGCTTTTAAACAAAAAGGATTAAAAGTACTTAGCAAAAAAAATCAAATGGACGAAAAGCGTCGTGTCTATGAGTTATAAGTAGAAATAGCATCAACAAGCAAAACAAAATCTTCAAGCTCTGCTTCTGCAAAGAGACACCTTTCAAAGATATTATCTACCGACCAAAGGCTTCCTCAAATGAAAGTAATTTAGTTTATAGGGTTAATTTGCTTCATTACCATAGCTTCAGTAACACTTTAACAGTACTTTTCTGTAATGAATTCTATTAAAAACTCATAACTTGATTTGGAAGTTTTGGACTGGCCATCTGAGTTTCGCTCAAAGCTCTATTACATGGTCAAATATTTTAATCTGAATTATCTACTAAATTTTAATGACTTTAAATTCGCTTCAGATTAGGCAAAGGCTAAATACGTTACATAGATTAAAGCAAATCTATTTTACTCCAAGGACATTATTAGAAATCATCTTTCAAAATTAGATAATTCAAATCCTGATAGACTTATATTCTAATAACTCAGAACATAGACTACTTAATTCATAATACCATTATATTACAATCAAAGTATAATAAGTCAAACTACTTCTGTTGTAGCAGATTAGCCTGGATATGTAGGAGCCTAGGTAAATATAAGTATATTATATGCAGCTTTGATTTTTAACTAATTTTGTTATTGGTAATCTATCGGAATCGGAGGAAGGCCTGAATATTTTACAATAGAAAATTAATATAATATGGTAAAGGCAATCATTGCAACAGAACAAAATATTATAGGAGTGGAATAAAATGAAGATAATATAATAAATTAGCAACTTAACACTTTAATTGGCATAATATTTTCAGTATCAGCTTGCTGTGTTGGTGTGATTTTACCACTGTATACATATATTTAGATAAAAAAAGATAAAATTGTTACTCTTTTATCAACTTTTACAAACTAAAAAGTAAATTCTTTAATAAATGACATCTACGAAAATTACTACAATGACAAATAATTTTCAAAGTTTTAAAAAAATACTCCAAACAATATTAATTTTATGAAGCAGCCAGACTCAATCAAGTAGAATATTAGCTAGACAACTCGTCTTCCAAAAATGAGCAAGCTATTTTGTGCATTTGTACTTCTAATTTACATATTTATTGTAAGCTATCCTGTAATAATTAAAATTATTACTTCTAATTATCTAGAATAGACATCATCAAATCTGAATATTGCAAGTAAAATTTGTTTTATTTTTTATTTTGAAATATTTTAGTTTCAAAAAATTCAGATATTAAAAAAACACTTAATAATTATTGAATATATATATATTTATTAACTAAATTAAATTATTTAATTAGTTTAAGCAAACTCATTAAAGGCATACGTTGGTGAAATAATTTCGATAAACTATCATGCTCTTGTATTGAAGTTATATCCGTAAGTTAAACCTATGAAGCTTGAATGGTATATGGATTACATAGATTTACTTAATTCTTTATCCTAGAGCTACGAGAATTAAGTAAATAATTTAACAAGTGACCGCTACACATTAAATAGGTATTAATTTATTAATCATTCTTTTTGTTTTATATTTAAAAATACTTAACATTCATTATTATAAAAAAGGTATAACTAAGCAAACTACAACAAAATATTTTATCCTTTGATAGAGAATGATATTTGTAATGTCCTAAGCAAAAACCCCTAATATATTAGGAATTCAACAGTTTTTGATGTAAATAACTGCTAGTATATATTCAATGGCTTCTTAAAAAAGGGGTTTTAGCTCTCATTTAAAGAATTTTTAACAACTATCAAAGAAGTTTCTTCAATTTACTCTATTCCATCTAATACCTAATAGTATACATCAGCATAGCAAAACCTTTTTCAAACATTCAATTTGAAAAATTTCACTGACTTTCAAGAATATATTGAACAAACATTGGATTCAATGAAATATTTCATATAAGATGAAAATTAAAAATATTATAACTTCATAGTATAAGCTTAGCTAGGATTGATAATCTATCAAATGATAGTAATGGTGCTCATATTTGTAATAGGGTGGTATATATTTTGCTTAGAAATGAATAAACAAATCAATAAAACAAAAAAATTTTTATAAATCATAGACATTAACACTTTAATTGATAACACATATATTGTAACTTTTATAAAAAACAATTAAAATTTCTGACTTTAATAAATAGCATCTTAAACGTTTAGACACACTCACATAATGAATCTAACTTTATTAAAATGGTATTATAAAATAATATTATGTTATTTCTTAAAATGTATTTATTTATAAATCCTTCTTAATATCCTTGTTATATTTGTTCATTTATAATTTCATTAATAAATTCAAAAAAAAGCGTTTAATATTCTTCTATAATTTAAATATCAAATTTTATTTATTTGATTAATAATTTGAGATAATTAATTTCTTTTTTGGCGAATTTTATTTATTTCTAAAAGTTAGACAGCTCCAATAAAAAAAATTCTATAAGTTTTCTTTGTATTTTTTAAAAAAGAAAGATAAAATTTAATTTGGGCTGCTCTTTTATTAATATTTTTTTGATTTAATGATGCGAAAATTAAGATCATTTTTATAAAATTAAAGGATAGTGTATTTTTTAGAGTAAGAATTTCTTTTGGTTGGCTTTTAAAAAATATATAAATATGCTATATTTTAGATTTTATTTTTTACATATTATTTTTACTTAAGCAAATTCTAATTTAAAATTTGTCCTTGAAAACTTTTTTCGCCATTTCTTTATTTTCTTTTAAATAAAAATAAAATTCAATATTTTTACTTAAGATTGATACACAATAAAACTTCTCAAATTAGGCAATCAATATATTGTGACTTTAATATATTAACCAGAGTTTTTAAATATAGTAGGTAAAAATAAATCGACGGAGAGTAGTCAATTTATAAGGACTTACTGTGTTTTTATATTTTTTCAATATCACCACCAAACAAAAATTCAAAAAAAGAAGATTATCTATAAGAATGATGAACACTATTTATTTTTATTTATTTATACCAAACCATCGATCATAAATAAATCATTTTTTTTTTATTACCTAATTGAAATTCTTTGACTTTAACTCAAAAAATAGGTCATAATTAATTTTAAAAAGTAAAAATACTATGGAAATAGCAATATCAAGTAAAGACTTAGCTATTGTTTTATAATGCTATAATATTACAATTTACATTTTTTTCAAAAAGTTTAAGGTTTACAATTGAATTTTTAATATTCATGAATGAATTCAAAATTTAAATAAAACAGTGCTTACAGTGCATTATCAAAATAGATAGATAAGTGCAATACGCTTTACTCAAAAAAAATGTAAATTTAATTAATAAACCTTTTGAAATCACTAAAAATCACATCTACAAATTCAAAATAGGTAATTAAAAAGTAATACATTTTTTTTAAATTAAATAAATTTTAAAAAACTACTCCTTTTTAAAATTTATACTCTTGAATCAGCTGCTCATGAAGCTTTTTATTCCAAAAAAGTGTTTAATAAATATAATACTTGTTTTAATTATTTCCTAATCAAAATTTGTTTTTTTATAATATAAATAAATACATTTATCTATTTTAAAAAGAGGTTATTTCGTCAAATAGGATAGATAATTAACTGAAAAATATTTATCAAAATATAATTTAAACTTCAAAAAGCTTTGAAGAGGAATAGGAACTCTTTTATAATAAGGTAAATAATATTTTCTAGTATGAAGAGGTTGTGTTTTAAATTTGATGTATTGCATATAGCTAAAATTAACTTATTTAAGCAAAATCATTATAAATTAAAAATAGCTATGGATTAGCTGAGGTAATCACATACAAGAAATAAATATACTCTTAATTAATTTTTTACATTTATTTTCTATCTAATTAAAATATCAAATAATAAAAAAGACCTCTTATTTTATTCAATATAATAGAAGAACGTTTCTTAATTCAAATCATATAAATTTTATTCTTTTATATACAATATTTAAAAATGAGGGGAAAGGGGTACTTTTATAAAAAATGTCTCAATATTAAATCGATGAAATTGTTTATATATATTAGCTTTATAATTTTTGATAATACATCTTTCGAAATTGATACCTCCTCATATTCGATTTTTTGAAAGAAAAAAAAAGAATGAAAATAATAAAATTTATAAAAATTTAAATTTATAATAATGCTATCTTTAATAGTATTAATTATGAAAAAAGAGCAAATGAATTTTTGATTATCATTATTTTGAATTATTTTTATTTTAAATAGATGGCAAGAAACTTTTAAGCAGCTAATTAAGAATAAAATAAAATATTTTTCAGTTAAACATTTTTGACTTATTTTAACTAATCTTAAACTTTATTATAATCATTCAATAATTTACATTAGTTTTCTTGTAATTGATTTTTATTACTGATTCTTTAGAAATGATCAGGTTAAGTGAAAATTAATTATAACAATATCTTTTAAATGGAAAAAAGAAAAAATACATAAACCTTTAAATATAAAAAATACCAAGAATCTAAGATTGGTTTTGGATAAGAATTGTAAAAAAAATGTTATTGACATTTATAGGAAAACAAAATTTAATTTGTATACTTAAAACAAATAATTGATGATTACTTGACTGATTTTTGTTTATAGAAAAAATTAATCAATTGTTTGCTTGAAATTGAATTCAAATTTTAGTATATTATCAATTCAGGTCGTTTTTTATTTTTTCTTTATTACAATTAACCCTGTAAGTTAGAAATCAAAAAAAAAGAATGAGTTAATGAGTACTCCTTTAAAAAACCAAAAAATCTAAAGGAAATAATTAAAAAATACATAATCTAGTTTGATGTAATGAGTAATAAAAATATGAATGCAATTTACTATCAACAAAAAGAAACAATAAAATTTAAATATATTAATTATATATTTATAAAAAAAAAGAAATAGTTTTTAATAATGACTAATAAATATCAATAATTAAATAAATGCTTAATATTGATTTTTTTGTTAATATTCTAAAGTTTTTTACTTTTTGTTGATAATTTATGATAATATGTTTTTCTAAATCTCATAAAATATCATTAATTATTTAAATATTAAATTTTTAGAGGAGTTGTAATGTATTAATTTAGAGATTCTTAAAAATAAGTTATCAGTTTTTCAGGAGAAAAAATCAACAGCTAAGCTATAAATATGATAAAAATAGAGAACAATTGAGATGTGTTTGTGTTTTTTCAGTTATTTATTTATTTTTAGTTTTCTATTAGCTATCAATTAATATATATTTATAAATTCTATTCAAATCATCAACAATAACAATAATTTAAACTTTTATTTAAAGGAATCTAATCATAAACATAAATAAATTCTTTTTTAATAAAATAATCACAAACAAATAGAAATTAAAAATTGGTAAAAAAAATAATAAATTATACAACTTCATTCACTAAAGGAATGGTGTAAAAATAATAATTTTTATCTCAGGTGTGTTATCTTACTCAAAAATTTTACACTTTCAATCTTCTCCAGCTGACAAGAAGCTTTGAAAGAGGTTCACTTTTAAGTATATTTTTAGTATTATCGAAGGTTCTTTTGATATTGCTTATAGGAATTTATGATCAAGACTACTAAAAAATTTCATAATTAGACTCTAACCTAGTTATTCTAAATTAGAGCAACTACATTAGTAGTCTTCAATAGTAGACATATCAAACGAGCTTACAGGCAGCTATATTGTTACTGAACTTGATTATAATAATTTATCTCGTTGTATGTTATTTGAACTTCATGATTTTTGGTTATTTCTCATTTCTAAAAACTGACTAACATGTCTAAAACTATTCAGGAAAATTAGAAATAAGTGAAGATGATTTCTTGATTAGTGTATGTAAAAAGATGCAAATGCAAATATACAAAATTATGAGCTTATATTTATCAATATACCAGTATATTTTATTAGCGCCAATAATTTATTTCTGCCTTATTTAGATATAATTTTCTTTGTCAGCTTTTAATTTAATCTTGTCAATAATTATAGGTAGGGCATTATTTTTATCATTTCAATTAAATTCTATGAATTTATTATTTACTTTTTTATTATAGAAATTCATTATTGTCAAATTTATTAATTTAATATCAATAATTTATAGGATTTATTATTAATGACACCGATTATAATTACTCTATTTTCTCTAAAGACAAATTAGCCAGGCCGTTTAATCCTTATAATTTTCTCATGTTTATATTTGAGACTCTTTTAATTTGCTTAATTGTTGTCTCTAACTATTTGAATTGCTTGCTGATTGGGATTTATTTTTTAATGTAAGGATGGTTTTCTAGTTTGGCAATACCCTATTATTAATTTAAGACTCGCCTCTGGAGTACATTTGCTTATTTCTACTTTGGATCTTTGTCTTTGGCCATTTTTTTTTCAAACTAGAGTTCGCATTAAAATAGCATGGCTTCCCTTTTTATGCTTCTTTTTATTCCAGTATTTTATAAAATTTCGTTTTTGTACTGCTAACATTAAGAGAACCAATCCTATAATCATTTAGAAAGCATATTCTACGATAGTTAGTCAATTACTTTAAAAGAAATAGATAAAGTAATAAGATTAAATTTATTTGGATAGTCTGATAGCATAAAGTAAAATAACAAGAAGGAAATAACCACATTCAGCTTACTTGCTCACAAGTAGTAATAATATCTAAAAGAAGATATTAAGAAAATTAAGACATTAACTAATAGCCAATGTCAATTAAAGATGATTAGCAAACAATTAGAAAATTAAGAAAATAACTAAGATATCGAAGAAAGCCTCAAATATTTCCTGAAAGAACTTATTCGTAAAATTTCTCTTCAAAAAAAGGAAGAATCAAATAAAATAATTTATTTAGTGTACCTCCTTGAAATTTTAAATTCTAAAAAGTCTTACTGGTTTGAATACTCCAAGTACTGCTAGAAAAAATTTGCTATTAAGTAAGAGTAAATAATTGCAAGCATTCATCAAATATTTTTGAAACAAAAAATTATTTCATAAAAATCTTTCGGATTTTAAAATATTTTTGATTATTCATATTACAGTGTTTTGTTATTTGAATAAAGAATTTAAAAAGCCTAAGAATTAATTAGTGTAGCAGTCAAATAAAAAGTAGAACTTTTAAGTTTGATGAAGAATAAGTAAATTGATGCCTAGATATTGCTAAATAAAGTTTCTGATCTAAGAAATATGTAGTTAAGATTAAAAAATGAATTGAACAATTTAGCAAATATTAACAATAACAGTTCTGATTTGATAACACTCTAAGCATGCTACTTAGAATCTTTATCTTTTTGCGAAAAAGACCTTAAAATAGGATTTAATTCCTCTTCAATGCTTAATAACAACTTTTCTGAATTTAACTTTTAATAAATTCGCTCATAAATTTTAAAAAACCATTAAAAAAAAGCGAAATAAGGATTTGATATAGATCAAGATAAAAACTTGTAAAATTTTGATGAGTCTTCAATATATGATGTAAATTCTTGTGTAGTATTTGCATCAATTGAAGATGGAATTGATTTAATATTTAAGAAAGTTTCTAACAAATTTCTAGAAATCTTTTCTTTAAGTCATTAGGATATCATTGGGAAAAAAGTTGATGCTATAATGCCTACTAGCTTTCCCATAGCTTAGAAACACAAGCAATATATTGCTAGCTTTTTAAAAAAAGCTACAACAGATAAATCCTAAGTTATTGGAAAGATAATGTTTGGCTAATCTTCAAAAGGCTATCTAATTCCACTTGCTCTTGACTTTCGCTTGAATTATTGCTATTAGCTCTAAGAAATTGGAATTTGTGGATAGCTTAAATGTCTTTAAGATTAAAGTGATTATATTCTTTTTAATGCTGCTTCTTTGAGTTATTTAGGAATGACTAAGAATTTATCAACTAATGTTTTCACATAAAACTAATTAAATAAAAAAACTGATTTAGGATAGTTTTTCCCTTTTCTCTATAAAATAAAAACTGAGGAAAATATCTAAAAATCTAGCACTGTTAATGGTACCGGCACTGAATGGGAAATGAATACTCAATATAATTAGGAAATGTTCTCTCAAATAGATGATAAACTGCTTTAAACGAATAGAAATTAAAATAGAGATGAAATTATAGTAGAAAAAATGAAAACAGGCTTAGAATTTATGCTTATTTTACAAAATAAAAAAGAACCAACAAATTAGGTGAAAAGCAATTTACTTAAGTTAGTTTAAGAAAAAGAGTATAATTTCTACTTTATGGAAATCAAAGTTTAATCTACTTAATATTAAGAGCTTTAAAATCTTTCTTATGTAAAAATTTCTAGAACTAAACCCTTAAATCCTAACTAAAATGGACCTCTTATTATGTAGCACCTAAAAGAAAACTAAGAGTTATATTGTACTGTTTTTTCAAAATCATTTATCGACCGCATATATTCAGAAGTTGAGGTTAAGTACAAGAAGCATAATTCAAGCTTAGAGTTAAAAAACGACTTTTAATTTTCATTAAATGATATGTCTTACTCAAATAGCTAATTATAATTACTCTAAAGCCCATAAACTCTATTACTTATGCCTAAAAATTAGATTGATAAAAACCTTGCCTTGGAAGAAGAAATTAATAAATTTAATTTAAATTCAATTCCTTAAGATAGAAATAAATATAATCAAGAAATTGTTAAACTTGGTGTTTAGATAAATTAAAGTAATATTTAAAAAATTGATTAAATTATTGAGGAAGATTAGAGCGTTTCCACCATTAGCTTATCTGAAAACACTGATAGAAACAAATAAAAAAATTAGCCTTTTAATAGTACTAGCGAATAGCAAAAAATATAAGAAGAAAAACATGAAAAAGCACCTTTATCCCCAACATCTATGGTGCCTGTTAATAAAGAATATTAATAACTAATAAATATAAGAGATTATATAACTAGTAACCCTAATAGAGAGGCTACTATACTTAGTGATAATTATAGAGAATTTTAAATAATGAGTGACAATAAATTAGTTTAACCAATTTTGAGTGATAATAATAGAAATTCTCTAGCGAATTTCTATGATAAAAATCTTTTAACTGAAGATGAGTCGAAATAAAATATTGATAGAGATAATTCTCTCAGATAAAAGTAAAGTCTTATATTTAATACTCCTTTCCTTTCACCAGCATCACCTAATTATAGCTCACATGAACTAATTAGAAACAGGCAAAGCATATAGTTCACTAACTCTTAAATTTATGAAAATTTAAAAAGAAAGGAAAGCTTTTATACTTAAGGATAAAGTATGATTGGAATTAATCTTGGAATTATGGATAACTCGTGCTCCACTGCATACCAACAAAAATTCTATTAAGATAAAGAATCCTTATCATTTAATCAATAATAAGTAAATGAATCAAAGGAGAATATACAAGCTAAAAATTTATTAATGAGCAAGTAGTAAAAAAAGAACAGAATTCACAATAATGGGGATCAGATGGACAATTAATCCTCAACTAAATCAAGGGAATCATCATCTTCAGTCAAAAGAATATTAATTAGCTTGATAAAAGCAGAATCTCAAATTATTGCTATAAAAGTTATTAATATAATAGGTTTTTTAGCATTTGTTGTCCTAGCATCAGTAACAATTCAATAATATGTTTCTTTTATGTAGAGTATTTAAATTTCATCTGACAATCTAACTGTTTAAGATTGGCCAACTGAAGTAGTTGTTGTGTTATATAATACTAATAGAATTTTTAATTTTATCAAGATTGAAAGGTAAAATAATCTTACCTTTGCTTCGCCAGCAGTCCAAACTAATTTTGATAATGACTATGTGAATAGACTATTAAATTGCTTCCCTCTCTATAATGATTTAATAGACTACATGGAAACTGCAAAAGCTGGCTATATGTTATTTGATAAAGTTTCTAAATATCAAACTTCTTTTTAACTTAGTCTCTATTATACTCCTGGAGATAAGAGGAATATTTCATCAAATAGAGTAAATTACTATAACGAAGTAAGAAACTCATCACTACTTTACAATTTAGTTGTTGTTAACCAATATGTGAATCGTGTTTCAAGGAACCCAGGAGCGAAACTTTAGGAATTTAATTTACTTAGCAATTATGATTACATAGTTAATGGTATTTCAGATATTTAAAGCTTCTTTGTAAACTATTAGATTTAACAAAATTCGAATATTTAAAATTAGCTCATTATTTTAATCGGCTTGATAATGATTATTTCAGCTTTTTGCCTTATTATGATAATGCCTTTATATGGATATATATAAACTAAGAAAGATCTGATAATTAACTTATTTTGCACTTTCTCAACCAATTCTTTGTAACAGATGATACTAAAAATTAGGTCAAACTTTTATCAAAACAAAGCTATGACTCCTCATATCAAGCATATACCACAAGAAATTTAAAATTTAAATAGCTAAGTATAAGGAGACTAATCTTCACTAAAAAAGCAAACTTTAAGTTCTATTTCTAAACTACCAAAGTACAATATTAAACTTGTTTTTGTCTTACTTATAGCCTACATATTATTATCTATTTATCCAATAGTAAATAATATAGTAATATAAAATTTCCTAAACTAAATACAGAACAACATTCAAATGCTATGTAATTTTTATTTAAATCATTTAGTCATTTATTAAAAAATTAATTTTTAAATATTAAAATAGAATAATTAAATAACATCAGATAGTATTTAACAAGAACTTCAGCTTTAACAATATCTTGTTTAAATATGAGAATATATCCCAACTTATAAACATTTACTCTTGATTAATATTAAGGCTAGTTAACCCAGATAGTTTCCTAAATGAATGATATTTTAGATTAAATAACCGATATATCAAATTAATCTATTAAGTCTGGAAGGTAAAATTTAAATCATTCAATATATAATAAATAATTTGTCATATTTTAATCTAAAAGGTATAATTAACAAGATTTTGACAATTTCTTCTTTCCTCTTTTTGAGAGTAATATTTGTGATTTAGTCTAAAACTATCCACAATACAATTAAAATGCTACTGCTTTTTAGCCAAACCTTTGCCAAACAATATAAAATGGATTTTTATAATAGGGCCTAAAATTAGCATACAAAGAATTTACAGAAAATATTAATGATTTATACAGTATTATTCAGGTATCTAATAAACAATAATAAAAATAGCTACAAGCCAGTTTATTTAAAGAATTAGATTTAATAGATTTTGGTAATTTTTTGGATTATTTAGAAGAAACTTTAAATATTCTAAAATAGTTTTTAATAAATAATTGTAACTAATATTATTCTTATTTACAAAAAATATAACTGATACTAATTATATATCAAATCGTTCTAATGGCAATCATATTTGGATTAGGTTGGTACAGTTTCAGTAAGTACTTATAGTCATCATTAACACTTACTAAATAGTATTTACAAATTATCAACATATATTACTTACTTGATAATAACTATATATTAACATTCGTTAAAAATAACCATAAACTATGAAACTTTATAAGAAATCGTTATAATAAATACTCTATAATTTAAAATTGTCTTCATATTTATTTTTTATTTTTCAAATTTTTATATTTTTACGAGAGTAAAATTTGGAAATAATTTATTTTTGGACCTTACTTAAAGAAAAATACCTACAGTACTATTCAACTCATATTATCAGAAAATATTCAAATATATTTAATATTTTTTACCATTGCTTTTAATAAATGAAAAAATTAGTAAATTAAGAATCTTAATTGAGAATTTCACTAATATATAAATGTAAAAATGTTATTTATAGATGCTTCTCAATAAAAATTTCCATTTATTTTAATTTTTTAAAAGGTATATTAAATATTTTAATGTATTTATGATTTTTTTCATGAAGAAATAATAACTATTTAGGCATTTACAATAAAGATATTAATTTTTATTAAATATTTATCGTAACTTAAAATTTATTTTAAGATTTCTTATTATCTGATTACTCTTTGTCATTTTAATGTTTAAATTCGATTCACAAAAATCTTTTAAAAATAAATAATTTTAATTTAATAACATTTATTAATATTTTAATCCATCTACTTATTTAACGCACTTATTTGATTTTTTATTTTATTTAATAATTAATTATATTTATACATTATTTAGTATTCTAAAATTGATACTTTTTGTTTAAATACAGGGATGTGTATCTCGTTCGAATTTATGAGGAATGGAAAGTAAGATGAAATACTAAAATATTTATAAATTTTTGATTGGATGATTAAAAAAAATTTAACACAATTTACAAAATAAATATTCTTATTAAAAATAAATAACAAAAATAAACAAATAAATTAACAAATAAATAATAGCAAGATTATCGAATTCCTCTAATTAATTATATTATAACAGGCAGGTAATCTTTTGCAAGAAAGGTTTAGTAAGTTAGTTACCAATTAAAGTACATAAATAGAACATTTATTTTTATTTATTCTTGATTGATGGACAGAGAGGTAACATAAAAGATTTAACAAAATTAACTGAATTGTTAAAGTTTTTATATAATAAAGCGCCCTAAATCAAATGCTTCCAATCAGTCAGATTCTTTGAGATTAAAAAGAAACTCATTTCATAACAATAGCAGTTCTAATGGAGATAAAAAATTGGAATAATTTGATTAAAAAAAAATTAAATTACCAGAGATAAGGAGAGATGCATCTCTTACATAGGGGTAAATTTAAACATAAGCAGGATCAAAAAGTTCTCATCCTCCTAATTCAAAAAACTTTAACAACTCTAATAGTTAAAATAAGTAAATTAATGATGAAAACTAATTGAATGGAGCAGCACTTTATGCTAGTTACAATACAACTGGTGTAGGTTATAATAGTAGCTAAAAATCAAGATAAAGTTTAGATATGTCAATGCAGCCATATATCAATCCAAGTTAATTTTAACAAACAAATATAGCATAGGTATAACTTGCTTCTGAAGTTTAGGGATAGTAGCCAGTTGCAATTGGATTATCATATGTCTTAAACAAGATTAAAAAAGATAGAAAAGTTACAGATGAAGAAGCTCTTATTATGGAAAATCGTATCAAGCTGCTGAAAAAAGAAGAGCACAAGACAAAGAAAAAAATAGAAGAAATGAATAAAAAATCTGAAGAAATATTTTCTATTAAGGCTAGGCACGAGTAAACAAAATATATGGTAATTTATAAGATTGTTTTATAGAAAAATATATAAATATTATTAAAAATATTTGTGAACTTATAAATAAATTATAATTTATAAAATGATTTATAAATCCAAAGAGATAAATTATGCAGTAAGAGGAAGAAATGAGAATTCAATCAGCAAAGGAATAACATGAATAGTAGAGAATGAAATAAAAGGAAAAGAGATTTGATAAAATAAGCGAAATATTATTAAAAAATCATTAGCATTATGAGCAAGTAAAATCTGAAAAAGAAGCCATAAAAGCTATGTTGTAGGAATAGAAGAAAAAGGAAGAAATAGAAAATGTTACCTATGTTAAAAAAATAAAGAAGAAATTAAATTAAGCATCTAAAAAAATTTAAGAGCAGAAGTACCAGGATGTAGAGAAAATTATTGAAAGATACCAATAGGAAATACAATTAGAAGAGTAAAGGAAGCTAGAAAATTAGATAAAAATTTAAAAAATGGAATAAGTCGAACAAAATTTAATTAAAAAATTGTAAAAATCTCAGGTAATTCAGCATCAGGCTTTATTGCAACTACAAGATGCTATTAAGTTAAAACCTAGTGAATATGCTGCAAAAGTCACTACAAAAAGCTTGGAAATGAGTGCAGGAAAGAATCGTTTTATTGTAAAGAGAGGATAAAATACTGAAATAGATATTAATAATTAGGAATAGTTTAATCCATATAATTATTAGGTTAAAGGAAACTCTAATTTAGAATAGCACTCGAAATCATTTTAAGTTAATTACACAACTAATCAAACTCCAAATAAAAAGTAAGGATAATTTAATAGTGGGAATTAGACATATTGTTTAGATTCTGATGTTCAAGGGTCAGACTTAAATAATAATGTACATTCATCAAATCAAAATAATTCATTTAATTTATCAAAAGAACTTGATAATTCTCCTGAAGGACAATAAAAGGTTATCATAAACAAAGAACAACAAATTTAATCCTCTAAAGAAGACCACAATTTTGAATAAAATCCAAACAATATTGAAATTTCTCAACAAAATATTGATTTAAAAAGTTAAAGCAAATAAGATAATTAAGAAAAGAATGATAGATCTCCTTCATCAAGAAATAATAAGAGAGAACTTCTTAGTAGAAGTGCAAATGATATTATTTTGCAAAATGGAAACTCAAGTGATTTATAATAATAAAATTAGCAATAATAGTAACAAAATAAATAGTTGCAAATTGTTCCAAACAATAAGATTTATATGAATGAAAATAAAAACAGAAGCTAGTCTACGTTTAATAATGATTTTAGATAAAATGCTTCTCCAAATAAAATAAGAGGCCTATCTTAATCTAATTATAAAAATTTTGATACTGAAAACTATATTCAGCGCTTTGAAACAGAGAACTAAGGGAAAGATTATAGTAAAAAGAGAAAAAAATCAAAAAAGAAGAAAAGTAAAAAAAGTTAATCAATCTCAACATCACAAAAACACTTATTAAACTATTCTTAGAACTACAATCAATAGCAACAAATGTATGCTTATCAAACTCCTAATTTTAATTTGAACTCAGCATTTAATTTTGTTAACCCATGTATTACGCATAAAAAAACAAGTTCAGTTACTCCATTAAAGCAATAAATAATACTAGCAAAGCCACCTATGATTTTTTGATTAATAATTTCTAAAGTCAAAACTAAATAATCATTTTTGTTTTAATTTACTAATAATAAATTCTATAAATATAAATAAAATATAATATAATTTTTCTGATGATTTTAATGTCGTTATATTAGATTATTGTGTATAAAAAGCTGTTTGTTATTGATGTTTAATATCATTTTTAAATAAGTTACATCACATTAACTAAAAAATTTATTCTGCTTCTTGATTTTGTATTAATTTTTAACATATTTACATTATAATGAAGAATTTTGCAAATTTTTATGAATCAGTTTGTATTTGTTTATTTAGTAAACATAATATTGTTTGGAATGCTACGATTAATAAATCAAATTAAAACATAGTATAATAAAAAAACAGATTAAATTCTTTATATATAATTTAATATTTATGTTGTAAAATACTATCAAATTATTCAAAATTTATTATTTAATATATAAAATTTTAATGTATTTATATTAGTAGGAAAATACTTCTAATAAATATTTAATTTTTATTAGTTAATGTAAAAAATGATTTTAAGTATTATGTTGATTAATTTGTTTAAAAATAAGTTGCGCAACGATAAGTTAAATTATTTTTGTTTTATATACAATTTATAAAGAACAAAATATCAAAATTATTTTAATTTGTTTAACCTGCTTATCAAAATATATTTCTTTATCATAAAACTGGTTTAACCAAGCCACAGCAGAGGGGACAAATGTTATTTCTAAATTAGAAAACATTGAATATTTAAATTTATTAGTTTGAAGGATCCTGCTTAACATAATTTTCCAAATCTATCATATAGTTTTTGCAGTTTTTACATTTCAAGATAGGTTCATCAACTATATCTAGGTTAGTTAATATGCATGTTATGGATTCTTTTTGAGAGAAGGATTGATTTGCCTATAAACATATTTTTTATATTTAAATATCGATATCTACTTCTTTGGATAATCTTTTTAATAAATTAGAGGTGTTGTAGTTTTTTCTAAGACTAGAAAAAGCACTTTCATAATTCCTCTTAATTATTGCTTAAATTTACTGCTCTATAAAATCTTTAAATTGCTGCTTCTGCATAGAAGTTAGGAAAAGTAAAAGCTTTTCATTAATAAAGCTTAGCTTTTCAGAAGAAATGTTTATATTTTTCAAGAACTATTCTAATTTCTCAAGCTAAGGATCCTATTAAAGCTTTTTTATCCCTTTTTGCTAATCATAAATATACAGCGATATCTTTAAGATATCAACGAATTCATTTTAATTTTTCATAATATAAAACAGAATATCGTCCCAATTAAATGGCATCATAGCAAAAACAGAGTTTTTATTGTCTAATTCATTCTTTTAAAGGTAAACACTTTTTTCTAAATTTTTAATGCATTTACCAACGAAGATGTAGGGATCAGAAATATTATCAGAATCATTGATGATTAAGATATTTGAAAGCTGTTAAGATGTAAACGAATGAGCTCCACATACAATATAGAAGCATTGATTTACAGATTATATTGCAGAATATGGTAAAAACATACTACTTGAAAAATTTTGAATATCGTTATCATCTTATTTGTACCTAATGCTTTGTAAATTATTTTATTCATCTTCTATTTATAATTCTTATTCTTCTTCAAATACTTCTTATTCAATCTTAAATTAGCTAGATTTATCTTTTGAAGAATTACTTTTTTCTTTGATTGTTTGAATTTAACTTTTTTCATTAAATATTTAGTATTAAACCTCAACGATACTTTCAAATATTGCTAAGACTTTACCAAGGCAGTTATTAAAAGATTGCATAGGCTATTAATATTGTAAAGAATAATCGCTTGGATTTATTGCGTGTATCTCTTAGTTATGAGCTAAATATAAAATAGGAGCTTTTCCGTTTTTTGATTCTAAAACAAACATCCTATCAATAAATTGAAAATCAAGATGTTTAGTTTCTATTAATTTAAAAATTTAATTATTTTCCTAAAGCCTAGATTTATTATCGATAGAGGAAGCGATTTAACTCCCATTAAGCTAATCTATATTTGATTGAAGATGAACTACAGTTATATCTTTACTAGACAAAATAAAAAGCTTAATATGCTACTAATTGTTTTCTATGTAATTTGTGAAACATATTTATTTGCACTTACCCTGATTTACGTTGTATTTATCGATTAAGCTATTGAATTAAAAAAATATTATTTAATATAGAATAATGATCATTTATATTTTACACTCTATTTTTATTATTTTCATATTTGTAAAGATAAACATATCCATCAGAAGCATGAATAGCTAAGAGTTAATATACATTAAAATTACTCATGTATTACTCACTCCATTCAAATGTCATAACTTCTAAGTTAGATTGACTAGATCCCGTTATTGCTTCATTTAAATTTTCTATCTAAATTAAAATATCATATTAAATATGAAATAAAACATTTTCACGTTGTTTTCATCTAAAATAAATTTTGAATACAACTTATTGATTTGTTAAATTATTAGAATTTACTATTTAATATGATTTTAAGGAATCAGAGTTTTATTAAACAAACCCTAGATTGTAAGCATCACCGTTGCTTAATAATATAGTAATAATTGGATGATTATCTGGTAATAATCCATACTTAGATATCCTAAAATTCTTTATTTTTAAAGCTAATAAATCATTATTAATGGTGACTAATCTTTATCTTAAGTATGTATCTTTCATCGTATTGACTTTATTACCTTTTAAAACAAACTTTGCGAAATCAACATCAGATGTATCTGATTTTGAATTGTATATTTGAGTAACTTCATCAATGTAATGATTTTAAATAACTTTGTCTTATGAATTGTAAATCCTGTTTAATAAATTTAATTATTTACAAAAAAATGGAATAAATTTGGTAAAAAAAATTAATAAAAAACTATTTAGCAAAAATTACGAAGATATTAAGTAAAATTAATTTATGAATAAATAAAATCACATTTTAGTACAATCAATAACATCTTGGAGAATGCATTTATTCAGGGCAATTTTTCTCAAAGAAATGATATAAATTTTGTCTTATAGGCAAATGTAAATCTAGTTATTTGAATCAATCAACATATTATGCTAAAATAAACACTGTTCCTTGAAAATATCAAATTCCTTAGACATGTCATACAAAACTTCAGCCTCTACGTCCATTTATAAAATATTTATTCTTATCCCTTGCGCTTATTTAAAATGATAATGATTGATTAGTTTCCTTTTTTTATATCTTAAAGCTTTTTATTTCAGAAATAAATAATTGATATTAATATTTTAATATCTAATAATAGTATTTTTATTTACAAAACATATAAAATAAATTTTTAATAAAATCCTAAAATAAAATAAACAAAAGCTATCAATAAGTAGAAATACCAGTAAATATAAAATCAAATTATATAATTGACTGTTACTATAAATATCAAATTTTATAAAGATACATCATTATAGATATAGTAATTGAGTAGATAAATGCTTTTAAATATAATTTTCAAAAAAAAAAACTAAAATAAAAGCATCATTTAAATAAATACCCTCCAGCCTTTTCTAATTAAGAAACAATAAAATAATACAAATATATTTAAACAAAAAAAATAAGAATAAAGTTGGTGTCTAATAAAATAAAAAGAGCGCTAAAAATAAGTTTAATAGATATGAAACATTCAAACATAAGTCAATTTAATAAGTAAAATCTTAGTAATTAAAGATAAATCAAAATGAAGAAGGAGAAAAATTGGATAATCAAAGTAATAATAAAAGCAAATAAAAATATAATGAAAAAGAACTATCATTTCGTTTTATTTAAAATTAAATAATATAAAACAAGATATTTGAAAGAAAATTTAAATAAATGAATAAATCAATAATTGTGCGGATTTGCATATAATATTAGAAAATAAATATCTCAAAAATGAAATTTGCTTTTCATTAATAATAAAAAAATATTAAGAAATAAAAAAATATAAGTGGGGAAGAAATCTAAAAGTGGAAGAACAATCTTTAGAACAATAATAAAAAAATAAATAAAGTGGAATTGAGGGAGAATGAATGCATAACAAGCTAATAATTTAATGAGCAAACAAACAAAATATAAATAAATAAAGAAATTATTCAATTAGCTTATATTTGATAATAAAACTAAGGAGTTGGAAGAAGGGAAGAAGGAAAAATTAATGCTAAAAAAAAAAAACATGATGAATATATTATTGTGTATGTATATTTATATCAGCAGCATTTGAAATACATATGAACAAAGCATAATTAAATAAATTAGTTTTTATAATAAAATCAAAAATAAAAAACAAAGAAAAACTTTAATAAATACCATTATAAGCAGAGCACGAATAAACAAGTGAAAAAATAAATAAAAGCACATATAGCATTAAAGATGAATACAGAAAGCACTCCTACTCCAGCTAATCCTCAAGAATAGATGATCCCACAGTAACCTATCATGAATTTCATTCCCTAAAATCAACAAAATTAATATCAATACATTCAAGGCCAACCAGGCGTACCATAAGTGCCTGTTGCTGCTACCTTTCCAATTGATCCTATGTAAATGAACTAGCAAAACTTCTAATAGAACTACAATCCAAATTACTAATACTACCCATAGTAATACCAAAATAATAACAACAATAACAACAACAGATAATACAATGGTCACAATCAAAATTACAATAACAACATGGGTAGAAACTAGCAAGGCGGATATAATCGCAATCAAGGATAATCCTATTAGGGTGGCTACAATTAATACCAAAATGGTTCCTACTAACCCTACTAAAACAGAAATAATTAAGGAGGTGTTAAAAATTAGCATTCAAACAATATGAACAACTAAAACAACGGAGGAAATATGTATAGCAATCAAGGATAACTCCATAATAACTAAATGCACAACAATAATAGAAATCAAAATAATTAAAAACCTAAACACAACGAAGGTCCTATCATAGTAGATGAAAACGAATTTGATGACACCTTATGCTAGGCCTGTACCAAGGGAAAATCAGAATTCATTACCAAAATGGAAACCACTCTCGAAGAATTTATTAAACAAACTGAATAGTAAACAAAAATTTAATTTTTTTTAAGTCAATTTGAAATTTAAAAAAATTACCTCATCATAGAGTTTTATTTTTAAACTAAATCCCAATTTAACCTTTATTACAAACATATTTCAGTTTAAATATTGAAATTTTCTTTGTTTATTCAGCGTACACATGATACTTAAAGAAAGGATTAACCCATCAATATTTTATGAATTCTTATATGTGTTTTTATGAATTATTTCAATAGAAGTATTTTAAATAAAATAGGGATCAAACAGTTATTTCCGATTTAGATTAGTTTGAAAGAAAGATTCTCCATAAAATCTGTGAAAGATATGGACTCTTAAGACCTGTAATAATTAATAATTAATAATATTTTTCTTATAATTAACATGATTCTTTCTTTTTAAGTGTTGAAAAATATTGATAGACAAAAGAAGAATTTGTTTTTTTCATAAGACTTTTAGACAACTTATCAATAATTTTTTTCAAAAATAGTAAGTTAAAATAAATGAAGACGGTAGCAATAAGGGTAGTATCACCATCAAGAAGACAGACTTAACAACAATGTAATTTTTTTTAAAAGTATAAAATTTTAAATGTGTTGATAGATGAATAATATAGATAGTTATATAAGTCAATCATGGTTATTGCTAATAGAGTTTAAATTATATTTAATTTTGCAAGTATATATTAATGAACAATTGATGAAATAATTACCTTCAAATCTTATTTTCCCCAATCAATTTAATATTCTATTTATGTAATAATTAAAAATCTCTATTGTAAATAGAAATTAACAATTGCCATCAACACATAAATTTTTTTATGAAAAATAATTAGAAATATATAGGAAAAAAAATAATTTTATTATTCTAATATTTTTTTTATTAAAAAAGCCCAAATAAGAAGGTTTTGGATCTCTTTATGGAGTTCGAAACAAGTGGATTGACTACTACTTAATAAAAACCCTAATAGAATAGACCTACCAAGATTTTAAATAAGTAGGCAAATTCAAACACTAATGAAGAAGGTTAATTAGAAACTAATTTAGAAAACTTGAATTTGAATGATGCAGAGTAACAATAACAAAACAAAAAAGAGTAATACCACAATAAGAAGAATGAACTTTTCAACAATCAGAACTAAGGTCAAGGAAACAATAACTTTAACAATAACAACAATTCAAACAATGGTAAATATTAAAAAAATTAATTAGAATTATAATTAAAATTTAATGTAAAATAAAAATAAAGGAAGAATAAATAACAGAACTAGAAACAACCAAGGGTAATTCTAGAATCAAAATAATTAGTTCAATAACTAAGGAAATTATGGTGAAAATTTCTAAAACTATCAGAATAATAACAGTGGTGAATACAGTAGAAATGAATTTATGAGCAAAAGAAATAATAACAACTAGAATAATTAAAATTCATATTATTAATAATTCCCCGCCTAAGGTGGACTAGATATTAATTTCTTAGATCCATAATTCCCTCAATAAATGAGCAAATACAGCAATGCTTTCTTAATTAAGTAAATGGAATTCAACCAAAGTCAATCTTATCCTTAAGGCCATCAATAACAAAATAAAAAAAACTATAATCAAAACAACAGCAGAAATAACTAGGGCTTTAACAATACTAATAACAATACCAACTAAGGTAGTAATCCAAACTATTAGCAAGGAGGTGCAAATAATTTAAATTAAGGAGCTAACTAAAATAACAAAGGCTATAACAAAAATTAAAGTTATCCAAACTTAAACCAAAACTAGAATAACATGAGTAACCCTAATTATTAAGGAAGAAATAACAATAGCAATAATAGAAATTACAACAACAATTACAATAATCAAAACAACTAGACTAATAATTTATAAACTTAGGGCGCCCAAAATAACAATGGATAACCATTCAACAATCCTAACTAAGCCAAAAATCTGCAATAGCAATAAGAAAGAAAGAGTGGAAATAAATTAATTCCAAATACTAATTAACAACAACAATAATAGCAATAATAATAATAATAATAGGCTCCAATTGATTATCCAAAATTAATTGAATAATTAGAAGCTGAAATATTGAAAAATGAACAACAAAAGTAGAATTATTAACTATTAATTACTGATCCTAGTACTGAACAAGATAAAGTTAAGCAAAATTCTATTAAAGCTGCTAACTCTCTCAATAATTCTAAAATTTAGGAATTAGCCAAAAAAAATGAATCATTGAAGCAATAAATTGAGTAGCTTAAGAAAGAATAAGCAGAAAAGGAAAAGTAGCAATAATAATAACAATAACAATAATAGCCTAGAGGAAATAGAATTACCAATAACAGCAATAGCAACAATACCAGAAATAATCCTAACAAGAATAACTATAACAACAATCAAGGAGGTAACAACAGCAATAGCAATAGATACCAAGGGTAGAGAAACTAGAATAACAACAATAACTATAACAACTAAAACTAATAGGGAAATTATTACAATAATAACAATTAAGGTTAAGGTAGTTATAGTAATAGCAATAGAAACAATGAAAACTATGCTAGCAGCTAGATCGTCAATGATGACTAAAATTTCCCTTCTTTGATCTGAAGAAGCTAACTTTCTTCATCCATCCACCTTTGATTAAAAGGAAAATTTTTAAAAAAAAACAGATAATAGCTTTTAAAAATTAAATAATTAATAATATCTATAAGATCTATTTGTACACAGAAAAGAATATAAAAAGTAAATCTAAAAATTTTAATTTAAAATAATTTATCTTTGTCAACCATCTCATCTGATCCACTCTCATCAGCATTAACACCATATGAATCACTATCACAACTCATTACAAACTATACACATGTCTGCATGAATCAATCGATATCGATCTAAATAAAAAGTTTTTTAGCTATCATCCTATTTAATTTAAATATCCGATACTATTTATATTAAAACATCAATCAAATAAACAAAACCATTACCAATAACAAAAACATTAAATTTATCAATCTATCAACTTACTAGTAAGAATAAGAAGCTCGTTTTCATTTATTAGATGGTCTAATAAATATACTATACTTAATTTTATCATTTATCACAACAATCCTAAAATCTTCATTCTCTTAATTAACTTCTTAAATTTATATCTTTCATTTAAAGTAAAAGTTGATGGTGTGGTGTGATGGTAATTAATTTATTATATTCTTATATTTTTATTAATAAAAGGTATAAAAAGAGTGCTGTACTATTTAATTTATTTGCTTATATGATATTTTTTATATTCTTGTATCTATCATTTTCAAAATTGAATTCTAATTTTTACATTTTTTTATTTATTTGTGTAAATTAATTTTTAATTAAATAAATTAATTAAAATTATTTTCTTTTAACAACAATTAAATTACTATTTAGTTTTATTTTCTAAATTTTTATTAAAAAAATAGCTTTTTTTGTAAAAAATTAATTTAAGCAGAAATGCTTTAACACTTATCACAAATTTCGCTCACAAAATATTATTATGCAGAAAAAATTAGAAAATCTATAAATAAGTTACCACAAATTAATTACTTCTAAAATCAAAGTAAATTTTTTATTAATTTACATATAATTATTTGATTATCAAAAAATTAAAAAAAAAAAATAGATAAAAATTGAATTTCTTGCTCGATTGTTAAAAAACAATAAAATTTCGGATAAAACTATTATCTTTATTTAGAATTGGATTAACAATAAAAGTTTTCTTTTTCCTAGTTCATGAATTCATCTAGCCTTCTTTTAACGGATCAGTCTGATAAAAATAGCAAAAGTGGGTTAGAATCAAATAACTCAAATGATACTACAAACAATTAAAAAAAAACATAATCAACAAAATTTTTGAAGAAAAGAATTCAAAAAGATGAAAAAAAGTAGTAAAACTAGGAAAATAGAGTGTTATTAGCAAAAGATATAAAAACAAAAGGCATTTAACTTTTTATAAACATTGAATTCAACAGAACATTCCCTATGGATGGAGATTACTTTGTTAATTTAGATTATAAAAAGTAAATTAATATAGAAGAATAAATAAGAATATTTAGAGGAATAAAACAAGTTTTATTCTCACTAAAAGATGACAAAAGATAATTAGTAATATTAGATTTATAGACATCTGATAATATGCCATTCATTCCATAGAGTAATATACATATAGCTATCTAAAAAACTCAGGATCCAATTCTTCTATATTTTTCAAAATTAATTTAAGAAAATAATATATAAATGGAGATATAAAAAACCCTTATTCAGAGATTTAGAATATAACAAAACTGTCTGGAGAATCTCTAAGAAATGAGAAGGAAATTTTTTGATTTTAAAATGCAATAATTTATATAGGAAAACTTTACTGAGTCTGATTTCTATTTATATTATAAATACCAATATCGTAAATTAGACGATACCTCATAATAATATACTCAAGTAGGAGTTTCTTATCCTCTAATCGCTTTAATTGGTACTGATCCCTCTTCATTTATTAATATCTGTATGAGGAATGGATTTTTAGAATTTTCATCAAATTATTTTAAATAAATAATGATTATTAATTCAATGGAATGTAGGCTTATGTTACATGAAAAACAAGGTTCTGTGCATTCTAGAATGGAAGAAGTCGTTTTGCTGACTTTAGATGAATATGAAATTCATACAAAGATGATTGTAACCTGCATGAAATTAGAATTTCCACCTGAACTTTAAATAGAAGTTGATGGTTGCTAATTATATAATGAATTTCCAGTTTTTATATAATACTTAATTGATGAAAATGCCTTATAAACTCTAATTTCAAAGAGATCAAAAAACCCTTAATTTTAGCAACAATGGGAAAATGAATAATTTGGATATACTTTAGAGAGTTAAATATTTTTAGAAAAATACTATAAAGATTTTTTAAAAGAAACAAAAGAGTCCAAATATGAACATCAATTAAAATATTATTATAATAAGGAATGCCGTTTTAAATAAATCAATATTTGTAATAATCATCCTCAAGACTCTTTTGAAAACTATTTAAAACTATTTTCATAATGATGAAATGAAATGTGTAATTCTAATACTATCTAATTTCCTTTCTTATATTAACAAATTAAAAGAATCATAATAATTGCTAATCATTTTTATAATGGGATAGATTATATATATCCAATAGTACTTACTTTATTAAAATTAATAAAATTGAAATTTTTCAGTAGCTGATTTATGTGTATTAATTCTAAATAAAGGTAATAATTTATCTAAATTTTTTTAATTTTGTAATAATATGAAAAATTTTATTTATTTTGATTTACTTTTATTGATAACATAGTCTTCTTCAAATTATAAATTTCCTTTAAATTTGTATTAAGATTTTTGTTACAAAAAGTGATGCCTATTTTTAAAATAGAATTTTATAAATGGTTATTTATATTATAAATACATAAATTAAATAATATAGAATTAGATTTCATAATACATCTTTATAATAATTCTTATTGTGACCCCCCTATTGATAGACAAAATTTACAAAATTGAGACTAACTTTATATAATTATAATTTATAAATCTAAGAAATCATCAGAAAATAGCTAGTTTGATACATTTAAAATAAGGACTTAAAAGATCAATCATTTTTCAATAATTCAAACTATTTTACAAAAAAAAAATAAAATAAAGTTTAAAAAAAATAAACATGGAAGGCTTAGAAACTAAAAAGAGGATTTTAATTTGTGGAGGAGGGATAGGAGGATTTGCTTTAGGTCAGTATCTTCACCAGTACAGAAGTAAAGAGTTTGATTTTGATATAATTGAAAAAGATGTTGAATTTAGTTCAAGAAAATAGGGATACTCATTAACCATATAAAAGAATGGATAAAGAGTTTTAGAGTTAATTAATAAATTAAAGGATTTTGAAGAATGCGTAAAAAAAGGTATTGCTTTAAAAGGCAGAGGGTAAACTCGTTATAGTATGATTGATGGTTCTTTAATTTCACAATCTAACGAATAAAAAAAGGACTTACACTATTACATTCCAAGGTAAGAAGTTAGGAGAATATTGTTGGAGGGTATTGAAAGTAAAGTAAAGTGGGGTTATTGGGTTAATTCTTTTACCATTTAAGAGGATGAAAAGATAGAGATTTAATTTTGTTGCTAAAATTAAGAAGTAAATCCAAAAAAAGAACTCTATGATTGCTTAGTTAACTGTGAAGGGTTATATTCTAGAATCAGAACAACCTTATTAGGAAAGGAAGACTTAGTTTACTTAGAAACTATAATGATAAATGGCATTATAGAGAATACAGATGAATACTATAAAGAAAATAGATCTTATATCTATGAAGGAGATAAACAAATCAGATTATTTTTTAAGCCATATTAAAGAGGATAGCTTATGTGGTAATTAACTGTATCTCTTAACTTAGAATAAGCTATAAATATAACCAAGTAAAACCCTTCAGAATAATTAAGTTATGCACTTAAATGCTTAGAGAAAATGAATGATCAACCAATCTTTAACATGATTTAAAAAACTTCTCTTGATTTAATTAGATGTGGGCTTCTTTAAACAAGAGAACCAATAACTGCAACTGATTTTACTAATTTTTAATCAGTGACATTTTTGGGAGATTCTGCACATCCCATGCCTCCTTTTAAAGGTTAAGGAGCAAATTAAGCTCTTGAAGATGCTGCAGATTTAGGGAGAATTATTACACCTGATAGAATTACAGAGAGTCTAAGAGTTTTTGAAAGGTCAATGTTCAAAAGGGCTAATTATTACTAAGAAGAATCTGTTAATAGAGTAAAAGATTTTCATGAATCCAAAGATGAGTGAAAAAAAATGAATTTTTAAATTGTTTAATTAGGGTGACTTTATTTTTATTAATACTTTCGTTTTTTTGCTTATTTTATAGGCTTGTTTTTATTTTTTTAGCATTAGTTGTTGTTGTGGATAAAATTTATTAATCGTTGTGTAATCAAAATTATTTTTACATATTTTTATAATCTAATAATTAATAATCTTAAAAAATCAAGTTTTATATGTTTTCTTATTTATTTTAAATTTTAAAATAGTTTTCATTCATATAATATTTTTTGAAAATAAATTATTAAGATAATTAATTTTAATCACTATTATTTGTTTTCAAGTGGATTAAATCCTGAATTCAGAAATCAAAAATAGCTGATCTTTTAATTTAAATAAATAAATGATATTCAAAATGTGCTTACAAAACAATAAATTTTGTTAGCATGTTAACTATTAGATTTCTTATCTTTTTCTGTAATAGGCCAGGATTAAAATATTATAAAATTATTATTTTATTTTAAAAGATCTTAACTCTACTTCATTTGTTGTTTAATAGTATTTAATAAATTAAAAAAAAATTAAACTTTTTTGAGTTTATGAGTTGATTTTTGCATCAAAATCTACCAAAAATAGATAAAATTTTTTGAATTTATGAGTTAATTTTTAATCAATCTAGCTATTTTAATGTGAAGAACTATATTAGCAACTTAATTAAAGTTAAACTTCTATTATCAATTTTATATCAAAAAAGTTAAAAAAATTAAAAATATTGGTTAAAAGGAAATGATTGTTATTATTTTAGGAGGAGTAATAGGAGTAGCAACTATAGTTTACTTAAGTTTATAAAAGCCTGAATAAGATAGTAAAAAAAATGATGTGATAGAAGAAGATAATTAATGTAAAGAAAAGTCAAAAGTTAACAATGAATAGATCTAATAAAAAACCTAAGAAGAAATAGAACAAGCCTAAAAAGAATTTAATAAATAAAAATAAGAAGCTGTGAATAGAAAAGAGAGATTATTAAGCAGACTTACTGATAAAGAAAGAGAAATTTTTGAGGGTTACATCAACGATATGACTAAAATCGATGATAAAAAAACAAGTTCAAGTAGTGAATCTTTTTTTATTGAACTTCTGTTCGTACTTGCTGGATTGGTATTTGTTTATGCTTTAGTAGCTATTTTAGGAAACCGTTTTTACACACCATTTGAAATATTTGATATCCTTAAAATTTACTTTGTTGGTATTGGAGGAAATTAGCAATCATCTTAAAATTAAAACAGTTCTCCTTTCATTATAAATAATCCTTCTACTTCTGGATAAGATTTATGATTTATCTATTAAAATACATGCAAACACTCATATATATTATACAATAAACACATATTATATATTATGAATAAAATTTAAATAAAATAATATAAATTTTTAAAAAATTTATTTTTGCATAATTATTTATTTGTTTTTTTGGATTTTTAAAAATAATTTTAAAAATAAAAAAATTAAAAATAGTTTATTAAAGAGAATAAAAATTACATTTTATATATGTTTTTTAAATTATGATTATTCATATAAATCTTTATATAATTAAAAGATACTCTTTAAAATTAAAAATTAGGTATTTAGTGTTATAAAAAACAAATATTAGTAAAATGGCTAAAGACGATATAGGTAAAGCAATATTGATCTATTTAAATGAAATGGTAAATATATTAAGCATTAATTAATTGATTTAATTTCCTATTGACAATTTTAATGATCAAGTGGAATCAATTAGATTCAATCATTTATTTTTGATTAATATAAAATAGGATTTTGTTTCTCAAAAAAAAACTGAAAGATATTATAAGATTATTATTCTCACTGTAGCTGTAAATTCCAATATTATAATATATTTTAAATAAAATAATATGGTTTCTTTAATATTTAGGTTATCTCCTTTATAGTTTCTTATTTTTAGCAAAGATTTTCTACATGTGTATACTCAGTTTTATTGGCCTGCGCCTTTTGCATAATTGTAAATTATTTATATAATATGAAATCATCTAAAAAGCATATGATTAAAACATAAAATAATATATATTCATCGAATTAAATTAGTTATTTGTCCCAGGATATCCTTTTTGGAAGAGAAATGAACTCTAATGGTAACCTGATGCTAAAAAAGCTGCTTGAGCTTTTTTTAATAATAATTTATAAAAAAAACTACACGTGTAATATAAAAAGGTTATATATAAATATATTTTTAATTATTTAGAATTTTCAAAATAAATTAGAATTATTTAAAAAATTTTAACTTTAAGAAGCATTTATGAATTTTTATTTAAAAATTATTTTAATTTGATTAATACATATTGATTGCATAAATAAGAAAAAAGTATGAATAAAACAAATTTGTTTTAATTATTTTTCTTTATATCAAAATTAAGTGAATAAATATTGAATAATATTAAAAATCATTTTTAATTTCACAATTTACAATACAATCAATTGAATAAACTTTTTATGATAAAATACTCTCATTAAGTAATTGCTTGAATTAAAATGTTGCTACAATTAATAATACTGGCTATAAATTATATAAGGGCAAGCATATGCAAAAAAATATTCATTGAAATGTGAGTATTCATAAATTTGGAAACAAAACCAACTTTAATTCATTGAAATTAAAAAAACCAATGATATTTTTGATAAATTGAATATAAATATCTAAAATAAGAACTAAATAATTCAATTAAATTTTTACAATTACTTCATTTTGTAATTAAAAATAATTATCTATCAACTAAAAAGAATTTTGATCTAACTATTAAAATAGAATTTCAAATTTCTATCTTACTCTCCAATATTTAGACAAATTTGATATCAAAATGAATTTTCATTCTTATTTGTCACTCAAACCTATAATAATTCTTATAATTGTACATTAAATGCTCAGTTTTTTTAGAATTGTTTTGGCTGATGGGACTTGCTCTTAAACAGGTTGCATTTCATGTCCTCATGGATAAGAAGCTTGTTATTAGTGTACTACGAGTTTTGTATTAATAAACTATAATTGCTTACCTATCGCAGCTTAATCTGTAATCTCCTACTTTGCAGTCCAAGATGGAAAAGGATGTAAGCTATTTTTATTTTTTTTTAAATTTATTTTAAATACTGAAATAACCTAACAAATTAATGAATAAATCAATCAATCCTTTTATTTCTACTTCAAAAATATTTGTCAATTAAATAACATAAAACTTAATAGAGCTGGTTTAGTACTCTGAAATTTGCCCCGAAGAAACAAGTTACATCGATGACTCAGTAACTCCATCTCTTTGCATTCGTAAAAAAATTATATTAAAAATAATACGTTTTGTATAGAAAATAAAATTAACCAAATATTATTGTTATATTCTATTAATTTATAGCAATTTATTAATTAATAAAATAGCATGTCCTAGTTAATGTGATGGTTGCTTTCTACATGGATCCAGAAAAGTGTAATGCTGGGACTGTGCTTAGGGATATTATATGTAAAATTCATTAAATTATTAAGAAGCAGACAGATATAGTTCTTCATGGAATCCAACTTGTGTTCGTAAAATTTATAATAATTTTTTAATAAATTTTTTATATTTTAACTTTCATTTAATCAAAAGAAATAAATTAAGCACAAACGTTAAATTTAGTAATCACAATCACTACTACAGTTTAAAACGCTGAGCTTTAATCAATTCCTAATTACAATTGTGCTAGTCAATCTTTAACTTTTGGCAGTTTCTTCACTGCACTATTATTTGTTGAAAATGTGTGCTCTCAAAAGTATAGCTAAGGACAACTTACATTTACCTTTTAGAACGGTAATCATTTTATTATGATAGATAATGTTGCCTACTCTGGTAAAGAAACTGATCCTGACTTTGTTTTCGAATTTTTCAGAAATTCTAATTATGATATAACTATCAAGTAAATATTTTATGTTTCTAATTTTTTAACTTTAAAATTAATATTTAAAAAATTCAAAATAATTTTTTCTTTTCTGTCTTTCATAAAATAAATAAAAAATAAAATATTGATAATAAATTATTGATTTTTAAAATCCTAAAAGTTCTGCTTCAAGTAAAAACTAGGTGATTCTATACTGGAGAACTGAAAAAATTAGATTTTATATCTTTGGTACTTTGAATTTATCAGGAGTTACAATTGATGGAAGTGAAAACAAACTTTATTGTAATATAATTTATTAATTTTTGATTATTATTAATTATTTAAAATCTCTTTAATGAATCAGCTAATTTGAGTGATCCATCTAAATGCTTCACATAAAGAAACTTATGCTGCAATGGAGCTACACCTCAAAATTATGTATGTAATAATGGTCCAAAAAGATAATATAGAGCGACTGGAAAAACTTATCAGCCTGATGCTGTTGGTATGGGTTTATTTAATTTTATGTCTTCTAAAAGATACACAGATACTGTCATACCTTCTATAACAATTAATGTAAAAATATATATTAAAAAAAATTAAGTATAAGAAATTTTAATTTAGGCTGTTGATGTACGCAATATGATGATGTTTTATCCAGACGGTATAAGATATTTCATAAAAATCCATTCTAACTATGGTTTTATCAGCTTAAGTAATGTTAATGTAGATAAATATTATTTCACTGGAGGTTTAATCTCTAATTATAGATATGTATAACCTAAAAGAGAATCTTATAGTTATATCGATTAAGACATTGGATTATAAAGGAGGTAAATAAACTTACTTAAAATTTTATTTTTTAAAATAAATATTGAATAATAAAAAATTATTTAATAGAACTGATTGTAGGATGCAAGTTGCAAATTTAAAATAGGGGACTTTTTGTCTTCTCATATATTTAACATCTTCAACTTTTCAAAACTATAACTATGAAAAATATACACGTTTATTTTTAGATTATACTGATAATCCAAAATTTATAGAGAGTTATACCCTACATCTGTTTTCCACTTTAGCTTCAGTTAATATCTCGTAAAGTAAATTCCTTAATGCAATGGTATCTTCAACTATGGTTGATGCTGACAAAGAATTTTTTATAAGTTCTTAGGTTATGTAGTGCAAAAATAGTTATGATTAAAGCTCAGAAAGTGACTTATTAAAGTCATCTTATCTTAAAACAAATCCCAATCAGCACTTTGATTAGGATAAAATCTCTTAACACACTTAAATGCTTGGTTCGCACATCGTTTGGTAATACATTAAAGGAAAATTATTAATGGATACTAATACATTCGATTCGAATATAGGCTACTAAAATCCTGCTATTTCAATGATGGGTTATTCCTAATATATGGGAGCAAGTTTATAAACCTCATATATAATACTTGATTCAAATGGTAACTTTGCTTATGTAGCAAATGCTGTTATATTTATACAAAATAGTATATTTACCAATAATTTTGCGTTTGTTGCAAACAGCGTAATGTCTTTTTACTAAAATTAAAATTCTAAGCCTTTTAATACTGGCTATATGAGTTGTATGGGAATGAAGTTTCTATCTAATACATTTTAGAATAATTTAGGGTGTCCTACAAGCTATTTTGTTGTTAGTATAAATTGCAGATTCTAAACTTTAACTTCATCATTTGCTAATAATTGGTACTAAGAACTTAATCCAACAAATACTTAGTAAGAAAATAATGATCTTCTCACATAAGTTGTATTTAGGTCTAATAAATTCATACAAAATTATGCAATTATATCAAATAGTCTTTTTATAACTGGTGCTAGAGATATTAACATTGACTAAAATACTTTTGATAGTAATGGAGTATTGATAGATTAAACCAAAGTAATTTTTGTTAATTTAAATTTATTTTTATAAAACCTAACTTATTAAATAATTATAAAAGGGCTAGATTAACACTAATAACAACCCTTACATTAATATAGTAAATTACAATAAGGCTACTTATCCATACTTTAATACTAATTGGATGACTGAATCATCAGCTTTATTCTTGCAATATCCTGTTTCAACTTTTATAACAAACAACATATTCACTCAGAATTGGGCCTTATCTAGTGGTGATAGTTATATTGGTTAATCAGTTATGCTTCATAAAATAGTTTCTGTTACTGATGTAAAAATAAATAAAAAATTAATAAATTTAATATACTCATTTATTTAAATAATATTATAAATTAGGTTAAAATTTACAATAATTAATTTTTAAACCACAACGGACTACCTTCAAGTTTTATTACTCAAGGCTCTTAAATAGGATGTAAAATATTAAAATTATTTTTAGAAATTGTTAAATAAAATTAATTAAAAATGATATAGAAGCTTACTCAACTCTGCCAATAATTTCAGTGAATTTGTATACAAATTACCATCTTGCTAAATCAATTAGTGTTGCTATACAAATTGATTTCTATTAGAATACTTTTGCAAACAACTAATACAAAATTAATACTAATAATGTAGATACACAAAATATAAAATATAAAACCTACACTCTATATTCGTTAGGAGGTTTTGTTCAGCTCATAAAACTATTTACTGATAATGAGGTTCTAGGTTCACAACCTGTTTCAAATGATTATTTATATATGATGTATAGTCAAGTCAATTTCTTAATCAGAAACTCAAATTTCACTCAAAATACAGTAATTATTTTACCTACATTTTAATTTTATAAATTAAATATTTTTTTTTAGCATTATAATGGCGGTTGCCTAATTGAAGTTTCAGGACTAAATTAACTATAAGGGTACGGCAATACATTTTCAAGTAATAACAATGACTTCTAATCAGCGATAAATAATTAAATTGGAGGAATGATTTGCATGCTTCAAAGTAGCCCTGTAACTCTAGCTAACACTACAAATAATGAACCTATTCTTAATCTTATGCAATCAACAGTTACAGGTGACAAAGGAATTCATGTTTAAAACTAGCTAGTCGGTTCTTACATTGAAATAGGAGACATGAATTTTATTGGGTTCTAATCATCGAATTCAATTTTAATTTCATCAGTAAATCAATTTAGTTTTTATTTAAATTAAAAAATATAAACTTTTAAAATTGATAAATAAAAATAATTATTTTTACCAGTAAAATTGCTGATATTTATTTTGAATTTAATAAATAAACTAAATTAAATTTGATTGAGAAAAAATTAAAAATATTTATAAAAATAGGATTCAGGCTAGGTAAATATGGAAGGTAACTTATTTAACAGTTCAGTAGCAATAAATGGATTGATGAGCTTTAAAAGAGTAGGAAAACTTATTCTTCAAGATTTACAAGTTTTATAATCGTTCCCTTACACAATATATCTTGAGAGCGCATACAATTATTAGCTGAATGGATTAACAATTTAAAATAATAATTTGAATTTATTCTCTAGTTACATCTTATCTAAAATGAACTAATAGGATTATACAAATTTGATAAACAGTGGAGTACAGGTTTTGTATTTATACAGATCAAGAGGTATAATGCTCAACAGTAATTTTAATAATAATTTAGTTTCAAGTGCTTCTGTAGCCTTATTAAGAGATAACAGTTTACTCACAGCTACAAATCTAAATGTTACAAATAACCTTGCTTAAAATATTGGAAGTAATTTTTATGTCACAGATACTTCAGTTCTCAATTTAGTTCTCTCCAATTTCTAGAATAACACTTCTTTGCTAAACGGAGGATGTTTCTTTATATAAAACTCTTATTTTAGCATTAGTTAAACAAATGTTTCATTTTGTTAATCAAAATAAAATGCTGGAGTTGGAAGAATAGAGCAGTCTATTGTAGATATTAGCAACTCAACATTTTAAAATAACACTGCTCTTCAAGAAGCAAGTTTGTTATATTCAATTAGTTCAGACATAAATATCAAGTTTTCAAAATTTTTCAATAACTCAGCTAATTCGTGTGGTATTATAGCAAGTACTGTAAATCTTTTCATCCTTGGTTCCAATTTTACTGGGAATAGTGCAAATATAAAAACAAAGAATATATATGCCACATAATCAACTCTTTAACTATAAGACTCTTTTTTCAATGATACTCAGCCAATCAATCAGGTAATTAATCTTTGTATGTAACTTAAAAATATTTATTTAATTAAAATTCATTTTAGGTTTCAGGGGCATTCATTTAGTTATTTAAAAGTACAGGCTAAATATCTTCATCTCAATTCTATAATGGTTAATCAAACTATGGTGGAGCAATTATGGTTGAGGCTTTTTCTGATGTTCAAGTAGATTCTTGCTTATTTAATAATAATTATGCTGTCTAGTCTGGTGGAGCTATAGCAAGCTCTAGTTATTTATCAGTATCTAATAGTAACTTTACTTTAAATTAAGCCTCTCTTAATGGAAATGATGTATTCATAAAATGCTAAGATGATTTTCTAGTCACAAATGTAAGAGTCAACGCTTCATTGGGTATCAGCTTGTATGTTTGGGCTAGATCATTTTAAGCTTACTAGCTTAACATAACTGGTAACTCTTCCCTAATTTAATAAAATTAACTAAACTAAATGAAAGGTAACTTATTAATTAAATTAATATACTTTAAAATGAATATTAAATTTATTATAAAAAAGGTGTGTACTTATTTTAAACTCCATCATCTATAGTATAAGATAGTTATTTCTCTAATCTATTCTCGATAAAAGGGTCTGCACTCAATATAGTAAACTTGCTAAACTAACAAGTAATGAAGACACAAATAATCAATACTGTTTTTACAACAAACTAAGCACAATAAGGAGGAGCTCTTAAAATAGATGGGTTGACAAATACTTATATCATAGATACTAATTTCTACAACAATATAGCCTATTATTTTAATGACACTATAGGAACTGGTAATGGAGGAGGCATACATTATTCATGTCCTCTTACCTTCAGTTACTGCTCCTTGTAAATTGTTAGATGTAGTTTTATCGATAATTAAGCTGAAATGGATGGAGGTGCTATCAAATTTGATTAATCAGAGGTCTCAATTGATTTTTAAACATAATTTGCTAATAACTACGCCATATATGGACCTGACAAAGCATCTTATCCTATACATCTCTATAAAACTAACAGTACCAACTAATCAGCAGTAATATTTTATTTAGCTCCTATTTTTATTTGAAATTATTGTTTTTTTTAAATAAAAGATTTCTGATTTTTAGAATCCAAATGCTTTTTCTTCTGGATTTCAAAAATTAGTAGAAGATTCTTATAACTTTGAAGCAGAAGTATCTGGCTAGAAATTCGAAATATATTATGCTCTTGTTGATCATTATGGAAACATTGTCCTAACTGCTAATTCATCTTACGCCAGATTTTCTACATTCTCATCGGGAGTATATTTGGAGAGTGGAAATCAAGTTTCTAAAAATGGTTATTTTAACTTTACAGACTTTGTCGTTACAATAAATCCAGGAGATACTTTACAGATGATGATAGAAACGGATTCTATTCCAGATGAATGGTTAGAAAAAGCTCGTAATTTACAGCTTAAGTCTTAGCGTCTGCGCTAATTATAGTAAGGATAGTCTTTAGATTTATTAAACTTAAATAACTCAAAAGGAACAGTCCCAGTATATGCTTAATTCCGTAAATGTAAAATTGGAGAGATTTAAGGTAAAAAAATATATTATCTTTAATTACATTCTTATTTAATCTTAAATAATCTTTGTTTCATAAAAAAATATTAAAATAGATTCTAATAAATGTGTACCTTGTAGTTATAACAAATACTCCAATGTTGCTAATATTACTGAAGGTTCAGTCTAATGCAAAGAATGTTTATAGAATGTAAATAATAATAAATATTTAAAAAATATTTAATTTCTAAATTTTAAATAAAGTCATTTTGTGAAGGACTCAATAATGTAGCTCCTCTTTCAGGGTTTTGGAGATTGACAGATATAAGCGAAAATTTTATGTAATGCCCTAATGCATAAGCCTGCTTAGGTGGAGTAGTTGATGGAGAAATAAATTCAAATACTGGTTCTTGTGAAGTTGGTTATGAAGGAAATCTTTGTTTAGCATGCTCTGATGGTTATGCTAGGTTTTGTTTTGTTTTATTTAATTTTATTTATCAAATAATATTTTTAATTTAAGCTTAAAAATTAAAAAATTAAAAGAATTAAAAAATAATTAATTTTTATAGATATGGATAATCTGAATGTGTAATTTGTTAAAATAATATTCTGTACAACGTTAGAGCCATCGTGACAATAATAATTACTTTAGGAATGATTTCTCTTGGTATTAAAAACTAATTGGATAATTAAGGTTCATAAAAAGATTACTCAATTTGTTTGATTAAAATATTTGGAAACTTCACTTAAACTATTAGTATTATTTCTCTATTTTAGTTGTAATGGCCTTCTTCTGTTGGTTCTGTGGCTAGTATCAACAATTAATACCTTGCAGCACCATTACAAGTGAATTTTAAATTATTATTATTATTAGTATAAAAAAACTATTTAATTTTTTTATAACTTAAGGTTTTCTCTATGGATTGCTATTTCAGAGGATTTGGAGTTAGTACTTCTTTGGTAAGAGTATTTATTACTATTGTTACTCCTTTGGTTGTTATGCTTTCATCAATCGTTTTCTTCTGCATTTATTATTCGATAAAAGTAGGAATAAAGCTCTATACAGATAAAGATTATCAAAAAGTAATTTCTAATATATAATAAATAAAAAAATATTTTTATTAATTAATTTAAAAGAAACTTAAAAATGCAATCATCATCACCCAGCTAGTCATTATTTTTGTATTTCATCCTCAAATTGTCACAGCTTCGTTTTCTCTATTCTAATGCTAATAATTAGGAGATAATGCAAATCCTTAAAAGTTTTCACAAATAGAGCCTCAGCTTAAGTGTTTTGAAGGCGAGCACTTAAATTGGGTTAAATATCTTGGTATACCTTCTCTAGTACTATGGGGTAATATAATATAATTCAATTAATTTAATAATAAATTATCTAAAATAATTAAAAAAGTTTTTATTATTCCCTTAATCATGGCTTTAGCATTGTGGAAGTATAAAGATATAATAGATAGACCTGATATTGTTGCCACTTATGGATTTATTACAAAAGGTTACAGAGCAGAGTTTTTCTTTTGGGAAATTGTTATTATGTATAGAAAATCTATACTAGTCATTGGAAGCATATTTTGGAAGTTAGATCCTTTCCTAACAGTATTTTAATATTTTAAGTTTTTTAATAAAATGATTTGAAAACTATAATATTTTCTTAATACCTTATTTTTTAACTAGGGTCTAAATATATTACTCTATCTTTTCTTTTGGCTAATAATTTAATAAAAATTCTAACCTTTCTTAACTGGCTAACTAAATAAAGTGGAAGAATACTCTTTACTCACATCTGTATTCTTCATCTACTTTTCTCTTTACTTTATTGTTGGTAATTAATTTAATTTAAAATATTTATTACATAAATATATTTTCTTCTAATATATTGTATTAATAATTGTGATATAACTTATAAATATAGACCAACATGGATCAGTGATTAGTATTTTGATGATAATTTTGCTTATGGTTACTTATATTGGATATTATGCATATTTTGGCTTGGTTTATTCTAAATAAAAGATAATTGAAGTCACAGAAACTATTACAAACCTTTCTTAAGAAGTCAAACATCCATTTTTAGTAGTTGTATTTGGCAGATTAGCAGAGATAAAAATTTTATCATGTGCTAAAAATTGGTTTTTAGAGCAAAAAGAACTTGTTCAAGCTGCTATTTTAAGATAAAAAGTCCAGCAAGATGAAAAACTAAACAAAGAAATCTAAAATTGCAGTAATTAGCATGTAGTTAAGGATTAAATAAAGGAAGTAGTTTAATAGTAGTCAATAAGTTAAATTAGCCAATAAGATGTCTTTTTGTAAATAAAAAAGAAAAATAAGGAGCTATTTTAAGCAGCTTAAAAATTCACTGATATCCTATTAAAAAAGAATGAAAAAATATAAATTAATGATAAGTTAAAAAATTTGGCAAAGAAGGTAAGGCAAAAAAAAGAAGATCATGATGACATGATACCTCTTAATTAAGACTTTTAAAATGCAAAAGAAATTACAATATAAGAGGAATAAAATTCTTTTGAAGATGAAGGAAATATAAATATTTGAAAAAAACTGTTAAAATAAATTCAAATTAGTGAATAATATTCCTATTCTTTATGATTGATTTTAAATTTATGATTAAGTTTCACTCAATAAATTATTTTAACATTTTTTATTATAAATTTTTAATTCAAGTTAATCTAAAATAAAATTTAAAAAAATGTTTTGGATTCAACTGCTTCTTTTCAAAAATTTTAAATAAATAATTTATTTATTTATTTTTAGATATTTTTACTCTTAGACTAAAATAGTTTATCATCATGTAATTATGTGTGATTGAAAAAAGTTAAATTAATAAATTTTTTTTTTTTTCACATTAAGAAAAACATATTTTAAAAATAGATTAAATAAATCATTAAAAATTTTAATAAATATTTTTAAATTAATAAAATTGTAAAAATAATTAAAAATTTTAAACTTCAAAATAATTCCATTCAAAACAATAAAGATTATTTATTTTTATATTACATAAATTCAAAGGAAATACCCTATATGCATTTTTTATAGTTTTTGTAATGCTTTTCAAAAATATTTATATTAGGCTTGCAAATTTAATTGAAAAATAAATTTAAGATTATTTTTATTATTTGTAATTCCTTAAATGAAACATTTTATCTCAATTATTTATTTAAATATCTTAGTATTCTACTTAAAAAATTAGTTTTATTTTATATTAATTTTTAAAAATAATTATTAATTTATAGATATCAATATGAAAATATTAATAATAAATTATTGAAATAATTAAACTTTTTTAAAAAAATAAATATTTATTTTTTAAAATTGTGAATTAGAAAAGTCTCATAATTTTAAATATTATTGAAGTTAATAGATTAATATAAATTTATAAAATAAATAAACATTTATGAAATTTCTTTTTTAGAAAAGTCTAATAACTTTAAATATTATCCACTAACTAATTAACTAACTCAGTCAACCTTATATATTTTTAATAATTAGCAATTTAATATTTATGTTTATAATCAATAATTTACTTGAGTCAATGTTTTTTATATAAATTAAATTATATTTGTTTGATCATTTATATTTTTTTTAATTGAAGGTATATATATAAATTTATTATATTTTATATACTTTTTACGTCCATACAAAGTTATTAATTATTGGTCTTTTATGCTAGAATAAAGGAATAAAAGCAAAACAACTTTACAAGAAGTTTAGAGTCATAAAGGGGACTAAGATTCTATTAGACTCCCTTCTATCAGCAATCGCAGTTATTTACAAAGTAATTTATTAATCTTAAAACAATTTATATTTATTTTAGAATTTAGTTGATATAGATAATAAACATAGTGAAGTAAGTGACTAAAAATATGTCGAGCTATAAAATAAAAGCATTGATTTTGAGCAGATTGACAATAAATCAATGAGATAAATTCCTTTTGCTTTACCTAGAATTAACACATCTGAATATAAAAGAAGGCATAATGAAGAAACAAAGAGAGAGAGAGTAAATTCTTTTATGCAAAAAAGTTTGTTATCTGAAAACAATAATAACTTGCCTTAATGTGTGACATTAAATAATGGGAGCATCAGAGTTATATAAAAAGGAAGGGGTATGAAGAATTCAAAAGGTAATTCGATTTCTTCATACCAAGGAATAAATAAGTAAATTAAACAAGTAAATAAAGAAAATCACGAAAATGATTAGTCTGATGAAAATTCATAAGAAAGAAATGTTGTGTAAAGTTTGAGTGAAATTCAATCTAATTAAAATAATGGAACTAAAAGTAATAATTCATAACTATAAAGCCCTACTTTAAACATATAAGGATAGAGCGTATCTAAAGCTAGCAGAAGAGCACTGTCTAGAGATCGTAGTTAAAACAATTCAAGGGCAGTGATAAAATAAAAAAAGTAAGGAAATCAACAGCAATAAAATTAGTCTTAAAGAAACTCTTCTAAAATGAAAGGAGTTGCTGAAGATAACTCTAATTAAGTTTAAAATAATTTGATAAATAATAAAATTTAAGGTTCACAAGCTATACCAATTTCTTAGATTGAATAATCTAGTTAAAATAATGTAGAAATATCACAAAAATCTGCTATAATTCATTAAAATAAATTTACTTTAGTACAGACACCAAAAAAATAGATAGATCAGTAATAATAAAGCAATAGTGGCTCTAGAAACTAAAATAGTGGAAAATAAAAAAATAAATCTTAGAAAAGAATGCAAATTGGAAGTGGAAGTTAAAATAATATAAACTTTTTATTCCAATAATAAAACATAAGTGGATAATAAAATATAAATAAAGTTGAAAGAGATTAAACTGATCAAAGTGAAGATATTGTCCACTAGTAAACTTAATAAAATCCATCTTTATGCCCCCCATATAATTCAAATACCCAATATTCATCTATAGGATAATCTATGGCTACATATAATTAAAGTAAGTCTAAAAAAAATACAAATAGCAAACGTAGCAGTCTTCCTAAAAAGATCATTCAGCACTCAAATACACTATGACTAAATAACAATTTAGGAGGATAAGAACCAACCTCATCTCCATAAATCTAACCATTGAGCACTAATAACATATTAAACCCTCATTCGTCTAAAATTAATAATTCTATTGGCATGAAAAATAGTGTCAAAGAGAAAAGTTTGAATAAAAATCATGGAAGTGGTGATAGTACTAATGATGGTAAATAAAGGTTTTATAACAGCAATAGTGTGAATAGAAAAAATGTAGTTGTTTAATCTCAAGCTGAAAATGACGATAATCCTTTATTAATATTTGATAAAATTGATAATATCCTTTTAAAAAGTGCAAATTACTCATTTATCAATAAAGAAAATTTAGAAAAAGATCTGCTCAAATTGTACAATTTAGAAAACCTGACTGATTAGAAAGCTAAGTAGATAATAAAATAGTTAAATCACAGTCCGATGCAAATGCTTAAAAATGGATTAAAAAACTAATCTCATATATTTAGAAATAAAATAATAAACCCTGGAAGAGCAAATGCTAATGAAAATAATTAGCAAGTCAGCAATGTCCATAAAATTTAATATATTTCTTAAAAAAGATACCGAAAAAATGGGAGCTCAAGTAGCAGTTTAAGAAGAAGTGAGAAAGGATACACTTTAGGATTATTGAATAGTAAAAATTAGAATAACTTTTATTCAAACAATCCTCAAAATGCAAGAAATTCTTCAAACATTAAAAAAGCAAGCATGATAAGCTATTAAGCTAAAAGTGGGCTAAATGCTAGTACAAATTAAATAAAACTTACTCACGATGAAGATTTAGAATATTAAACAAAGCATGAAGCTTTAACTCCTTAGAGATATAAAAGGAGTTTTGATAAATAACTGTCTCCATAACTCTCATAAAATAAAAATGGAAGTTTAGATGATACAAACACTAAACCTTAAATAAGACTTCCCTTTCATGATGACGAATGTGAAGATTTATAAGATTAAAATATGCAGGAGAAGTCATTTTCTTCTTAAAAAAATGAAGCTAATAAAGCTGCATCTTTAAACACTTAAAATAGTCCTTCAGTAAAAATTATAAAAATGAACAATTTATTATCACATGTAATTTTTTAAATTAAATAATAATAATAATCATTATTTATAAAAGTAAATTATTTTTTATAAAAATTTTTTCTTTAGAATATTCAAAAGGATATATGTGAATCTCCAAACAGCAATAAATATGCTTTAAAAACAGAATTTTCATAAATAAGAGGAAATCCAAATGAAATCTAATCAATATCATTAAATCAGGAAACTCCAACTAAAGAAGTTTAAGACAATTACTAAAGCTAAGGATCACATCAAGCATGTTGGGATATATATAAAATTAATGAAAAAAAACAGCTTTAACTTAAATCAACTAATCTATAAGATGAAATGAAAAGAATTGATGAGTTACAAATCAAAAACGAAAAAGCAATATCGAATTACATCTAAATTAGATAAGACCTTCTAGATTTAGCAATAAGTTAAAAATGTAAAAATTAATTTGAATTTTGAAGCACTTTTTTAATTTAACTTTCTTTAAGTAAAATAAATTTAAAAGGGAATTAAAGTATAAAAAAATTGAAATTTGATTTTATATCAAAATATAGATGGATATTAACTTTTAGTGCAATTTCAACTATGTCTAGATAATTCAAACTTAACAACCAGCATTAATAAATTTATAAAATAAATAAAAAATTAGATAAAAATCTTTATAAATTAACTCTTAAAAATATAAATAATAGAAAAATACTTTTAAATAAATAAACAATCTAAGTCTGTTTGATAAAAACTAAAAAATCAATTGATTTTTATTTCTGTATGCTAAAATAATGAGCATAAAGTATGATTTAAAATAGCAAGAAAAAGCATATTTAGTTCATATAATTGAGACAATTCGCTATTTTATTAAATGTTAATATGTAAGTTAAAGCTTTGAATGTATTTCTTGAAGATCTACAGTATATAAATCAATAAATACACAAAGGCAAAAATTTTTCCAAAAAATTAAATAAAACAAAAATAAAATTTTATGTATAGATTTTATAATATATTTATTTGAAAATATATAAAAATTTAATTAATTATTATGTTTTCTTAAATAATATAAATTTATTAAAAAGTAAGAATGATTTAACTAATTTAATAAAATATATTAACAAATAAATAAAAAAATATTTGTTTGAAAAACACTAAATAGAAATTTTGAAACAGTAAATTAAAAAATTGATAAAATCTTATTTAAAACAATAATAATTTAAAAAATATAAGTATTATGCATAAATATATTTGTATTATTTATAAATTTATTTTAAAAACTCACTTAGTTGGACTTTTTCCATTAAGTTTTGGCTTGTCTGTAGCCTTAGTTCCCAATTTCTATACTAGTTTTTGCTTGGACTTAATTCCCTATAATCCTCCTGGTGAGATAGATTGTTAAGAACCTGGATTTTATTTAGGAAGGGTTTTAGAATCTTCAATTTTTTGTTTGCTTTTTTAAGAAGATTTTGTTACTTCAGAGCGGCTAGGTGACCTAATAGTTCTTGGTTATAAATCAGATTTCTAACTTAGTTTAGTTTTTTTTGATTTTAGAGGATTTTATTCATTTTAATCCTTACTGGGTATATCAAATGTATTTTGTTCAGTAGATTTTTGTTCATTTTTGCTTTCTTAAATTGAAGGTAAATTATTATTTATTTAATAATTAGAGTTTTGCATAATTTCTTAAGCTACTCTACTATATTCTTTAGAGTTAAGCTCATTTTATTGTGGAGTTTATATTTTACTCTAAGCATAAAGTCCATTATTTTCTTCAAACTTTTACTAGAGCTCACGGTTTTTATTTTACATATTGATAACTAACTTTTGATGTAAGTCTGATTACTCTTAACTAAGTCTAAAGACAGAGTCAAAAACTTCTTAAACATCTTCGGCATAAGCTCTCCATTGCTCTTTGGTATCATAATTAATATGACTATCAGTCTAAAGATGCATAAGTTTACCTTTCAAAGTTGCATACATCTCATTTATTTTACGCTTATTGCTTTCATAGTTAGAATTCAATTCTGAAAATTCTTCCCATTTTTCTTTGGTATAGTCCTTTAATATTCTTGTTCTTCCTTCTATTTAATTAGAATAAACTTCAGCTAACTTTGAAGCTGATGTATTGTTTAATATAACTTTATTGTAGACATCTAATAGATTTGAATATTTTTATGAAAGAATATCATTTTCTTGGCTTAACAAACGATTTCCTCTAGCTAAATCAACCACATCTCTCATAATATCATCACGCTCACGCTAAAGTTACAATTATTTCTCTTATTCAAAGCTTTAGTTTCGAGCATTGCGCAAAGCTTCAGAGGACTTGAGTTGTTAATTCGATTACTTAAGCTATTCATTTTCTTTACGTAATTCTGCAAGTTCCAACTCCAAACGTACAGCCTTCTTTTTGTAGATGCTTTCTAATTCTAAGTTATCTACTTAATAGTCAATATCATTGCTACCTTGATATAATCTGTTGCTGCTTGCGCTCAAGCTTCCGCCTAAATACTTACTGCGAAGCTAGCTGGATGTTCCTTCATACATTTTTATAATTGGTTTCTTTATTATAAATTTGCTTTGCACTTATTATTTTATTTATTTTGTTTCAGTATTTATTTATATATTACTTTTTTATTGTTGTTTAGACTTTTAAAAAATTTATATTTATTAGATTTCTATTGGTTTTTATTTTTAAGAAGAGATATTTCATTCAGATACTTTAGATTAATAATTTTTATTTTAAAAGCAAAGAATAATAAAAAAGCTGTTTTTATTTTTATTATTGATTTTTTTTATTTTTCATATTGCTTTTAAAATTTTTTGAAAATATCAACATAAAATTCACTGAATATTGTTATAAATTTATTAAACAAATCTTATATAACTTGCAATCAATAGATAAGAAACCATCTAATTATAATTATTTTTTATTAAAGCTTGAAAAAAATAACTAAATCCAATAGGATTAATTCTTTTTTATAACAAAATATTTAATCAATCAATTAATTAAATATTTTAAATTTAAAATCAAAATTTTCATTTTTTCACTTGACTTAAAATAAAGTAAATTTTTTTAAATTAATTTAACTTATTTCATTAAATATAACATGTTTTTTAATCATTCTAATAAAAATTAGGATTAATTTAGTGAATATTTTGCTTAGTTAATTTAAAATTTTAAAATATAATTCAAATGAAAATATAAAAATTTTGAATATATATTTGATGTGATTTGCTTTAAAAATAAAAATTTATTAAAGGAAGTCAATCATAAAAATAAATAAAATAAAATTTTGGTTTACTGATTAAATTTCACTCATAATTTAATACCATTTTACAATTTAGACAGATATGAATGTCTAAGGCTCCATCCTTTATTATTCCTAAATTTTATATAATTGTAAGTAATAATTTATTGTTTCTATAAAATTTACCTGAAAAATTTTTATATTTATTGCAATTAAATGTTTCTTAGGTTTCTTAATTATTTTGGCTCTTTGCTAAATTTTATTAAGATTGCTAGCCTCCTTCTATTTATTAGTTCTTATTACTTGTTAATTATAAATCTTATGAACTTGTTGCAGAGTGACCAATTACACCTTTAGCATTCGCTACATTTGAGTAATTGTATTAATAATTGCTTTTAAGTTCAGATTAGATTTTGATTGTCTTTTTATGCTAACATTATTTATTATTTAGCCAAGTGAGAAGCAAAATCAAATCAGATTTTTCAAAGCTTTTCATGTATTCACTATTTAAAAATTACTTGTTTCTCTTCATGAATTCTATACACCTATAAATAAATAATTTAATGTGAACTCAGAAAAATTTAAATAAAATATTAAAAAATACTTTTCTTTCAAAGAGTAAGTGCTAACTTTCTTGATAAGAGGAATAATTTATTTAAAATTATTTTCAGATATTGTTATCAAAGACTCACATTTTTCTTAAAGTATAGGGATCGAAAACTTGTTTGCCATATTAAAAAGATCTATAATTGTATTGTAGTCGTAAACAGACATGTCATTTGTAAATTAATAATAGAATTATTGAATAAGCAACTAGAATGCCGTAAAACTAACATCATTTATCTTAACTATCAGTAAATCAGGATCAGACAGGTGTTTTCTAAAGTATTTGCTATAATATGACAATAGTTATTTGTTGCAATACATGTCATTGTTATTTTCAAACTTGAATCTTAAATCACTGTAGGTTGGCTGATTGAAATAATTAATTAATTCAACACTAATATCATCCTCTTCAAGAGATTAACCATAATAACTTTAGTTTATTTTTCTATTTTTACTATTTGCAACATTCTTATTAGAAATCTTCTAATTTTTTTGTTATTCTTACAAAATTTATTCTATTGTTATTTATCCATTAAACTATTTTTAAAGCTCATTTTACCTGTTTTATTATTCTTCTTAAATCTGTTAAATAATATTTTGATTTATCTGATTTTAGTCTGAGTGAGCTTAAAGTAAATTGCTATTTTACTTGAGTAAATAAGCTTCCTCATTTAAATCCTTTAAATCAGTTTAAGAAATTGATAAAAGAGCAATTTTATTTTTTATTTATACTAAGCTATATAAAATACCATTTAGAACTCTAAAGCCCTTTAAATGAATATCTGATCTCATACATTCAGTTAATATTACACCTTGGTTGAGTCTAATTAATTGTAATTGTTTTTAGTCAGCTAGCTCAATTGTATTTTAGTTTTCATTGGCTTGATAAGCAATATTTTCAATTTTATATAAACTATCTATATCATAAATATAAAGATGATTATCAGATGCACACAGTAAACCTTAATCTTATATCTTTCTATTTTTTAGGTATCCAAAAACATGCTTTTAACCCTACAGACTTTCTAAATTTCTTTTTACTACAGTCATATTTAATGATTTTTCCAAATAAAATAAGTTTTCAGCAAAATTACAATATCTTTCAGAACATAACTTAGGTATTTCAATTTCTGACACTTCTTTCTTTTTAATAAATATTTTTAAAATTATATGTAGAGCGGTGCAATATAATTTATTAAAATAATTTTTTTTTTAAATAAAATTTTTTTATTTGTATTACTGAAACCCATTCTTCTTAAATCAAATCAAACACATAAATATTCTTTTATTGCTAGAATTATTGTTTAAGTTGGCTATCTTAAGTTTCGCCTTAAGAAAAAGTAGAGTCAGAACCGAATACATATATTTTATTATTGTGAAAAACACTGTTTAAACATTCCCTCTCTTTAGGTGGGATTCCCCCAGCATTTACCTCATCGAATATCTCTTTTTCTTTAAAAATTATGAAAGAATAATTGATGATATAAGTTAAAATATAATTTATTACATGTATTAAATCTATACAGAGTGTATCTATAATTAGAAAAGTAACTATTCTAGCAGTTCAAGCTAAAGAAATAAAGATATTATGTTCCATCACTTATCATTTTTCTTATTTTAAATTTTTCATCTATCTAAGTTACGAATTTTAGAGTGTTTGTGTCTTTTTATAAAAAGAAAACTTTAAATGAATGAAAAAATCTATTTAATTCTACTTGTATTATATTAGTACAGATAGTTTTATTCATCCTAAATTAAAATATACAAAACGTCTTGAATCTACACCATTTACACTAGATTATTCTCTTCATTGCTAATCTCTTCTTTTAGTTTGTTTTAGCTTTCTCTATTTGCTTTTTAATCTTTTTGTATTTGGTGATACTCCCAAATTTCATAAACATTCCAAAATGGTATTTTATTATAATTTGAATACATCAAAATCAATTTTTTAACTTAATTATTAATCAGAATATTTCAAATATCTTAATTTTTTTTTTTAATTATTTTTCAAATAAGATTTTTAGTTTATTCATAGATTAATTATGAAAAAAAAGTTATTAAAATATTTAATCAAATTAAAAATTTTTAATTTTATTTTTAAAATATTCTCTATTAATTTAAAAATAATTAAAATTTTAAATTGATATACAGATAAACGCATTAATTGACTATACAAACATATAAATTATTTTATTAAAGACAAACTTTTTAAAAAATCTTTCAATCGTCTTCGAAAAAATCGCTAAGAGTTTTTTTGAGACTGTCCTGATAGTGATTTAATAAATCGCTTTAAACTTATTTTTTAATTTGATTCTACTTGGCTTCTGGATTAGGTTTAACTTATGATACAACTTTTTCTTCTTCAGCCTATGCTTCTGCAATTTCTTTTTATTTTTACAGCTTTTCTTAAATCTACTGTTCTTTTTATAGCTTTTCCTAAGTTTCTGCTTCACTTCTCCTCTAATCTGTTGACTCCTTTGCTATTTATGTAGAATATATTTCAAAGTTAGAATATCCTTCGTATCTTATTTTTAGCTATTAACATATTAAAATATATTAACTTTTTACTAAGAAAAAAATAAATATACAATTGATGATATTGTGCCAATTCTGAATCCTTCATTTGTTAGTAAACCAAAAGAACGAGCTTATTATTCACCTAGGTATTCTAGTTGATTTTCTGTTGATATTTGTTATATTTACCCCTCATTGCTATTAAATAGTTCAGAAACGTGATTTGTTGATAAATCGACTAATTTTTAAGTGTGTATTTTATTTAAATTCTCTTTCAATTTTTATGCTTCATAAGAGCTAATATCTGATACTTCATTACCAATTGTAATTGCTTTAATAAATCTCATTCTGTCTCTTACTTTGAAAGATCTATCATTAATTCCAAGGTTCAAGTTATATTTGAAAAATTCAACAAGCTTCTAAAAGAGCTCATGATTTTAGTCAAATATACACAAAAGCTTAAATCCTAAATTACCTATCTTTTAAAAATAAAATCTATTTTATTAAAATGTAGTTTAAAGTGCTCTTTACTTAAAGTTTAACAATATCGTGCTCTTTAGTATAGCTTTGTAAAAGAATTCTGTAGTAGTCTAAACAAATCGATGGAATTTCTTAGCAGAACTGAGAAATCTAAATTATAACTCTTTCTTTAATGAGTGGATTATTAATTTGTTAGTAGTATTCAAAGGTATATGAAAGAATAGGATAGTATACATTTATATTCTAGTTTTAAAATAATATTAATTGCTTGTGATAAATTTCAATCATTTTACTTGTTAAATGAGCTCGCTAAGTGCTTTAACTAAAACTTCTATGAGCTACTAATTAGCTGTTTTCAACAAGCTAGTAAGAGATTTAATGCATTTTCCAAAGAATTTATTTTGCTTAATTGCAATCTTTTTAATACAATTAATAGCAGCTATGCTTACATCGAAGGAAGGAGATCTAATTTAATAGTTTAGCTCATCTAAAATATGTCCAACATTTAAATCATCTACGATATGATATAAAATTTCAATTTTTTTGACTTTGCAATATCTTGTATTTTACAAGGAAAAATTAATATTCACTTCAAACAAAATATATGTTTTTGAAATATTTAAATTACACTTTCTCAAGCTAAGTGACAAAAAGAGTTCTAAAACTATTTTTGAAGTATTAAGGATACTTAATACTAAAATATTCTATTGCTTACAAAATTATAAGTTTTGAGTCTGAATTTATATTTACAAATCTCAAAAGAGCTTTTGCTACCTAATGTTTTAATTTTATTAAATACCAAAATATTATTATAACATTTATTACTCAAAGATGATAACTTACCTTACTTAAGAGCTCGGGTTAAGGAAAATCTATAGCTATGTGAGCTACTTCTAGTATGACAGAGGGATATGAAGAATATAATAAGCGAGTGCAAACATTGTATAAAAGTTAAAGGTCTGGATGGATCTTTTTAATTGATGATAGTTTTTATTTCTTATTTTCTTCAACAGCCGCTGCTTATGCTTATGCTTGTTGCTCTAACTAGACTTATTATTCATATTGCAAATACATTAAAGCATACTTATTTATCATTTAAAGATTAAGTACAATATCATAAACAGTATACGTATGAATTTCTTTGCATACTCTTCTAAAATGATAATGTAAAAACTCTAAATTATCTCCTTAAGTCTAAAGCTAATATAATAATACAAAATTTAGTTATTTTTGCTGCATTTTAAAATTGGATTGCTGATAAATTGATTCATTATAAAAAAACTTACTTGTCTTGATAAGTGCAAAACACATCCTTTTAAGAAAGGTACATCTTTCAAAAGAAAACTATAAAGAGCATCAACTTCTTCTTCTTCAATATCTTTGCTTAAAAAGAATTGTATAAGAGTTAGTGCTGATATTTTTTTGACATATGGACTTTTATCAACATGTAATTTTTAGAGAGTTTTAATTAGCATTGGCTTCATTTCTTGGATAGTTAAAGAGCAAAGAGTTTTTAATGTATCTCCTTTTATTACAGAAGGAATATTGCTAGCTATTTATTTCAAAAGTGGGCTGATACACATAAGAAGTTCATCACAGTTTGGATTTTCATAACTGATTTCTGTCAATAAAATGTAAATAATACGCTTAATTTCTATGTCTGGATTAGCTAAAAGTAGAATAACCTTATTCACATACTTGCTAATGCTTTTCCCTAAGATGGATAGCTTTTTATAAAAAATATATTAAACATATTATTTTAATATTAATTGAAATTTATATCTATTTTTTATGAATTAGAAATAAATTATTTTAGTTACGGCTAATAACCTTTTTAATGAATCTAACACTTTTTAAGAATTTTTAGATTCAAGCCCTTTGATGATCTAATCACGACTCATATTGCTGCTAGTTAAATACTTTGAATCTTCTTTCTTTAATTGATCAATTTTTGATTTGACCTTCTCCTTTGTTTAAAGAGCTAATTGAGGGATTTGCTATAAGAACTTAATGTTCATTATCATTAATTGACTTTAAGACTGCTTTTTTACTTATCTAATTAATTTAAGTTTTTTAATTGTTTATTATATATTTTTCTCTTCTTTTGCTTGATAACCTTTAATCAGAATAATTTATCAAAAAGTGAAGATACGTTTTTAATTTTTTAGGTCTTTTGTAAAAAATAGTATCTTAAAAATTAAAGTAATGTAAAATACGATAAAAATTCATTGATCTTTTAAATACTTAAAACAGTTTTTTAATGATATAATATAAAATGCTTGGATAAAAAATAATTTAACTAATTTCTTTAACATACTTAAAAAGCCTTTTATTGATATTTATTGGCTAAAGTAGTAATTATTTATATTATTTTCAACATGCTTAATTTTTAAAAAAGAAATTAAAATTGTTTACAATATTGAGCATTATTATTTTAAAAGCTATTTTAATTTGATTTATTATTTTTGAAATAAGACTTAATTTATTTTTAAAATATTTTTTGTTTTTTCTTTTAGTTTTACATTATTAAAAATGTGTTTGCCCAAAATATTTAGAATTCTTGTATGTAAATTGATAGCTTTATTATTATAATGTTAGATAATTTCTTATGCTTCTATGTAGACTAACAAAAATTACACTTGCTTAGATACATTAAAATTAATGTTTAATTAGGCATCCTTTTGCAATTGATTAAGAAATAAATCAAAGTGAGATTGGGTATATCATATAATAATTTTAAAGAAAAAAATATATCAATTGAAAAAAACATCAAAAAAATACTAAATTACTTAGTAAAAAAACAATTACAAAAATGAATAGCTTGATTTAAAAGGGAGGTATTGAAGCTGGTATCTTCATATCTTCATTTGTTTTCTTTAAGCTTTGGGTTAATAAAAGAACAAACTCAAATAATTCTAAAGCTCATAGAGATGTCATTCAACCAACAGATTTCGAAAGAATGGTAGATCCAGAAGATTCAAGCAGATTCTATAATATCTATCCTGAGGAAAAGATTGTAGTTAGATTTTTACACTGATCTAAGAAGGCTGTTACTATTATAGTCCTACCCATTATATAATTTTAACTAAAATTAACTTACTAATCAATGTTTTTTTATACTGATTTTATATTACTATGTCTTTAAATAGATTTTATTTTTAAAATGTTATTAATATTCCTCTAATTAAATCCTATTTCAAAGCTCGATTACTAGAAGATAATTATATGAATAAAATAATTATGTAAAAAATGAAATATATTATGTTTTCATGCCATATCAATTTATTATAAAAAATATATTTATCAAATATCAAATAAAATAAAGAGCATATAAATTTCCAACAAATTTAATTTGTTGTAATTTCTACTTACTTTATTTCCAAATGAAAATCTATACAATCTATATTGCTTTCTCTGATAAATACAAATTAATTATAAAAAATATCTAATTTATATTTAATATCAGCATTTAAAAGTCTATCATTAAATAAATAAATATAAGAAATTGCTTACTTTAAAATGCTAAGAAATATTCAAAATATGATGAGAGATTAATTTAGAGATTTAATTTGGAAAATTTGTTTAAATCAAAATGAAATATTTTTGTGATCAAAAAGAAAATTAGAAGAATTCTTTCCTATTTATTATATGGTAATTATTGAATATTTAAAATTATTCATAGATAATGCGATTAATCAAAAACTTCGTTTTGAATTCAAGCAAAAGACTTTAATAGAAATTGAAATTCAAATTATTTTAATACGAACTAAAAATTTTGAAATATAATAAATAAAGTAGAATTATACAAATATAATCAAATTACTGAATTAAAAACTCCTGAAAAATAAAACCTCAAAAAAAAAAAAAAATTTGATTTCATTTATAAAGTGAAAAAACAATTTTATCTCATAATGTATAAATACATTTCTATTAAGCAAGTATGTCAAATAAATTGATAAATTTTATTAAGCAATTTAAATCAAATTGCTTTGTTTAGTTGAGTAAAATAATTAATGAGAATAACGCTTGTATTGAGCTAAAAAAATTGGTGTTTTTTTAAAGTAATTACTGTGTTTCTATAATAAAAACAATGACCGCAATTTTTTAAAATAGGTTTATCTATTTTTTTATTTATTGCTAAAAATTTTTTTATAAAAATTATTTATTATTATGTCCATCTACTGTCTAAAAATATTTCTTAGCATAAATTGTAAGTTGTTATTTTTATAGTTTTAAATACTATAATAGAAAAAATTTGAAAACATAAATTATTAATATTTCTAGTTTAGGTTGAATAGTATACTAAATATGAAATAAATATACATAAAAAATCGTGAAGCTTGAAGAAAGAAATTCTTAATAGAATTTAATTAGAATCATTTGATTTTTTAATTTTTTTTTTTTTAGTCAGAAAAAGCTTATTGCGAATTCAATTTAAAAATTTATGCAATAATTTAGTATAGATTGTATTGGTTTGAAATCAAAAAACTATAATGAAATTTTGCAAACAAATTTTACATATTAATTGATTGACTTAATCTCAAAATTGTGAAAGAAATTAAAGGTAAAAGAGTTAAAAGAAAGAAAGAAAATTTCACAAATTTTTATTATTTTCAATTGTTTGTGATTGGTCATTTAAATATATAAAGAAAACAAATAAACTCTTAACAAAACATCAAAATCAATCAAAAAGGTCTTAGCATTAGGACAGGTGTAAAATACTAAAAATCTATTATCAAAACTTCAAAACCATTAGGGAACTTCTAACTAATCTCAACTCACTCACCCAGCTCTATAAAAACATTTAATCTCATAGATCATGTCGCAGTCTTCCAGACCGGATCAACTGAGATAGAATGTTGATTGTAATCACGCCATTTCTCTTTAAATATTCTTATTGTTTATACTTTTCTCTTTAACAATATGTTATTGACTTTTAATTAACAATAAGGAGGAAAAAATCCCTTGCTTACTTTATATTTAAAGATTGTTATTAAACAGAAATTTTAATGCAGAAATACCAAAATAATTCTTGTTTCAAGTGAAAAAATATTTTATCAAACTTATTTAAGAACAGAATATAGAATTTAAAGCGAAATCTTTTTATAAAGAACCAAATTCATTGAATAATGAGCAAAGCATTTTTGCAAAAATTAGTTTAAAGAATGAAGGAATTTTAAGCAATAACAACATGAATATATAAATTTATAATCAAATAAGTAGAATAAAAATGAAATAATTAAATTTGTTTTATATATAAATATAGTTAATAGTGTTTTATTAGTGGGTTTTGATCAAATTGATCAACCAGAAGAAGGAGAACAAAATTTAAGTATTTGGAATGATTAATTATAAAATTATAATAAAGTGGTTGATTGCTTCAACAAGTAAACTCAAGAAAGGAATTATATGGGAAACAGCCATTTAAATAATGGAGCATAAATTGCTGCTAAGAATCGTATGAATTCAGGTTCAAAGCAGTATGAGAATATCCGCAGATCTAAATAAAATTAGTCTCAAATTCATTTGAATCAACCTATTCTCTTAAATTCTGTATAATAAAATTTTCCTATGTCTATGCAAATGGGATAAGCAAGTTCATCATAACAGTCTTAGCTATAACAATAGAATTCTGGTACAAATCTATAGAATTATTACTAGAATTAGACAACTGCAAAAGCATTAAATCAATCAAACACAGCTTCAGTGACTCCTTCTTAGGCTATTTTAAGTTCAACTGCAAGAGGGTTTATGCTACATGCAAGTAAAGTTTTATTAGCATTTTTATATGTGAATTCCTATCAAATGGTTATGTATATTCACAAATTTTTATTGAAACATTTTTGTCATGCTTTCTTAGAAAATTTTTTTGGAAATTTAAAAATATAATGACTTTAATCACCATAAATAATTAAGTAAATAATATTGATTTTTATAATACCAAAATTGATAAAAGAATCATAATTTAGTGAATACAATAGTAAAAAGTTGTTGTTTATTTTCTAATCACATAAACAAACAAATATATAAATTTTTTGTTTAAATTACATATTGATTGATAATTATATTTTTCTCAAATTTAATAATCTACCCAATTTAATTGATAATTAACATATTCAAAAAATTAGGATTAAATAACAATATAAATAATGATTTATGGTAATTAAAATAGAAAATGCTTTTTTTAGTTTTGATTGAAAAATAAATTCAAATTTTAATTCTAATTTTTTAAAAATGATAGAAAGTAAAAAAATTAATTCAGTACAACCAAACAAAAACATATTGAGTGATTTAAATGAAGGAAGTACTTTAAATTAAAACGTCTAAGAAAATCAAGTTAACCAAGGAAAAAGCTAGCAGTAGCAACCACAGTAGCTATAATAAGGTCAATAACAATAATAACAATAGTAGCAACAATAACAACAATAATAATAGCAGTAATAATAGTACATCAATGAAAACAGTTTTTTTCAATTTTTTGGGGATTAATCTAAAATCAAAGCTTTAATTTAGTAACAATCTTAGCAATAATAATAGTTACAATAATAGGTATCAGCTAATACCTAAATGAATCAAAATAATAGTGTCTTCTTTTAAAACAAAAGGCCTAAATAATCTGATTCTACTTTTGATTCCACTTGTTCATCAACTCTTGTATAGGAATCTTCTTATGTTACCCCTAGAAATACAAATAAATCTTCACAAAACTCATTCATCTAATAAGGCAATCTTCAAAATTCTCAAATATTAAATTTTAATGAAATGGGAGGATCTTGCACTCCTTCTTAACAATAGACTACATAATATAACAATAGCTAGAATAATCCTTAAGGAGTGTATAGAAATAGAAATAGCATTTCTACCCATTAAGCGTATCAAAACAGTTCTAGTAATAGCACTACCAATAATAGTATAATAAATAATAACAATAATAATTCAATAATGTATTATGATTCTAAAATAGCGCGCTAGTTAAGCTAGTTAAGTGTTAGCGATTACAGTTAATAATAATAATCATAATAGTAAAACACTGCCACGACTACACCAAGAGGTGGGAATAATAATTATTCGATGATTTTACTTCATTATCCTCAACATTACGTCTAAGGGCAAAACAATTTTTATAACCATCATCATAGACATCTATCTTTCTCTAATAACTCTTCATCGCAGCAACACTCTTTCATTCTTTCATAGTTACAGCAATCGCATATTAATTAGCATTCCTACAGCAGTAACAGCAATAACTAAAGCTTTCAAGGAAGCTAAGCATATCATGCTTAACCTGAGATTATGTTTAGTCCTATGATTCACAACAAGAGCAATGATAGTATTTCATAAAATAATTGCCATCTTTCTAGCATTAACTCTTTAAATACATCTTTTTAGCAAAACTACACTTCTTAGTGTTAGATTGATGATTAAAACAAATCTCGAACTTATAAATCTGATAGCTTGCATATCCTATAATAGCAGTAGTAATAGTAATAAAATTTTAACGATAGCTAGAAATAAAATGGTCAGATATAAGCATCTTAATAAAGCTAATCTTAGTTTTACTCTCAAAATTCTTAACAAAATAATACCTAAATAAGTCATCCTCAATTTTCTCCTTAAATTTAATAAGGAAGCTAAAGCTAGCAAAATTAAAATATTTAGTAGTAATAAAATCAGACAAGCAACTTACTACACTATCCATAAAAGTTTTTAGCAAAACCATAAGGAATCCATAGGAAAAATTTATCTACCTCATCGAAGACTAATGGTGGCTCATAGAATTATTCTAATATTTCTATATTAAACAATTAAAAATTTGAATCAGGTAGTATTCAATCTTCTAAATAAATTTAGTAGAATGATAATTCAATTTCAAATAATGGAAATTCTATTTAGAACAGTACGGCTATTAAATCTTAACAAAAAAATGATACCACAAGTTCAGCTACTTTCTCATAACTTTCAAGAAAAGTAAGAAGTATTACTAATAATATGATAGAATAGAGTTAAATTCTTGAAGAAGATGATGAAAAAATTGATGGTGAATTTTTTGATGACTCAAATAATGAATCTGAAACTGATAAGAAACAGAAATCAGATGATTAAACCAAAGGCAGTAAGAAAGCTGAAAAGAAAAATTCTAAAGGAACACGTAAAAGAAAAATAATAGCTCAAGAGGAAGAAAGTAATTACTTAATCAATCCAGATAATGTAAACAAATATTTAGATTTAAATTTATAACAAATTCATTTTCTTAAAAATAAAAATAGGTAAAGTAAGATAGTCGTACTACTGTAATGATAAAAAATATTCCAAACAAATATTCTTTACAAGCTTTAATGGAAAAAATTGATTAAAATCATTCAAAAACTTATGACTTTTTTTATCTTCCTATAGATTTTAGGGTAATATACAAAAGTTAAAATTTAATAATAAAACTTAATAAAATTTTTAAAAATAAATAGAACAAATGCAACGTCGGGTATGCATTTATAAACTTCATAGATCCAGAATTTATAAAAAATTTTTATGAAGAGTTTCATAACCAGAAGTGGGCAAAATTCAACAGTGAAAAAGTAAATTGCATATTTTTATGTAAACTAATTAAATTTTTTTACTTTTTTAAATTTAGGTTTGCTTGCTCTATTATGCTAGACTTCAAGGCCGTAATGCGCTTATACATCACTTTTAGCACTCTAGCGTCATGAATTAAAAAGTAAAATTTATTAAAAGTATAAAATAAAGCTAAAAAAATTTAAAAATAGGATAAGAAGCTAAAGCCTGTTATACTCCCTAAAAATGAAGTAATAGCTTTAGAATAGCTTTTAAAGAATCAAGTAAAATTTATTACTATTAAATTCAAAAAAAATAAATTAAATAAATTAATTTTTAGAGGGATGAAGTCCGTAAGGTATCCAATAGCAGTAGCTCAGCAGATCAAAGAAGCAAATCTCCTGAAAATATTAACGCATAACTTTCATCTAATGAATAAGAGAACTAAGCTAATACCCCAAAGCAATAATATGAAAAATCTTAAAGTAAAGAGTCTATTTATTCAAGAGGTTCAAATCATAATTCTTCAAATCACACCTTAAAAGATGAGAAATGTACCATAACTTAGTCAAACGATACTCAAAATATCTAAGCTAGATCTTCAAGCATAAAGTCATAAACTTTACTCAATTAGACTCTAAATATATCATCTATTTCAAAAAGTATCTCTCCAACAAATAATGAGGATATCAAACAAAAGCAAGCTCAACTCATAAAATCAAGTACTAAAAAAGTAACTTAATGCATGAATCCTTCTTAGTAATAGTGAAAAAAAAGAAAACTTTTGAAGAAGTTGTGCAGATTAATGAAATATTAATTTTATTAAAAAAAATAATAATAATAATAATAAAACCAATAATATAAAAATGATAATATAATGATAGTTATACAAATAATTATAAAATTGTTTCTCAAAGCTATAATTTTTCTCATAATTAATTATATAAAATACTAACAATTTTCTACAAGTAAATATGATACACAATAAAACTAATATTAGAAGATAAATAAAAATGTAGTTTGCTTATTTACTGTTTAAATAAACACCATCTTTCGAAAATCCCTCTCAAAATCCATATTTTACAAATAAAAAGACTTTAATATCACCAATTCTAACTAAATCTCTATATAAAAATAAAATCAATATAATTATTAACTTCTCTACTGTCTCTCATGCAACTAATTTTACTAATATAACTTAATATTTGCTTGACTTATAAAGAAAAACACACTAATTCTGCTTCAAAATCTTTGTGAAATAATAGATAATATCAATTATAAAAATAGATTTTATATAGTGGAATATTTATTTACAGCAAATTTTATAGTTTCTAAGGAGTGGCTAAATAAGCAGAGAAGATAGCTAGGAAAGTTACATATTTTTGGGTTCAACTTTTTTTGCAAGTGATTCGTTCATTCATTCATAAAATTTATAAATTCATTTTTGAATGTATATAAATTAGCACAAAAGAATTGCTAAAATATAAATTCCTTTCAATTACTTGAAAAGAGAATTAAAATTTTCCTACGAAACTTAAATTGATGGTGAGAATTATATTTTACAATCCATTTAATTTCTTTTGACTTTATATATCAAAATAAATAATAATAATTAAACATAATAAGTTTATAATACAAATATGAATTTTCTAAAATATAAATTACTAGTTTAATCAATTTATGCATTTTAAGGTTATGGTTGATTAAACTTAAAAGTAAGAAATTCTTCTAGTATTTAAAATAGTGTTTTATATATTAATATCTATCTGTTTGTTTCTAATTTTATTCCAATTTTTATATACTTATTTGCTTTTTATACTAAATATATTTTTCTCTTAGAATTTTTTTTTTAAATTGCAAGATAATCATATCAATCTCTTTTCACTTAATGCTTAATTTGTAAATGTATTTTTAAACATATTAATATCTATTTCTCTTTGGTTTAATTGCACTAAATTAATTCTATTCAAATAATTTATATTAGGAATTTATGTTAGTTGAAATGATTTTTTTATATTTTTTACTTTTGAAAATTAAAATCTTTATGACATTTTTATCAAATTAATGATAAGCATAAATTTATTTTGTAATTTTTAGTTATTTAACAATCAAGATATATTTAAAAAATTAAAAAATTTCATCAATAATTCAAATGGATTATTTTTATTTAAGATAAAACAATTATGAAAAAAAAACTTTAAAATTAATAATGAAGGTTTTTATAGATTTGTCAAACAAACACATATTTGAACATTCAGTAAAATTTAATAAAATATCTTTATCTTAATCAACTTTAAATTCAAAAAAGTGTTTTTTACTTTTTTATAGATGAATAGTAAATCGTGTTATGAGTATTATCAATTTGATCTAGAGAGTTTGCTTCATCTGGAAGAAAAATTTATTTTTGATTCTCTTTTTATATCTTTGAAAATATTGAATCTGTTTCTTATTGGTACAAAATAGATTCTTTTGTTTAATTTTGATATCTTTGAACAAAGTTTTCTGTATAAAACTAATCTTAAGGGAAGAATGTTGTATTGTTAACTTTACTTTCACATTCATCTTTTTAAATAAATTTATCAATAATACGAGTTTATTAGCTTTTAGTATTTAAGTCTTAAGGTTTAACTTCTAAATCAAATGTTTTTAATATATGATTTTAAGTGTCAGTTATTCTAATTTGAAATTCTTCATAGTCATCGATGGATGGCTTTCCTTAGAGGATTATAAAATTATGCTTATTTACTATAGACATCCAGCAAGGGAGCTTTATATTTTATGATATTCCATATTTTTTGTAATTAAAAAAGGATTTATCAAATAAACATTTTTTACTCCTTTTTGTATATGCCTATATAGATCCTATATTAGAAATATTAATCAGAAGTGATTCACCTTAACATTTTGAAAATTTTCCTGATGAAGACATACCAAGAGCATCTGATACTAGAGCTTATTTTAAAATATTTAATTTAACATTTTGGTATTTGAATTTATTTTATATAATCTTGAAATGAGGTGATGTTTTTAAAGATTCAAAAGCTTGCTAGATTTAAAAGTCTTTAAAGCTATATAGTTAAAATAATTTTTATTAACATATATCACTCATTTTAATATGCTCCTCTTAATTTAGTTAACACTAGAGCTCTATAAAATTTTTATACCAGTCGTTTGGACTGTAATAATTATACTATAATGCATACTATTTCAAGTAATCATAGAAAAACTATTGATCTGGCAACTGCTATAGAACATATTTTGACAATAAACAAAATACACATAAGTGCAAAATACTAGAGCTATCTTCTAAATATTTCAAATCATCAAGCATATTTATTTTCTTCCCTTTAAATTTATATTCTAATTTAGACATTCTAATGAAAGATACTACCCTACATATTTATTTTTTTAAAAATTAAATAATTTAAATTTTTTAAATGCAAATTTTATAATTATATCAAAAAAATTATTTTTCGATAAAGTTAGGTCTTAATTAATTAGAATTTACAATAATTCTAAATTTAGAAAATTTAATTTATTTTTCAAATAGAATCTGCTTATTTAAACTATAATAACACTAATACCCTAATTCATTTTAATGGGACCATGCTTTTTAAAAATGGAATAGTACCCATATTTACTTCTGTTTATACTTTTAATTACCATTAATTTTATAATATATAAGAATAATAAAAAATTATTTAATTCTAATATGAATTTATTTCTTCTTTATATAAAAAATAGTAAAAGTAATAAAAATTTATTTACTTATCCATATCAATTATTCCATCTATATCACAGAGGAAGCTTTATATATTAGAATCATACTTGCTTTATTAATAGAATTAATTTAATTTCAGAATTAATTTTTTTTACTATTGAAGAAAATTCTTATTTGGTGGCTTAAATTACTAATTCTTTTGTTATTTTTCTTGAGGCTATTATTATTGTTATTAATTTACAGAATTGTCAAAAGTTATAAGCTTGACAATTTAACTTTGCTTTAGATTATCATTTATTTACTACAACTCTATATTTTTGATACTTTCATTTTTTAAATCTTCTTAGAGTTACACTAAAACTTAATCTACAAGCTTCTGTGCTTTTAAAACATTATTCCCAAGTAATAGAATTACTTTAAAGTATATTTAATTACTTTTTAATTAAAAATAAATTAAAATAAAAGTAATGAAAAACATTGAAAAAGCAAATTAATTACATCCTGGCAGTTTCTTTGGAGTAAAAAGTATTTTTGAAGTTTAAAAAATTAAAAACAATTGAATGATACTAATAAACTCCAATTATACTAATAAGCGTAGTTAGAATAGACACTAAAAGATTTAAAATAAATTAAAGAGGTAATTAGTAGATGTAAATTGTGAATTAATCTGAGCATACTGTAATACCATTTGTCGCCTATATCTAAATGGTAACAGCTTAATTGAACATTGTTTAAGGTGCACTTCCGTAAAATCTAAGAAATTGATTTTAGAATTTCAGCCAATAATCACTATTTAATATAGTAAATTCTCCATCACTACCTTATAGATATGCTTGATAAGAGAGCTGAAAACCATCTGGTTCTTCAAATGTTTGAGATGAAAATTCTATTGAAGTCTCATCTATAATAGGAATTATAGAATTATAATATTTGTTTTTAATTTAGCTTTGTAGCTTTAATGAAGGATTTTGCATCACTCTACTCTTAATTTGAATAAAGCTTTAAGTGCAATCTGAAAATGAAATTAATTTTTTTATTCCATAATTTATTCCGTCATCTAATTTAATTAAAAATTGATGAGATTATCCATTATCAACAGCTATTTTATTTTGAGGAAAGTTTTGTGAAAACAATATTTTGTTTTACAAAATTCTATTTAAAATTTAAATAGAACCAGAAAAAATAATCCCACTTGAGTCTACAAATATAGATGAAATTACACCATCGTAAATTTTGTTAACGAAAAATCCCATTATAGGATTATTTACCTAAATAGTTAGTTAAGCTGTTGATGAGAAAGTTTGTATCATTCCAAGTTAATTTTTAAAGTCAAAACTTAAAGACTGCTAAGTTTCGAATAAGATAGGATTGTAATAAATACTTCTTTAAAACGTTAATTTCACTTTTTTATAAAGTTTTTAATTAAGTTCTGAGGTGGCTAATTAAACAACTGTAAAGGATATTTACAAATTTGGATTAAAAACAGTAGTAATTAAGTTATTTCCATCTATAAGCCCTATTTATTAGTAATAATTGTAAATATCATTACTTTAGCTTTCATTAGTTAACCCTTCATATATGAAACTTTATGAAGTAAGAGGCACAGATACCTAAACAACAAGAGTATTAAGGAATACTCCTTGAATATTTTATGAATCGATAGAGGATTTGTCAACAGATATGATAACAGAATTTATACTCTTAACAAATGTGATCCAGTAAGGTAGCTAATTCATTTAAAAATTATCATAATAAAAAACATTTGTTATCAGCGATCCTTCTGTTGGATAGAGCATTAGTAACTACAATTCTATGACTTATCCTACTTGTAGTAATTCATTTTGAATTAATCTTATCGGACTGTCACTACCTGTTATATCAATAAAAGAGGAGTGTATCTTAATTTAAGAAGTCATTGGAAATGCTCTTAAACCAAATTAACTGACTGAAAATCCATAGGAATAATCAGAGAAGTAGCAATTTCCAAACGATTGTTATTCATCCTATACATATTTACTATAAACAATAGGGTTGGTTTTATTTTAAATGTTAACAAGAGTTATCATTCCATAATCCATTGAAGAAATCAGCATATAATTTTCTTTTTAGATTGGATTACAATGATTTGCCCATCCATCTATACTAATCCTGCTTATTATATTAATTTAAGGAAGAGAGGATACATCTAAAATAGCTAACCCGCTAGACCCATCACATAGATAAGCAATATTATATATTTCTGATATAACTACTTACTCTCCTCCTTAAGTCGAAAAAGAATTTTACAAAATAGGATTCTTAGGATCTTCTATATTTAATACTAAATACATACCAATACTTCTCACTCCAATCAAAACCCATTGATTATTTGAAGAAATTCCTACAGAACGTGGAAAGCCATTCATTTGCAGTGGTACTTTCCATTCACTTAGTAATTTTAAATTTAACAGATCGGATGAATCTATGATCTATATGCCTTAAGCGTATGTCATTACTAATAGTTTTTAGTCTTAGCTAAAACGAATATCTTCGTTTCTTTAAGGATTATTATTTTTATAGCTTGAAACCTACTAAAGTAATTTGGTATTTAAAGTTAATTAACTAAGATCATAAATATCAATTGATCTATTTGAAGTATTGACAGGTTAATATAAATATTTAAAATCGGAGCTGAATTGAAGATTGCAAGTACGGGTTTTACCTTCATTAGGAATATTTATTTATAAATTGATATTGTATGGATCATTTCTTTAGATGCTTAGAATGTCTAATTAGCCACTTTATACATTTTTTAAAATTTATAATTAAAACTAGAAATAAATATATTTGATTAGAAAATTATTGTAATTTATTGGTTTTTTGATTACAATCTAATTAAATTTAGTGGTATTATTTTTGTCCTTAAAAATTATGATAAAAATTTTTTTATAATTAATTATTTAAATTCATTAACCAAAAAATATTGATATTTTTAAAATTTATTAAATAAAAATTACCATTAAGTTGCATACATAAATTTTTAATCTGGAGAAATGTAGCATCGCCACTAGTAATAGTTTTTTGTATAAGTGATCAAATCAGACTAATGACCATTGAATAAATTAGGAAAGTTATCGTTTAAATTAGGTCTAATTTGATCAAAAATTAGAATTTATTTTCCATCAGTGTAAAAAATGTTTGATTAAGAAGGTGTAAATTCAATCCAAATAGGAATACCTGAAATTTAAATCTTATAATAATATTAAGGATTAAGTCTGTCTGATATATCAAAAAAGATAAGCCCTACGATCTCACATACACAGCTAAGTAATTGGAATCGCTAGACATTTTTCCTCCCATAAAAACAGGATTCATTTTTTAGTAAGGCCAGTATAATTTGCTAATAGTAAGTTTAATTGGATAAGTAGAAGAGTCAGCTTCTATTAAAGGTGTCAAATCTACAATTTATATGCCATACCATCTGTCAAAAGCAAACAAATATTTACTATCTAAAGTAACTTCTACTTAGTCAACAAAGTATAATCCTCCTACAGTTGCACATCTATTCATTTAGAAAGTTTATACTTTTCCATTACTTTATTCTACATAATTTAAATTTAATATTGTGACCCCTAAAAATTAATCTGCTATAAAGAGCCACTTTAAATATTAGGAAAGCTATATAAAAGATATGATAGATGTTTAAGAACTGTATGAGCTTAGTTTTTGCAATTGATCACCAATAGATTTATATTATATGTCATAAGCTATGACAGAACCTTTTTCTCCAGTTATAATAGCAATTTTTTCATTAAATGCTAAAAAAATATCTGTGATAGATAAGACATCAGATGCTTATCTTTGTTGTATGAGAGTAAAATCTGTTAAATTCACTTAAAAAAGAGTCAGTTTGCTCTCATAATTAGCTAGTATATAACGAGAATCAGATGTAATAGCTACTGCGCTTATAAATTGCTCATTTTTTATGCTCGTTTATGTTTAAGAAATCAAAATTAAAGATGTATTATCAATCCACCATAATCCTGATTGTCCAGAAACTACAACAGAGTAATTTTAACTTGATTTTAATTGATTAATATTAAGTTGATTGCTTTTAAGCAGTTAATATGACCTTTAGTTAAGCTAATAAAGAAAGTTATATTACTATTATTAGGCATAATAAAATCCTAAGCTATAAAGTAAAAGTATTAGTTTTATTAAAGTCATGAATTTTATATATTTGTAATAAATTAGTTAGTTTTTATTTATTTAAACAACTCTAAGCTGATATTTTTTAATGTTAATATATTTGCTTTATTAAAAAGCTCTACTTGACTATTAATTATTTACTTAATAAATAAAAAAAACTAAAACATATTTATTAACAAAAAACCTTAATGCTCATAATTTTAATAATATTCTATTTTAATTCAGTAATAATTAAATATTTATGACTTGATCAAAGTTATGAAAATATTAATTTATAAATAGGTATGTTTATTTAAAATATATGATGATAATAAATAGAAGTAATATTTCCTTTAGTTTTTACTGAGTGTACATGTAAGAAAATAGATTAAAATTATATTTGAAATTAATTTGTAAAATAAATTTAATTTATTAATTTACTTGTTTGTTTTATTTTGATAATGATTAAAAAGTAACAATAAAGCATTTGTATGATTATATCTATTCTTTAATATATGATAAAGTAGATATTTTATAAAAATAAAAATAATAATTATGTTTAAAAATATATCATTATTTCCATTCTTTTATAATAGGGTGAGGAAATATAATAGAAACAAAAAATAATTTATCTATAAAAAAAGAGATATATTGTAAAATTTAAATAAACTATTGATTAAATAACATCATTTTTATTAATTAATTAAAAAAAAATTTCCAAATAGTTTTCAAAATGATTATAAATCAATAAAAAATTATTTTTTTTATTTATTAACAATAAGATCTATAAGAAAGGAAATGTAATTTTTATAAATTTACCTAATTAAGAATATTTGATAAAATTTAATTTGGTTTATAATGAAAATAGTAAAATATAATTTATTTTTACATTTTTTTTGATGAAAATAATTTCTTATTTGCTATTCTAGAATAATAATTTCTCTCATATGAAAAAAATATTTAGTAGCATAATAAATTTACATGTAAAAAAAAAAATTAATTTAAGATTAAATGTTTAGAATAAAAAATTTAGATTTCTTTATCAAAAAAATTAAATGTTTGATTTTGCATTTATTTTTTTTTTCTTCTTTCAATTTAAAACTTACTTTCAAAATTTTTTATATTTCTTTTTATTTTTTATTATTTTTAAATATTATTTATTATTCTACTAAATATATATTTCTTACTCAAGTTATAATTTTTCGTGAATAGCATTTAAACATTTTTAATAAAAATGAAAAAACTAATATTTATCAATATTTAAAAAAGATTACTTTCTAATAGTAATTACAATAAAAATAAAAAATATATTTTTGATGACTGATAAATTAATATAAAATAAAATTTAATCATTTATGCATATCAAATTTCTGATTTTTACTTGATACGCTTTGAGGCATAAATACTATTGTGGTCTTCATCAATCTTAATTTTTACTTCGACATTTTTATTCAATAAGCTTTTCTATTGAGGAGATGCCTCAGAACATAAATTCATATTTTCAATAATCTCATCATCATTGCTGCCAATATAAGTATTGAGTGAATAATTTTCAAACTAACTGATTTATCTTTTATTTTGATTAAAATTTAACAACCTTATTGGTCTATCAGCCGTTGTAAGTATGTTATTAGAACTATTAAAGTCTTTGCTATTTTGTTTCTAAAATTAATTGATTTTTGTCACTTAAATATTGTCCTAAACCAAAATATCAAGATTATAACTCTTGATAATATAATTTTTGTTATCAATAATTCTGATTTGAAGACTGTCTACATCATCCAATGAAGGTTTACCTTAGAGAATAATCAAATCTTATTTGTTTATTATCTACATCCAATATGGAAGCTTTAGATTAGAAAATAAACCATATTAAGTATAGTTGAACTAAGATTTTCTTTAACAACAGCTATTAGTTTATCCACTTTTTTTGTATGCCTCTATCGATTAAATATTAGAAAAATCGATTAATAGTGATTCTCCTAAACATTTTTTATAGCGGAAAATAGGTTAACTATCAATTCCTAAAGCATCAGCAATTAGTACTTGCTTCAAAATATTATGATTGATATTTTTGTATTTAAATTTTTATTCTACTTCAGAATACTAAGGAGATTGCTTTAATGATTCAAGAGCAAGCTTTATGAAATCGTCTTTAAATTAAAATAAACTTAAAATATTCTTTTGGCTGATGTCATCAATATTTTATTATTCTTATTCATTCAGAGCATAATTAAAGGTTATATAGTTTTTGTACCAGTCATTTGGATAATAAAACTTTAATGCAACAGAATACTATTTCAAATATTCATAGAAGAAGGATAATTCAGAGTTCAAGCTTAGAATGAACCTTGATAACAAGCAAAACACACAAATATGGAGCATACTAGAGGAATCTTTCAGCTCTTGTATATCATCTGATATCTTCATTTTTTTTCCATTGAATTTATATTCTATTATATTATTCTCTATTATTTCTAATACCCTAAATTGATATTTAAAATATATTAAATTAAATAAATAAGTTAATTTTAATTTTTCAAAAGAAAAAAATAGAAGTATCAAGCCAATTTTATGAGAAAATAATATTTGAAAAAAATTTACTTTTGCATATCAACAATGCCATCTTTGTTACAAATTTTACTAAATACTTATGATTTTATGTTATTATCTATGGACACTTTAGTTAACTTCTAAACAATTTTTTTATGCAGGTCTGTCATTTACATGTTGTTTTACTTATTTATGTAAGCTTCCATCTCTTTGTTAGATCTTTCATGTTTTGTTGGGTTTTCTTTTAATAACAATTCAACAATTTTACTTTCCTTTATTGCTTCTGGAACATTTTGTTATTAATTTTAATATTCTGAGTTGAACTTTTGCTATTAAATATGATGTATAAACTGCTAGACCATCATCTTAGATTTTTAAAGGTTTTTTCCAAGCAGTGGAATTATTTTATAATAAACTTAATTACTTTATTAAAAAATGAAATAAATTAAAAAAAAAAAAATTTTAATGATAAATTACGTTTTAACAGTCTCTTTAGAGTAAATTGTATTATTGTAGTTTAAAAAATTGACAATCACATAACGATACTTATAAATACCCAAGATACTGAGCAGTGGTGTTAGTATGGATACAATCAAATTCAGCACGTACTATAATGGCAACTAATTTAAATTGATAGTAAAAACATCAGACACCGTAGTGTAACCATCAGTTGCAACTACTTTTAATGTAACACTAGTATTTAAAAGATCTTTAGGAGCATTTCCATAAAATCTTAGTTGATAATTAGAAAATTTAAACCAATAATCACTCTTTAATTCAATGAAAGTATCATCACTTTATTTTTAATAAGCTGAAAAACTTAATTAAAATCCATCTTAATCTGAGAAAGTTTGAGGTAAAAATTCTAGCGATACTTCATCTATTACAGGAACATTAGCTCCGCTATATTTGTCATTAACTTACTACTATAATAAATAACTAGGTTATAACTATACCTCACTTTTAATATGTATGAAACTAGAAATAGCATCTTGTAGCATTATTGTATACTGTTGGCTATAGTTGATTCCATCATCAATATAAAGAATAAATCCTTAAGGTTGTCCGTTATCAGTTACCTGACTAAGAAGAGGTGATTTCTCAGAGAAAAATATTTTATTTTGTAGGATTTTATTAAGATTAGATAAAGGACCTTATAATACTATCTAATTCTGTGAAGTTGATATTGAAACAATTACGCCTGAATAAGGCATGTTCACAAAAATGCCCATAATAGGATTAGTAACAGTAATGCTAACTTGAACTGTTGAAGAATAAGTTTGTATCATTTACTGCTTGTTCATAAAATCAAACTTTAATGATTGTGCAGTGTAAAAGAGAATGGGATTATAATATATACCTCTTTAAAGTGTCAATTTAACTTTGTCATAAAGCTGCTAATTTTGCTAAGGGTTAGACAGCTAAACAACATTAAAAGAGATGGGCATGTTAGGATTAAAGATAGGTGTAACTAAATTATCCCCATCGATAAATCCAAGTTACTAATAATAATTGTAGATAGCTTAGCTCTATGCAGAATTTGTTAATCCATCATAGATAAAGCTTTGTGCAGTAATAGGAACAGAAACTTATACTATGAGAGTATTTAAAAAGGATCCTGAAATATTTGAAGGATCTATAGAAGATTTATCAACATTTATTAATATAGATCCTTAGCTCTTTACAAAGTTTATCCAATAGGGGAGAGAATTCATTTAGTAATTACTATAATAGTACACATTTGTTATTTGAGAACCTTCTACTGCATAAAGCATCATTAACTATAGTTATATTTGTTAGCCAACCAATAAATTAGATGATTTACCAACAGTTTTTGGATTTGAATTTGAACTTGTTATGTCTATAAATGAGGAATGGATTTTTATTTGAGATTTCAAAGGGAAAATTCTTAATCCATATTAGCTTATTGAAAAACCATAAGATAAATCTTTAAAATAGCAGTTACCAAAAGATTGCTAGGTGCTTTCTTAGTATTTACTGTAAACTACAGGGTTTTATTTGTCTAATAGATTCACTAGAGTAATCATTCCATAATCCATTGAAGATATAAGCATGAAATCTTCATTCTAAAATAGATTACATTAATTTGCCCATCCGTCGATAGCAATTCTGCTAATTATTTTTATTTTAGGTAAATATGATATATCAAGAATAGCTAGACCATTAGAGCCATCGCATAAGTAGGCTAAATTATACAAACCTGAAATTACTACTTATTCTCCTCCGTTTGTGGTTATTTAATTCTATAAGACAGGGTTTTTAGGATCTGTGATGTCTAGAAACAAATACATACCAACATTTCTCATTGCTATAATAACCCACTTATTATCATGGCTAATACCCACAGAACCAGGAAACCCGTTTAATACTAGAGGTACATTCCAAGTAGTCAGTATTTTCAGATTTAAAATATCTGATGAGTCTATAATTTATATTCCTTATGCGAATGTTTATACTAAAAGTTTTTGATCTTTGCTAAAGGATATATTCTCATTTCTTTATGGTGATGCAACATTAAGACTACTCGTTATTGCCATAGATTATGAATTTGAAGCTAAAGTATTCAAATCATAAATGTCTATTGTGTTAATATTATAATTAACTGGTTGATACATATATCTAAAATCACTTGAAAACTCAAGGTTGCAGGTACGAGTTTTTCCTGATTTTTTGATTACTCCTGATAAGGTAATTTAATATGGATCAGAATTGGGGATGCTTAAAATATTAACATTTCCGCTTTATTTTATTAAAGATAAATTTAAATCAGAAGTAAAAAAAAATTATTAAAAATTTAAAATGAAAATTTTGTAAAATTTATGTTTAATATTTATTATTCAATTAAAAGCAAATGATTTTTAATTTAATGATATAAGTTGTTGCTTTTTTTTCCTTCATCTGAAAACAGTATAATATTTAATTAGATAGAAAGACACTTATAAATTTGTTATTGATTAAGTATTTATTTATTTAATGATTTAAAATAAATAAAATATAATAAGAATAGATATAAAATTTTGAGCAAAATTAAGGTCAAACATTAATTTTATATTCTTGATAAAAAATAAAAATTGATTATTTAAAAGTAAAGTAAATTTATTCACTTTTTTTGTGTTATTAAAAATAAAATAATAAAGATTATTTAAAAGTCAAAACAATTAAAATAGATAATGAATTTTGAAAATTGAAGGGCATATATTCTTTTTTTTTTGCGTTATTTAAGTTTATTTTTAGAAATATAAAAATGATCCTATTTTGTTCTGATTATATAGTAATAATACCATCTTTACATTTATGATTAAAAATTTTAAATTAAATAGATAACAAATTTTTATAAAAAAATGGCATTTACTCTTTGATTATTTTAATTTTTTAGTAAAAGAAAATAACATAAAAAATCAAAAGAATATACCTTATTGTTAAAATTGCTAAGTATGATAAAATTGAATTTTTATAATTTACATGAAATGCAAAAAAAAAATTTTATTATAATTTGCTCTTAAAAAATCAAATTTTAGAAGAAAAATATTTAAATATTTAGATTAAATAATAAAATTTCGAAAAATACGTTTCGGGTACAAGCATCCATTGTGTATCTGGAGTTATGTAACATCTCCATTAGTAGTAGGCTTAGCTGAAAACTTTCAAATTTGATTAGTGACCATTGAATAGGTTAGGGAAATCATCATTTAGATTAGACTAGACTTTATCATATACTATCATTTATGTGCCATCAGTGTAATATATTTATGATTATAAAGGTGTAAAAGCTATATATTGAGGGATACCAGGAATCTTAATCTAATAGTAATAAGTAGGATTAAGTCTATTGCTAATATCAAAGGCGATAAGACCTTAGGATCTCACGGAGATGATCAGATAATTAGAGTCAGAAGATATTAAAGCACCCATAAAAACAGGATTCATATCAGTATATGGCCAAAAAAGTTAAGTTATCTTTAATTAAACAGGATAAGAAGAAGGTTTAGCAGAAATTAGAGGGGAAAGAGATATAATTTGAACACCGTACCATCTATCCAAAGCGTAAAGATATTAGTTGTCGTTAGTTGCTTATACTTATGCAACAAAATATAAACCACCAACTTAGCCTGCTAAATTCATATTAAAAGTTTTTATAGACCCATCTTAATTTTCTGCATAAGTAAGTTTCAAGATGGTGGCTCCTAAAAATTAGTCTGCTATATAAAGCCATTACATATCGCTTGATAGAGTTATGTAAGCCAATATGTTAGTTTAGGAGTTATATTAGCTTAGAATCAATAGTGGTTGATTAGGAGTTTTAGACCAAATGTCATATGCTATTACAGAACCTTTTTCACCAACAATAATAGCTATTTTTTCATTACTTGTTAAAAATATGTCAGTGATAGCTAGCGAGTTTTATCCCTATCTCAGTAAAGTCATAGAAAAATCATTTGGATTGACCTTAAAGAGTGAAAGCTTGTTTTAGTAATTATTTAGCAGATAATTTCCATCAGCTGTAATAGCAAGAGCGCTTACCTAATCTTAATTTTTAAGGCTCACAGTAGCTGATTCTATTAATTAAGTAGAAGTATTATTTATCCACCACAAACCAGATTATCCTGCTGCAACAACAGTGTAGAGTGAGCTTGATTTCATCTAGAGAATGTTCAGTTAGGAATTTTTGAACAGCTAAGAAGACATTTGATTTTACTAATAAATAAAATCATATTATTGCTGCTACTGCTAAGCCATACAGAAGTATAGTAGAAGTAAAAGTAACACAATTTTTTTAATCATTTTTCTGATATTATATTTTTTTATCATTATTATTATTATAATAACAAAATAGAATAAATTATTCTGAAGTAGTATTAAAATGAGTACAGTATATGAAAGCATAAAGCAATTCAATTAGATGAATTAATCTATAAAAACATCAAATTTAATCTAATTATTGATAATTAAAAAAACTTTGGTATATTTTAAAAAATAACTTTATCAAATAAAAAGTGAATTTTTTTCCTATATATTTATTTTCCCAGGTATATTTTAAGAAATCAGAGGCGTTAATTTTTATTTTTATTATATCTGCCACTAGAATAAATAAATTAATCATGATTTTAATATAATTATATTTTCTGGGAGAAATCAATAAAAGTCAAGAGCAAGCACACTTTTTATAAATTAATAACTCTATAACACATAAATCAACTCTGAAAAATTTTTACATATTTTTTTCATAAGCAATTAATTGATACTTAAATTAAAAAATTATTTTTTTTCCTTAAATATAGAGTTTGTCTAATAATATAAAACAGCTCAATTCACTATAATAGAGTAGTTTAAATATTAATTACAAAAACAAGACAATTTTATTTTGCTTTTTTACAAGTTTATTTATAATACTCTTGTTTCTTTGCTATTATTAATTGATCAAATTATTAATAAATAAAAATAGCTATTCTCTTAGATTTATGGTGATTTTTAACACTAAAATGTAAATGTAAGGAAAATTTAATTTTCTATTCTACGCCTTAAATTATAATAAATTAAAATGCTAAATTAAAAAATCATAGGATTATTAAAACTCTTTTTTTTTGTATTTTCTTACTAGATTTATTTATTAATTAATTCTAAAATTCTTACTGAATTATTTTTTAAGTTAAGATTAAGTACCAAAAGCTTTTGATTTTAGCTGTGAATTAAGATAATAAATTCATTTAGCGGTAAATCAAAATTTTAAGAAAATAATTTTGCTATTAGAAAGTAGCTTATATAAAATTTAAATTGAAATTGAAAGAGAAAATATAATTTTATAATTTAATTATTTATTTTAAATTTTATTGGATAAATCGTAATTATAAGTATTCATTTATTTAATAATTTCAACTTAATTTGTAAAAAAAATAATATATAGAACTGTTGAACAATTAATTAATCAGAAAAAAAACTTCTTCATTGTATTAATTGTTTTAGTTTAAAATAATTATTTAGAAAAATATTGTACTTACAATCTAAATAAAAGCTAAAATTATATTTTTTTATTGAAATTTAATGAATTTAAACAAAATTTAAGAAAATCCTATATTTTAACTTAGTTAAGATTGGAGTTATTTTCACTTTTTTACTTGAATTTGAGAAAAAATATAATAGAAATTAAAAATATAATAAAAATATGTTAAAATGTTATTGAAAAATCATTATTTTTAATATTTAATTAATTTTAACACTCTTAATAATTATTAACTTTAATTACTTTAATATTTAAATACTTAAATTTTAATAAAATCATATAATTGTGAACTATTATTTAACATTAAATTTTCATTCTATTTCTTGTTTATTTTCAAATCAAGCTTTTATTTTTTAACTTAAAAAACCTATTTTTTACTTTTTTCGATCTAATTTCGATGAGTTTTCCTATTATTTATGAAAGAATCAAAAAATAAAATAAATTAAAATTAATTTTTCTAAATAGACTTTAAATTTAATTGATAATCATTCATTTCGCTTGATTTATTTAATACTTTAAGATACTAACATCTGAAAGTATTTTAATTGAAACTATTAAAAAAGTAATAAAACTTCTTAAATATTACTTCAAAAATAATTTTATTACATAAAAACCTCTAGTAAATTATATTTTTTAATTTTCATTTAATTTACTACAATCAAGGCTTTATATTTTTCAAATTAACCACAAAACTAAAGCTTTATGTTTTTTAATTTAATAATGTAAGATAAACAAAAATGAGCTTTTATAATTATTTTAAAAAAAAGTGTTTGCATACTTGATGCCTCAAATATAAAAGGCTTAAAAAATATACTTACTTTATAAATTTATTAGCAAAAAATTAGTGCTTTTCTACATTTATATTTATAGAATTTATAATTCATTTTAAATATTAAGTATGAGACATTAAGTATAAAAAAATTAATTAGCCAAAACAATATAGTTATTTCACTATTATTAGATTAGCGTATTATTTTATTTCGTATTTACTTTTCATGCTTTTCAAATTTCATGGTTAGTAAGTCATAATATTATAAAATTTTTTTAATCAATAAATCAATATTTCATCTCTCCTTTTTTTATTTATTTATTGAGGCTGGGGCTGGGTTATTTTTATTCATAATCTCAAAAATTTAATGCATATTATTTTTTATAAAATAATATAAAAATAAAACAAACCTCAGACTTATCGAAATCCTCGCTAAAAGAAAAAACTTACATACATTTAGCTCCGATCATTAAATTATTTTTAAATTTTCAAGCCTCTAATTTATTTTGGAAAAGACTTTATTTAAGTAAAATAATTATTAGCTGGTTTTTGAAAAATAAAATTTTATTTAAAAAATAATTGCTTAAATTAAATTAATATTTTATTTTATGAATTAATTTCTCCAAAAAATAATTTATTTAATATTTAAATAAAATAAAACTAAATATGAAAAATAAAAAAATAAAATAAAATATATTATTCATTGAATAAATAAAAATATATTAAATTTTAATATTATAATACTTTTCATACTTTTAAGTTAATTTTATCTTAAATATTTTTTAATATTTAAAAATGAGAATTAGATTTTTTTTACTTTCACATTTAAATTTGCTTAGCTTTTTAAAATTATTTAACAGTTAAAAAAACAATAAAGGATGAATATTATTTATTATTATTTGCAAATCTTGATATAAACTAAAATAAGATTGAATAAAATTATTTTTAACTATAAAAATAAGTAAATAGATAAATATAATGAAAATTGAAGTAAATGAATGCAAAAGGTTTTACAGAAAAATAATTACATTATTTTATATATTATTTATATTATGCTATTATAATTTATAAAAACCTTAATAATCAATATAAATTAAATTTTTTTATTTATCATTAATTAATACTAAGAAGGCCCATCTATTTCCTTATATTATTAATCAATTCATTTTTATCTTTTTAAGTGATTTTATTTATATTATTTCCTTATTTAAACATTTTCAATAATTTATTAGAAATATATGTTTGATTCTCATCAAAAATGTTCATGATTTCCTACATTCATTTCTAAGTCTTATATTCTATGCTCAAGGCCATTTAGAGTTTGAGCCAAAGAAGTTTTTTCAGCTTTTAATGTGTTAATTTATGTTTAGATACGATGAGTTTCAGCCTTTTAATGATTAAAGTGTCGTCTCATTTCATCTTCAAGGCGCTTTAATTCGTTGGTCAGGGTATTTTATACATCATCTGTCTTTACTTTTAAAACTTGTTGCAAAGTATCCTTTTCACTTTTCAAAATTTATAACTCTTTTTTGTGCATGCTTAATTCATCTGAAACTGCTTTTGTTGTTTCTTCTAAATTTTATAATTTTCCTTTCAAACTTGCTGGATTTTGACCAAGCTACTAAGTTCCGTTAGCTACTGAGAGCGTTCCAGAAGTATAACCTATATTATCCATGTTCTGATACTCTTTTATTTACGATTTCCTTCCAAATCCTCCTTATCCGCTTTTATTTGAATATGATGTGGCATTCATTTTATCTAACTTTTCTTTGTATTTTTTTTTTTGCTAAGTAAATTTGAATGTGTATATTTATGTATGTATGTTTCTTTTTGTCAGATGTGTTATTCTTAAAAATTTATATTTTATTTAGTGTTTCTTTTGCTTATCAAAGTTAATTATTATAATAATTATAACTTCCTAACATCTAACTAATGGAGAAGACTAAAGCTTATTAAGTATTCAATAATCAAGTTATTTTGGTTTAATATTTTATATCCATATAATATTGTAATAATATTTAACTTTAAAAATTAAAAAAAGAATTATTGATTCATTTTAATGTTAATCAAAATAATCATTTTTCAAATAAAAAGCTATCATTTATTTTAAACAACAAATATAATATGCAAAGTTTTCTTCTAAATAATTTAATTCTGTTTTAAAACGTAAATAAATCAAAAATTTTTTATTGAAGTATTTCTAAATCGTTTTAAATATAATAATATAACAATTTAAATAAAATAATATCAAGGAATTAGTTTATTAAACTCTTAAATCACTCTCATTTCCATAAATTTTTATAATTTAGGTTAATTTTTTATGTAAAAAAGTGGCTCTAAAATCTTATTTATTAAATTATGTAGATATTTGTTTTAAATATATACAAATATAATGAAAAATTAATAAGAAGTGCGGAAAATTAAATAACTAGTCTAATCAAAATCTCTTGAAGAAAAATACCAAATTTTATTTATTTATTTTATAATTTAAAACGAAATAGAATCTTTATTTATTGAATCTTTTTTAAAATCAAAAGAAGGATATATAGTAAAATTTAAAAGGTTAACAAAAAGAAGTAATTTAAAAGAAAATAGTATTAAAAATGGGAACGTATCTCAGTAAACCTGTTACAACTAAAGAAACAGAAAGCGGTTCTTTTGGCTCAGTTGAATTTGCTATGAGTTGCATGTAAGGATGGCGTACAAATATGGAAGATGCTCATATTTGTGATCCTAAATTTGATGTTGACACTTAACTCTATGCAGTCTTTGATGGACATGGTGGATTTGAAGTTGCACTTTTTGTAGCAAAGCATTTTGGTAGGGAACTTAAAGAAAATGCTGCCTATAAATCTAAAGATTTTCCTACTGCCTTAAAGGAAACTTTCTTAAAAATGGATGAATTGCTTCTCACAGAAGAAGGTAGAGAAGATTTGCTCAAAATTGTTAAAACACGTTCTCCAGAACAAACTTAGGTTTAAAATACCGCAGGTTGCACAGCTAACGTTACTTTACTTTACAAAAACTAAATATATGTAGCTAATGCTGGTGATTCACGTTGTGTTTTAAGTGTTGAAGGTAAAAATCTCGATCTCAGTAAAGACCATAAACCAGAAGATGAATTAGAATTAGATAGAATTAAAAAAGCTGGTGGTAGCGTTACAAATGGTAGAGTTAATGGTAATTTAAATCTATCTCGTGCCTTAGGTGATTTAAATTACAAGTCAAACAAAGACATAAAGCCTGAAGAGTAGCTCATCAGTCCTATGCCTGACGTTGTAATTCATGAAATAACTCCAAAAGATGAATTCCTTCTGATTGGTTGTGATGGCATTTGGGAATTAAAAACTAACCAAGAATTAGTAACTATTTGCCGCAAGGGTTTAGTTGAGTATGTTCCTTTAACTAAGATTGTTGAAGATTTGCTCGATTAGATCATAGCTAAAGACACTACTTAAGGTCTTGGCTGTGACAATATGAGTGTTATTCTTGTAAAGATTAAGCGTAATATAGTTGCCCCAGATGCTGAACCTGAAAAGGATAGCGTTCTTGCAAATGGTGTCCTCGATAAGTACAAAGCAGCTGGTATAATTTCAGATTTAGTAGTTGAAGAGCTTATTAAAAAGGTTAAAGCAAATGCAGTTATTTCAGAATTATGCTAATTTGGAGATGAGCTTGTGGAAGCTGAAGTCAAGAAAGTTTTTACCAAAGATAAGAATAAAGGTGTTGCATATCCTACTTCAATTACATTAAATGAGCTTGTGTCTAACTACTCTCCATTAAAGAATACAACTGATGACAAGAAATGGTTAGTAATCAAGAAAGGAGATTTGGTTAAAATTAGCGTAGGTGTCCAAATAGATGGTTTTTTAGCAGAATCTGCCTAAACCATAGTTTGCTCTGAAGGTGCAAGTGTTGATGGCGCCAAAGCTGACGTCATCCATGCTGCATACTATAGTCTTTAAACAGCTTTGAGAACTCTTAATCCTGAAAAAATTAATACAGACACTGTAGATATCATCAAAAAAACTTCTAATATTTATAAGTGCAATCCAATTTCCGATGTGAGAAGCTATGAAATTAAGCACAATAATATGGAATCTAAATTCTTTATTCCTAGTATTGATGATATCTCTAATAAGAGAGAATTCTTCACTTACAGGTTTGAATAGTACGAAGTTTATACCTTAAATATCTTAGTTTCTAATGGCTCCGGTAGCATCATTCATATTGAAGGTTTGCCTAAATCTAATATTTACTAAGCCCATCCTGAAAAGCATTTGAAATAGGTAGGTATTAAAAAAAATGCACAATAGATTTACGACAAAATTATTGAACATCACTCTCACTTCTACTTCAGTGCAAGACAGTTTGCAGAAGATCCTACTTACGATAATGTTTTATAGGAATTCAAAAAATAAGGAGTAATTTCTTAGCTACCCATTGAATCTGAAGAGCCTGGAAAATATGTAGCATAGTTTAAAATGACTGTTGCTATTCATCAAGGAGGATTAATTTTATTGAGCGGATTGAAGCTCGAAAATGCACTTGCTAATTTAAAATCTGCTTTTTCAGCTGAAAGTGATGCAGAAATTAAAGCACTTCTTGAAAAAGACGTGATTAAGAAGAAAAAAGCTAAAAACAAAAAGAAATGATTTAAAATGTTGCAACTAAATAAATTATTAATGAAAATATTTAAATGGTATTAATTTAGATAAACTTTATTATTTAATTACTTTTAAAATAATAAACAAAGAAATTATTTTATGAATTTAATTATTTTATATCGTTTTTCATAATTATAAGTCAAAATCAATTTTCATCAATTGTATGAGATTTGCTTGCATAAAAGAAAATAATTCATTTCAAATAAAGTTATTTTTTAAAGTTTTTTAATTAAGTTATTTTGATTATATTATTTTTTTAAGACTAATACTAATTTAAGAAGCATAGATAACAGATAATTAATGCAAAACAAAAAATTTGTTGATAGTAGCATTCAAAAATTTAGTTAAAGTATAAGTATAGTGAATATATTTTTTCTTAATATTGGATTAAAAATAAAAAACTTAGTATTCTAAATAGAAATCATTAGAAATGAGCTAATTTACCAAACAGCAAGGAATATAGTAATCACGTCACAATCATATGGATTATCGCTTACAAAAATTTGTTAAATCTTTTTATAAACCATATAATATGATATTTTTCTTTTTCTGATTAATAATAAACATTGTATTCATAAGTATTATTATATCCAAATAACAAAAAAAAGTCAAAGAATTTACAAATAATTAATTAATCAATAAATAATATAAATAAGATCTTTGTTTAAACTTGTTTTCTTAAAATAGTCAATAATTTTTCAAAATATAAATATAATTAGATTATGTAGTCAAACACTAAGTAGCTATAATTAACTTTGCAAAATATTTCTGAGTGCTTTACTAGCACAGGTAACAATGCATATTTAAATAAAAGCAGCAACTAAGTTAGTTATAAATTACAGCTCTTATTTTTTTTGTATATTTCAATAGAATGCAGAGATAGACTTCTCAAAATTATGCAATACTCTTGCTTGTGGATATCTTGGTACAATTATCGCGATAAGAGTAGATTTTCTCGCTTCTTTTAGATATATTGTAAGTCTTGTTATAAAATTAAAGCTTTTAATTTTAATATTTAATATATGCATAATTATTTACAAGATAGTTTAAATTTCTAAATTTTAAAATAATAAATCATTTATTATAGTAGCTTTTTTAGATTATAATAATGATAATTTAGAATTAGAATAGCAGAAGAATATTTAAGCTAACTCTTTGTATTTATTAATATAGAATCAATTTACGATGCAAGAAGATTGATTAGGTTACTAAAAAGCATTATCTGTGTTCCAAATATACAAGATTTATTCTAAAATCTAAAAAAAACAAACAAATTCCAACAGTCTTGCTTAATTACAACAAATATATTCTACTTACTTTTTTATGTAATTGATAATGTAGCAATACTAAGTAAAATCTAGTTCTTAAAGTTTGATTATAGAAAAGTGAAAAAGTATGGATATCCTATGTGGTTAATAGGATTGTTATCTGCTCTTATTTATTATATAATTAAACTTAAATAATCTTTTAAGAAAGAATCGGAATTAAAAACCCTAATGCTCAACAATATGACCCCTAAAGAGTTTTGCTAAGCAGTTTTATAAATCACTGAAGAAAGAAAAAATTACTCATTAAACATTATTAGAATTGTAGGAGATTTAATAGTAGCAGTTTAGCGTAACAATATTCCAGAGTTCTTGCTCCACACTAGATTCAATAGAGGCTTAGTCGCTTTTGGAGGTCTTTTGTCTAGTTTAATCTCTTTCTACTAATTCTACTCTAAAAATAAAAAATTAATTCAATAGTAAAAATGATATTATTTATTCATGAAGAAGTTAGTTAGTCAATTAGTAAATAATGATAGTTATTTTACTAATTAATATCTAAAACATACATTAAAACTCTTATTAACCTTATAATAAATATTAATATAAAATAAAATTAGAAAATTATAAACATTTTTAATTATCAATTTTTATGAATGTAGCATAAGTAAGTAAAGTACAAAAGTAACTCATATGTGTAAGTAAATATCTGTTTTTCAGATAAATATAATTAGTATTTTATGTGAATGTTATAAATCTATTATTTTAAACAATAAAATTTCAAAATTTTTATTTTTAATAACATTAATTTAATTTTAACTAAATTTTAAAGACCTTTTAATTTTTTAATAATTTACTATAAATACCATGCATAAATGTTTTTATAAATACTTCCATACCATTAACGATGTAATGCAATATGGGTATTTTAAAATTTATTTTATTTTTTATAACCTAACTTAAAAAACTCTACTTTAATATAAATCTATGTAAAAAATTCAGTTTATTTCAAGAGTATCTTATCAAAAAGTACAGACGGTACTTATAAATATACATGCACTTATACATACTTTAAAACAAAAAGACCCAAGAAAGAAAAATTAAATTAAAATAAATAAAAATTATTAAAATAAAATAAATATCTATAAAATTCAAATGTCTATGCGATTTAAACCGGTCTGAGGATCTTTGTAAAGGATAGCCTTTTTATAATAATTGTTATTAATATATGATGTTATATATTTAAATTACCTATTCGAGCAGTTCTTCACCTTAAAATAATGCTTGTCTATAGGATAATTTAGGTTTTTTAAAAATAACAGGAGGAATACTTAAATCATCAGGTTTTAAAATTATTTCTTTATTGTGTTAGTCCCATAAAGCAGCTATGCTGTAGAATTAGAATTCTTAATTTTCTACCTGCCTATACGATAGGACTAAATAAATGTTTACAATATGCTAATTTAGTAGCTAAATAATCTCATTTATATTTTCTATTATATGCTCAAGGTTTGTTTCTTAGATCACAAATAACTTTCTGACTTAGTCTTTTTTGTTTTAAAACATAATTTTCAATATTATCATAGTGCTTTTTATTCCTTAGAAAAGTATTAGGTCACCATACTATCCAGCTTTTGTTTTGATTTGATAGAATTTCAACTTATTCATAATTTTAAATCTACGCATTTGGAATATTACTTTCTCAAGAATTTATTTTCTCAGATATTTAATTGTGTTTTATTCATAATAAAACTATTATCAAAAAATAATCTTTAATTTGTAAAAATAAAATTAATTTATTACATAATAAAGATTTAGAAGCTTCTCTTTAGATAGATTATGAGCTGGTATCTTTATTTCATGCACTTATTTGAGATATGAGCGAATTAGATACTCATTTGTTCTTGTATTAAGCAGAATCTAGAGTTTACATGTTGATTTTGCTGTGTGATCAGGCACTTCGATAACATCAATATAAGCTAAATGAGCAGTATTTATATTATTTCTTGTTTTTCTTAGTGTTTTATTCAAACAATCTAATTTGTAAATATTACTTGGTTTTTGTTTCGAACACTCTGAATTATTTATTTGATCATTTAGAATCAAACATAATTAATTTTTTTATGTATCGTAATCTACTTTTATCTTATTTTTTTTATTAATTTATTTTAATGAATTTCCAATTAAATTAATAAGTAAAATTACCTTTTGAACTAAAATTTTTGATAACTCCTTAATTTATTCTTCATTTTATGTCGGTTCAACTTTTTTATGCAAAGGAGCTATTGGAAGATCCCAAAGAGGTTAAACAATTAATTAATTATCAACAATTTTAACAACAATTTAAATAGTATCATATTGAGTATCACTAGATTCATCTCTAATAAAGTTTTCATCTTTAAGACCTTTTTTTTGTCTGATTATAAATATTTCTTCTTGAGTTATTTTGATTAAATCTGTATGAATGACATTTGTTAAATTAGGATAGATATTGATAATACCTAAATCCTTTTTCATCCAAATTATGCCTTTAGAATAGTTAAATTAACATTAATCAATGATATATTGTTTTGATATTTCTTTCAGTTTTTCAAAAGATTTATCATTCATTGAGATTTGATAAAAGCTTTTATAATTTTATTCTTTATGAAGAGTTTTAATATAAACAAATGAATTTTAAATTCCCTTGAATATGGTAAGGATTCCGTGAACTTTCTGATCATATTGGCTCAAACTTATGTATGTTGAGAATACTCTATTGACTAAATGATATCTCTTAATACTTGATTTTAAGAATCTAACATGCTCCATTTTAATAGCTCTTATTTATTTGTCTAGGGAGATGAGCTTTTTTATTAGAAATTATAAAAATTAAAAAAAAATAACTTATTTTTTGTATCAAAAATGTTTCAATCTTATTTATTTATTTACTTTATTTTGCACAATCCATTGCTGTGTATCTTCTTTTTTAATAGAAACTCTCATACCTTAGATTTAAGGGTTAGCTGGCTAAATATTTAGCACTTGTTTTTTTACATCGTAAATAAATTTTACTGGTACTTTTTCTTAAAGTTGATCGCAATTAACCATAGCTTCACCAAAACTAATTGTTTTTTTTTCTTTCACTTCAGATTCAGTAATTTTTTTTTGTGATAATTCAATTAGCTTTTAATCAGACGCCTCATTGCTAAAGAATGAATATTCAGAGAAAATTTTTATTACTTATTCTGGTAGTTATTGAATCATATGTTTAATATAAGAATTCTCATATTTTATTTAGTTATGTGCATACTTAAAAGTCATCTCATCCACGTCAAAAATAAACTCTTCAGCAATTTATCCATTGCTATTTTACAAAAAATTAGCTGCAAACCTACGAAGTATCTTTGAGAAAATGAAAAAATTTTTTGATGTGTAAAAAACTTAAAGTATGTCTTGGTGAATATTTATTGTTATGAGATGTTCACCCTTTTTTTCCACACTAAGAATATGATTTTGACAATGAAATGAAAAGTCAATCAAAGCATTGAACCCATTATCAAATTATTGCAATATGAGAATTTTTTTATTTTTATTGACATTCAGGCTATTTTAAATGTTGGCAATGCTATCATCTAAATTTTTTTCTTATTCATTGATATTACTTTACTCTTGAGGTAAATTATTTATACTCTTACGTATTTATAAATCATTGTGGGACTCATCATCTTCATCTGAGTATATTTATTTTGTTCTAATATCATTGAAGGTAGCATTATTTTTTTTCATCAAATTTACATTTTATTCTAAATCCCTATATTTTTCTTCCGTTTCTTTAATATCTAATTGTAATTGAGCTATCAAAATTTTATCTTAATTTCTATCTATGATAGCTCCTTACAATTAAGCTTTTAGCTATTCATTTTCATTCGTTAATATTGAAAGTTTTTCTTTCAATTTATTATTTTCTTATTTCAACGTCTCTTCTTGATTGATTTCAGAAGTTTTATTGATATTTTTTTAAATTTCCAAAAGTTTTTCTTTTTCATCGTTATCTTTTTAAGCATCTTATAGTAAATTTTAAAGCCTTTTATTTTCTTCTTATATTCTATTTAGCTGTGAGTTTAAGTCTTTCTTCTCTTTCTGTAGCTCATCATTCGCTTTCGAATTGTCTGTCAACTACTCCTTAAGATTTTAAAAAACTTTTAATTTTTCTTGAAGTTGCTCTATAACTACGTCTTTACTTTTTGACTCTGTGTTAGCTTCAGATAATTTTTATTGTAATGAGCTAGTTTCTTCTGTTAAATCAGTTGTTTAATTGCGGTACCTGAAGAGAGCTTAATCAACTAACTCCTTTTCTTCTTTTAATTTTTTTAGCTCTAATTCTAATTAGTTGGTTTTTTTTACTTATTCCGATATTTCTTATTAATTTTTTTAGTATTTTTATAATTCACTTGAGTAATGCTCTTCTTACTACTGCAGTGAAGAATTCAATTTCTAAATTTCTTTATCTTTATTCTATTATGCAACAGCATGGCTTTCTATCATTTCTTAAATTTAACTTTTCAAAGTATTTATTTACAGTTAATTTTTAGAATTTGTTAACTCGAAAGTACAAATCTGGTCATTGACTTATCTTTGCTTTTTTTCCTGCTCAGTCATTAATTTTTAAATTCTTTCCTCGTATTTTTAAACTTCTTATTGACTATTTTCTAAAACCTTTTTGAGAACTTCCGATCTATCTCTAAGAGCACTTTGCAGCTTATCTATTTCTCCAAAATGCTCTTTTTCACATTTTTCATTCTTTTCTTTGAGTTCATTAAATCTTTTTTACATATCCTCAATTTGAATATTTAAATGATTTACTTGTTTATTAGTTTGAATTACTTTTGAGTTAGAATTTTCATGGTCAAATATCTTGATTTGAAGGTATCCATTTTATCTTTTTAATTTTTCAATATCTTACTACAAACTTTTTACAGTTTCTGATAAAAATCTTATTTTATCAACATACTAGCTTTCTTTAGATTCTTAAAAGAATTCAGCTTCAATAGATTTACTGGTCATTAAATTATTTTTTTGCACCATAGTTGGAGAAATATAACTAAAATCTTAATACATGAAAGGCTTAGTTTCATTATGTAATTAGTCCTATTTAAGTAAATTTTTTAAAGTTGATATTTGATCATTTGTTTTATTTTTCAATAAAGACCTCTTACTAATAAATAATTTTTTGCCTAAATTAGATTTACCAGACTATGGTCTTTACTATTGTGTTTAGATCCGCAGAGTTTAGCTAATTCCACTTGATGAACCAGGTCTTTGTCTAATATTATTTAAGTTTCTTGTTTCTTCCAAATCATTATTCTATGACAAGTGTTAATTTATAGATTTATTACTCTTGTTGTAAAGGATGCTATTATACTCATCATTTATATTCTCATTAAATGTCACTCCTATAACTTAATTTGAGTTATTTTTTTTATTAAAACTGCTAGTATTACTATATATTGTTTCACTTTAATAACCAGAAAAAGTCCTTTCTTCTCTTTCTTAATTATTTTATTGATTAGAAGAAATTTATTTTAGCTTTTAAGCATACTTTATTGTAATAGGGTTAGATTATCCTAAAATTTAGCTTACCTTAACAATAGCTGACTAAATTAAAGCAATAGCATTTTTTTTATTCAATAAAGTAGCTTCACATAAAGCTTAATTATAATAAGCAGCTGCTATTTGAATTTATAATTCATTTTCTAAGTTCTAAGCATACTCATCCTAAATATCACTATTCCCATTTCTCTTTGCAAGAAGTTTGCATTTTTATTCACTATAAAATATGGCCTTTTTAGCCATCTCTAAAGCTTCTCTTAATCTATTATTTATAAATAACTTTGAGTTAAAATTCTTTATATATAGAAAATAATCATTTTTTAATTTAATTTAGTAAATAAAAAGTTAATTGTTACTAAAAGTTATACTTTTAAATAATATCATTACTTATTTTGTTTTCTGAGAATTTAACTGTAAATATTATAAGCTACTCCTATATTTATTAGCAATGGATGGTCTTGATATAAATTTATGCATTTATGTATTATTTAAATCGAACTATTATACTCTTTATTTTTTTTAGCTATTTAGCAATAATTTAGCATAGTTTCTGCTTAAAGCTCGATTTAAACCTTCTCTATGATGCAAGTTTCATAAGAAAAATTTATAATTTGCATTGCTTTCTACTTATCTTTATTTAATAAATACTCTTTTGCAGCTTCATTCAAAGCTCTTATCACTTCTTCGAAATTATCCAAATCATCTTCCCCTCTTATAACTTTTAAAATTAAAATAAATTATCATTTTAAAATTAATATTTTTTGTTTTCATAAAAAAGAAAAATGGCATTTACATTTTTCAAGGACTTCAACTTGATGACCCTTAGAAATATTCTTTTTTAATATTTAAATTGCTGTATGAAATGTAGTATCACCTGAAAATTAGTCATTTTATTTTTCAAATTCTGCCGTTTTAGTTTAGTGTAGATTTTTATAGGATTATTATCTGCTAGATTTATCTTTACTTTGATAGAAAGCTGAATTATTTTATTTCTAAATGTTACTAGGTTTTCCCTATTTAGAAGGAGGATTTAGTTAATAACTGCTGTTCTAAATAAATTGAGTATTCGTTTAATATTTTGATTTTATCAGTTTACTGTTTAATTCATTTAATTGTGAATTTTAATAATCTATATTGGCTGATATTTTATCACTTGAGTTGCTTTCAATGTATTATGGAATGTTTTCACTAGCTCTGCTGCTAGTTTATTTGTCATTTTAGGTTATTTTATCATCAAATTGCTAATCCTCTAGAGACTTATAAACTTTTTTATAATCCAATTTCCTAGTCTTTATTATTGATTTACTCATGATTTATATTTGTAATTTAAGAAACTTACAACTTTAACTATTATTATTCAATTTTAAATGAATAATATAAATTATTAAGTGTTTTTATTAGATATCAAAATCATTCAGTGTTTTTGCAAAATTACATTATTTTAAGCCATAAATCTCAGCTAAAAGTTTATCAATCTACATTTTTATTTTTCGCTGAAATAAAATATAAAATATTTTTTATAAATATTTTAAAATATAATTTTTCATTAAATGTTATTTGTAACTTAAATCTTTCAATCTATTTTAAATATAATTAATTAATTTTAGCAAGTAAATTCTAGTATATCCTTACATAAAATCTACAATAATCATCATAATTCTATCATTCAATTATTTCTTTAATATATATTAATTAATTAAGTTTATAAAAAATTAAAAACTTAAATATTAAAATTGATTCTATAAAAAATATTTTTTTAAATAAAATCAAGCTGATTTTTTAAAGAATCTAATATTCGAAAGCTCTCTTTTAGAATATAAAACTATTATTTTTACATGAATCTCATAATTAATAAATTTTAGCTTTTAAGAGATTGATTGATTTATACTAAACGATAAAAAAATGAATTCACTTTTCTGCTCTTGATTGAATAATAAAATACAGTTTTGAAATCAGTATTAAAAAAATTATTTTTTAATGAATTTAAAATCGAAAAACTCTCTTTCAGCATATAATATTAATAACTTTAGAAGAATTGTATAATGTTTAAAAAATTTTATAGAGTTATTTTTTTTATATTAAACAATAAAATAAATTGCGTGATAGTGCATTTTTTTATAGTTTTTGCATGAATTATAAAATACAGTTTTGAAATTAATTTAGTAAAGTAAAACATTGATTTATATAAATGGAAAATTAAACTTAAATTTGAAGGAATAGAAGGTTTGAAAGATACTATTCGATTATTGTATAATTTAATTAAATAATTTCTTTATATAAATTTAAGGGCCTACGCAAATAGTGTATTTTTACTTGCAAAAAAAATTATAATTAAATATTTATAAAACTCTTTTTAAATACGAATAATACAAAAAGAAATTATTGTTGCACTTTATGGATTAGGCTTATTAGGGATAGCAAAACAATCCTTATTATTAATAATATAGTGGATAAAGACAATAGTAGTAAGGATAAGTTTATCAAAACTAACAATTCTAGGGTTAATAACTATAATACAGTAATAAAGCTTAGAATTTTCAATAATAAAATATGAATGCTGCTATGAATCAATATGAAAATTATCACCCTTCATAGCAACCTCAAATAGAAGAAGAATCTTATGATTCTTCAAATGTAAATAATTATACAGGAGATTAGTATTAAGCCTAATAGCAAAAGGAATATTAATAAGCACAGATTTAGAATTATTATAAAAATTCGAATTAGATGTAGCAATAGCATTAAAATTTTTTTTAGGATGAGCATACAGATGGCTACTTTGATTAAAGCAACAACCCCTCAGGTTAATTTTATAATCAAACATAAATGAATTAGTAAAATTAAATGAATCCGATTTCAAATAATAAACAAAACTAAATTTACTACAATGACATGTACTCAGATGGAAATAAACGAGATGATATTGTATCTCCAGACGATTCCCTTGCTTCTGATATAAATGATAATTAGCCATTCGAGGGCTATGAAGATTTGCAAAAAGATTTCAAAGAGGATAGAGTAAATGAAGCTTTGGATGTTTGCGAATAAAGTAAACTCTAAATTTTAAATTAATGGTTTTTTAGTTTAATTATATAAAAAAAAACTTAGTAGTCTCTAAAACTGAAACCTACAACTAATCTTTTATAATTTAACTAAATTTGCCAGTAAAAATATAAATTATTCAAAAATTTTTATATAATAAAAAAAAGTGATCATTAATCAACAAAAAGTTAGAGGGCCTGCTTCCTTTATGAGACTCTTTTAGCAAATATTAAAGTTTTTGAATAATGAAGCTGTTAACAGCTTGAATTAAAACTAATTTGAAAAGTCTCTATTCATTTTAATTAAAAGTAAAGAGTTAACAGAGCTCAGTATTATCAAAAATCCCCCTTCAATTCGTGCTTTAACATTTAATAATTTTGGATGTTACTATCGAAGACTTTAACAGCTACCAAAAGCTCTAGGCTATTTAGAATAAGCCCTACGATTCTTAAACTCTATTAAATCTAGGGATTATCTAGGTATGACATATCTTAACATATCAGCTGTACTTTCACAGATGAATGAGTAATTTCTTAATAAAAAATAACTGTTTCAATTTAATTAATTTAGAAATTTTTACAGGAGAACGATAAAATTTAGTTTGTTTTTATAAGATAAACACATGTAAATATGATACAGTTTATTCATATGATAAATAAATAAACAATTTTTTGGGAAAAAAAAAAATTAAACTTCATAAAATATAAAATAAAATAAATGTAATTGAATATTTTAATATTATTTTAAAAATAATAGACATTATGCTTCATTAGAAAACGCCAAAAAAGCAGTAATTGAAATTCATAAGGATTACTAAAACTATTTAAATAGAAAGAATTATCAAGAAGCCATAAAAGACTAAGAATTTGTAGATATTTGCCAAGCTCTTGCAATTGCTTTTTACAATGTAGGAGTAGAATAAGAATTTTTCTAAAACTTCGAAGTCAGTTTGATAAATTATGGTAAGGCTTGTGAAGTATGCGAAGATAATTTAGGATCTAATCATAGATTAACTCGTCGCTTTAAAGAGCTATTTTAAAAATTTAATGAAGTAAGTTATTTTATTTAAAGAATTAATTCATTTCATGCATTTATTTGATAATTTATTCTTAAAAAAATTATTTTGTATTAAATGAACTTACTTGAAAGTTTTGATTAAATAAAATTTAATAACTGGAAATATTTAAATTAGAAATTAGTTAAATCAGAGAAAAAGTCAGCTTTAGTGCCAAAAAATCACAGGAAACTTATAAGACCTTCATCATCTCAAAAAAATATGCTAGCAAAGAATAGAAGCTTTCAAAACGTATCTTCGTATAGCAATGAGAATAATGGAGGAGAAAAAGATTAAAAGAATACTTAATTTATTCAAAGTAAAGTTAATCCTTATAGGCTTTCTTATGGGGTTAAGCCTACAGACTTTACTCAACATGGCAAAATTGTTTATTACAAAAATACCAATAATTCCTAATAATAAACAAGAACGTAAAATAGTTAATTTTATCAACAATTATTAAGGTAAAGTTTTAAAATATAAATTAAAAAAGGTCTTCAGCAAATAAAATAAATGCTTCTAAAATGAGTAGGCCAAACAGCTCTAAAAGCATCTATCCTGAAATTAAATAAAATTTTCATCAAATTAGCCGTCCTTTGAGTGCAAAATTTTAAAACACACCAAATGGTGGATTCTTTGCTAATTCTTTAACTCCAAAAATTAATTCATAATCAGGGGGTCTTAGTAGACCATTTTCAGCTCAAACTACTAAAAGCAATTAGATTGCTTTCAGCTAAAATAAGGCTCCAGTTAAATCAAATTTAAGCAGGCCTTAAAATAAAAATAAAAAATAAACTAGAGATTCTTCTAAAGACAAAGAAGATGGTAATTAGAATATTTATGATTGGGTTGACTCTCCCACAAACTCTAGTGCTTCAGGAGGAACAAACAAAAAAGTTTTAGATAACTAAAAAGACTTCTTAAAAAGTATAAAGAGTGAAGCTGAAACATAAATTCAGAAATTATAGTAAGAGGAGGCAGAATTGAAAGAGCGTATTTAAAAGCTAAAGTAAGATGAAGAGGAAGAATCAAAATAGAGATAGCAAAGACTTTAAGAACAGAAAAAAAAAGAAGAAGAAGATGCAGCTAGAATAAAATAAAATTTAATTCTTGAAGAAGAAACAGAGAAAAAGAGGATAGAAGAGTTATAAAATAAAAAGAAAAAAGAGTAATAAGAATTAGAAAGGATATAAAATGAATATAAAAAGTAAAAAGAGGAAGAGTTAGAAAGAATAGCCAAGCTAAAAGAAATTAAGAAGTAATAAGAGGAAGAAATTGAAAAACTGAGATTGCAAAGAGCTAGAGAAGAAGAAGAAAAGTAAAATTATATTTATATGAAAATTTAATTTAATGTTTATTTTAAGATAAAAAAAGCTTTAAGAGCTTGAAAATATTAAGAATGAAGAAGAAAACAGGTTGAAAAAATTAAAAGAGAGCATAGGTAATGAGGATACTAATAAAACTAACCTTAATAATAATTAAAATGCTAAATTTGAGGAGGAAGAAAGAATTAAGAGAGAAAAAGAAGAAATACTCAAAAAATTACAGTTAGAAAAAGCAGAAAAAGAAAGGCTCTAATAAGAGTATGAAAAAGTCAAAAAGGAGTAAGAAGAATAAAAAAGAATAGTTAATGAAAATTTGCTGCTCAAGTAAGAGAAAGATAAATTACTTGAAGAAATTTAGAAACTTTAAAATTAAAAGTAGTTTTAAGTTTAAAAGACAAACTAATAAACAATTATTTCTAATGACTAAGAAAATCAATTTAATAAGAATTAAGATAATTCACATTAGGATTAATTAGATTAATAAGAGCTCTAAAAATAAGAAGAACTTAAAAAGTAAAAGTAAGTTGAACTTGAAAAAAAACGTTTAGAAGAAATTGAAAAGTAGAAATAAATTGAGTTAGAAAATCAAAGATAGCAGGAGCTTGAAAAATAAAAATAAATTGAACTTGAAAAACAAAGATAGATTGAACTAGAAAAATAAAAATAAATTGAACTTGAAAAATAAAAATAAATTGAACTTGAAAAATAAAAATAAATTGAACTTGAAAAAAAAAGATAAGAAGAACTTGAAAAGTAAAAACTTGAAGCAGAAAAGTAAAAATAATTAGAAATTGAAAGACAAAGATAAATTGAACTAGAAAAGCAACAATTAGAAGAATAAGAAAAAATAAAATAATAATAAAATACCAGTTAAAATAATGAGTTGATTGATAAAGAATAGTCATAATAACATGAATAAAAAGAATAAGAAAAGCAAAAGTATTAACCTAACTTTTAGTGTCAAATAATAAAAAGAGTAAGCGAACACTACAATCTAGGTATCTAATCAAATGTGCTAGATTAAGTTATTGTACATGCCATTCCTATTTGGATAGATGAAAAACACCCTCATTTAAGAAGGATAATAAATTTGTCTAATATTAGTGAGGGAAAAATTAAAGATAATGTGGCAATTTCTTTAATTTAACAAATTTAAATTTCATTTTCAATCAACTCTGAAAAAAGAAAAATTAAGTTTGCAAAAAGTAAAAAATTAAATTTATTTTTTTAATTAAAAAGTTGAAATTTTAATTAATTAATTAATTAAAATTAATAGGATGGTCAACAATAATTGATTAAAAAACATTTGAATGCAATATAAGAAAAGATAGTTAAAATTTTTATTATGTAGAATTAGATAATAAAGATAATATACCTTTAATTACTTCTGTAGTTTAAAAATCTTTAAATTTTTCAATTACTAAAGCTATTGATTATGTTTGCTAATAGGAAAATTAGCACAAAGAGGATAAAAATAATAGTTTAAATGGTATTATTAATATTATTTTAACTGAATTAAATTTAATTATATTTTAATTATTATTTTAGATTAACAATTAAAACTTCAATAGTAGTAATTGCATTAGCAGCAGATATAAACACAATAAAAACAAGAAGAATAAGGTATCCCAGAAGATGAGCTTACAGTAGAGAAAGTTAAATTTATTTAAGGTGCATTCAGAGATAAGAAAGTTAAAGATAAAGCTAAAGAAGATATGATCAAAGCTACTTAAGAGTTCAAATAATAATTATAAAATAGGATTGTCTAATTTGGAAGTCATAAGCTTTTTTTACAGTGTTACAGATAAATTACACCTGAAAAATATATAATTTAAGTTGATTCTCTCAATCCTAAGTAATTAAAATTACCTAAAATTAATGATCAATAGGAAGTAGAAAAAGATTTTATTGAAAAAGTAATGCAATCTGAAAATCCATTTTTTGAGCAACTAATTTATCTCAATGAAGAAAAAGGAAAAATTTTCTTTTAGCAAAATTAATAAAAATAATAATTAGAAAATAAAGATTTTATCAAAAAAGAAGATAGTTAAAATGACATAAATAATAAATAATCGATGTAAAATCAAAGTTAATTTTCTTTTGACCAAAAAAATCAGAAAGAAGAATTAAATGTAAAAGATAAAACTTTATCTGAAAACTCTTATTTAGAATCACTAAACCAATCTGAAGTTTTTTCTGAAAAATAAAAATAAAATTTATCTGCTAATGCTTAAAAAGTTTAAACTTAGCAAAATCTTGAAAAATAAAATTAATCTGATTTGCAAAAAGAGAAAGAAGACAAATCAAAATAGCAATAACAAGAAGACAAGGATGAATATTATGATGAAGATTTTAAAGATGAAGAAGTTTTATCAAGTCCATAAAATTTAAAGAAACAAGATAAAATAGAAGAAGAGCAAAATGCTGATTATTCGTTTGAAAGTGTGGAGGACAAAGGGACAAAAGAGTAAAGTAAAAACTTAGATTTATCAAATTAAGAGTTAATTGAATCTAAGTTAGTTGAGAAGAAGTAAGAATTTACTGAAGATCAATAAGTAGCAGCTTTAAAAATATAAAAAAACTTCAAGTAGCTAAAAAGCAATTAAGTAAATAAAGAAATTTATATAAATAATATAATAAAATAAAGATAGAATTTTCATATTTAAATATATTAAATTATTTATCTAAAAATATATATAGGCAAAAGAAGTAATCGTCAAGAAATAATTCTTTTCATTAAGATTAAATGACGATAATGGAGACATTTAACTTGTTTAAGGTGAATGCCATATAACTTTATAAAACAAGAGCTACTTTTTAATATTGCTAAAAAGTGAATCTATTGATGATCTTAATCCTCATATGACATAATAGCAGAAAATAGAATTAGGGAAGTTAAATAAAAAACAAAAGTAGCAACTCTTTTCAAATTTTTCAACACTTGTTAATTGCAATATTGGATTTAATCAAAATCATTTAGTTTTCGAAGACATAAACATGTTCATAAATCCTGAGTCTATACACATTTCTAAAATCATTTTCAGCTGAGTTGAGTATGATGAATGAATTTTTGAATTATTTTGCTTAAAATAAATGAGATATTTATCAAATTTTAAAGAGTAAAAATAAATAAGTAGCTTGTAAATTTGAGAAAAAAATTTCAATTAATGCTCAAATAAATAAATAAATTTTTACATATTTTTATTTATAAAAACAAAAATTAATATTTCGTAATTAAATTTATTTACTTTATATAATTAATAAAAAATTATTTTAATTTTTATTTAGAATTTATTCATTTATTTGCATATTGAAATTGAAATAATATTTTGGATAAAATTTTAATTTTCTATTTTAATTGAGTACACATCTACGCGTCTATTCTGATAGAATATCAGTAAAATAGTTAGAATTACTTAATAAAAAATTAGAAAGCTAACTCTCTTTTGTTTCAGAGCAGGAAGCTCAAGTAAAATTTTCTTACTATTTAAAAGATATATTGATACTTTTTATATTAAAATTTTAAATAATAAATCAAATCTTACAAAATAAAAAAAAAAGTTTAGTAGAAATGTTCAAAACTCTTGACGATTTAAAAGGTACTTAATAACAAAATTAAATTATAAATAATTTGCTTTTTCTTAAGCGAAATGAGTAATAAGTCTAAGATGAACAAAAAATGTTATTTTATGTAAAGGAAAGAAAGACGATAAGAAAGATAATAAAAAAACTAATTCATATGCAGGAGGTGAAAAAAGGTAAATAAAATTCAAATGAGTAAAATAGCTAACAATAAAAAAAATAATTTAATAAAATGAAAAAAAGTGGACTTGCAGTTGAAAATCCAGATGACATTAATGGTATTATTGAAAAGGCTGAAAAGTAACTTAAAGCAAAAATTAACAGGTTTAGATAAATATATTTTAAATAATCAGAAATACAACTTCAGATGAAGGTAAAGGAGGTAAAAGCAGAAACGATGAAGTGAAATGCAAAATTACTCTCTACCAAAATGGTTTTTGTATTGATGATGGAGAATTCAGAGACTATAATGCCCCTGAAAATAAGCAATTTATGAAAGAACTTAATTAATAGTAATAGATTTTTTATAAAGCAAAATTCATTGAATCTAAAATATAAATTTATGAATGAATTTAAAAATTTTAACTATATTTTGTAAATTATAGGATTGTCCCAATGGAACTTAGAAAGAAGTATCCCCAAGGAGGACTTTCAGTAAGTCTAGAGGATAAAAGGTAAAAAATTAAATAAGCTGAAATACAAATTTTAAATTTATTTTATTAAAAATTTAGGTCTGAAGCATATAGACCACCAACTCCACCCAAATATGTAGCATTTTCAGGATAAGGTTAATCTCTTGGCGGAGCAAGCACATAATCTCAAGCCTTAGAGGTTAACTTGAAGAACGGAGAAATTATAGTTGATGAAACTAAGCCCGTCACCAATATTTAAATTAGATTGCATAATGGTAAAACAGTTAAGATCAAAATTAACACTTCTAGCAAAGTGAGCGTTCTTTATGACTATGTTACTTAGTAATTAAATATTTATTTCGATTTAAAAATATGTATTTAACAACATTAAAATTAAATTATAATTAGAATCGCTCCTGTTGATGGAAGTTTTGAATTAATTAGCGGTTTCCCTCCTAGACCTCTCACCTAATTTAACCAAACTATTTAAGAAGCTGATTTGTTAGATTCAAGAGTTACTTAAAAAATAGTTCATTGATAAATTAAATTAAATTAAATTGTATTTATTCATAAGTAAAGTGAGTATTCTAAATGAAATTTGGTTTGTTAAATATCCAAAAAAAATCTTTAAATTTTTTATTATATTTTCTATTTAAAATTTATAATAGAGAATAAATTTTAAAGTATTCTTTAAATATTAAATTGAAAGTGAGGTTTTATCTAAAAATTAGCCTAATATCTACCTCAGAAACAATAAATTTCAATTTAATTACATTTATAGATTGTATCTTTATGCTTTAATTTAATTTAACTGATAAAAAAACATTAAGAAATTATAAAAATTGTTATAAAAAACAAATTTTTTGAAGAAATATTTTTCTTTTTTAAAAACAATTTTTTTTTTTAATTGAGAACAAAAATCAAGTTTGCAAATTAATTTCTCAAATTATTTTTAAAAGTATTTTATTCTCTAAATATGATAAAAAATATCTGTTATAGATAATAGAGTTGTAGTAGATACTTTATTTTATGGAAAGTTTGTTCATTATTTGTAAGAGATGGAACCAAATTTTTTTTTTGAAAAATCGAATATCATGCAATTTTTTAGAAATTTTTTAAATATTTTTTTAGGTTAAATAAAGCATAGTTTTTTTTTCAATTTATATGATGAATTATTTTGAATAAGCTTATTTCTCAAATTAATTTAGTTATATTGATTAGTGATAAATAACATATATAAAATAAAAAGAGACTATTAAATATAAAACTTAGAATTTCTTAAATCTAAAAAAATATACACATATTGCGAATATAAAGAATTTAAATAAATGGAAGTTAGGGTCGGAGGAAAATTTAGAGTAGGAAGAAAAATAGGAGCAGGCTCTTTTGGAGAAATATATTTAGGTACTAAATCAATGTTTAAAATCTAATTATGTTGCATTACGCTAGTTTTTTGCTGATATCTAAAGCGATTTTATATATTTTCTTCTACTAAAATTAACAATAAATCAATATTTTTACTTTCATATTTCGTTCTACAACAAGCTTTTAAATGAATAAGTTATTTCGATTCCACATTTAATTTACTATTTTTAAAAATTCATTAGGCACAAACATCCAAACAGAAGAAGAAGTTGCGATTAAGCTTGTATATTTTTATTTTTTAAAGCTTTCCATTTAGCTATTAAGTAAATCTTAAAAATGATTCTAACAAAAAATTATAAATAAAAAGGAGTCAGTAAAGACAAAGTTTCCATAGCTTTAATGGGAATACAAAATTTATAAAATATTGCAAGGACAATGTAAAAACCATTTTTTTATTAGAATATTTCTTTATTTATTTAAAGCAAGTTTACTATCAATTTTTCTTAGGAGCTACAAATATAAATATTTATTGCACAAAATTATGCATTTAGGAAAACCATTAAATAACTTAAAAAACAATTTTAATAAAAATGACATAGAAATGTTTATTATTTTAATTCGTTTATTATGTAAAATGTTAGTTGGAATTCCTAATCAGCACTGGTATGGCAGAGATGGCGATTATAATATACTTATCTTAGATTTATTGGGACCATCTCTCGAAGATCTCTTTTAGTTATGCAATAAGAAGTTTTCTTTAAAGACAGTATTGATGATAGTTGAGCAGATTATTTCTAGGATAGAATAGATACACGCAAAAAATTTCATATATAGAGATATAAAACCAGATAATTTCTTAATTGGAACTAAATAAAAAGCTGATCACATTTATTTGATTGACTTCGGTCTAGCAAAAAGATACAGAGATGCTAAAACAGGCTAGCATATAGAGTAAAAGGAAGGGAAGTCCTTTATAGGAACTGTTAGATATTCTTCTATAAATACACATCTTGGAAAAGGTAATAATCCTTTAATTTAATTAAGAACACCTTTACCGATAGAATAAGAGGATAAAATTAAATCAAAAAAAATTAATTAGTTAGTTAGCTTTCTTAAATTTAAAATATTTTTAATATTTAATTTGTATTCTTTAATAAAAGAATAAAGTAGAAGAGATGATCTGGAGGCTATAGGATACATTCTCTTATATTTCTTAAGGGGATCTCTTCCTTGGTAAGGAGTTAAAGCTGACAATAAAAAGGATAAGTATGATAAGATAGGTGAAATTAAAATGAATACTCCTGTAGAGGAATTATGTAAAGGTTTTCCAGGTAATTTTAAAAAGTTCAAAGATTTTAGCAAATATTCAAATAATTTTAATGAATAAATATTTTAATAAATTTAAGAATTATTCAAGGAATTTGAATAAAAAAAGGTTATTTACAAAATTAAACTATTTATTTTTTCAATAATTTAAAAATAGATGAATTTGCTCAATATATAAAATATACAAGAGATTTAAAATTTGATGAGAAGCCTGATTATAATCAGATTAAGTAATCGTTTAGAGCTCTTTTTTATAAATTAGAATATAATAACGATAATATTTTCGATTGGTCTAAGTTAAATTCAGTAATTAAATTTTCTTAAAAATTAATTATTTTCAACAAATAAGCAAATAGATTTAAGTAGTTATATTATTGTTTAAATTAATACATAGAATAATGTGCATAAAAAGAAAGAAATAGAATAAGAAAAAGATCAAACAGAAGATAACACAGGAAACGACATTAAGGGTGAATCTTCGAATAATATTCCTCAATAGGCTAATTAAATTTATAAAAGTAACCAAATGATACCAAGTACCAATAAAATTCCTCCTTAACACAATAATGTGATTTAAAGCAATAAATTATCTAATAATAATGGAGTTGGTACTCCTAATAATAAATTAAACCAAGTAAAATAAAATCCTGTTGCGAAAATGAATTAACCAAAGTAAATTAATAATACTAATCCTAACAAAATAAACATGAACAAGGTAAATAGCGGAAATAACTCAAATGTAAATAGTCCTATGAATAATAATGTAACTAATTCTAATAAAGCAGTAGACAAGCCTAAATAGCTTGCAACTAATAGTATGTTTTCGAGAGCTATTGGAGATATCTAAAAATAATAAGCGAATCCTAAAAAATGAATTTACTCAAATTAAAATTTAATGTATAATATTTAAAATCGATTGTTTTTAGCTAAATTTTTATAAAATTTGAGATGAAATAAATATAAATAAATAAATAATAAATACCTCTAAGTTCAAAACAGAGTAATTCAATTCATTTATTGGTTTAAAAGCTCTAAACATTAACTAAATAAACCTTTTCACACTTTTTCTGCCTGCATGCATATGATAAATTTTATAAATTCTCCTTTATTAACTCGAAATTTGTCAATACTTAATATATATAATAAATCGATGTTTCACTTTGTTTAATTATTTTAATTCTACTTAATAAAATAAAAAGTTTTCATAGTTTATAAATAATAAAAAATAAAAATAAATTAATATGATGCTAATTTCTTTTTCAATTTCCTTTTCAATAAAATAAAATAAATTCAATTTTCTCTAATTATTTTTAACAAAAGATAGATCTAAATTTTTATAAAAAAATAAATAATTCTTTTCATATTTTTTTGTCTGCAAATTTTACAATATATACCTTACTAAATGCAAAATAAATTATCAAAACAATAAATGAATTTTCTAATTTTATTCAATTAAAAAATTATTAAAAAATAAAGGTTTTTCTAAAAATAGGGATATCACTTCACTAAACTTAAGAAAGTCATTTAGATATATATATATATTAGTAAGCAGTAAATTAATTTAGAATATAATTTAATATGACGCTATTTTTTTCTCTCAATTTCTCTTTAAATAAAATAGAATTAATTTTCTTTATTGATTTTTATTTTTTTGTATGAAAGATTTAGATTTTAACAAAAAAAATAAAAAAGCCTTGTCATAGTATTCTGCCAAAAATTAAAAACTCTTATTTATTGGATCAATATCAATATTGATATGAATAATAAATATTCTATTTTTTTAAATAATTTTACTTTATTTGATAAAATTAATAATAACTTTACATTTTTTTTAATAATCTAAACTTAATATGATGTTATTTTTTCAGTTATTTTTAAATATATTTATTTTTCTCCTATAATTTTACTATTTAAAATAATCTATAAATAGCCAGAAGTTACTTGTGAGTAGGATGTAAATGTTTTATAAAAGAATATTTAATAAGGTATCAAGATTCATTCATTAAGAAGTTAATGTATTTTAAGATCTAATATCTATATATAACATTGATTAGATAGATATAAATTATCCATAAATCTTATTAGTCAAAATTTATAAAATTATAAGGATTGTTAATAAATAAAAAATCCAATCATTTTTTAATTATCAAAATAAGATTATAGAGATTCATTATCTTTAATAGAATATAATAAATACTAAATAATTTATTTACTTACCATGAGCATAGATAATGCAAATCTAGATTATTTAAAACTACCACACTCAATTTTATAGACTATCAATCATCCATGTAATTTTTAGAATTCAAAAAACTGAAAACTGAGATATTTTATTTAAGTCTAGTCAAATTAATTTAAATATTTATTCATATTATCATAGAGGATTACATTTAAGGATATGGAAAAGACAAAAAACCTTTTAGGAAAATATTTAAGAATACCGAATACAACCAAAAGGAAAAGCAAGCTATTTAATAATTAAAGCTGCTAGTAAGCTCTAATAAGGTTGCATTACCATAAAAGTAAATAAAATTTTAAAGCATAACTGAAATATTTAATCATTTAATTATAGTTTTGATGATAGCGATTATTTAAAGTTTGTGTACACTGGAAAATTCGATGATAAGAAAAGCTTAGAAGTAAGATAATAAAATTATAAGTGGAAATAATAAATTAATTAATTATTTCAATATGATAAAGGCATTAACCAAAAACTTAAATTGGAGAAACTCTATGAAAGAAACTATTTCAAAAGAGGCTTTTATGTTACTGGTATTTTTGATAAAATTATTGGCTTAATATTAATATAAGTATTTTAGTTTAATGCCTTTTTTAATTAAAATAGGAATCAGGTGTATTCTATTAGTATGGCAGAGATAACTAGTACAGACCTGTAGTTATAATTAACATCCATAAAATAGATCCAAACCATGTAAGCCTGACTGAACTATTTTCAACTTCATAAAAATATTCTAAATGCATTAATTAAAAATTATAAATTAAATAATTAGAACTCCGAAAAGCACACACTTGAGGCTTTATGTTACTTTTTAAAAAAAATACAAAGTTACATGTTTTATCCTGGAAAGATTGAAAATTGGATAATCATTCTTGAAACTAACAAAATGAGCTTCTTCAAGTTTCCTATAGGAGTAAAAATTAACAATTAATTCTTTCACAAAAGATTTGATTATTTATTTTTTTAATTTTACAAAAACAAACTCCCACAAAAAAATTAAATTATCAAAAAATCTTTATTTTATTTTTTAAGCAAAATTATTAATTAAAATAAATTAAAAATAATTTAAATTTAACAAATCTAATTCAAATAAATATGAAAGATTTTAAAGATGATCATTTAAACACTCTCTGTGAATTTTAATGCAACTTTAGAGCATCTATTTATCTTGAACCCATCAACATCATTTAATGTAGTATGGGGTGGAGCTTCGGGCTTCATCGACAGTGCCTAAAAGGAAAAAATTTCATTTATAAGTAGTAAAAAAGAAATAAATAAATTACACTAAAAAGTAGAATTAAATCAGCTAGAAAAAAAGTATGGAGGTTATTTAGAAGATCTTACATAAAATTTCTGGTAATTTAAAAAATTTAAAGGAAAATTTTTTGTTAAATTTTTATTTTTTCTAATTGAAGGCCACCAAAAAACACAATCATTAAAGTAACTGATCCCTCAGTTCTTGAATGCGAAGATGAATTTATGCGCAAAAAGCCAGAAAATTAATTAGACATCAAGTAATCATAACTTGAGGTGCTTAAGGATTTCTCTAAAAATATAGTAAATTAAATAAATTATTTTTTTGTTATATTCCTTAATTAAATGCAAAATTTAACTTATAAAGGATGGCAGAATTTCAGTTTTAAAGACTAAACCTGAAAAGACAAAAATAGAAAATCCCTTAGAGGATTAATTGATGAAAAAAAGTATAGTACCCACATCTAGCTATTACTCCATAAGACCATCTGTTTAGCAACTGTATGACTAACAAGGTGGTGATAGAATATCTATGTTGAGTGGCTATAGTAGACCCTCAAATAGAACTATTTATAAGAGTGCTTTTAGCAGTTTTAAAGATGTAGAAAATTAATTGCCTGATGATATTTAAGAAGAAGATGGAGATGCTTTTTATTCGTTCCATAGTTTCAATGAAAATTAAATTTAAGAATAAGCTGAAGAAAAAAAATAATGGTAAAAATGGAGTGTTATTGGCTAAGAAGCATAAAAAACAAATAACAATTCAAGCACACATAAAGTTGAAGATAAATAAAGAATATCCTAAAAGGCTAGTAATAAATCTTAACACAAGGCTAATATATAAGATACAAACGAATAATAAGAAAAAAATATCTCAATATAAAATTCTTCAAATCAGTTATCAGAAAATAATCCAAGAAGTACTAATGAGTCTCGTTAAAGTAAAAAAACAGTAGAAACAAAAGAGAGAGAGTCAGCAGCTAAAGAAAATTCCATTTCAAGTGAAAACTTAAACAGCAAAATAGAAAACAATTCTAAAAAATCTAGGGCTGGAGAACGTTATGGAAAAGAGAGTTTCACAGAATCTAATGTGAAATAAGATTAAAAGGAAAAAGATGAACAATTAAGTAAAAGATTTTTCTGCTGTTGAGTCAATTTAATCATAATAAAAATCTAATAAATTTAATATATAGATAAGTTACAGAGATAAAATACTTTACCATAAAATTAAAAAATTATTATCAAATAACCAATTGATCTCAAAATTAATGTTTAATAATTTTGTATTTACTTTTGTAATAAATTTTAAAAATTTAACAAAAACTTGTATTAAAATTGAAATATTTTATACAATCATCCTCAATAATAAGTAATTAATATGGCACTTATATAATAAATATTATGATTACTAGTTATATTAAAATGCAGATTATTTTATTAATGTTTAAATACATAAATTAATTAACATTTATTCTAAATATATTTTATATAAATCTTGTAAAACTGAAAGGATTTACAGACAATCAGTTAATATCTAGTTTATTTCATCAAAAATGTTTGATTTTTGATTTTTTACTATTTTAATTTTAAATTTGTCAGAAAGATTCGCTATTATCAAGCTTTACATTTTATAGGTAGGTATAAATAGATAAATAATTATTTTCAAAGTTCATAATAGTAATAATATAATTAAGTATGTATATATGTATGTATCTTATTTGGAATGATGATAATCATTAATAGTATTCAATTAATTTTTTATAATTAAAAAAATAGTCATTACTAATAATATTTTGATAATTTATTAAAAAGAATACAAAAAATTAATTATTTAATAAATAAATATACTGATTTTACTAAACATTTGTATATAAATATAAATAAAAGCCAAATATTTTAAGTAGTAATGGATTCAATAAATGGAGCAATATATTGCAAAGAATAGCCGCTCTTTGAAGAATATTTTCCAAAGAAGGACTTCTTTCAAATATTTTACAACAAAGGTACTCGGTGCATGATATTCAGATAGAAAAAGACAGTCTTTTAGATATCTATTGACAATCAGAACATCAGCAAAATGAATATACCTTATGAGTAATTAAAATAATTAATTACTCTCTAGAAAGCCTTCTTATTTTTATCTAAAATTTTAAATTCTAAATAATAGGGGACCAATATATGATTTGTAGATTCACAAAAAAGAAAGATATATGGCTTATTCTATTGCTCATAATCTTCTAGTAATTCATTAATAAATATATAAATAAAATAATCAATTCTTTACATTTTTAAAAACGGAAAAATATATCTAAGATTCTATAGTAGAATTGAGTTATATCTCATTAATTTTTTAAATTAATAGTCATTTAATAAATGAAAATGAGATTTAACGTTTTTACATCAAGTAAGCAAGAAGAATTATAAGTTTTATTAAAAAATTAATTTAGATTGATATGAATGCAAAATTAGTTAGGAGAGCATTAAGAAATAATTTAAGTTTATAATAGATGAAACATATGTTTGTTTTTTAATTAGATTTAAAATATTTAAAAAAGGAAAGATGGTTTAATTATATTTCTTTCTTTAAATATTAAAAATAGAGCATTGTTCACTTGAAAGGATAGGAAGGCAAAGAAAATAAGCTAAAAACAAGCAAAGATGATAAGATGGATCCTATAATCCATTTTGAGTGGATATATGGAAGTTAAAGGAATGTGGATTTTGTTTTATGTAAGCAAAGCGGGGTTGTTCTTTATAAGCTTGACCACGATAAGCACTAATTAAAGGAATAGAAAATAATTAATTTAGATATCAGTGCATGCTGGTTCGATCCATTTAATGAAGTTTTGTGTTGTGCTAATAATTACGAAGATGGAAAGATTTATCCTTTTTATTTCAATGAAAAAAGATAAAGTTTTAAATATAGAGGAGTTGATTTCAAAGTTGAATCAAGCAAAAAAGACTAAGGAGTTGAAAAAACTAAATCCCAATCTTCTTCGGTCATTAATTTCTTTACTAAGCAATTAAATAAATTACAGTCGAAATTCGATATTGTAAACTTTGTTACAATCGGGGACAATAGAAATAAAGAGCTTACTTTGATTCCACGTGATCCTGACGTATGTCATAAGATATCTTTAGTAGTTTTATATGGAAAAACATTTTTAGCATACTTGAATCCCTATTACAATAAGATTTTTCTTTATTAGTTAAGCTATGAAAAAGTTACTCTATGCGAATTTAATTTAGTTTCTCCATCCGAAACAGGAATCCGTTTTAGTGTTGCTGACAATCTTTTAATTATTCATTCAACAACAGAAAATTTATCTTTAGTGTATGATGTTCGCAGTAGAACATCTGTTTATTAAATAGGTCCACCTTAGTGCTTAGAAATCAGGCAAGATCGTAATTTTTCTAGAAAAAATACAATCGTTTTAGCTATGCTTAAAAGCAGAAATGAATAAGAAGATGATGAAGAAGATGAAGAAGAATAAACAGTAGAAAATGAAAGATATGCGTAATCTGTAAAAGAAGATCCCAGATTAAGTGAACAAATCAACAATTAGCAAGGAAATCAGTTAACAGGAAAAGTTTACAGACAAACTGAAAATCCACAACTATTGAGCCAAAATAGTCATCATAATGAACATTACAACAACCAACATAATCAGCAATAGCATCACCATCATCACAGTAATAATAGTAACAAAAGTGGTAGAAAATAATCTGCAGCTGTAAGAGCGGTTAAGCATCCTGATTTAAGCAAATAAACAAGTAATTAAGAATCTATTCAAAGCAACAAAATTAACTAAAAGACACAATAAAATAATGATTATATTTCATATTAAACTTAAGATAGCACTAGCACAAATATTTTTGATGACATAAAATAACCACAATAAAACGATTTGATGAATAAGAGTGTTGAAGTTAATATTTTAGATTAAGAATCAAAAGATATTTCTGCTTTAAACAATATAAATGACGAATCTCATTTTAATTTATCACCTTAAAGAAAAAAATAGTCACTTCTTCTTGAGGAGGACATAGCTGCATAGGATGAATAAACAAATTAAGCTTAGTAATAATACCAAACTAATCAATTTAATTTTATTGATTAGTCAAGAGAAATTTCTTATATTTCAAATTAAAATTTAAACAATGAAAGCAATTCAAAAAATCAGTAGCAAAATGAAAATGATACCTTTGAGAAGGATTTAGATTTACTAAATTTCAATACAACTAATTTATAAACTACAAATGAATAAACTGAAAAAGTATGGGATTCTTTAGTGCAAGCTGATCCTAAATACAAGTAAAGCAACTATAACATATTTGATTAAACAGGAACTGAGTCTATAGGGTAACAATCATAAAATAATAATCCTATAGACTTGCTAGATGATGATCATTCAAATTAAAATATTCAAAGTAAGATGGTGTAATCTTAAATAATATCTTCTCAGCAACCTGATTAAATTTATAGCGAATAGGACTATGTAGAATTAACAGAAAAGCCTGAAAATTATTTAAAAATCGAAAACAAGGGATAAATCTGTAAAATTTTAATAAACCAAACTGCATCATATATTTAAATAAAATAATTATAGATTAATTAGATAAGAATGTCTTTACAGAAGATGAGCTCATAATAAATTGTAAAGAAAGAAAATTCTGCACTATTTTAGTGGATATAAATAGAATTGAGAAGCTGGCAACCGATGAAGTAATTGATTAAATATTAAATAAATAGTATTTATTTAATATAAAAAATATAAAAGATTGAAGGATTTAATGTAATTATTAGAAGAGCAAATAGCAAATAATATGGACTTTAACATCTAAGACAGCTATTTTTGAAAAATAAAGATATTAGATATTTTGGATAAGTATTTAACTAAATTTTATCAAATTATAAAAAGAAATATAGTTCAAAGACAAGTATATCACTAATTGATATCAAAAAAACTATTAAAAAATCTATTTAATTTTAAACAGAGAATAAGCCCTACGAAGTTATTGATACTGGTGATTTATATTATTTATTCTTTTTACATTTATACACTAACTAATAGACAAATAAAAGTTATTTAACTGATATTTTATCAGAATACATTAAGCAGTCAACAGGTAAAATTATTTATTATTCATTTTTTAAATTGTTTTAATTTATATAATAAATTAGAGCTTGAAATCCCAGTTGAATCTAAATTTTAGAATTTATTGGCAAAACTTCTTATTGAACAACAAAAATTTAATACTTTTTTATTCTTTGTTTAATATCGTATTATCACAGATAACGAGGATCTTGCACAAATACTTATTAGTATGAATTCAAGTAAATAAATTAAAATATTTAAAAAATTAGTATTTATAAGCCTTTTGTTTGTTTAGATACTGTTTTTAAGCAAGGATTCTAACTTGGGCTTGATATGCTTTACAGACTCAAAAAATATTACATCATAATTAATATATTACTGAGGAGAGGACTCGTAAATAAATATTATTGCTTTAAGTATTTATTTTTCAAATATTTTTTATAGTTTTAGCAAGCTCTTGATTTTATGAGAAAAAACACAGTCAATAAAATAAATTTAAAAGAGATGATAAAAATCTTGCTTAGTTAAAACGGAGACATGAAAATATAATCAATTATAGAATATTTTAGAGAAGTAATAAATTTATTTAATCATTAAGCTGAAATTTAATAAATAAATATTTTTAAAGATTATTAGTAAAAGTAGAGGAAATGAAAAATTTGGTTTTACTTATCAAGATTTCTTAGACGAACTTAGCTTTTAACAATAATAAAATAAATATTAATAAATGTATAATCAAGTTGACTTAATATGATTAAATAAGTAGTTTTCATTTTGCTAAAGTAGTCTAATACTTAATTTAAAAAAATTTAATCTAACTTTTAATCATCAATTAAAAAAACAATTAATTTTGGTTTATTCAATTCAAAAAATAAGCTATTAAAATAAAAAATATACTTTTTCTAGTGTAATTTTACATTTTTTTAAATCTTTATAATTTCTACTTATTTATTAATTAGAAAAATTACTTTTTAATTCTTTTTTATTTGATTGAAAATAAAATTAGAAAAACTTTTTTATTCACTCATTTTAATTTAAATAACTAAAAAAATTACTAAATATTCTAGTGGAATTTTTAATATTATGGAAGGTTCAAATCTTCTTTTCTATAATATTCATAGAAAGCATATAAGTTTTTGATAATAATTTAAATTTAATAAAAATTTATTTAAAAATATAATATTTCAATCTTTTTTATTATAAATTAAACTAATAATAAAATTTTTATATGTTTTTTATTAAATCTTCATCTTTTTAAAAGGTTTTAATAGAATTATCCATTTAATATAATTCAGCAGGAAACCATCAAAAATAAGATGTTTAGAATTAAAATTATGACAATATTTTCAATAAAAAATTATATTTTAATAAAAAGCAAAAAAAGAATTGGTAAAGATATATTAAATTATTAATAAAAATAAAAGTTTAATCATTTTAAGATTTATGATAAAATGATTTAAGGAAAAAATTTTATAGATAAAAAACGATTAACTGATTACTAGAAAAATGCTTTTATTTTTAATATTTTATAAATAAATCAAGAAAAGAATTCATTTAGCATATAAAAAATTTATTTTAGGCATAAAAAAAGTTAATAGAAGATTAAGAATGCATAGTTTTTAATTTGTTTTGAGTATTTGATAGGATATAATAACTCTGTTTATTAATTGCTATTTGATATTGTATAATCCAACTTTCTTTTTTTGCTTGTTTAATTGCTGCATGATTTTTGCACATATTTTTAGAAAATAAAAATACAATAAATAAAGAAATAATTTATTATATTTAGAACAAAAATAAGAAAAAAAAGAAGAAAAGATTCAAATAAAAATCAATGAGCGATAAAAGAAAGATCCAACACGAAGGTATCATTGCTTTGATCAACTATTCTACCCTTTGCGCTTAAAAGTGCGACGTCTTGAAGGGTCACGATGATAAAATTACTGATACTGAAGAATAGTGTTTAAGTATGTTATTAGCAAATTACAAAAATATTAGTTATTACAAGAGCCTTGTCAATTAAAACATTTGAGATTAAATCAGAATAGCAGTCATACAAGATTATTCTTGAATCATGATTATTTCAAAAAAGCTTTTGCAAAATTATAATAGAAAATAAACTCTGCAATAATATTAAACTTTATTTAATGTATAAATTAAAAGGAGTTTGCGCTGAAAAGATCCGTCAAACTTTTGAGTTCACTAACGACATTTATTTGAAAAATCCCAATCTCACCAAGCCTAATTGAGAGAATTACATGTGTGTGATCTTTGAATCAATAATTAAAAAAGATTCAAAAATTATAACAAACATAATTTATCGTGATGATTGAATTTGGAGGATACGCATACAGAAGGGGAATATATATAGGGCTATTTTAAATATAATAATATAGTAAATAAGGCAAATGACTTCTTTATCAGATGATACTTGCTATTAAGCTTAACCTATTTATCAATCTTTAAAAATAATTTGTTAGCTGTAAATTAGTAAATAAATATTTATTATAAGATGGCAAACTTCATATATTATCTTCATATGAAACGTATATATCCTTCCTTTTCTAATCCTGTATTATACTACTCATTTTAATTCTTCTCAAATCCCTCTTCAATTAAAAATCTAATTTATAGTTTCCTCCTAGCGTATTTAACAATATTCTGTCTGTCAATCAATCTTTTGATATATAACTTTATTATTATTGCTGCTCATTCAATTTCTCCTTATGTCAAAGGAATGTTTGATAGAAGATATTAGCATTAAAATTTTGCATTCAAATTAAAAAGGATACGCTGTTTATTTATTTCTTCAGAATTCCACAAAATTTATAAATATATTCATTCATTTCACCTATAATTTTTTATACAAAGATGGATTCTTGTTAGCACTCTACACAGCTTGCAAGTATACTATCATCGAAATAATAATAAAATGTATAAATACTTGATATAATTACCAACATTAGATACGAAATAAGTTACTAAATTCAAATTTAAAAATATTATTAAGATTTTTAAGCATATTATCACCATATAAAAATATAATCAATCCTCAAACAAAATATTAAAAAATAAATACATTAATTTTAAAATTATTTTATTTGAAATTAAAAACAAACCAAAATATTTTTAAAATTTTTAAAGTAAATGTTAAAGGTATTTTTTTAATTTTAAAATATAAAAGTAAGCAAAAAAAGTAAATTTTATCAACTAAATCTAATATCAAAATGCAGTTATTATTGAAGTCAGAATTATGTTGTTTCTATTTTAAAATATTTTTAAATTTTAATACAAATTAAATAAAATATAAATGATAAAAAGAGTTTTTCATAAATTTTTACTATTCTTAAAAGATAGTTTAAATAAATTTAATTCTTTTTTGTAAATAAAATAAATATTTTTTCAATATTTCGCAATAAATTAAAAATAATATTTCAAACGAAACTACAAATTATAATAAAATCATGAAACAATTTTTATTTTTTTGAAAACATTTTTGATTTAAAATATTTCAAATTATTGTTTGGAAATTAAAGTTACAAATAAATATTTTTTGTATATAAATACTATCAATCATAATATAAATCAGTGTAAATTTGATAAGGATTGTTCATTAGCTCAGGACCAATCAAAGTATAAAATGCTAGCATTACAGATGGCTATGATTTTTTATATCTGTATATTTCTAAGACTTTTCTGAACTCCATAAATAATTAAAATCTTTTTGCATAGGCATCAAAGCCTTCATTGTTTAAAATTTATTAACTTTCAAGAGGCATTATAATAGGACGTACTAATTGAGATATCTATTCCGTTAATACTTCATTGTTAACACTTCTAAAACTATATAGATTATTTCCTTATTCTATTTTGATTTATGTTACAATACTGCTAGCATTAAATGAGCATCCATTGTCTTAGGTAAAGGAAATACTATTGACGAATCGTTTGATGTTATAAATATCATTAAGAATTCCATAAAATAAATTCATTATGTCATTTTATGAGGTTATTCTAATCTTTAACTAGTTCATCAAGTGTTTTGATCTTGATAAATAATTACTAAAAGGTTATAAATCTCCCATCACCTGGTGTGCTGTTATGCTTAGACAAGATACTCTTGGAGCTTTCTCGTCAAATATATTTAAGCAGATAACATCTAATGTATAGTCACTGAGTTAGAATAGATTTAAGGATAAGCTATTATTTAGTAAGGTTTAGCCATTAATATTTATATTATTTTTTCTACATTTCATTAATTTAGCAACACTTAATGCAACTACTGATACACTTACATTTGTTCCATTTATAATAACAGTTTTTAGCTCCTCGTAAGAACCTAGATAATTTATTATATTTACCCATTATCTGTTAGTTATTTCTTAGTTTTTATGGAAAGATATTTAAATAGATAAAAGCTTGTTATTACACTTTGAAATAAACTTAAAAAATTCACTTAAATCATCTTATGAGAGCGTCTATTTACTAAAATCTAATTTAAGTGTAAAATTATTATACTATACTGTTGGGTTTATTGTTAAGCTATCATTCTAATCTGCAAATTTATATACCTTTCTTAGTAAGCTCTTATAGTCATAGCAATTTAAAGGAAATCTATAGCTAACTTCAATAGAGAGATGACTTTAGAATTTATCTTTTTTAATTGGAGGAATAAGATCATCCGTGTATAATAGAATATGCAATTTATTAAGTAAAGGAGCATTTTGCTGTAGATTTTTAATAATTTGTTTGAAATCTTTCTTGAAATCTTACAGATTAATAATTGTCATGTTAAGATACTATAGTGTGGAGGCTTTACTGAAAAGTTGCATATGTTTATCTAAATTATTAGACTCTATCATGATATTTAAATGTTAAATTTGATCCTCGACTCCACTGAGATCTATTTGAGTGATGAAAGAGTTGGAGTCAATTTCATAGACACTGTAAAATTTTTAGAAGTATTCTTCACAAGTTATCTTCTCTACCTTTTTAGATGACTTTGTTGCATTGAAAAACGAATATGCCTAAGTAGCATCACATTCGACTTTTATTGTTTTAATATTCTTGTAAATAAAAAAGTAAGAGATAAAATCTAAGTTTTAGAAGAGATTTTAATAAGACTTTATTGTAAGATCCTCTAAAAAAAAGAATTTATGTTAAAACCTATCATCGTCAATCTCATATATCATAAATAAATCTTTCATAACTCTATCTATTGTAGTTTATTTAATCTAACAAAATGAAAAATCAATAATTAAACTAGAAAGCTTCCCATAATTTCTTTCAATAGTAGCATATTCCTGCTTCAAATGATGATAGCTTATTTCTGTCTTTCTATTCTTAAAGTTAATTGTTTTGTAAAATGGGTCTTCTTATATCTCCTACTATTGCATTACAAATTCCTACTTTTTTTAATTAAATCAATTTTATTTTAATTTATTATTATTAATAATAACAAACAAATTGGATTTAGTTTTTAAGATATTGATATCTTAAATAAGATAAGATTATTGTAGAAAATTGTTGATTTGATTTAATAAATTATCTAAATCAGAATAAAGGAGAAGAATTTTTTTTCTTGAATCAGAATTTATTAAAATTTTTACTTAACTTTTATAATATATTCTTCCAAAATAAAAAACAACACAATTATAGATACTAATTTTTCATTTTAAAAATGGTTAAATAAAATGAATTTAATAAATGAAAATACAAAAAAAAGATTATCAACAATATTAATATCTAGATTGAAAAAAATTTTTAAATGGTAAAATCATATTTATTTAACAAGATAATATTTAAATAAGCTTATCAATTATTTAAAAAATAATTTATTAAACGAATTATTTATTGTCTATGGTACTCAAGTTTTTATTTTAAATTTTTTGTTAATTTTTAATCACCTCAAACTGAAAGTGATTCATTTCAAGTAGACACTTTAGTAATTGAGAAGATCTTTATTTATTAATTTATTTGATAGCATAATTAATTACAGTAACTTAAAATATAATTTTTCAATTGGAGATAATGTAATGTAATTTCTTCTATTTCATACCTAAAAATAATAATAATAATAATGGCCAATAATGGAATGGGCCTCAGAGTAGGCTTCAAAGATGGAGGTGGGGGTGCCCTTAATTAATGAGGATTTAGAGTATATTAAAGATTATCATAAATAGTAAATTGGAAAAATGCACTTAAAAATAAATGGTTATAACTTTATAAATTTACATATAAATAAATAGATAATATATAAACATATTAAATAAGTTATGATTTATATTTTTTTAACTAGTTTAATGTTTGCCAAATTATATAGTAAAAATTAAATGAAATAAAACTACTTAATTTAAAAATAATTAGTAGAATTTATTTTTGATGAAAAAGCTTCTATTTGTATTGTTTTTTAGTTGTATTTTTAACTTTATAAATAAAAAACAGAGTTAATTATTTATACTTCATTCTAAGAAATATAGCATCCATTCATTTATCATAATAAGCCTGTATGAGATTAAGTTTATTTTACAAATTATAATTTTTTTCTTAATAATCAGTCGAATTTCAAAAATGAAATGATTTAAATAATGAATATCATTTATATAAAGTAGAAGATCTAAGAACTGATAAAAATTTCCAATTAGCTTGATCTTCATTCATATTAATAAGACCTTTATTTATTATAAAAAATTTATATGCATTAGTTATTAATTCTTATTATTCTGGACTCTTTAAGAAGATTTTTAAAAATATTGAAGCTTCATCTTCTTTGGCTATATTCTTTTAAACCATCTACTTTATATGCTATTCTATTTATTAGATCAAATCATGCTCTATAATTATACTTTATTTATTACTCATATAAGTATTCTATGTATTAATTTATTAATTTTCTAGTATTAGCTATGATTTGCTGGTTTATTCAAATGTTTCGTCCTAATTTTTATTGCTATTTATTTATGAATTCGTATCCTATAATTATAAGTTCATTTAGTTAACCTATTTGAATTGTTAAGAAACAACTTATTCATTTACCTACTTTTATACTTCTTACTATTTATTTAAATCTACAAATACAGAAAGCTTATTTTATTAAAAGTAATTTTGTTTTGTGAGTTAATAAGTTCTCTCTTCAAAAGACTAATTTATTTTTTTTATTACATTATCTAAAAACATTTATGCCACTGTCTAGTAAAGAATATTTTTAAATTCGAATTCAATGTCATAATCTATTTAGCATGATTTTTCTGAAAGTGGTTTTATTTTCCAAGTGCTCTAAAGATGCTTAAAAGCTGATATGTTATTAGATAATGAAATAATCTGGTAATTATCTTTTGTGACATCTGATGATACTTTAGATATATATGAATCTTAGTAAACTTTAAAATTTACAAAAAGCTCTGCTTCAAAATATTAAAATCCTTTTCTATTAGATATTCTATTTAGTTACTATTTTTCATTCAAAAAAAAGATTACCGCTTATGAATTATGCTATTAGAGCACCATGGAAGAAATCTATGATAATTTTCTACTTCATAAACAACCTAAAAGAAATCTTAAGCATTGTAAGGCAAAATACTTTTCTGATTGTAATGCATATCTAAGCAACTTTTTAAAAAAAGTGATTTGTTGGCTAACTAAACTTTAAAGTTCTTTTTCAATATCTAGCTAATCATTTATAATTGAATTATTTGGGCAAATTTTATAAAGTAAATAAATATTGTTTCTTTGATATTTTACTATTGGTCTTTAATAAATATCAAATTTAATATTAAAAGATAAATGCATTCTAAGCTTTAAATATCTGAAAGCAAATAAATTCAATTAAAAAATGATAATTAGAAAAAAAAGAATTTACTAGATTTTTGAAGAGTGAATGAATGGATATGTATTTATTTATTCATTAATTATATCTCTTTCATTTTATAGTTATTTATGTTAAGTTTAAAAAATAAATTATTTATTTATTTATTTTAATACATATATTTAACTTCAAGTTTTACTGATTGAAAAAGCTTATTAAATAAGATCAATTATTGTGGTAAAAATTAAATTTAGATTTAAAAAAATTATTTTAACAATTTTTGCAAAAAATTTACTATTAAAAGCTATAAATCCATTTTATATAAAAAAAAGTAAAATTCTTACTTTTATTTGGTTTAATGTTGTTTATTTTCTTAAAATTTTACTCTTTGAATAATTCATTTGATTTTATAATTTATATTAACACCTAGATTTAAATTATTTTTCTAAATAACCAATTCATATTCAAATAAATTATAAATCTGAGAATCCTATGACAATTATAGATTTAAATAAAAACTTAAAAATTAATAATATAGTATAGATTAATAAATAATAGTTTAACATTATTATAGAATAATTCAATATATTTCTTAAAATATTAATTAAATTTATTATTTATTTTTCCATTACTTTTAAAATCAATCAATTCATTTTTGTTTATCAAAGACTGGCTAAAATTTCTTTTAAGATTATGAAGTTAACAATTAACCACAAAAAATATTCTTTAAGCAAATTTAATCACCCAAGAATCTTTGAAAATAAATTCTAAACATGTTTAATGATACAAATATAAAATGTTTATTTATTATTAGTTGAATCTTGGTTGTAATTATTTTACATATTGGTTTTTTTGATATTATATTTTTATAGTGGATTTTATTTTATATTTAAACTTTAGTCTAGGCAAATTTATAAGTTTAAAAAATTAATGGTTAAATAAGCAAGACAAGCACACGCATTAACACCTTCATTTTAAGACTTAATTTTATAAAAGATGAATATCCTTCTCCTCTTCTATGCAAGAATATTAACTCTTTCATATGTTAGTAATATTATTAATATGCGATGGAAGTCATTTATATTTTGTTAATTCAAAGTATCGTAGAAGAAGAAAGGAAAAATAACTTGAATAAACAATTGATTATTTATGAATCAAGTAGTACTTTATTTGTGATTTATGATCATAATATTTGACTTGTTTTGCTTTTAACGATGCTATCAAATTTCTTAAATCAGCTAAGATCAATTTTGAGAATTTATAAAAAATGCAAGTCGTTACTTTATTAATACCTAAATTACTTTTTATTAGTAGCAGCCGTGTTATTGTTTTTTTTTCTTACTTTATTTCTAATTTGAGTGGTTGGAATATTTTAAATTTGTTTTTGCCACAAAATAGTTTGAATGAATGTTAAATATGTAGTAAAAATGTTAGTCATAAAAACTTTTTATTATCTTAAAGTTATGTACTATATATTTCACTCTTAAATACATCTATTACTAAGTAGGACTATTTAGCAGAAAATAAGTTTTTAACATAGGGTTTTAGGTTTCTGGTTTCTTTGTTTGTTATTTATTTAGTTAATTAACTGGTTGATTATTAGAAAAAACACTTATCAATCTAAGTTGATAGAACTATTGATTAAATTAAGGGAAGGAATAACAAATAATAAATAAAAAAAATATAAAAAATTTAAAATTATACACCAGATAAAAGAGAATTTACATAAAACTAACTCATAAGCCTAAAGCTAATAACCATCTTTAACTGGAGCTGTCAGGAAAGAATATTATTTGATATTTATAAAACAACTAAGGAAAAACAAGAATTTATTTTAGATTCATTTTTGGAATTTCAAGATGGGAAACACAGAAACATTAAATAAGCCAATCAGACAAAGTAGTAGTGGTTCATCTTCTCCAAACTTCTATAAACAGATAACTTCTAATGCCAGTTGGAATGATCTTGACAATAAAATAGCTTCAGGACTAATTTTAGGTAAAATTTGTCATTATTATTATTAGTTCATTAAAAATTTTAAGGCTATTATCAAAAATGACATCAAACTTCTACATTTATATTATTTATCATTTTAATAAACAGATGAAGTAAATGAAGACGACAAGATGGAAATAAACAAAAAAAAATTGAATTTATCTCCTGAATTTGCTAATTTAGAGTACAAAGTGAAATTCTTTACTCAAAGAGTTTCAAATTCTCCCTCAAACTCTAAATAATATGAAGTTACTTAGACTGGTAAAACGAATAATAATAGGTATGAGGGAACATTTAAAGATGGTTAACTCTTCGGCTAAGGCATCTATTTTTATCCATCAGGCAGTATATATATGGGTGGAATAAAAGATAACGGAAGAGATGGTTAAGGTGTCTTCTACTTTGCTAATGGAAATATCTACTCTGGCTAGTGGTAAAATAATGATTAATCAGGCTTAGGAAAATTCTTCTTTGTATAAAATGAAAAATTATTCTAATTTTATTATGGGTATTTCAAAAACTCGCTTTATTAAGGATTTGGGTGCTACTGCTATCAATAAAAATATTACATTGGTTTTTGGAAAGAAGATAAATACGAAGGCCATGGAAAAATATTTTCATTTGAGGGTAAACTAGTTAGATGCGGAATCTTTAAACAAGATAAACTAATATAAGAGCTACCTGAAGAAGAAATCTAATTCCCTCAAAATTGGTAGTCATTTTTACCTAATTTCAGCAGAGAGCTAAACTACTTTTAGGAATTAATAAGCAATAAGCCTCTCGTTTGAAAGTATTTGCATCAATCTCTACTTACCCTATTTATGGTTGGCTCTTTTAGCTTTGAAATCACTTTTTTATTGACTATTTTTGAAAAAATTAAATAACTAACTAAATAAATAAAAACTACTTACTTATACTAAATAAATATTTACTATAACAAAATAAATACATTTTTATAAAGTATATAAATGCATTTTATAATCTCCTCAAATAAATATTATTAATTCTAAAATCATATTCTTTTCTTTATCCTTTACATACTATTAATTAAGGCCTAACCACCTACCAGATTTTATTTTTGGTTGAGAGCCACGACTAATTCAATGCTCTCTCTTTTTCTAAGGACTTTAAAATAAAATTAATTAAATATTTATTTATTTCATATATTAATATAATTCTAAAAATCTAAATCAAATAAAATCAATTTTAATTTTAAATTATTTTTAAATATATTTTATATAATTGATAAATAAATCAAAACAAGGTATTTTATAAGATAAATCTGTATAATATTTGACTTTACAATTTTATTTTATATTAAATTTAGATTTATTGTAAAATATTTAAAATTAATTAAATCTGATTAAAAAATTGCTATCAGCTATTCATTTAATTATATTGCAGATAAAATCAAATATTAACTTTAGTTTAAGTTACTCAATAAATTAGAAGGAAAATAAATTCAGAATTAGGAGATTCAAAGGAAATCCAAATAAAACCCTCATAAGTAAAATATAAAAAAAGAGGAAGTAAAAAAACAAAAAAACTTATAAGATTAACAAATGAAAGATTTTGAGTTTAAATTAATAAATAAATAGAAATCATTCTTTTAATTTTATGGTAAAAATGATAAATTAAAGTTTTAAAAATTATATAAAATGATAAACAGAACCTTAACTTCAAAAAAATTTATAGCCCTTCATTTAATAAACTTTAATAAAATTAAGTCTTCTTTTAAAGATACTCTTTTTTTGTTTGTAAAATTTATTAGATTACCAAATAAGGAGACTAGATGAGCTAAATATGAAGTATCATATTTTTAAATCTATTTATATTATCAAATACTACATTAACTAAGTAAAGTAATTAGTACTTTCTTTAAATAGTTTTGTGTTTTTGTTTTTATATTCTAAATACTAATTTTTCTGAATTACTAGAAGTTTTTTAATAAAAAAATAAATTAGTACTAATAATAAAGAAAAAAGCTTATTAGTGTAAAAAAATATCTCAATTAGTTTTAAAAAAACTCTATGGTTTAATATATTTTGGTTAAATGTAAATACATACATCTTTATTATTTTTAAGATGAATTAGGGTTTGATCTGAAAAAAATTGAATTTGAATCCATCTTCAAATAGCAAATATAGATTTTGTTTTGCTTTTTGAATTGCTTAAGTAGTTTGAAAAATATCTAAAATTCTAAAACTTAATCTTCCTTTTCAAGTAAAAAATATAATTTTAAAACATGAATTATGTTTCAGATAATTAAAATTATAACAAATATTTTAGTTTAATTTTGATAAATAATAAAAAATTATAATTGTCATGATATACAATTAATAAAAAATATTAATTTATATAGAAATAGCATAATTTAATTTAATACCATTAATAGAATTGTAGAAGTTAATAATTTAGTTAAGTATTTTAATTGTATTAGCTTTTCAAATTTTTTCTGAAAAGTTCTATTTCCAAATAATGTTAATTAATTGGAACAAAAATATCTTATAAATTGCTTTATTTATTTATACCATGAGTTTTTATAATAAATTGATAAATTTATTTAATTTTTGGAATTTTAATAAGTTTTTGAAAGCATCTTTGAAAGATATTTTTAGAAATGTTAAATTTTATAAGCAAATACACTTTCTCAAGGTCAGGAGGAACTCTTGCAAGAAATTAGAAAAAAACAGAAATTCTTTTAAATAGGCATTTACAAAAAAGAGCTCAATCATTAAAACATTAAACAGAAAACTATCAGTAAATTTATAATTGTAGAATATTAAGTTTAATTAATTATACATTTATATAAGCTTCTTATAAAACGATGTTTACAATCCTGAAATTTAAAGGGTTTAGCTTTATGGTTAGGAATAAATAGTTATTGGATCTTAACAAGATGCTAGAAGTCCTAATTTTGTGTTAGCTATGGTTGGTTAATTTGATCCAAAGGTAAAATTTATGATGAAAAATTATAATATAATAGATAATCAATTAATTTATAGTCAGTTGTTTTAGGAGGTTTAAATAGACTACAATTGAAAGAGTATCAAATTGGTAAGAAAATATACGAAAATGAGCCTGTGATATAGAATAATGAAGAAGATTTGCCAGCTAAAGAAATATTAACTCATTTTTTCTAAGAAGATTTAGAGTTTGGAAATAGCTGGTTCTACTAAGAAGGAGACTAATGTGTTTATAGAGTTATTAAATCTACAAGATAAGCAATTATGGAAGTAAGTAAGTTTAAAAGAGGAGTTGGATTTGTTCAATTATTTATACTTTTAATTTCCTATAGGATCATCTTTCATGCGGATTTCATCTTTATGAAAAACCTAATAGACATTTAATTTTTGGAAAACCTGATATAAATTTAGTTTTTGAAGATTTAGCTTTACGTTTAAGTTTAAAGTAGTTGCAAGATGTATTCTATCATGTTATATAAGTTGTGTAAGAAGAGTAAACATAATATTTTTTAAGTAAATTATGAGGTTAAATTGTTTGTGTAAATAAAAATAATAGCTTATAGCAAAATCATGATTAGAGATATCCTTATTTTGAAAATGAGAGAATATATGATATGTTTAGAATCAAAGTAAGAGAGATTTATAGTGACTTATTATTAAATAAGTCAATCCTTTATACTGCATCTATCTTCAAAAAGACTGCAAGAACTTTTAAAAAATCAGCAATAATTGTTCCTAATGAGATTACTAAATAAGTTGCAGTATAAACATTAGAACCAATGGCACCTGAATGGAATTAGATTTTTAGAGCTTACATTGATAATGAGAAGGATTAAGGCTATTTTACAGCTGACAAATTTACCTCAAAAAAGTACTCTCGTTCTTTTAGGAATATTAAGAGGTACTTTAAAGAGGATCCTGACTATGAACACATTATGAAGGCAGCAGAAAAGTAATCATCAAAATATGACTACTACTCTAAGGAGAGACCCTTGTTTGAACTAATTAAAGAGCAGCAAATTGATGTATAATATTTTTTTTATACGATTAATCACTAACTTTTTTATATGAAAGGCAGATGAAATTCTAGAAAAATATGTTATAATTAACCACTTGCTGGAAAAATCAACTTTATTTTATTTAGAATCAGGAATTAATCCTTTTAATACCACTATATTCCATGGCTTATTTAAAGAAAAATATGGTAAAGGGAAAGAAGCTGTTGATTAGATTCTATAAAAATATGAAAAATATAACTCGAAATATGCTTTAGAATTACATAAATTATAAAATTTCTAAATTAAGCGCATAGGCGAATATGAGTTAGAATGGAGGCCAAATTTAGAGTAATTTTCTTAGTCTGTAAAGAGATTAGAAGAAAAGCCTTAAAATTATAATTACGAGTTTGTGACAGGTTAGTTAAATAGAGAAAAGAGAGATAGAATTGTAGAAACAGTGCTATTGAAAACTATGATAGGTTTACTTAAATAGAGGGAATAATCAGGAATTTCTCAATCAGATTAAATTTCTCACTTAAAAGAGTATTTTGAAGGTAAAAAAACTCAAGAAAATGTAAAAATATTCAATCAACTAATTATTGAAGCAAATCATACTTTAGGTTGTATTGTCAAGTTTCCTTAAACTCATAAATAATTTTTACCATATTTAGTGAATTTGCGTAAATATCAGATTCTTAAATAGATTGAGTAAAAACTTGATGCAGTTGAGGAATAAGTTAATAATGAAAAGAAATTGAGGTTATAAAATTTGACTAATGTCATGAGCATAGAACAAATAGCTGCTAAAAGAATAGAGTAATAAAATTAAGACAAAGAAGTAGGATTTGATTAAGAAGAAGAAAAAATTGAAAGCTTTAAAGAATTGTTTGAGAATTTCCATGAATAAATGTTGGTATTAGGTGAAAACCCAGAGAAAATTCCATTTGATGTTAAAGGGAAATCTTTGGAATAATTAGAAGAAATGGGATTTTAAGCTGCAGGAGAATTAGAATTTTAAGTCGATGACTAAGGAAAGGTTGAAGGTATAGAATCAGAATAAACTTAAGAGATTTTAGAATTTTTAGAGACATTACGTAAAGCTGATAATAAGGAAGAAGTTGAATTCGAAGAAGTTGATGATTTTAAAAAAGAATATATTTCAGATGATGATGGAGATTCTGATTGATAAAATCTAAAATTTATTTTAATAATTTCTCACAGAGTAAACTATTTTCTAAATTATTAGTTTAAACAAAATCTTGCTAAATTTTAGCTAAATTAGTAATTTAGGAAACAAATTTTTAGTCATTAATCAATTTTTGTTTTATATAAAGTATGAATTTTATAAAAGTAGTTCATAATTGTTAAATTAAAAGCAAATTTAATTTAATATCTACCTATTTATTATTTTTTTCTTTAAACTGAAGTAGATATTATTGACAAATAATTCAAAAAATGAAGCAATTTGTTAGTTGGCTGATTAACGATATTTACTGGCACAAATTTTTGAGAAAATAAAAATTTATTGTATTACAAAAAGAATATTGTAAGGTATTTATAAACTAAAATGGTCTTTTCTAGAATCTGGAACAAAAATAGTTTGAAATATTTTTAAAATTCTTAGGCGAAAATATATTAAATTCAGTAAATATTCAAAAGAGAATTTTATCAATATAAATTTTTATTTTTGAAAAATATCTTTAATTTATTTGAAATAATGGTTCATAATTTCTTGAATTGACAATAAAAGTCAGTGAGAAAATTAGTCTTTTGATTTGGCTAACAAAAAGCAAGCTTAAGAAAATTCAAAGAGCTAATTAAAAAGTATACTTAAGATATTGAAGTAAATAAATAGGTAAATAAAATATCGATTAAGAGATTAATTGTATTAGTCAATTAATAATTTTGAAATTAATTTTGAATATTAACTAATATATCTATCTATTTATGAATGTATTATGATTCACATATTATTTTGCTTTTTTGCTTATTTGCTTAATTGCTTGCTTTCTTGTTTGTATTTATGAATTAATAATAATAAAAATAACTAATTATAAATTCAAAAGTCTTGAATGAATTGATTGCATTACAAATATTAATTAATTATTATTATTGTAGATAACTTTTATATTTAGAAAAATAAGTAAACTTCTAAAATAAAGTATATATAGATAGAATTTACAGACCAATATATTTTCTAGCTCTATTTCATCCCCTAAAATAGCAATTTAAGCACTTCAAAAAGCTCAAACTTTTCGAAAATACATTCATTTATAGTTCATTAGATTTAAAAGAAGATGCGTTAAACTAGAATGGACAGAGATTCTAAAGTTAAAGTTTTTTAAAATATATCACCTCCTTCTCTTTCATCGATTTCATCAGCCAATACAATTAGAAAAAGTATAGATATTTTTTGTTTTATGCATTATTAAAATGGTTTGTAACACACTAGTATAAGTTTTTTTCAGTTTATATATCTTCATATTAGCATACTTTATTGGATTTTTGCAGTTTAGATTTATTGTTTTTAAATTATAAATGAAAGAATAAGAAAGTGGGAATTTAGAAAAAAGAATCAAGCTCATTGAATATAGAAATGGTATATACTAAGGTATGATACACCCTAATGAGGATAGAACTAATTTAGGTATATACACATGGGATAGTGGTGAAGTTTATTTTGGAGAATGGAAGCATGATATGTTAGATGGAGAAGGTATTCTCTTCTTTCCATTTGGAGGTTTTATCCATGGATTCTTTATGAAAAATAAGCTAAATGGAGCTGCATTTTTCAAATTTTCAAATGGAGATATTTATGAAGGCTTCTGGAGAAATGGTAAATTAGAAGGCAATTGTTACAAATATTTTTGTGACGAAGAGAGATGGATTCTCTCTGATTATAAGAATGGCGAATTCAAAAAAATAATTTCAAAAGGCGATGGTCAACCTCCTTCATGTAAAATAATAATTTTAAGATTTTAAGATTATAAAATAAGCTGCCAAGATGCATATCTATCAAAAAATATTAGAATACAATATTTATAAATTTTAAGATTAGTATAGCATTTATTTTTATAAGTTTGTAGCAGTCAGCTACAACAACTAGGACTAAAAATATCTAGTTTTTCAAATTTTAATTAGCAATAAATAAAAAATAAGCTACTAATTTGAATGAAAAATAAAAATATATTTTAAAAATAGATGTATTTAACTACATAACTTCAACTTCAGATATAGCAGTTAAGCACCAAGACGACACATTCTAATAAGATGGTCTTAAAATAGAAGCTATTAATTTTAACGATGGAGGATAGTATTTAGGATTAATTAAAAATAGCATGCCAACAAGTTTAGGTATCTTTAAATATTCTGATGGCAAATACGACGTTGGATACTATAAAGATGGCAGTCTTGATGGATTAGGAAGATTGAATTTGCATAATGGAGATGTTTTTGATGGATTTTTATAGAAAGGATTATTCAATGGTATTGGTGTTTTCTTTTAAAAATAAAGCTGCTCATGGATATATGGAAACTTTGAAAACAATAAATGTGTCAATATTCTTAAAAAAGGATAGGGAGCTTTTCCAATTGAAATAATAGGTAAATAGATTAAATTGTGTTTAGTTTACTTAATTTTATTTAAATTGTTTAACAGAAAAATTCAGATCTGAGAATCATAGAAAAGCTAAAAAATATATTGACAAGATTACTCCTTTAGACGTTTATTTTGCTCCTATGTACAATCACATCCCAATAGGTCCTGAAAAGCATAATTTTTACTTAGATTTAAGTATTACTAACCAAGCAAATCTTTCTAATAATGGTGGATCTTAATAAAAAATACCTGAGTAATTACCTATGAAAAAGGTTTTGCCTAAAGATCTCACTTCATCTGACTACCAATCACCTCCTTAGAAAAGAAGTTAATCAAAAGGTAAAACTTAGTAAGTTCCTTTGAAAACTCCTTCTGTTTCATCATCATTAGTGAGTTCAGCAAATAGATAAGATAACTAAAACCTCAAAAAAGATAGATAATCAAGCAAATCAATAGGTAAATCACAAACTATGCAAGCTTAGTAATAAAACCCTAAAATATTCGTCTCTTAATCATCATAGGGATAAGATTTAAAGTAGTCATAATAGCAATAACAAGATAAAAAGTCAAATTCTAAGAAAGAAGTTCCTAAAAAATAAAATTTAGTTTCTCCCCCTCCAAGATAAGGTAGATTAGGTGCTCAGTAATAATAGTCAAATCAATCTTCAGCCAAAAAAAGCAACTTAAAAAAAGCTAAACAAAATTCCTCTAACTCTAACAAGCAAAGGTCCAGATAGTCATCTGTCTCAAAAATTTAAAACGAGAAATAAGTAAAAAAAATTAATAATTTATTTAAAATTAAAATTAAATTTTAGAGTTATTTAAAATAAATAAAAAAAGTATTTTAGTAATTAATTGTAAAATTTAGAATAAAAGCCACTTTTTCGAAACCTTAATTCCAAAATTAATTTTAGTTATTATAAGGAAATTCATTTTATTCTTATTAAGATTAAAGCTATTTTAAGCAAAAAATAGTTTAAACTAAAACGATTGATAAAAAATTTGTTTAGCATTTTTATGAATTTTTGCAAAATATTTTTATATAAAAGGAGATAGATTAACAAAGTATTCATGACTATGACAATATGGTGAAGTTAATGAGCTAGCATTAAGAAGGTTAAATTAATATATCATAATCTTAAGGGTAGAATATAAATTTTGATGAAGTATTTAATACTGAAAGTAGCCCTAAATCATAGTAGATTTAATAAAGAGAGTTTAAATAATAAAAGAGTTTAGCATAAATTATAGGTAGTGAAGAGATTGATGAACCAAAATAGTTTCCCTACTAAAAATCTAAATCAATGGCAGTATTTAATTCTAAGAAATCATCCTAAGCTTCTTCTGTCAAGCAGTAAAACATTCATGAAATTGGAAATGTGTCTAAAATTTCAGGCATAGGATAAAGTGACACTTCAGGAGTTTACAAAGACAATAATAGAAGTGGAGTTGCTAATTAGGGTGATTTTACAGGGATTATTAAACCTAATATATTCGGCAAAAAGTCTTCAAGTGCTCCTAAATAAGCTAAATAAGTCTAAAATAAGCAAAAAGATGATAAATCAGGAACAAACAATGAGCAAAGCGATTCTGACTCAAGCTTTAGTTCATATAGCAGTGATAGAGTTGTTAGAAAATAGACAGCTCCTCCTACATCTGGTAGAAAATAGATTGCTATAATAAAGGAAGAAGAGAGAATGAGATCATACTCTGGTACTCCTGCAAATAGATTTGTTGAAAGCTAGTAAATATTTTTTATTTATTTTACTTAAATTCTAAATTAATTTTTTGCTTTTTAGAAAAAGTACAAATAGAGATTATTTTGGCTCTAGAGATGATCAAGTTAGTTCTGGAGGTAAATCGTATAAAAATGAATAGGATTTAAGAGAGAGCTTGGAAGAAGAAGAAAATAAATAGTTTTTGGAAGCAGAAAGATTGTCAAAAGAAGAAGTTGAGAGTAAAATTGAGAGAGCTCATGATAAGAAAAATAACGATTAAGATGAAGAATATGGGCATATAAAAATTAAAGATATAATAAATGTTGATGACTAGTCAAATTAAAATAGCCATGTAGGTGAGCAATCAAGAAAGGGTGCAGATTCAACACCACACAATTAGTTTATCACTATTCAAAATTAAAAAAATAAGCCTATTCAAATTTAAAAAAATGAATAAATTATTTCTGATAAGCAAGGATTTAACCAAATTGAAAAAGATAATGACACTCCAATAAGCAAAAAATTAGAGGATTTATAACACCTAGCATAAAATAGAGACATTCAAAAAATGTATTAATCAAAAAAGAGCAACTCAATTTTAGAATTAGAAAATATCCGAAACGAAATAGCCAACTATGAGCAAATAGCATAATAAGATTTACCATAAAGAAGCAAAAAATCAAAGTAAGGGAAAAAAGACACATCTAGAGAAACTTCACATCCTCGTACTCCATAATCTATAGTTACTCCTAAACATCTACCAAGCTAATCCCCAAACTTCTAATAAAGCCCCATTCTAACTAGTCTACCTAATCCTAAAATATAATATTAATAAGAAGAGGAGCTAGATCTTGAAGAATCAGAACATGTTTTAGACTCAATAAAGTAGATAAAGCAGTAAATGATTCATCAATTGAATCATTTAGAAAACAAGCAAAGAGAAGTTACCACTCCTGCAGCATCAAACTTTAAAGTAAATAATCCAACCATTTTAAAAATTTAATAAAATTGTTCAAATATATAAAATCTAATTATTTTTTATAAAGTATAATATAGCCCCTAATTTTAATATTCCGAATGATGAAAACCACATCTTAAAAGATGATTCCTTAAACTAAGATATATCCCCTCAAAATCCTATCGAAAATTTTGAATCTCCTTTCAAAAAAGACAGTCTAGTTTATGAAAGAGGTATTTAAGAAAAAATTTTTTAAAATTATTGTTATTATAGGTTATATCATAATTTAAACAAAATATATCTTTATTTATATTAACAAAGAAAATAGTCAGGGCAGAGGTAGAAGCACCAATCATAGCAGAGTAGAAAACAGCAGAAGTTATAAATATTATACTGAGGAGGAGGCTAACCAGATAGCCTAAAAGATTGAACAAAATCTGGCATTCTAAGGAGATTAAACCAATAAACAAACAAAAGTAAGTGAAAATGAGAGAGGAGAAAACTTTATAAATGAAGAAAGTGTGCAAGTTGGTGACATTAATGAGGAGATTCAAATCGATGATCAAAGAGCCGGTCGTGAAGATAGAGTTGTAAGATCAAAGCTAGAAAGAGATTCAGAAATGCATGATATTTAAGAGAAATAAATATAAGATTCTATTTTATAAGCAGAAAAACTCAATTAAATGCTTGATGGCAACACAAATTAACAAAGATTAAACTAAATTCAATCTTATCAGAGATAATAAAACGAATAAATGAGACTTAGCGCATAAGGATAGTAAGAATTTTTAGCATCTTAGAAAATAGATGAGTAAAACTAAAATCAAAAAACTCAAGCAGCATAAATTAATTAATAAAATTAATAAGGTTAATCTTAATAAAACATAAAAAACCATTCAGTAGCTGCATCACCAAATAGTCAATCTCCAATAAATTAAATTCAACAAAGATCAATCAGCCCCCAAAGTAATTCCTTGAATTCAAGTCAAATTACAGCTGGCTAAGTTATTTAAGTTGTCAAAGAAATACTCCCCCCAACTTAACAAACTACTATTTATTAGAAAAAGCTAAGTGATAATGCAATTTAATCTACTGTTGTTACTAAAACAATACAGCCAATCGTCACAACCAAAATTATTTCACCCGTTCGTTCTCGTCCGTCAAGCTAATCTAACTCTCCTTTAACTAAATAAAATTAAAATGCCCTATAAAATAACAGCCCTGGCAAATTTAATAGCCAGATTATTTCACAGTAATTACTACCCTAACAAGTACTAGGATAATTACAGTCTATAATAGGAGGAGGAAATTCTAATCAGTAAGGTTAACAACCTGCAAATTAAAATAAAATTTATTCTGATAGGACCCAAAATAGAATAGTGTAAGCCGTTAATTAATAATGGAAGCAAAAAAATCCTGAATTATTCTAAAATATAACACCAATGGAGTTTTATTAGAGTATTGTTCAAAGATAAAATATACTAAAGGACTTAAGTCCTGAACAACTTGAATAGCTTGAATAAGACATAAAAACTTTGAAGCAGATGAACGTAGCTGATGACCTTTAGATAATTCTAGAATAAAACATCTCTAATGTTACTTCACCTTTGAATGCATCTAATGTAAACTTATAAATTATTGAAAAATTTGAATTTTCACATCGATCATGCATGATCTTTATTTTACCCATTAAAACATGACTTTAGCTCATATTTGCTATTTAAATTCTTATTTTGAATAATTTTTTTGCATTATTTCATCATTTTTTGTATATTTTAATTGTACTTAAAATATTTTTAAGTATTTTCTTCTAAAATTCATCATTGATTTTATTTATATTGAATAATAAAAGAACACAGATATTAAACATTACACATTTTAAGGAGATGATATTACTCCCTCTTTGCAAAGAAGAAAATAAGAAGAAGAATTAGCAGCTACTGCTGCAAAAACTGCATTAGATGTTACCGCAGCTGCTGAAAAGGCTAGAAAGGAGTATGAAATCTAGCAGCAACATCTGCAAAATCAATTAGCTTTAACTCAAAATCACACACTCTTAACTTAATAATAATAGAAAGAAATATAAGAACTTAAAAAGTAGTAAGAAGAATTTATTAAGCAACAACTTGAAATACAAAAATAATAGGCTGAGTATTTAGAAAAGCTTTAAAAGTAGCAAGCATTAATCATTTAATAAGGAGAAGAATAGCGTAAACGCCATGAAGAAGAAAAGACTCGCTAGCTTAAGGAAATAGAGGCTCTTGAGAAATAAAAAAACTAAAGAATCATAGAAGAAGAAGAGAGATTGAAGTAACTACGTGATATGCAAGAAATGGTGCGCCAATAGATAGAAGATGATTTACAACGCAAAAAATTAGAAGATGAAGAGCACAGAAAGCGCTAGAAAGCTCTCTTTGATAAAGAATAAGAAATTCTAGATAGATTGCAAGATGAATAGGTAAAACTGTCTTAGCTTTAATAAGAATAGGCCAGGCTTTAGGCTTAAGAGTTAGAAAATAAAAAAGTAAGAGATATGTAATTAAAAATGGAAGAAGAGCTAAGAAAGAAGGAGGAAGAAAAATTGGAATAATTAAAGATATAGTCTGCTTCGCTAAATGAAGAGATAAAGAATAACCAAAGCAGGAGTGAAGAAGAAAGAGTAAAAATGCATTAACTGTAGTTAAAATATGCAGAAGATCAAAGAAAATAATAGGAAATCTTAGATGAATTAAATTCATAAAAATTACTTAAAGAAAATTCACAACGTTAACAAGATATTATTTAATAATAAGACATACTTGAATAGTAGAAATAAATTAATGAGTAACAATATGCTTTGTAGCAGGAATAGCTTAGAATTCAACGTGAGCGTGAAGAGTTAGAGATTTTACAAAAATAGAGAAACGAAGAATCTTTCATTAACGAATAGTAAAGACTTGCTATTTTACAATCAAAGGAATAGGAACTAGAATAATAGATTCGCTAATAAAATTAGTCTTTCTTAGCCTAATAAGAAGAATTATAACGCTAAAAGTAATAACTAGAGAGTTAAAAGCTCGATCTCATTTTAGAATAAGACCGTTTAAAGAAGAAGTCAGATCTCGATGATGCAAAGTTGAAGGATGTTGAAAAAAATCTATAGGAGTAATTGAGTAAAATAGAGAATGAAAAAGACTAGTAAATATAAAGAGATTAAGAAATATAAGCAAGAGTGAGACAAGAATCTATAAATGCACAATAGGAAGAGCTTCAGCGTTAAAAATAATAAATTGAATTCTAAAAATAAGATCTGATTATAGAGTAAGAGCGCCTCCGTTAAAAATTAAAAGAAGAAGAAGAAAAGAGATTAGAAGCTGAGCGTATTTTATAGGAAACGATTTTGAAGAAGTAGTTAGAAGATTCAGCAACTGTTTAATTAAAAAATTAAGTTGATTTAGAAAAATTAGAATAATAGAAGTAAATTGAAATTAAACTTCGTGAGCAGTAAGAGTAAATTAAGAGAGAGAAAGAACAATTAGAGAGAGAGCGCTAGTAATAGGAATATGAAAAGCAAAAGCAGCATGAAAAGGAGAAAGAGGTTATTGAGTTACAGAATGCCTTGAAGTAAAAGTAACTATTTTTAGAATAGTAACAGCGAGAAACACAACTTAAATTAGAATAGCAGTTTAAAGAATAGCAAGAATAGATGCTTAGAGAAAAAACCGAAATAGAAAAATAAAAAATAATTCAGGAACAATAAAAATAAAAGCAAATTGAACTTGAACAAGCAGCAAAATAATAAGAAGAACGTTTAAAATAGTAAAAACTATTATTAGAACTAGAACAAGAATAAAAAAAAAGAGATGCTGAATAACAGCTTCGTTTCCAACAAGAGCAAATACAAAAAGAAAAAGAAGAAGTCTAAAAGTAAAAAGAACTTCTTGCTTAAATGGAAAGAGAGAAAATTGCTATGGAGTTAGCTCGCTAGCAAAAAGAACAAGAAGAGCGTAGAAAGATAGAAGAATAAGAAAAAAGAGATAATTATTTTAAAAAAGTAGATGTATTCACTAAGGAAATAGAATCTAGAAGAGGTTACATATCACCTCGTTAATCTTCTCTTGATATTCCTCCTTCAACATAAGTAATCTTAAATAATCCCAGCACTTTAGAAAATAAAGATAGTTCTAATCTTCTTTTCAAGACAAACCAAAGCGCAAGCAGTTCACCTATTAATACAAATCGCTCAGATATCGAAACTATGATTAGGGAATCCCAAGCTCGCTTAAAGCAATCAATAGCCTAATCTGTCTAGTAAGTTGATAAGATAGGATAAATTGTAAATCCTTATTAAGATATTTCAATTAAGAACTCAGAAAGTGCAGAGGCTGTGAAAAGATCGACACATTAACCAACCACTACATAATATCCTATAACAAATACTAATTTGTAATAAGAATCTCAGCCCTAAAAAGACATTCTTGAGAGTTACTCTCAGTAAAAAAATATCGATTTATTTAACCAAATTGACAAAATAGTGCGTTCAGCTTCTCAATCTGCCTCCACTTCACCTATAGGCACTAACAACAGTAAATATTATTTGAATTTATTAAAACTTCTTCTAATTCCAATTCCATTTCTTCAATATTATTTTGAATTTTGTAAAAAAAAATAATTTTGTTAAACAATAAAATAAAAAAATTTTGAAAATTTCTCAAATAAGAATTTTATTGATTGGATGTTTGAACTAATTTAAAAAACATTTACCATTTTTATTATTTTAATTACTTATTAATTAATTTGGAAGAATTTAATAAATCAAAATTTAAATTGTGGACATGATTCACATAGAAATGAAAATTTTTAATTTTAAATATTACACTCAATTACTTTAAAAAATTAAAATATTATTTTTTTTCATTGCTTATCAATCCTCCATATTGATAATTTCACAGTTACTTAATAGTTCCATGAACTAAAAGTTAATAAAAAAAGTTTTAAGGAAATATAAAATTTTACATATTTAGTAGACGTCTTATTTAATTTCGATCTAGTGAAACTACATCTGAAAATTACAAAATAGAAATAGGAAATTTCATATGTATTTTTCATAGATCTTTCTATTTTTCCAAATTAAAATTTGTTATTTAATAAAATACTAAATCATTTATGATTTATATTTACAATAAGATAAAAATAACTTTGGAGATTCTCTAGATAGACTTAACAGGTTCACTGGCTCATAAGTTACTTAGTAAACTCCATCAACAGAAATAAAGAATTAGGCTTAGACTGATCTAGATTTATAAAATAGAGTAAATCAAATATAGAACTAATCTAAATCTAGTGAATCAGTAATATCTGCGTTACCTACTCCAATAAATTCTGTATAACCAATATAAACAAAAACTACTCAAGAATAAAAGAATAGTAGCTACATACCAACATCAGATGATTTTAGAGGTAGTTTATTGTTAAATAACTTAGAAAAATCTACTCAAAACCAAATAAGAAGCGATCTATTTAAAAGCATTGAAGGGGTAAATTCAATAGTCTCCCCTAATTCTAAAAACCAAAATAAATCAAGCTTTGGAGATTTTAGTAGCTAGAACTAATAGCAAAATAAGGTTTAAGGTGTAAGTGACTACACATCCTACCAATACTAATCTTAAGTAAGCAGTACTCCAAGCAATCCTATTTTCCAAAAAATAGAACCTTCTGCTTTGACTAATAATAACAGTGCTAATAAATAGCCTTTGGAGAAAAATAATTAATACTAATTACCATCTAGTGTTACATTTAGTGCTCTTCCTTCTGTTACTTCTTATATGCCATTAACCCAAAGTATTTAATAAAATACTGTATAGGGTGAAGGATTACTCAATCGTTTAGATAACAAAAACGATAATAAAAAACAGAATGCAAATTCTTAATAGAATCCAGTTAGTGAGCAAATAGTAGACAGTATTTTGAGTGAACCTTTTGCTCCTTAGCCAACTGCTAATTTTGATACCCGCTCTTCAATCAGCTCAATCAAAAGAGAGCCTATTAGTTACCCTGGAAACACATATACTGCATCAGTTAGCGGAATTCCAATTTAACCCTATTCATCTTGGACTAATCCAGTAAGCTTGAACTCGAGTGGAGGAACAGCTGCATTTTTGGGCTTACCAGTTTCATAGTAAAACAAAAACTCTCAGCCATAAACTAATTAAAATAGTGCCAACTAAACCTTGTTTGTTTCTTTTGGTAATGAAAAGATTTTGGGAAGTAATCCATTAAAATCTTCAGTTCCTGGTACTAATAAGGATTAAATTTTGTCAGGACTACCAACATACACACCATCAATATTGATGAGCACTTCTTTTAGTAAATTACCAAACAATTCGTTCAACTAAGGAGAAAAAGATAAACAATCATCTGTAAGATCATCAGGAGCAGTCTCTAACGAGTATAAGTAAGCCCTCTATTAAAAACAAAATATCATTCCAGCAAGCGATTAACTTACTGCTGGTGCCCTTAAAAGCAATCCTACTACTTATGTTTCTAATTAAAAACCTTCAATAAATATTGGTAATATTAACCAAGGTTCTTACACTACTTCTTCTTTAACTGGAGTCGATGCTTACATTCCACTTACTACTGGTGCTTCTGCTCTGATTTCGCCCAGAACTCAAGAATTAAATTCCTACAAGATCACCACTTCAGCCCTAGTCCCAAGTAGCAGATAAGTTGTAATTGGTAATCCCAGTAGTATTGAAACTTCAGATTAGAAATATAATAAACGCTTATCAATAACGAGTGATGTCATCGAAGAAGATCCAAAGCGCAGCAACAACTAAGATAGTGCTTCAAAGCTCGGAAACAATACGCTAAATTCTTCTGCAGGCTTTATCGGTTACAAGAAAAAAATAAAAATACAGCCATCTCCATAGGTGATAAAGGAAACACATCTTCCTGTAATTCGCAGTAATTCCAATAATAATAGCAAAGATTCATCATTTTTCCTTAATAACAATTCTTTTTCATAAAATAATCCAAAAATACCAAACCCTACTTCTGTAGCTGCAGGTAATAATAACTATATATTGAATAATTCTTTCAGCAACTTAAATAACTCATTTTCTGGTGCACCTAAAGACACAATTACAGCTGGAACAAATTTCAATAATTTTTTGAATAGCTCATTCACTGATGAGAAATCTAAATAACAAAGAAATACTCTTGACAAACTTAATAAATAAGGCTAATTAAATTAGGTAAATGGTTTAATTAAGAGTGGTGAATCATAATAATCATAATAAAAAATTTCTTAATTCAACTCTCCTTAATCTTAAAAGATAGCTAGCCAACTTGCCTCTACTTAGAATCTGAATCGTTTTGCATCACCTTAATCAGATACTTCGAGAGGATCTGTTTCTTTAACAAAAAAAACTAATGTCACTGTGGTGCATACTCCAGGAACAGAAGGTGCTATATCCTTAGTTAGAGCCATCTAAAATACTTACACTTATAACGAACCTACTCATAACGATGATAGTTTCCACAATAGCAGTTTTAACAATTTGAACAAATCACTTCTCGATTCCCAGGCCTCACAATATTTGGTATACATTTGAATTACCTTAAAATAAATATATCTTTCTATGTTTACATCAATAACTCCTAAATAGAAATTTCTAAAATCATTAAAAAAGTATGAAAATAAATTATTTGCTCTGTAAAAATGAAAATGTTTTAGATATTCAATTAAAAAAAGTTAGAAATATATTGAAAATAAAGCATATATGAATGGGTGATTTTTTTATAAAGATAAAATTTATCTTAACAAGTGGTAAAAATTATTTAAAAGAAATTAGAAAAGAGCAAAAAAAACTTATCTAACTATCCACCCACCCATCTAATAATAAACACAAACATAGATTCTTATTAGATTTATCTACTCCAAATATTTTTAAAAATACGAAAATAAATATTCAATTAATACACTAAATAAATAAATAAATCGCAGCATACGGGATAAAGTTTATAATTTAGAAACATTAGATTGTTACAGAGTCTTTTAACATTTAATATTTGAATGTAATTTTTATAAAAATAAGGATAATAATTGTAAATTAAAATTTTTAAAAAAATTTATCTCTTATGTGAAATAATATTCAATTAATACTTTTTTAGTAATAGACTATAAATTCTAGAGAACAAAGTCCTGTGCGCAAATAGATTATTATCAAAAAATCAGATCGTATAAATATGAATCCTCTAAATACTCATCAAAGTACAAAAATATTTTTTTAATAACGTAATCTATTTTTTAATTATTCCTTTAAACTTAAAGAGTATTATGAAAGAAGCCAGCCAATTATGGAAGACACTCTGAACGAAGGTAGTGATTAGGAATAAGATCAAGCAAATAATTCTTTTGCTTCTGATAGATAAAAGCAAAAAAAATCAAAAATAGGAACACAGGATAAATAATAAGAAGGTGAAATAATAGATGAATAATAAGAAAATATTTGCAACATATATTGATTTATTTAATTAACAATTGCAAATTACTTAAGTTAATTAATATAAAGACTGTAAAGTGATTTTTTGTGTTTGAAATTTTGGAATAAGTTCTTTTTATTAATTTATTATGAATATAAAATTATTTCCTTTGGGTATCCAGTTATTATTTTTTATCTTATTTATTTGTAAAAGTAAAAATATTTTTGTAAACAAAGAATTAATTGAAATTCAAAAATATTTTAACAGAATCGATGAAATTTCTATTTTACAGATGCAAATAATTGATTAAAGAAATTATTATTTCGTATTAGATTAAAGCATTTTTAATTGAAAATCAGCTAGTTACTTTATTTTTTTTTGAACCGATATAATCTAATTAGATTTTGACTTAGAATAAGATCAAGCAAGCTATTACAAAAAACTGGTTACAAAATAAAAAATTCATCTTTTTCAGACACCATGAAACACTGAAAAGATATGTGAATTTACATTAATTTGGATTAATTTAAAACTTATTACACATATTTACTTAATAAATAGCAAAAGTAAGGACACACCAGATTAGAGTATTTTTAATTCTATTTTGATTTTATTTTAAGTATATTACACAAAATATCAAAATCTGTAAATTATATTTTTCTTAAGAATTTGTCATAAACATTTTAAAATCCATTTGATCTACTTAATAACTAACTCACGAACAGATAAGTGAGTGAAATTTTGCAAAAATTTTTTCTATTCTTAAACTATATGTTTGTATTTTTTAATTTAAGAATACAATAATTCATTCTGAATTTAATTTGTCATACTAAGGAAATTTAACCTAAAAAATAAATTTTATTTTATTTTGCAAATAATAATTTCATTTTTTTATGAAAAATAAGTGTAAAAAAAACATATTGGAAAAATTACTTTTATCATTTAGAGACTATAAAATTATTTATCAATAAAACATCTGTAAAATTAATTGTATTTACTTGTTTTTTAACTAATTAAAACCTATCTTCAAAATATAAAGCATAAATAAAAATAGGTCTAAAACATGTGTCGTTTCTTTGTAATAACCATGGTAAATTTCACAATCTGTCGACTTACATAAATTTTATTAATACCCAAATTTGTCTTAGATTAAATTTATTTACTCTCATGTTCGGCTTATATTACATATTAATTGTATATTTGCTTTTCGAAAAAACTATCAGCCTTATTTTTAGGCACTTGAATAGAAAAAGATGATAGTAACTTATACATGCGATATAAAAAAATATAAGGAAACTTCTTTACTAATAAAAGGTTTCAGTTTTCTCACTTAACAAGGTTTCATATTCTTTTCATTTTAGCACTTAATTATGAATTTGGTTTAGGTTTTAGAGTAAAATTGTTGATTTTATTTCATAACAGACTTCAATTTAAAAAAATTTTTTAAACATTATATTTCAAACAAAAAATGAGTTATAAAGTATTTTTATTATATGAAATAAAATCAAAAACATTATATTTATTTTATATTACATGCTCAATATAGTATAATAATAAAAGATTCAAAGTTATATAACAGATAGTTAATGTATTGTTTTAAAATTATTAAAATTTTTTTATTTTTTAAATAATCATTTGTTATGTTTTTCATTCATGCTTTCTACATTAATTTTACTTCAATTTTATTCAAATTTACTTAGATAACTTTATGAAATAAAAAGAAAGATGATATTAGTTTTGCCAAAAAAACTTTCTGAATATTATTCAGTTGCGTAATAGAAACTTTTATTGATTTAAAATATTTACTCAAACACTGTCCTGATTATGTTATGGTAAAATTGTAAGATTCGTGCAAAACTATTAAATAGATAATAGTAGGTTAATATATCTTTTCTATTGCAGTCAAAATGTAAAATTTTAGAAATTAAATTTTATGAGTGAATGATGGAGAAAATTAATGTAATGGGTTAAAATATGAATAATTTCTGATTGTTAAGTAAATATAAATAAATAAGGGTTTTAAGAGTAATATAATAAATTAAAGGAAAAGAAATTCTAATTAATTTACACACGCAAAAGTAAATAAAATTAATTAACTTTTGATCAAAATAAATAAATAAACAAATTGATTTTTTTTATATTTTTGATTTTCATCCTCTAAATTTAATGATTTGATAATATGTGTTAACGTATTCATTAGTATATTGATTTTTATAGCTTTTAGTATTCCAAATAAAAACTAAATTTTGCCTTCTTTTCATTTAATCATATATTCATGTTAAACACTTATTAAAAAAAGTATAAACCTGCTCATTTCTGATTAAAATAAAGAAGTTGGCAAACAGATATTAATTCAATTTTTTCATTAATGCATTAAATCTTCATTAATTTTGATAATTAATTATATATTAATATTTATATATATATATATTTATAATAGTTATATTGATAGTTATCCTGAACCTTTTTCAGTATCTTTTCTTATACTTTCTCTTAGTTCTTTCAGGCTCTTTATCATTTTTAGTAATTTCTTTTTAAATCTTTACCATTATTTTTTCAACTTCCTATACTTCTGCCTTATCTAGTATAGGCTTTTTGCGGTAAAATCTTTTCTTTATATAGTAAGTTGGAGGGGTTATTCCATGATGGGATTCATATTTTAATACTTTTTCGTTTGTATCTCTATCTATGACTTATTTTTTTTAAGCAAAATCTGAAGGAACATCATCTTCTTCTGGTTTGTGAACATAAATCATTTATTTAGTATCATTTGATTTGAATATATTTATTGTATCCTCTGTTTTATATGTTTCTAGTATACATGGTAGGTCAATTAATGTGGCTTTTGATCTAAAATCATCTACTTAAACATCAAATTATAGTTTTTCTAGACCCGTTTCAGCATCTTTTACCACTTTAGGTAAAAAACTTACTTGCGGAGTATTAGAATCAGCTACAGGATCTTTTTACTTCTCTGTAGATTCTGGTACAGTGACCAATTATGGAAGCTAATTGGGAGGTTGGTTGGTATTTGCTTAATTTGTTTGCGGATTCGTTGAATCTGTTTAAAGTTTTGTCAGAAGAGCATTTTTCTTTTGTACATCAAAATACTAATGCAACTTTTTCGCTATTTCTAATGGAAATCTCACTATATATTGGCTTTCCTTTTCATAAATTTTTGACATTTTTAGTTTTTCCTCTCTAACTTAAAAACAATATCTTCTTAGACAGTTTAATTATAATTAGTATAAGTATTTTTTAGTTTGACTTTCTAAAAGCTATTTATTTATCTTTATATGATATCTAGATGCTTGTATATTTAAATGGGAAAAAGACCTACATATTTTAATTGTGGGATATTTAAAAATTATTTTATTTAAAATTTATGAGATTTATTATCTTTTTATTCCTTACGTAAATGTTTTTATTATTATTATTATTGTTGGTTTGACTAAAAAAAATAATTATGCAAATATTAAACTAACTTTATTTTATTAGTATTTGAGATTATAGAAGAAGAATGTTATTTTTCTTACTAATTAGCTAAAAACAAGCAAAAAGCATATATTTAAAAATACATGAAAGAAAATAATACTTTAAATATTAAAATGCTTATTTTTTGTTATATTTTAAGCAATCTAAAAAAAAAATTATAGAAAATATTTATATTAAACTCTTTAAATCAAATCTATGCAGTAAAAAAAAAAAATTTTTATATTTTTAAGAATAAAACTGAAATATGCTTACAAAAATTTATATAAACTAAAGACTTGAAAAATTAATCGAAACTTTCCAAACTTTTATTTGTCTTATTTATGTACTTTATATTCAACCAATACTAGTAATTATAAATAACCGTTTTAGTTTGTTTACTACAAGACATGTAACTAGCTAAAAATTAATTTAACTAACATTAAATTTAGTAAGCCTATATTTTATTTATCTCAAAGATTAATTAATTTAGTTATCTAAACTGGCTAACAATTTAATAAATTAGAAATTCGTGGTTACTTAGGTAACTGTAAATAGAAAAGAATAATATATGTTTATTTTAAGAATTTTTGTTAAAACTATAAAGCAAATAAACAATAATTTTACTATATATTTTGAATACATCCAAAGTTATACTTAATATTATTTGTAGTTTTCTAATTCTAAGAATTATTTTCATGGATTTTTTAACACTTACTAAAGAACAATATTAATAAAACCATATAAATTTTCAACTTTTAAACAAATTATTTAATTTTTTAATTCGTTCAACTCATTTAGATAATTATTGTAAATATACTTCAAAAACAATGTAAATATCTAACTCAGATATTTAAATAAATTAACAAATGATAAATACAAGGCTTAGTACTCAAAATATTTATTTACCTTTAAATACTATTCAAAAAAAGTAAAACTAAATAGCCAATTTTTACAGCTTAAGTTTCTTAGGATAAAATAGAAATCTCGTTGACAGTTGAAAAAGGAAAACTTTTTATTTTTGATTTGTAGAAAATGTCAAGCAACACTTGGAATTTATATCGTGAATTATTATAAACTCTTTCGAGCTTGCTTTAATTTTAAACAATCCCAACAGATAAATAGGTCGTGAGTGTGGATTATTACAAAAGTAAATTATTTAATGATGAGAGGGAAGTAAAATTTACAATAGACGACGTGAAAAGGAATAAATAAATAAGAATAATTATAATAACAAAGATTTTTATCTTGAAATCTTACACTTTAAAGAGTAACAAAACAAAAGGGAAAATATTAATATTTTCGTAAAACAAACCATTTCTAAGCTTAAAAAATAAATTTACAAAGATTTAATTCAGCTGAAAAGCCACAGCTTGCTTCTCCAAAATAATGTTGCATAAATGTCATAAAGTATTATTTTTTGACTTCTTGAAATGAATAAATAAGATATTTATCTATTTATATTTTCATTAATTTATATCAGTAGATGAATTAATATTTAGTTATGAATATCTTTGAATAATATAAGGTTGCATATATTACATTATTGAGAAAATTGGTTAATAGTACAATAAATTTCAATCTGAGAGTCTACTTAAATTAATAATATTATTTGAGCTTTGTTAAATGAATACTCATTATTTGATCCAATAAGCTTGCTGTATTGAGATATGAACTTATATGCTCTATGTATTTATTCACCTAGCAACAATTTAGGCATTAGGAGTGCTGAGCAAATAGTTTTTAATTTTCATTGGTAGCTAACTCTCATATTTAATTTTGAAAATAAAAAACAAAAAACAAACCTTGAAGTAAATAATTTATTAAGTTTTTAATAATCAATATTTTTAAAAATTGGGAAAATTATTTACAAGCATTTACCCATTTTTTCAAAATTCAGAAAAAGAAATATTTTTCAAGACTTAAAATAAAAAATAAACAGATATGTATCATAAAAAATACACTTAAAATAGAATTATAAAAAAGTTTTTATGATTAAAATCCAAATATAGGTTTTAGAAAATATTAGAATTGAAATACTGAATATGTTTTATTTGATTAAAAAGGTGTAGTGTCATGGGGTAGTGGAAAAGATTAGTTATTCACTATTTAAAATTTTTGTTTTTTAAACAGATAGTAATATTAAAAAAAGGGAATTAGCTTTATATTTTTTGAAGATAACTGGCTGTATGTGAGAATATGTGTGTATGTAATTGACTTCTTATTATAATCTATTCAAATTAATTTGAAAGGTAATTAATTAATTTTTTGCACTTACTAGGTGATTAAATATCAAAACTTTTTATTTGTTAACTTGTGACACTATTACTTTTTGAAATGTATGCTTTTAACTAATTTTATTAACAAATTTGGATTAATTTTCATAGAAAAAATTTCCCTAAATTTAAAATCAATAATTATTAAATCAAATATAATAAATTTAAACATAACAAACATCAATTCACAAAATAAAGAAAAAAATTAATAAAATTTCATTGATTGTCCTCCAAAAGAGTCAATAAATTTTCTAAATACAGAAGCCCTGACCAAATAAATTATCTTTTAATCAGTACAAAAATCCCAAAAAATAATATTCTGACTCTCATTTAAACCTTTAAATATGAATCCCTCAATGATTAGTCATCCATAGAATTACTATCTAAGCACTAATATGCAATAGGCTCAAATGCTGCCACATCATTAATATGGCTATATGGTTTATGCTCCTCAATAACCTGTTTAATAACTTCCTATCTAAAACTAAGTTTAACAAAACCAGATTATCTAAACTCAACCTTTAGTCCCCCAAATAGTTTAATAACCCATGAATCCTTTAAATAGTTAAAATAGCGGATGCGCTGTTTTGTGCTACCCTACTTTTGTAAACGTCTAAGGATATTAAGGAGTTCCTTTTTATGCTGTTTAAAATTACTAAATAACGGGTTAAAATGGAATGATTTAAATGCAAAATAATCCACAAATATCATAAAATATATTTATTCAAAGTCAAAGCCAGACCTCATTGAATTAGTAAACCTAATTTAATTTAAGCAACGATTAGAATAGTAACACTTTATAAAATAACGAATAAAAATCTTAATTGTTTTAAACTGAGACTGTTCTACCTTCTAATCATTAATAAATCAATAATTCTCCTAATAAATTTGATGAAAAGCACAGTAATAAAGCGGCTTCGTTGATGAAACTTTCAGATTCGCAAGCTTTGAGCGTAAAAAGTACTGTTTCAAACAAATCAAATCAAAACAGTAGCAATAAAGATCAAGCTAAAATTGAGAGCACCTACTTATGCTAAATCCAACAAGTTAATGAAGAAAACATCTCCTTTAAGCTGATAAAAAATCACTCAGTTTCAACAACAGTTAATATTAATAATTAAAATACAATAAATAACCTTCCCATTAGCTTTTCTGAAAATGACAATGAAGAGCTATCGAGCAATAATTAGAATAATTTTTTAAATAACTAAGCTAATTTCATTACAAAGAGTGATTAAGGCGAGACAACTACTGCTATTTCTTTGTCTTACCCTACTAAAGCATAAAACATAAAATCAAAATAATTAAATACTCCTTAAGACTAATCTTCAAAATCTTCTAAAAAACAAAAGTAAAGAAAAAATAAATTGAGTTTTAATTAGAGTGAAAATTTTGAATCAAATTAAATAGTAAATTAATCTGATGTGAAAGAAAATATTGACACCGAATTTGCTAGTAATTAATAATTTAATAATTCCAAAGTTTTTCTAGCATGCAAACAATAAAATTTCATTTAAAATCAAGATGAAAAATACAATGATTTTTTAAGCTCTGAGATTAAAGGAAATGCCATGAGCGAAGAAGAGATTTCAATAAATGACTAATCACAACAAAAAAGCTAAGATTCCTTCTAACAATAGGTATAATAAAAAAGTAAGGCTAAGAATGATCAATCAATATAATAAACTCTTCAAAATAAGCTCATCAAGGAGAAACTCCTAGAGAATGCCACTCCCGCTCAAAAGGAATTACTGAGTTAAATTTAACAAATTAGCAAGTAAAATTCTGCCAAGGCATTCCTTAAAGCTTACAAAAAATTTGCCCTTCAAGATCACGAATATATTTATAATTATCAAATTAATGAAAATTAGTATTATTACAAAGTTTGCAGAGAAATGCCTATTATTCGTATTGACAACCCAACAAAAAAAGACTTAGAAGGATTTTATCGTAAGTTCAAAAAATTTTTCAACGGAAAGCAATATAATAACAATACATTAAAGATTGTTCTAAGAAACAAACTCTACGGAAAGCTCTTTAATGATTTCCTAGAATTTCACTCTGATAAATGGCTTGAAGAATCAAAATCTAAAAATAAAGACGATTTGAGAATTATCATTAAATTCTTACAGATTTGTCATCAAAATTTAGATTATTTAGTATTCTTACGCGACCACGATAAATCAAAGGACAAATCAAATAGTGGATATGACTCAGATTGAAAAAATAAAAAAATAACAAACTGACTAACTAACTAACTTGATAATTGGGTGAATGAATGAGCCATTTATTTCTATAATTTTGGTGGCTAACTGAATAACTGACTAATATGCAAAGAAATAAACAGACAACCAAACTAGCTAGCTAGCTAAGCAATAAATTATCTATATAATTACCTAACTTACTAATTACTTAATTCTTTCAATAAAAAACTCTAACTATATATAAGGAAAATCTTAAAACTCATATAAAGTGAAACAGTACCTATATTAAAAAATCTCCATATTATTAACCAATTAATTTTAACAAATTCTTTTTCACGACATCTTTTTGTGTGACTCTTAAAAATTATCTTTAAAATTATAAACTCTTAAAATTTATATTACCTTACATATATATCTATCGTATATTTGATATAAATAAAAACCTTGAATTTTATTTAAACTAACTACTTTTTTTTAACTTTCAATTTGAATAATTCCATCTATTAGTCCAAATATCTACTTTTAAATTTTTAAATCTGTAACAAAAGATTAATTATTGAATTATTGACTCATTTAAATATATTCATTTATTTATTTTTTAACTTCCTTCAGACAATGAACATAACTAAAACAATACAGTGGGCAAACAATTTTATAAATTAATGATTTAAAGTAAATCAATCAATCATATTTCTGCTTAACAACTAGAGAAAAATATTCTTTCGAATACAGAAAGCTTAAAATTAAATAATTAATAGTTATACAATACGTATGAAATATTGATATTTTACAACCTAATCTGGTAGTTTGAGATTAGATTCATATTATATACTATTTAAATTATATTTTGAGATCCTAATTTATATCGAGCTAAACTCTAATATACTTATATTCCAAATATGATTTTTAAAAACTAATACTTTATAGAACCATTTCATATACCTTGCAATTATAATTTACTCAAGAAAATAATAGATCAAATTTACTTTTAATAATTAATATTGAATCAAATAATCAAACAAAAATATAGATAGTCGATACTAAAAAATACTGAAAGATAAATAATCATTTAGTCATGTTTTTTAGTCAACAAGTATAACCCAAATTCTTTATCCTATTGATTCGAAACCTACAAGTTATAGCAAATAATTTAATTTTACTTACATTTTTTGTAATATATACTAGACCTCATGGCTATTATTATTTAAGCTAGAGTATTATTAATAGAATCATTATAAAATCAATTTACATTTTTAAATACTTTTTAATGTATATTTTTACAACAAAAAATATATCCAAAATAAATTCACTGTAATAATAATTCTTCTAAATAGTAATTCAAGAAAGCAAGTTTTCTATCAAAATGCAAAATAATATTTCATACTTTTTACTTTTCTTAATAGATTGATAGCGGAATGTCTGGATTACTTAGCACATTGTGAGGGTTTATTGCAAATTAAAGATTTGAAAGGGGATTTTAAAAAAAATAAGATCAGTTTAGTTGATCATACATACACTCACACTTTTATAGGTATCATTTAACTGGTATATATTCTTAGTAGAGTAAATAAAATTAAATTATTGAAATCAAATTAATATTTTTTCTTTGGCAATTTTTTAAAAATATTAAATTTCCTTCTTATTGATAATTTGATAATAATTATCTTTTTCTTCAAATGTGATATTAAACATATAAAATTAGTATATTTACATATTGATTTAAAAAAATATTATTGGATATTAATCATATTTTCTTTATCATTCATTTACAATACATTTAAAAAAATTTAATTTATGTTTATTTGCACAAATCTATTTTTTATGTTTTGAAAAATAAAATTACATACTTTAGATTAAAAAAATATGGTTTTTTTAACTCAATTTATTATTTTAAGAGCTTAGCTATCATTAAAATTGTATTAATTATTTTTAGATTGTGAGTTTTCAATTTTTTATTTATATTTGACAATGAAATTAAAAATTTTTAAAGTCTTTGATTAGATATAAATAGCATAATTTCTCTATTCATACAAATGTGAGAAATTCATAATGCTTTTAAAATTGTGTAAATTGGTAACAAGTCCTAAAAAATAGTTTCCCTTACACAGATTGGTACACTCTAGAAGATTTAAGGTATTACTTAGTGTTTTTTATTTTTGAAATAATATAATTTTATAATATTTAATTATTTTTTTTTCTGAAAATTTAGATGATGTTTGATCCAATAATAAATAAAATATTATTAGATATTTATGGCAATTTCTTTCTCATTAATTTACAATACATATAAAATAAGTTTTTAATTTATATTTTCAAATAATATATTTTTTAACTAAGAATTTTAAAACTATTTTAGATAAATTTAAATACTGATAGTTTAATTCAAGCAATTATATTAAGAACTTAGTTTTATTTTAAATTGTGAGTTTTCATACTATTTATTAATTTTTGAAAATAAGAATGACCACTGTTAAAGCCATTGATTAGGATTTAAATATTTACTGTGTTTTAATTTTCATTTATTATAATTTTATTAATATTTAATTATTTATTTTCTGAAGAGTTTTTTCATGTTCAAATAATGTAATAAATACATCTCTTATATTGTGTGATAATTAAAAGTTAGATTATTTATATATTGCTTTAAAGCAATGTTATTTGATGTTAATAACATTTTATAGAATTCGTTTTCAATTTATCTAAAATAAATTTTTTTTGTCTAAAGTAAATTTATTTTTTTTAAATAAGA